TGTGTGCAGGAGAACGGGACATTATATTATAATGCAACAGTCTACCGATGGAGTTAATTTTAGGGAAAGCTGTGTGAGTAGTCTGGATAATATCATCGGGGCAGAGTTTGGGAGCAATAAATATCCAACCCATTACAACCCAAAAGTAGCTCTGCTCAAGTCTGCTGGCTAAGCATCAAAGGAAATAGTCCACAACAGCTGTCATGCCAAAGGTAAGCCATGGTTGCTATATAGGCAGCTGATTTCATAATAAGGTTTCACAAGTCAGTGTTTCTTAATCATGCAACCACCAGGGGGCAGCCTTGGTGTATGGATGTTTATTGCATAGAAATACAAAGGCTCATTCTTTTACCTGCAAGTTCTGTATAACCTTTTGCCACATATCAATTCATTGGCACATCCAAAAACACGTTTTCATGATTATTTATCAAGCATTAACTCAGCCCGTAGGACTGTACAATGGGTAGATAAGTCATAAATTATGAAAAATTTAGAAAGATAAGACAAGTACTGATGAAGGCCCCGCTCAAGCCGCTTCCTGACAACCTGTTAAAGGACAAATCAAAGTCTTGGTTAATTTTTTACTACAGTGCGAGTGATTTCACGGGTTCCGGGGGGAGGTACAGAGTTACACCACTCGAGATTAGAAGGCCATTTGCTATACAATGCCAGCTTGTTACGCAGAGTCAATTATTGACAGAGTCTACATGTTTTTTCCATCCCAACATGATCTACACCTTGCCGCCGTATTCTGCTCTGTTACAGTATTCTGCAAAATACTACAGTATTCTTCCTCGTCCTGTTCTATTCTACCATATCCTGCCCCATGTTACAGTGTACTGCTAACTGCTTCTACTCTGTTGGGCCACACAATACCACATTATTCTCCAGGCCACCGAATACCTGCTGCCCAGTACTGTATTCTTTGATTCACTGCTGATGTACACTGCAATGACCTAATTTGCTCGATTTTGCCGTTCTGATCTCTATTCTATCCCACAATGCTGCATTAGGCTCCATGCTTCCTTATTCTGGCCCATACTGCCTTATTCTACACCGGGTTACCCCACTTTGCCTCATGATACCTTCCTATAAAAGTATTTTGCTTTATTCTAACCCATAATGCAATATTCTGTTAATTCTACCATATGCTAGCACTTCACATTGTGCTTGACCATTCTAAACAGTACTACTGCCATATCCTGTCCTCACATTTCTCTGTTACGATGTACGATATATTGGCCTATTCTGCTCAGCGTTGGGCCATTCTACCATATATTGTCTTATTCTACTCAGTGCTAGACTATTTTAGCATTTGCTGCTCAATTCAAAAGAGTGCTGCTTGGCTGAACCTATGCTACCTGACTAATCCAACCTCACTTACCTAGGATTTAAATCACTCTATATCCTACCCTGCTCCATTCAAGCTGTGTTCTGCCTCACACACACCTACATTTCAATAATTGCTGCTTTATTCTTCAAGTGTGATCTGTCCCATATTGATCCTTGTGCCCTGTGCCTCTTCATTCTTCTCCATACTTGTCTATCCAGCTCCATGTTATTTATTTCTGCCACTAACATATTCTGTGCAAGTTCTACCCTTCCCGCGATGGCCTCTTTCTACTACAGCTCTGTTTCCCTTTACTGATTTTTCCTACCATCTATCCTTCTTTCTACCAAGTGTAAATTTTTCGCTGTCTTAGTTCCTGTGCTGTCCTGATTTGCTCCATGTTGGTCATCGTCTGATAAACACTGGGTTATTCTACTCTATACTGCCGTACCATGCCCCTTTTGCTGATTTGTACAAGAACGTGACTATTTTCCACTAGATAAATCACCCCCCAATTACATTAGACTATATTATTATTATTATTGTTGTTATTGCAGAGTGAGGCCACAATCTGCTCTTAGAAATCTGCATGGCTCATGCCTGTGTATTCTCAGTGTCTCACTACTAGCTGGGGAACAGCCATCAGTAGGGTCCATGTGACTTTGTATCACACTGAGTGAGGTAAAGATGCTGAGATCAAATTCTCGTTGCTATGGAGACAGCATCGTTAGGACTAATTAGGCCGGGTCCCCAGTGTCTCTGGGTCTCTTTGTTGCTAGGTTACTGGCTACCAGGAATCGCTATTTTAACTCATGATTTGCATACCGCCCATGAAATAACCCGCCACTGGCAGAGGAGTTTCCGAACCTAGAGCGCCCCGAGGGCTAACAGTGCAAGTGCTAAAAAGAATTAAATGACAATGAATGGATGTAAAACAGTGTAAGTTGTAGGCCCGGAGCAGGAAGCAGAAGTGGGAGCATGGCACAGTCTCCCAGCATAAGCTATACAGTATAGTTCTGAAATGAAAGGGTGTAAACAAACCCCAAGTCACTAGATCGACCAATCACAAGCTGCCATGTCATCTCATGATGAGGTCACAGCACTCCACTGACTGCTATGTGAAGCAGATTCCCAGGCTTTGAGGCCTAAGGGCTTTTTATCTGCAATGTTTTGCTATGTTGGACAGGACTGAGCAGTTCTGCTTGCATAGTGCATAGTTTAAAGGTGTAACTCAAGTATTCAATGTAAATAACACATTCATACACACACAGAGATACTGTATCATGTTGCATCCTGCCAAGCCCAACCCTGCTCAATTATACACAATCATATACACACCCATCAAACGTTACATCCCACTGCCACCGACCCATTGATAATAAACTATCGAGAGGTAGGAAACCTTCGGCACTCAGGATTTTGCGCACGAAATCTCCTCTGAAGCTTTACCAAGATTAAGGCTGTAAGTGGATTATGGGAGATGTAGTCCACAACATTTGAAGTGCGAAAGGTGTACCTACCTCTGGACTATACACTCACATAAAAAAAATAAAAAAAAAATCACAATATACTACGGTTATGTCCCCATAACAATTCCTGCATTTATTCAGAACGAGATACAGCTCTGACAAATGTTACTTGATGATACCCACTTATAACACCCCATCCAATATCACAAATATTCCCAACTGCAATCCCCATATTTATACGACATTATTACACCCCTGCCCGAAATCACATGTTCTCTACAACTACCCCTGTACTGATACACATTACATTTTCAGTAAAACAAAAAAAAGCCCTCAGTGATTACTTTTCTAGAAACCTATGTTTACCTTTATATTTTGTGTCACTTTACCCCACTCCCTCTAGCATGAAAGCTTAAGCCCTCAAGCCCTCTGTTCCTGTGTGTCCAACTCGTCTGGTTACAATTACGTGTCTGTTAGTCCACCCACTGTGCAGCACTGCGGAACTTGTTGGCGCTTTATACATACTAATATATTATTAACTCTTCTGTACCTTAATCCTTTTAATAATACATATTTATTAACCTTCCATCATTTATAACACCCTCTTGTCCAAAATGCACAGTTTTATTATTTTAAATGATATCTCGGTCACCATATAAAAAATGTTGCTATAGGAGGTGCCGCAAGGATTCTCTATAGAAGGGGTTCTGTTGGGGGAAATTATCACATTATTTAGGTGTGTGCAGGCTCCCGATAGACAGGGCATCATATTGCAGAGGTCTTGTGACATTCGGGCCATGTTTTGCATACTAATCAAATATTGAGGTTTATTCACAAATCAGGGAAGCTGAGCTGGAAAAATAGCCGATGTAAATTTTTTTGCCAGTTTGTCAATTGGTGGCCTAAAATGAAGGAACAGCCCAGTTGGTTTACACAAGGGTTAGACAGTTCCTGTTCTATTTCCCAACAGGATAGGGTTAATCCTGGCTTGCAATATTATAAGGGGAGGGAGGAAGATATTTTGGGTGGGGCGGATGTGAGTGTCAGCGATACTGGAAGGGGGGCTGGAGAGGAAGCCCACATAGTAACAGTTTGAGGTCTGTCCTACACATGGTCCTGTTTAACAGCATATTTGGGGGAGGGGTAGGGGAGGACAGAAAGCCCTTCATTCCTCCACTAAAAATGCAGAACTTTTCTTGGAAAATGAAAATGGCCAAGAACATTTCCCCCCTGACATATATTTTACCGTGCACATAGCATGACAATAAAACAATAAAAAGATGATATTTAGGGAAAATCCACTCTCCTGGAATTAGCGGAGAGCCAAATTCTGTAAAATCTGGATTTTCCTCAACAGATTCCAATTCAGTAACGGTCTGATCACGAGTTCTAAGTCTGCTGCACTGTGAATGACTCATAATCAACAATATTTGGCTAAAGAGCTTGCATTCAAATGTGGTGGGCTGTCCGGACGAACTCATGAGAGGCGGAGATGTTTAAACAAACACCCATGTATGTTTACTTTGTGTTACACAACATGCTGACGCTTACAAGAAGAAACACACTTATGTTTGTTTTCTAAACAGAGAATTGCTGGGAACTAAAATACAAGTTTGCAATATCAGGCCAAAACAGTGGGAGCTGGGGAAGAATTGTCCAGCTGCTCTGCATGCTTATTTTAAGTATATTTTGAAAATGTATTGTTTGAATTATCGGCGTGTGTTGGAGGTGAGCCCAAACTGCACAGGATTCCTTACATTAAACCTGCGATTGTAATTTTTGCCACGTCACCCCTCATGTCCTTGGACTCCATTTCCAATAGATACTCAACCCGCCTTGAGGGTATCATGATTATATTTTTCACTGGTTTGTGCTGAAAGGTAGCACATTAGAAGAGTTGGCCCAGCAGGGGAATCAATATTAATCAAGACAGTTTCTTTGGGATATTTTCCTGATCGATGAATTAGTAATTAATTTCACCCAAGCAGCACACAAATTATACTTTTTGCATGGCAACACATTTCATGTACCGCCTAGTAACATGAAAAAGGTTTACGTGTTCAGTAAAGCACGGTGGATCTCTCAAAATTAGCCATCTCTGTATTAAAGTAGTAGTAGCTATAATAATGTATGCCTGACACTAACACTGTTCCTCTGCCCTGACGATGTAAAGGGTTAAAAACCCTTTTTATCCCACTCACCCAATTCCAGCTCTGAGGTCCCTAGGCACTGGGTCACACTCCACCCTCTCAGACGTCAGCCGATGGGAGGAACTAATGCACATGCGCGGGGCACACATTAAGCGTTCATTATAGCAAAGCATTGCCTCAATGACAATGCAGGAAGGTATCTCCACGCCCATGAAGATGGGCTCATGGCAGCGTTGGAACGATGGAGGAGGAGGAGTGTATGTCTGGGGGAAAAAATAAAAAATTATAAAGTTTCATTCAAACATTAATTTTTATATACATATATACACACACACACACACACACACACACACACACACATACATTTTGACATGACTATAATTTACATAAGTATTTTTAGAGAAATTTTATTACAGAAGTGCACTTTAAATATTTCCCTTCCATCCATATCCCCCTCTCTCTATAACCCGAGAATTTCCCCCATACTCCCTATATTACATTAATATTTACCATCTCTCAGAAACAATCTATCATTTCCTCGCTTTTCTTATCACTTGCTCGGCCTCCAAATCTTTGTCTCCAAATCTTTCTACAATGTACTCTTCCTGCATATTCACATTACTCTATATTTTTTCCACTCATTTTCATTGACTTTATTAAAAATTCTCAGTTAATACTTTCTTCTCATTTCCCCTGCCTCCATCTATCACGCGTTATCTACATCCCCATTCTCTCTATGTTTAATATTTCAATTGGACAAGCTGATGGAAGCTTTAGTTTTGAGGAGGAGGTGGCCAGTGACGATGGCTGTTCTGAGAAATTTTAGGCAACTTACTTATAATTTATGCCACAACAATGTAATGTAGACCAAGAACAATGTATCTTATTCACACAGGCGGATTTCTAAACACATTTATTGTAGTTTAACGACTGTACTGTTAGTATTGTTGCTGTGGAGCACTGTTAAACACTAAGACACATTAACAATGCAGAGTTCCTGGAAAAGAGGGACATTGCGATAGAAATAGGGACTGTTCCATTTCAATAGGGACACTTGGGAGGTATGGTATTTCCCCACTGTGATAGTTTTCTCTCTCTGCTCTCACTCTGTCACCATCATTTCCTGTCTATCCCTCCCACCTCCATAACATTTTCAGTCCCTCTCCTTCCCTTTACACCTCTCTTATCCCTGTCATTTGTTCTACCTCCATTTTACTTGCATCCTTATCTATCATTCTGTCTTTACTCCTTCCCTCGTCACCGAAGCCTGACAATAAATGAGTAGGCAATGTTTTTTTTCTCCAAATTAGCACTTTTAATCGAAACATGCCGCTTAGTTTTTAATTTGAAATGTAGTATTTAGAAAATAAACTTCCAATTTCTCTCTCTTTCTCCTTGCCTATATCTTTACTCTTTTTGTCTCCTGCAACTCATTGTCGCCTTTGTTTTCATTTTCTCAATTTGTCCTCGCTCTTCTCCCTGTCGATCTTCCTTCCCTCTCTCCCTTTTCTTTTCCTCCTCGCCTCTTTCCTTATCACGTTTTTCCCTTAGTATTTATAACATATAAAATTGTAGCAAGTCATACCAAAGTTTAGAAATATTAAATCGGCGACTATATAACTGGACCACAGTTGCAGGATTTTGACAATACAAAATAATAAGATTTTTTATAAAAAGAATTGTTCTCGCTCTATTCTATTTAACTTTCTTATTTATCTTCTTCCTATTACTATCCTCTTTTTCTTAAAATCTATCCATCTCTCCCTCCTCTTCTCTCCACTGCTCTCTTCTCCCCATCATTCTCCGCTCCTCCCATCTTGCTTCCTTCCCCTCTATCTGAGGCCACAACTGTGGAATTCATTGACGTCAGCAAATCTATTCCTGGACTGGCTTTATATTCTGTTTATTTATTTCCTGACAACTTCCATGAACACAGTGACCCAATCCCCCTCCTAATCTCCCTTCCCCTCTGCTAATACCCCAGTCTCTCCTAATCACGCCTCTGCGTCTTCCCATCTCCCCTCTCTATCTCCTCCTTCAGCAGCACAGCTTCCTCTGATAGAAAACAGGCCCCAGTAAGGGCAGAGAGCACGGAATGCTCAGATCCATTCTTAAATAGCTAAAAAGAATAGTGCACACTGAAACGGTTCACATATACAATGCACCTACTAATCAACCACCGATACTTTGTAACCTACGCCAATACAGTTTAACTAATCTAACTGGGCATTTTCCAAATATTCGACATCTATCTGTGCTAATTCCCATGAAACGTACCTATCTGATACTGCTTGAGAACCTATTTAAAGGGACACTGGATACTATAAGCACTGTAATAATTTCTGCTTGTTAAATTTGCTATCGCGCCTTGAGTTCTTTGGTGTGATCCCTTTATTCAGTGTCAAAACATTTTTGAGCAGTTTAACACTAAATAAGGGTCCCTGGCCACCAACACTCCGGACCCAACTGAATGTGTGGCTAAGGTAGGGATTACACTCTAGTCATACCGGTTCATACCAACAATGGTGGCTATAATCGACTAAAAAGCGAGGAGCTGACACTTTTAGCCAATCACGGCCACCCACTGCTGCTCAGGCTAAAGTTTCCTCATTTGCAGCACAGTGAGGCATTGGCTGCTGGGACTGCTGTTTAGCATTAAAACATTTTAAAAACAGTTTAATGCTGAATTTAAGGATGGCATCAGAGACTCAAGACACTATAACTACAACAATGAGATGAACACTGCTCAAATACAAGAAGAAAAAAACCAAAACACTTTAATTTATTTATTTAAAAAATATTTTACCAGGATGGATACATTGAAATTTCTCTTGTTTTCAAGTATGTCCTGGATTAATAGGACACACTCTTCACACAAAGCACTGCAGCAAGCGGAATTGCTTTAGGGGTCTGGAGTGTCCCCATTAACTACCTGCAATAATTCCAACAACCATACCAGCATACCTGGGCCATTTCCAATGATTCAACAAATCTGAGAAGTCTCCAAGATCCAACCAAGTATCTAATACAGTCAGAGGCGTAACTAAAAACCAAGGGGCCCGGTGCGAAAATTGCACACGCACATACACAGAGACCCACACATACAGACACACACACATACATACAGGCACTAACACAAACACACACACAAAATGTTAACGTCACCCTCCTGTTTCCTCCCTTTTAGATACAGGAGAGTGACTTCCCTGTAGTCCAGTGGTGGCTCAGCCTCATGGGAGTGAGAGTTCCCACTCTGACACCCTTCTCTCTTCCTCCCGCGCAGCTCCCGGTGGCTGTTGGGAGGAAGTGACAGGGGCAGTCACTTCCACCCAGCGCTCTGACCTCATCACAGGGGGCCCGATCGCACTGTTAAAGAGCCACAGCTCTGACCGGGCCACCTGGATATTCATTGCCATTGGGTGGCCCTAACAGCATGGGCCACCCGGTGGGCCCCTTAACGTGCCACCCCAGTGGATCTACCGCATGGCCGGGGCCACATACACATGGCGGTGGGCACCCGGTCGCAGGGGTCCATACGGCGACTCAGCTGTGACAGCGGTAGTTCCGCCAGTGAATACAGTTCCATAGGCCATATCCATCATTCTGGTCCAATTCCTAGGAACTTCCCTAACCTTGCCACTGATTTATTAGGGCTAGTTCCCATGAAGCCACTTATAATAAATCATGGAATCCATGTTATGATGTGGAAGTACTTATATGGAATGTACTGTTGCATTAGTACTTAGAGTGTCTCTGTTTGCTGGTGTGGTGTGATCACATAGTCTCTCTGTATGTAGAATGTGCGTTATACTGTACTGTTATACTGTAACAGTTTTCTGACCTGTGTCGGGTAACACTAAGATATATCTCCCCCTAATCATTGCATATTCAGTAAGTGTTGTTGCTCTGTCTCTGTACTTGTGATTGTGCACAGTGTCACTGTGTGCTGGAATGTGAGTATCTACAATGGGGAAGATTTACTAAAGTGTTCTGTTCTAAAAAGGGATTTAAAGTACTAAAAGTGGAACAATCGTAAATGTAAAGCAGTGAACCAGCAGAGGCATATTCCATTCGTGACTGCTCTCCTTTTACATTAATTTACAACAAAACACTGATTAATCTCCTTCAGTGTGTGTGTTAATTGTGTTTAACTGCCTCTGTATTCAGGAATGTCAGCAGTATTTCTGTAACTGAGTTTAGTGTGTGTGTGTGATTACACGATCTGTATTTCTTTACGGCTGTTTGAGTGAGATTGGTGCAAAAACGTGTTAACACAGTGTCTGCATGTTGTAGAGAGTAGTGATATCATGTATACAGTACTTTGGATTGATGGTTTGGATCTCTACGTATAGGAGTAGGAAAGAGTTGGCAAGTCACTGGCAGAGAAATGAGCCATGGGACTCCAGAAGCATGAGCTATACGCAAAAACTGCTTCATTAAGCTAAAGTTGTTTTGGTGACTATAATGTCCCTTTAACCCCTTAAAGGGACACTCCAGGCAGCCCTTTTTACTCACCTCGTTCCAGCGCCGGGAGCCTCGTGAAGCCGCTCCCCCTATTTCGTCAAAATGCCGAAATAGGCAGGCGCGAGCAGGGAGCAATCAGACGCTTCCATTTGGAAGCGTCATTGCTCCCTTGTGTGCATGTGCGGCTTTGCCGCACATGCGCACATACTTCATAGGGCGGCATTTATGCCGCCCTATGAAGTCCTGAGTGCACTACCGTGGATGCGCGCGGATGCGCGCAGTGTGCGCAGTCGCAAGCTGAACTGACTGACAGCTCAGCTCGCGGTCTTTGCCCGACCCTCTCCTCTGCTGACAGGCAGGAGAGAGAAGGCGTGCACACAGTGCCTTCTCTCTCCTGCACAGGTCAGACGTATTTTAATATGTCTGACTTGTACATGGCCTTTTTAGGGCCATACATGATAGGAAGTCCCTCTGATGGCCATCTGAGTGACTGCCACTGGAGGTATTCCTATCAATTTTCTCTGAAAATACAGTGTTTACATTAGATTGCCTGCAGGGAGCTATAGATCTGTATTTGTTCAGGTGACTATAGTGTCCCTTTAAGGACTATACATGTTTTGATCAAAATAAAGCGTAAACAAAACCTCAAATTTGACTATATGTCTGTTCAACAGTAATTCACCTCTTTCATATTAAGTGCACCCACACTTATTATAGCACGCCTGCCGTCCTTAAGTTGTTAAAGAACCCCAAAAGGCAATAAAGTGGTCTGGGTGCAGTGGCCCTTTTGTTTGAATCCTGCAATGTTGAAAATTAGTTTTGTAGAAACCGTAATGTTTTTATTTTAGGGTTCAACTAAGCTGTAGTTGCTGCCTTGCTGAAACCGCCACTAGAGGTGTGTCCTCTGTGATCAACTGATTGGCGCAGCACTCAGACGTGCCCTGCATGTGCGCTAGACTCCCAATGTTTACCTATAGGGATACATTGGATTGGTTGAGATAATCAATCGTGATGATACCAGGGAAGTGGAGCAGCCGCTGAAAACCTGTGTGGCGAGGCTGTAAAGGGAAGTAAAATTCATCTACTTCAAAAACACGTAAGTGGTTATAGTGTTTGTTTTTCTTTAACGGCTCCTAAAACACTAAAATAAGCATAAACTAGACGAACCTAGGTCAGGATGCCAGAAAATTGTATAAATCAGAAAACAAGCCAAGAGTCGGTACAGGCAACAAACAAAGAATAGTCAATAAACGAGCAAGGTCAGGAATACGATATACCGATTGAATAGTCAGAGCCAAGCAGTATCTCACAAATTCAGCAGCACACATTCAAACTGCTAAACTATGTTTGGGCACTGAGACATGGGACTGCTGGCTATTTATAGCCCTTCCCAAGTGTATCCCATAAGCTTCTGTAAAACACACGGGAAAATTGGCGCCATCATTGGAGGGAATTAGAATTTTGTCAATAAATGGCACGCGTTTTAGAGCACTTGGAGCCAGATAAGCTAAAAAGCTCACGTGGATGACACTGCATCATTTAAACACCTAAGAGTGTGTCTGTGTGGGCTGGTGTGTAATTACTCCGCTTTATATAGCTCCAACATATTCTGCAGCGCTTTGCAATTATAAAATGGGGATATTTGACAACAAGAGGTGAAGAATGCCCTAAGAGATGTACGTTAGTGTTTGAGTGTATTTACACTGTAACGGTGTGCTGTTGTGTTATTGTAGTTACACTATATCTGTGTGCTAGTTATTCTATAGTTGTGAATTGGGGTGGTAGTATATTTACACGGTTTGTGTTTGCTAATGTCTGAACTTGGTTACACTGTATCTGAACAGGTGAGTGAGTAGTTAGACTATGTGAGTATGGTTACACTGTATATTTGTGCTGCTATGTGGTTATAGTGTGTGTGTAATGACATTGCCTCAGTATTTTGGTGTGCGAGTAGATACGTTGTGTCACTACGTCTGCTACTCTGGCCTTAAAAGTAAAATTCTCTTTGAATGCTCACTTTGTTATATAATCCAGTGTATCTGCAAGCCAGGGTTTGAGAATAGTCGCATGTTTTATTTGTGATGGTATGTGGGTCGTTACACTGGGGAAGGTTTATCAACGTGTCGCAGAGCGAATCTGTTGCCTTTCCCCCCCCCTTTGCTTCTTTGGTGCCCCAATCATTTTTTAGTGTATGTCAACTTCTAGGGTAGAATCATTACCTTCAGGCATTTTGCAATAAACACTGTGTTCAGAGAAAATGCAGTGTTTATATTACAGCCTAGTGATACCTCCACTGGCCACTCCTCAGATGGCTGCTAGAGGTGCTTCCTGGGGTAGTGCTGCACAATGTGCAGTACTACCATTCAGTGTCTCCAACACTGAACTTTCCTTGATTCAATGCATCTTTATGAGGAGATGCTGATTAGCAAGGGCTGTGTTTGGCTTGCGCTGGTTCTGCCCCTGATCTACCTCTTTGACAGTCTTAGCCAATCCTATGGGATAGTATTGTGATTGGCTAAAATAATCACTTCTGATGATGTCAGGCAAGCAGGCAGATCAGGGGCAGAGCCAGCAGCTGCAGAATTGAACAAAAGTAAGATTTTACTATATTTAGGGAGGTAAGAGAGGGGGGGATAGGGGGATAGATGGTATTTTTAAACACTATAGTGTCAGGAATACATGTTTGTGTTCCTGACCCTATAGTGTTCCTTTAATAAATACAGGCAGATAAACCAAAAAATAGAGACTTTGAAATGTCTCTCCTGTTGTATCTGTATGCGAGTGTGGTAACACTGTGTTTTTGTGTTGGTATGACAGATACTTCGCAGCTCTATGCTGGTGTGTGAGTGACCACCTCATCGTTATGGTTTGTTTATGTAGTTATATGGTAACTGTGTGCCAGTTTGTAAATGTTATTACATGGTCTGTTTTCATGTGGTATGTGATTAGCTACACTAGGGGAGATTTATCAATGTGCTCTGAGTTCTAAGACTTACCAATGGAATGTACTTTTCAGTTCCACTGGATTCCATGATGATTTTCCTATGTCTAATACTTTAGATCACCTTTTAGAACTGAACACTGAGATTTCACCCCTAATGTATCTGTATGGCAGTGTGTCAGATTGGTTACACAATTGTTTTACGTTGATGTGTGAGTATCTCCATGCTAGTGTGCGAGAGTAAGCCATTACTGTAGCCGTGTGATGGTTTGTGAGTGTAATTATACAGTCTCTTTGTGCTGGTGTGTGTGAGCAGTTACACTGTATATGTGTGTTATTCCATATACCTGTACATTATAAATTACAGAATTGCCGAACAGTGCATTGAGATATATATTCAGATAAGCATTTCTCAAACTACTTGTAGCTGTAACTTGTTTATGGGGGAATGCCTTAATGGACTGCTATCCGAGAATAGTGGTTTGCTTAAGTGCCTTTTCTAGTGCAGTGGACAAAAAGGTACCTCTGGTGACTAGTTGCATATGCCATGCAGCATTACAGAGGCTGGTAGTAATTGTGGCTGTCTGGTAAGTGCGCAGTAAATGTGTTTTGCTCCTGGAAGTCTGGTTCAGCAATCAAAACATGTCTTTACAGTGGGCTGAATGTGTACGAAGACGCTGAGAACGCAATGCCAAAAATAATTTATAAATCCAGTATATCATACACATCTAACACATCTAAACATTGTTGTTTTTTTTTTTTAGTTAAAGGCGTTATGAATCAAATCAAAAATGTAAAGTATGTTATTCTGATAAGTTTAATTTCTGAACACCTAAACTTTATAAAATGCTCCGTAGACACCTGTAAATCACAGTATGTCTGAGAGTGTGTTGTGGATTTGGGTGAATGTTCAGAAACACAACCAGGGTATCGAGAATAAGAACTAATGGAGCTTATTGCAAACTTTTAGATCAGATTTATACTGTATGATTAAAGGAAAGTTTTAGAACTAGTTCTCAATATCTTCCCACATGAGGCGTAGCCAGCTCTGTAACCATCGAGGGTTAAACTGGAGAACCATTTTTGTCCTGTACAGCCCCCACCTCTTAATTTTTGGCGTGTCTGCGCCAACCATCAGCCAGGAAAGTCAGGCACCGTGCCAGCCCAAAGTCTGGAAAACACGAGAGGGGCGGGAGGAACATGAGCAAAACATCACCCAAAATATTTCATCTCCTTCATTCAAAGACCTAGAAAGCCAAATCCTGCCCCTACTCTGGCCCCTGAGAGGGAAGAAAAAGGCAGTAAATTTGCTCATGCCAGGGAAGCAGGGTGGGATATTTGTCTTGCATTGGCGACATGATGGGGAGGCAGATATTCATATAGCATTAATCATAGTATTGGATAGTAAAGATACTCAAACACAATTGATAATGGAAGAAGAAATTGTAGATGCTCATTTTTCACTGGCCAGAGGGGAAAGGAGACTATTCTCATTTTTATCACTAACAATGGTGGGTATACACTCATACTCCCCTGGCAAAAAGGGGTACAAATGCCCACACTCCCCTAGCAGGGGGTATAGATACTCACGCTCCCCTGGCAAAGGGGGTGCGGGCAGATAGTTCTACTCAATTGGCAATGGGGTGGGGGTGGCAGATAAACAGACTGTTCCAGGGATGATGGAGGAGCCAGTTCTGGGTTTGGGAGTCATTTTACAATGGCCACATGGGACACAGATTCTCATTCACACTAATTGAAGGGAATAGCAGGTTTTCAAAAAGAAATATGGGATTCCAACTAAAAAAATAAATAATCATTGAAAATAAAGTATTAAGTAATATGGAACAATGCATGCACCAGCCCATTTACTCATGTTTTCTTTTTCCTCCATCTCACATACGTGCTCTCTACCAGCTCTCCTGCACCCGTTACCTGCTCTCTACCAGTCCTCCTGCACCCGTTACCTGCTCTCTACCAGCTCTCCTGCACCCGTTACCTGCTCTCTACCAGTCCTCCTGCACCCGTTACCTGCTCTCTACCAGCTCTCCTGCACCCGTTACCTGCTCTCTACCAGCCCTCCTGCACCCGTTACCTGCTCTCTACCACCAGCTTTGCCTGCTCTCTACCAGCTCTCCTGCACCCGTTGCCTGCTCTCTACCAGCTCTCCTACCAGCACCCTCCTGCTCTCTACCAGCACCCTTTGCCTGCTCTCTATCAGCTCTCCTGCACCCGTTGCCTGCTCTCTACCAGCTCTCCTGCACCCGTTACCTGCTCTCTACCAGTCCTCCTGCACCCGTTACCTGCTCTCTACCAGCTCTCCTGCACCCGTTGCCTGCTCTCTACCAGCTCTCCTGCACCCGTTTGCCTGCTCTCTACCAGCTCTCCTGCACCCGTTGCCTGCTCTCTACCAGCTCTCCTGCACCCTTTGCCTGCTCTCTACCAGCTCTCCTGCCCCGTTGCCTGCTCTCTACCAGCTCTCCTGCACCCGTTGCCTGCTCTCTACCAGCTCTCCTGCACCCTTTGCCTGCTCTCTACCAGCTCTCCTGCACCCTTTGCCTGCTCTCTACCAGCTCTCCTGCACCCTTTGCCTGCTCTCTACCAGCTCTCCTGCACCCGTTGCCTGCTCTCTACCAGCTCTCCTGCCCGTTGCCCTTGCTCTCTGAGCTCTCCTGCACCCTTTGCCTGCTCTGCAAGCTCCCTGCACCCGTTACCTGCTCTCTACCAGCTCTCCTGCACCCTTTGCCTGCTCTCTACCAGCTCTCCTGCTCGCCCGTTGCCTGCTCTCTACCGACTCTCCACTGCGCCCGTTGCCCTGCTCTCTTTACCAGCTCCTATAAGCCGTTGCCTGCTCTCTACCAGCTCTCCTGCGCCCGTTGCCTGCTCTCTACCAGCTCTCCTGCGCCCGTTGCCTGCTCTCTACCAGCTCTCCTGCGCCCGTTACCTGCTCTCAACCAGCTCTCCTGCACCCGTTACCTGCTCTCAACTAGCTCTCCTGCACCCGTTACCTGCTCTCAACTAGCTCTCCTGCACCCGTTACCTGCTCTCAACTAGCTCTCCTGCACCCGTTACCTGCTCTCAACCAGCTATCCTGCACCCATTACCTGTTTTCTCCCTCCTATCTCTCCTGCACTCGTTACCTGCTCTCTACCAGCTCTCCTGCACCCGTTACCTGCTCTCTACCAGCATTCCTGCACCTGTTACCTGCTCTCTTCCAGCCCTCCTGCACCCGTCACCTGCTCTCTACCAGCCCTCCTGCACCCGTCACCTGCTCTCTACCAGCCCTCCTGCACCCGTCACCTGCTCTCTACCAGCCTTCCTGCACCCGTTCCTGCTCTCTACCAGCCCCCCAGCACCCGTTCCTGCGCTCTACCAGCCCTCCTGCACCCGTTCCTGCTCTCTACCAGCCCCCACTACCTGTTTTCTCCCTCCTATCTCTCCTGCACGCTGTCTGTCATCTCTCTCCCCCATTTCTCCTGCACTCTTTTACAAGCTCTCTCAATCCCATCTCTCCTGTTCACTCTTCCCTGCCCTCACTCCGGTCTCCCCTGCATATTCTCCTCTGCTCACAGTCTCCCCTGCAGTCTGAACCACTCTCTTACTCATCTATACTGCACTCTCTAAACCACAGTCTCACTCCCATCTGTCATGTCTCTCATTCATGTCCCTTCAGCTTTCTATCATCCTTGTCTTCATTGCTCTGTCTCTTACCTGCCCTCTCTTATTTGCTCTGTCTCATCATTCTATCATCCCTCTAATTCTCCCTTGCACTCCTAGTAGTATATCCTGCCCATGTCTCTCAGTCCCTCTCCCCATTTTCATCTCTCCTATTCACATTCTCTTATTTCCCGTCTGCTCACTCTCTCGTGCCCACTCACACTCTCTCACATTAGCCCGCCTTACCACCCCCCCATTCTCCAATCTCTCTCCACCCCATGCTCATTCTCTCCATCGAATCTCTTGTCCTTCCTCCCCTCTCCATTCTCTCTCCTGCTTTCTCTTTCCTCTCCAATCTATTCAGTCTTTATTTTGTGCCATTTTCCTGCACAATTTTTTATCTCTTATCTATTCTCTGTCCTCTCTCTCTCTAAGTTCTCCCATCACTCCTGCCTCTTTTCTATCATCTGTTTGATCTCTCTTCTGTATGCTCTCTCATCTCTCCTGCCTGCCCTCTCTCATCTCTTCTCTCCTGCCCTCTTTCTCAACTCTCCTGCACACTTGGTTGTCTCTCCCATCTCTCCTGCCCTCTCTCGCCTCCCTTCGCAGACCCCCAGGCTCTGAGCCAGCAGCTAGTGACTAGACAGGAAGGGTACACAGACAGCAGAGGGAGGGAGGGAGGGACAGGCTGGGGATGAGAGGGAGCAGTCAGTTGCAGCCTCATTTTATACTTGTTATCACTATACCTCACTCCTGGGATAGATAAAATACTTTCTAGATTCAATCCATGTACTTCAACACCCACAGTGTGTACAGTTATATCTGGCATTTGCTGGTACCGCCCTGCAACATTCATAACAATATGGGTAAATGAAGGCTTTGGGCAGGACATGCAATGCCAAGGGAGAGGAATGGAAGATTCTTCTTAAAAAACATTAGAGCCAACAGTGTTAGTGTAAGGTTGCGGTGCCAAATTAAAAATACAGCAGGCACCTTGGCAGTGGCAGCAATATTATAGGTCACAATAACACTGTAGAGACCGGAGGTTCTGTGACCCTGGCAATGACCTGGGTGAGGTTACTTTACGCTGGCAGTGCCCATGGTTAGGCGGTATAGCGGTAGCGTTACCATGTGTGAATAAGGAAATGCCACAGGTATGGGCAATGCTGCAAGTATCCTGGGGAGAGTGGGGGCAGGACTGTGGATTAGGTGCAGTGTTTCTGGCATTTGCTGGCAGAGAATGGGTTGGTGGGGAGGGTGGGTGGGGGCTCGGTCAATGATTTGTGTGATGCTGCAATATCATGGGTTAAGTTATGGAAGACTGGTAATGCCAAGGGACGCTGGGTAATTCTGCAGTAATAATGGCATTGCTATTAATGACTCAAGATGTATCTGAGTAACACTGGGTGCATTCTGGGTGATGGGGGATGAGGTTGGCAATGCCCTAAGCCGAGGATGGCAATTGAATTATTGGTTTTCTTGCTTCTGTTTTCTGTTCTGGGTCTAATCTTTTTGCAGGTTTCCATGGTAACAGCCTGTCTCTAGTGTGGTTGCCTTGGTAACAGATCTGGTCCAGTCTCCATCACTAGTGGGATGTTTAGATAAGAAGCGACTGCAGGATGCACAGCAAGGGGACTTCCTCTTCCAATTACACAGCACACACAGGACCCTCTGATAATCGTTTACAATATCTGATTCTGTACTAATAGCACCCAGTACACTATTCACTTTCTACTTATTCCCCATGCAGAGTTGTATGCAAGCAACACTGTGTGCTAATTATATGACTTGCCACACGCAGCAACCTCTAGTCACCAGCTCACTCTGCACAAATTAACCCCAATCGTAGTCATCGCATTCTAAAGCAAATTCTAGTACTAGTACGAAATCATCTCATTCCGCACTCACAGGGCCCTCTACAAAATCATCTCATTCCACATACAAACAAGCACAGACCCCGGTACTAATCATCTCATTGTGTACACAAACACACACAGCAGGCTGTACTAATTATTTCACACTACAAAAACAGCACGCTGTACTAATAATTTTACATTGCACACACACAGCACCCTCTTCTAGTCAGCTTACTCTACACACACACACACACACACCATAGAAACATAGAATGTGACGGCAGATAAGAACCATTCGGCCCATCTAGTTTGCCCAATTTTCAAAATACTTTCATTAGTCCCTGGCCTTATCTTATAGTTAGGATAGCCTTATGCCTATCCCACGCATGCTTAAACTCCTTTACTGTGTTAACCTCTACCACTTCAGCTGGAAGGCTATTCCATGCATCCACTACCCTCTCAGTAAAGTAATACTTCCTGATATTATTTTTAAACCTTTGTCCCTCTAATTTAAGACCATGTCCTCTTGTTGTGGTAGTTTTTCTTCTTTTAAATATAGTCTCCTCCTTTACTGTGTTGATTCCCTTTTATATATTTAAATGTTTCTATCATATCCCCCCTGTCTCGTCTTTCCTCCAAGCTATACATGTTAAGATCCTTTAACCTTTCCTGGTAAGTTTTATCCCGCAATCCATGAACCAGTTTAGTAGCCCTTCTCTGAACCCTCTCTAAGGTATCAATATCCTTCTGAAGATACGGTCTCCAGTACTGTGTACAATACTCCAAGTGAGGTCTCACCAGTGTTCTGTACAATGGCATGAGCACTTCCCTCTTTCTACTGCTAATACCTCTCCCTATACAACCAAGCATTCTGCTAGCATTTCCTGCTGCTCTATTACATTGTCTGCCTACCTTTAAGTCATCAGAAATAATCACCCCTAAATCCCTTTCCTCATATGTTGAGGTTAGGACTCTATCAAATATTCTGTACTCTGCCCTTGGGTTTTTACGTCCAAGATGCATTATCTTGCACTTATCCACATTAAATGTCAGTTGCCACAATTCTGACCATTTTTCTAGTTTACCTAAATCATTTGCCATTTGGCTTATCCCTCCTGGAACATCAACCCTGTTACATATCTTAGTATCATCAGCAAAAAGACATACCTTACCATCAAGACCTTCTGAAATATCACTAATACTAATCGTCTCTATCTGCACGCGTGCACACACACAGCACCCTCTCCTATTTAGCTCTCTCTGCACACACAGCACCCTCTCCTATTAAGATCTCTCTGCACACGCACACAGCACCCTCTCCTAATCGTGTCTCTCTGCACACGCACACAGCACCCTCTACTATTTTGCTCTCTCTGCACGCACACGCACACACAGCACCCTCTCCTATTTAGCTCTCTCTGCACACACACAGCACCCTCTCCTATTTAGCTCTCTCTGCACACACACAGCACCCTCTCCTATTTAGCTCTCTCTGCACACACACAGCACCCTCTCCTATTTAGCTCTCTCTGCACACACACAGCACCCTCTCCTATTTAGCTCTCTCTGCACACACAGCACCCTCTCCTAATCATCTCTCTATGCACACTCACACAGCACCCTCTACTATTTTGCTCTCTCTGCACACACCCAGACACACACAACACCCTCTCATAATCATCTATCTCTGCACGCACACACACACAGCACCCTCTACTAATCGTCTCTCTGCACATACAGCACCACCTATAGATATAGGGCTTCCTAAGTTTACATTTTCATTGCGCTTTGGTTATATATTACACGTGATATACAGCAAGTTTATTGCTGGTTGACATACTTTCTTTCCCTCCTTGCGATGTCACATAACGGACTTTCAGGCTGTGCAGATACGACAAAACCTGTTTTCCTATGTGCACACTGCCGTCTACCCCAAGACAATAAAATAAAACAAGTGGAGTGTCACTGCGGTGGCAGCAGCCTACTTCATAATCATAATGAAAAAATACTTAGCCGTTATAGTTATAGACTGCTTTGGGCCAATTTCAAAGCATGTTAATATAAATTTGGCCCTTCATAGCACCTTTTACTAAACAGCTCACGCTACACATACAGTACCATCTATTAATCACCCCACTCTGCACACATGGCACTCATTACGGACATTAATTTTCACACACAAGACAGACAGGGTTATTTCCGAAGGTGAGAATTTCCTATTTAAGGTCAGAGTAGCCAAAATTACTTAAGAGAAGGTTTTCAACCGGGCAATTTTGACCTTAAATTTGAAATTCGCTTTTATTTCTCCCGTTAACAAATAGCCCTGTAAATGTACATGGTGAGTGTGCGGAATCTTGAGTTCAGTTCTTGTGATGTTGAAGGATTAGAAGAACATCCTGCAGCTTTTCAGCAAACCTGCACGCATTTCCATGGCAACTCTCTAGTGTTAACTGATCCGTTCTGCGGACATGTCCAAGTAGCCACAGCAAAATTTTCCACTAGCAGAACACCTGACCTTCCCCCAGTAATTCATTCAGACCATAACAGCGAAGTGATCTTAATTTCTAGGAACAACTAACTTTGGCTTCTGTTCTAGGTTAATACTGGCCCAACTACACACCTAGAATATATGTTTAACCCCTTCACTCCCATTAACATGTATGCATGGCGGTCGTCATGAATGGCAAAGCACAACGAGCCCATTCAAGCCATGCTTATGTCCCAGGCCAGACTTGAAACGAAAATCAACCCCAAAAAATAATTCTATACTAGCCCAATAATGCATCGCGCCAGCCTAGTGTGTAGATATAGAGGAGGAAAAGAGAACTTAAAATATAAAAACTATTACTTGAATGTGAAATAAAGCACGATTACCAAATAAACAAAAAAAGAGCGGATTTATTTTAAGCAGAAATGCATATAACTAGTGTTACAGTCCAACTACCTTGACATATTTAGAAAGCTTTGGTAATGGGACTGAAATGGTGAATGTATGCTGTTGCACAGCTGGAAATAAAAAATACTTTATCTTGTTTTACTTTGAAGTCCTATGAGCCTGCTCTTCACATTAGCGGAGATTAATCTTGAGGATCTCAGCCAATCCAATTTTGTTCCATAGAAAAGCACTGGGAGGCTACTGCGCATGTATGGCAAAACACTGCACCGTGCCAGTCAGCATCTCCTCATGGAGATGCATTGAAGCAATGCAACTCTATGTGGAGTGTTCAGCTCCTCTCCATGCAGAGATATGTAAGTGACTGCTACTAGAGGTGTTCCTAGGGAGCAATGTAAATTTACAGTGCTTAGCCCGCAGGGACAGGCTCTAGACACCAGAACCACTATTTTAAATGTAGTGGTACTGGTGACTATAATGTCCCTTTAATAAGATGTCTCTCTCACCTGTCAATCAGTTCTTTGGCATAGACTCCTGTGCTGAAGAACTGAGTTACAGGGAGAGTAGGAGACACAGGCGAAGGTGCAACCCCCCACCGCCCCCTCTTGATTATCTCACCTGCTGTAATGTATCTTGTCTCCCATTTTCCCCTTTGTGTATGTTTTACTTCATCCCAGCCCCTTTGTGTCTTTTTACCCTTCTCTATGCCCTCCAGGTGTCCCAATCCCCCCACCAGCCCCTGTCTGTGTCCCATTCCTCCTCCAGCCCCGGTATGTGTCCCATTCCTCCCCCATCCCCGGTATGTGTCCCATTCCTCCCCCAACCCCTGTATGTGTCCCATTCTCCCATGGTGTCTCAATCCCTTCCCCCAGTCCCTCCACATATCATTACTCCACCCCCCGTACCTTCTGTAGCGGGCCAAGCCACTGACCTCAATGGAGGTACTTCTGTTCACTGGGAAAAAACACTTCCGGTCAAGCCAGGAAAAGGAACAGAAGCTTCTCCACTGCGGTCACGCTACATGCAGCTACCAGCAGTTGGGGTGCTCTATCCCTCCCACCGATTGTGCCATGCGCCCCCATAGGTAGCTATTTGTCCGCACACCTGCCCAAAGGCAGACCCACCAGGAATTTTCACAATATCCCAGTGGCCCAGCAGCAGCCTAATAAATATAAAACACACACACAGCACTCTGTACTAATCATTTCACACTGTGAAATGATTAGTACAGAATATATATATATATATAAATCTGCCAAGTCTCTATTAAGTGTTATAACATCTCTGGAAAAGGACAGGTAATGTAGCAAACCTGCTTACTCCACAGGAAAATTTGTAGGTCAAACTCATGGCTGCAATCTATCAGCCAAGTAGGCGGGCGAGGGAAGAATTGGTCTCTACACAGTACACACTGCAAACATTACATGGATTCTTTGTACTGTATGGAATAGATTGTTGGTGCAACTGTAATTGAGAGTGGAAATTAAGCCCACATGCAGACATTTTTACATAGGATGCATACCAGTAAGGACTGTCCAGCCTGGAAAGGGGACAGACGCCTGAAGGAGTATGGCAGCCTGTCTGGATGGCGCGCTTGGGGCAACACCTGCACCGAGCACTTTTGAAGCACTCTGGGTTTGTGTTTAATGCCCTGACAATGTTACGCATGGCACAACTGTTTTTTGATCTGCCAGAACTGTATTGATTGGGGACATTTCCCTGGAAAACCTAGTTGTGGGACACCAACAGACTAACCCTGGACAGACGGCCAAGAGCCCGAATTCGGGGCAGTCTGGCTTAACTTGGACAGTTTGAGGGATGCATTTTATTCTTCTATGTCACAGCATCTGTATATTAAAATTTTTATTTCTGCTACAATAATATAAGTGCTACCACTATTTCTGTAAGGGATGAATGAATAAATATATATTTTTCAGTCATATTCAAATGTATTGAGATTTTTGGTTTCTTTTCAAAAACAAGAACTCGGAAGTGCCGAGGCCTGCATTGCTCATAACAATTTAGATCTCTTACATTACACATAACCTTGCCACCACTTCAGGTTGTCCTGATAACAGAGTCTGAATTTATTTCTACGTTACAATACTTCTGGTTTTCTAAGCTTGTTCTCATAACAGTCGGGTTTCATATATTGTAAAATTTAGTGTTCTCTCTACCCATACTGAAAACATAAAACCAGATCTGCCGCATTGCTAAACAATTCAACATTCTCTGATCTTGTCCTGATAATAAACAGTCAGGCCCATCTACGCCAGATATTAACCCAGCAAAGCGCCTGTGCTGACACTGTGCAGGGGTTAACAGCAGGCAACAAATGTGGAGGGTGTGTAGTTTTGTTGGAGTATGACCTCTCTGCTTTGTAACTCCCCCTCCTCTCTCCACACACACACACACACTATCTCACATTCCTCACCCCTCCAACTCTGTTTATCTCACAGTCTATGAAAGGAAATGTTTATTTATGTCTCTGGCAGGTATGAGCTCCACCATCAACCTCCCTTATCTGCTGCTCACACTAAAATCATCCTGTGCAATGGCATACTACGAATCTGTGCACCTCCTAACACTCGGCACTGTGCGCAGACTAATCACTACTAACACTAGGAGCTGTGCGCAGACTAATCACTACTAACACTCGGTGCTGTGCGCAGACTAATCACTACTAACACTCGGTGCTGTGCGCAGACTAATCACTACTAACACTCGGCTCTGTACGCAGACTAATCACTACTAACACTCGGCTCTGTGCGCAGACTAATCACTACTAACACTCGGCTCTGTGCGCAGACTAATCACTACTAACACACGGAGCTGTGCGCAGACTAATCACTACTAACACTCAGCTCTGTACGCAGACTAATCACTACTAACACTCGGCGCTGTGCGCAGACTAATCACTACTAACACTCGGAGCTGTGCGCAGACTAATCACTACTAACACTCGGAGCTGTGCGCAGACTAATCACTACTAACACTCGGTGTTGTGCGCAGACTAATCACTACTAACACTCGGCTCTGTGCGCAGACTAATAACTACTAACACTCGGCTCTGTACGCAGACTAATCACTACTAACACTCGGCTCTGTGCGCAGACTAATCACTACTAACACTCGGCTCTGTGCGCAGACTAATCACTACTAACACACGGAGCTGTGCGCAGACTAATCACTACTAACACTCAGCTCTGTACGCAGACTAATCACTACTAACACTCGGCGCTGTGCGCAGACTAATCACTAACACTCAGAGCTGTACACAGACTAATCAATACTAACACTCGGCTCTGTACGCAGAATAACTACTAACACTCGGCTCTGTGCGCTGACTAATCACTACTAACACTAGGAGCTGTGCGCAGACTAATCACTACTAACACTCGGAGCTGTGCGCAGACTAATCACTACTAACACTCAGCTCTGTACGCAAACTAATCACTACTAACACTCAGCTCTGTACACAGACTAAATCACTACTAACACTCGGCTCTGTACGCAGACTAATCACTACTAACACTCGGCTGTGCAGGCAAACATTACCATCCGCTAATGCTCAGCTGACTAGGAAGACTCTACCCCAAATAATACTCTGCCTGCAGGCACACTAGATCATCCATTAATACTCAATTGTGCAGGAAGATGGCACCCTCTATTAAAAATCTCATGTACAGGGAGACACTACCGTCTAACAACGTTACTTAACTGTGCAGGCAGACACTACCTTCTACTAATACTCAACTGTGCAGGCAGGCACTACCTTCTACTAATACTCAACTGTGCAGGCAGGCACTACCTTCTACTAATACTCAACTGTGCAGGCAGGCACTACCTTCTACTAATACTCAACTGTGCAGGCAGACACTACCTTCTACTAATACTCAACTGTGCAGGCTACCTTCTACTAATACTCAACTGTGCAGGCAGGCACTACCTTCTACTAATACTCAACTGTGCAGGCAGACACTACCTTCTACTAATACTCAACTGTGCAGGCAGGCACTACCTTCTACTAATACTCAACTGTGCAGGCAGGCACTACCTTCTACTAATACTCAACTGTGCAGACAGACACTACCTTCTACTTATACTCAACTGTGCAGGCAGGCACTACCTTCTACTAATACTCAACTGTGCAGACAGACACTACCTTCTACTAATACTCAACTGTGCAGGCAGACACTACCTTCTACTAATACTCAACTGTGCACGCAGACACTACCTTCTACTAATACTCAACTGTGCAGGCAGGCACTACCTTCTACTAATACTCAACTGTGCAGGCAGATGCTACTCCTTGTTAATAATTAACATCACAGACACTACACCCCTTCCATATGGAAGAAGACACGCCAAGCACTAACATTATGGTGCAAGATGTAATTTAGGGTACAGTTTGTTTTTTTAATAAGCAAATATTTTGCTGCAGAAGTCCACGCTCCTCGCTCTGAACTTGAAGTTTCCAAAAATATTGCTGTGCATGAGATCATGACTTGAGTTTATAGGTTTAGTTATTAGCTTCCTACCAAACTACAACACAAACCAATAAAACACAGTGTATGAGATAAGCTTAGCAATGTTACAGAAAGCCAAGGCAACATCACGAGTGGATGTTTCGCTTTCTGCTCTGGTTAAAGCACAGTCTGGTATGAAAGGGCTTGAATAGGGGACACCTGTCGGCCAATTTTGGAAGAGGCTGGCAGAGTCTAAGAGGTGTTTAAGTGAGAGAGAGTTCCAAGATGGCACCTGGCGAGAAAACGTCAGCATGGAGTGCCATTAGTGAGAGAAGGGAGATTTCCCAATGACACAACCATAAAAAGTCAGGGGGGGGTTTGGGATTCCATTTGTGTGTGTCAAGGACAGAGCGCCACATTAATGGGGTCCCAATATAAGATTGAGTAGGGTAGGTTTTATACAATAGAGACCATGTTGTTTATGTGTTAATGTCTGTACCCGTTTTGTGCACAAGCCCTATTTTCTTATATATAAAATGGCTTCCCATTATTAAAAAAAAATATATTATTTCTAAATGTTTATACCTTGGCCCTTTTACCCCCAAGTTTATGTAATGCACCAACACAATCCACCCTTCCACCACTTTTTTTTGTCCCCCATCTATTGGACTTTAGCTCCTTTTTTCTAACGGTTTTGCCATTCATTACATTCATACAATAAGACAAATTAGTAATATTACTAGGCTCGGCTGATGGTCTGTTAACGTGCGTGGTCCAGCATGGCATCGCTTAGCTCAGTCAAGTTAACCGCATATCTCCGCCACGGAAGATTGGAAGCAGGGCTGTGGCTGAAGACCCCAGATGGCTAACCCTGGAAAGAGAGTCACCTTCAGCCTTTTTATAATATTCTAAACAGGTGTAACATACTTCACAGTGCATCGCTAGAACAGTACTTTTTAAATTTTAAACAGATAAAACATCTTCACTATTTTTAAGGCTAGCAATACGTATGGTGGTAGTATTTTTTGATTTATTATTTTTACAAAGTTTTATATTTTTTGGGAGACTATCACTATTGTGCGCTTAACATACATATACACTATACGGACAAAAGTATTGGGACACCTAACCATTACACCAATAAGGAATTTTACGGCATTGCGTTCAGAATTCATAGACATTAAGATGTAGCTGGTCCCCTCCTTTGCAGCGATAAATGCTAATGGTCTTCTGGGAAGGCTATCCACAAGATTTTGGAAGGTTTCTGTGGAAATTCTTGCCTAGTAAAGCATTTGTGAAGTCAGGCTCTGATGTAGCACAAGAAGGCCCAGCTGGAAAACTCTGTCCCAGTTCATTCCAAAGGTGTTCGATGTGGTTAAGGTCAGGACACTGTGCGGAGCAATAAAGTTGTTCCAGACTGAAATATTGCCCCCACCACCTTTATTTCTTTATACAAACTCATTGGGCCACAACTACTTGCATGACTCATTTATTTATTGCATGACGCGGTGGTATATGTTGATGCTTTATAAATAATTACTCTCCTAGAACTGAACAGTACAGACACTACACCCTGCTAGTACTGTACAGTGCAGAATATGTTTCATGCCAAGACTCGTATGAATAGTATGACAACTTGCTTCACCTTATTATGCAACTATACACACAAACATTACAACCAATTACTCCAACCACAATGTTTTTTCTGGACACACAGACGGTACACATTGCTAATAATCAAATGTACAGTTTAGCCTTTAGATTGTAAGCTCACAGGCAGGACCCTCTACCGTGTGTACTGGCCTGTTCATATTATACGGTCTTAGTCCCAACTGTACAGCGCTGCGGAATGTGTTGGCGCTTTATAAATTCCAATAATAAAAAATAACACTACACCCCAATACTCAACTGCAGATAACACACTACTAAAAACTGTAAAAAATTGATAATATGCTCTAATACCCAGCTGCACACAAATACTACACCAACCTCAAAATAAAAAACAATCCCTAGCTATTCGTAAAAACTGTACAGAAACCATACACTGCTTAAACTCAACATTGCAGACTGGCATAACACCATTCTAATACTTATCGTAGTGCAACCAATGCCCTTTGTAAATACTCAGTTGTACACACACGGGTAATACTCACCTCTGACTGTGGACCCCATACCCTCCTACTGCGCATATGCTCGCTCTGTATGAATAAAAATAACAGTGCTGACACATGAAGGGAGCTGCCAGTGGGAGAGGAGAGAGGGGACACTGGGATGGGAAGGGAACAGATGCTAGGGAGAGAGAACTGGTGTCAGGGAGTTCAAAGAAAAATCATACCTAGTTACAAGTATGCAATATCAGGACAGTCTCATGTCATGGAAGAACAGCAATTCAAGAGTATTCAGCATGAATACCACAGTCCATGGTTGCGAGTTTGTGGCAATGTTTGGACATCTTCAAGTCCTTAAGACCATGTTGTCCAATAATTATTGTAAGACAGAATTGTAGAGAGCCTTCTATGGACTCTGGGGATATCTCGATGTGATGGGAATTATAAGGCAATATAAAGATTACAGAAGCTCACGATGGTCAAATTTAGCTCTTCTGTATATCCGAACTGCACCATTCACATTTATTTGAGGAATAAACAAAATGTAAAAGATCAAATGTACTTTTTGCTTTTACAGCCAATGTAATGGAACACACGGTATGGAATGAATATGTTACAGAGCATTTTGAAGACATACAGATGGCTTAACCTAAGATTTGTCAATGTGGTGCCAGAAAATGCCAAAGGGCATTGGCCCCTATTCCTGCAGAGACTGGGTTGTTTGGTCCTCCTTTACTTAGAACACAGTGGATACATACCGCATTACATTTTATTGTGTAGATGTTCTGAGACCAAGACAGATATAGTATAGCATTTAGAAGCACTTAAATTTAAATATATTACTCTTTTATGCAAGTACACTAGATTATTGTATAATTGGTTGCCTAGTTAGTAGTGTGATCATCTTGTTGTAATTGGTGGAGTGAAGTCCCATTTCATGTTGTCTTGTTACCACTTGTGTCAGCATTGTTACATTACAGTTACATAGCTGAAAAGAGACTCGCGTCCATCAAATTCAGCCTTCCTCACGTATGTTTTTGCTGTTGATCCAAAAGAAGGCAAAAAAACAGTCTGAAGCGCTTCCAATTTTGCAACAAAACTAGGCAAAAATTCATTCTTGACCCCAAAATTGCAGTCAGATATCCCCTTGGATCAAATTTCCTTGACATTTTCACTGCCCCTTTTGACTTTCAACTGGTCCGTTGTTCATTGCCTATAAAGAGAATAGTCTAGAGAAGCCATTTTAAATTTCCATAGACATTTTTCCACGAGGTCTAAATAGATTCTGTAACGGGGGTCTTCTCTGGATTTCTCTACTGAGCGGGTCGGAGTTTTATTTCTTTTTTTCTGAGAATTTGTTTGTGGGTGGGATGGAAATCTAGTTTCGTAGAGCTTTTTTTACAACGTCTCTAGAGCTAATTCTGGCCTATTATTGTCAGAGAGAGATTCTAAAATAAGCAGGAATTTGCAAGGTCACAGAGGACTGTGCAGGCCTCATACACAGGCCATGTGGTAAATGCACAGAACTGCATGCATCAATGGGAGGGGCGCTGATTCAGACTCTTCTACGCCTACCGCTGTAAGGGTTAAATACGGAGGGTGTTCCTATTGAGTACTTGGCATTCAAGAGACTTATAACCGGAGAATATTCATACAGTTGAAATTTGGAAGCTGTTGCTGGGCGGAGTGACCTCATCAAAGCTAAACGGCTGCTTATTGGCTGAACTGGGATTAAAGGCTCTGCTGTGATTCACAATATTGCCAGCAGAACCTGTGCCACATCTATGGTGCATTCTGAATAAATGAATTAAAACCCGTTTAACAAAACATCTTTACTTAATTAGCTGCTCACTCTGAATCTTAATTATACTCACAAGCATGATTCAGATCACAAATGATTTATAATCAAAACAAATTCTACAATAAACAAACATAAAACCTACCTTCTTCAATACCAGCAAGAATATTTACTGTGCTTAACGTTACTCAGTATAAAAGTATCACGAATTAAGAATGGTTAGCACCCTATAGAACTTTGTCGTTTCTCCTGCAATACTGTACAGCACTGAGTAATATATTGGTGCATTATATTTAAGAATATGACCACCCCCAGTGACCCATCTAACTCTCTCTCCCTGTAACTCGGCTAGTTACACATTTTAAAGCCTTCCCTTGCTTAGATTAACAGGAGAATGCTGGTAGTGCATGGGTTAAAACTCTGTTCCTGGCGTCACATGATCTCAGTCTGCTTAGTAATTTTAAATCTTGTCAGCTGTTCTCTCCTGAGCTAATAATAACCCAGGATCCCCTCCCCTTCGCCACAGGCTCTGCATTCTGCCCCTCTCATGCTGTGCACTGCATGGCCCAGTAGGCATTTGATTTACATAAAATCACAGAGTTCCAGCCTTTGCCACGGTAACCGAAAAGACAGCACACCACAAACACCAACATTTTACCTGACCAGCTTTTAAGGACCCTTTGTCTTGCAGTGGTACGCTATCTTTCACGTATAGTTTTTAGACAGCTATACTTCTGAAAAATTACATCTATTCTAAATTTCATTTTCAATAGTTTAATTGGCAAGCATGATTTCTGTCCCTTTGTACTATGGATCAAAAATAATCCTAATTGTTTGTCATTTAATGGGAAGCTCAGGGTGGAGTTGCCCTTTATAATTCCTTATGTGGACTGCAGCATGGATGTTTGGAAAATAAAGATATCTATGTTACAATTTTCATCTGCCCTGAAACCTTTATAAAAAAATGTTTCCTCCAGAACCAATTTTAAGTGCTATTTGGGCTATGATATTTCTTTTCTCCTTACAATGTGGTAAGATATACTGATACTTTATAAATATCATAAAAACGACACTGCAAAGCTAAAAATCCAGGTGAGGCAGTGACACGATCAACCACTCTTTAACAAGTAATTTCGAAAATGAGAGGGTGGGTCCTTCAAGACAAAAAGGGTCTGTGCATGCAAATAAAGGTCATGCTTAGGAGTTCTTATGTGAGGTGTGTTCTATTACTGAATTAGATGACCCCAATACAAAGATATACCATGTAAAATCTTCTGACAGGGCACGTAATGGCGACACAAAAATGCTTATACTAACATCACAGATGTGAATTTGCTATTTGGCCATCCTCTTCTTGCTATACAAACTTCCACACTTTTTGGTAGGCTGCCTACTAGATGTGACACCCCTAACAGGGATTTGATTCCAGTGAGCCTGTCTAGGTTGGTCGGTAATAATATTCTTTTAAATGGTGTTCCAAGTTCAATAGGATTGGGGTAAAAGCTCTGTACAGGCTAACTATATCCTTCCTCACCAATCTCTACAAACTAAGTGTACTCACACTGCATTTTTCGTCATGGGGACATTGTCCTTTTTAAGCAAGAAAAGGACCTTCAAAACTTTTGGTGGAGTAATGGTTTGGGGCATTTTTTTCCCACCCCTCAAACTAGAGGTGGTGCTCTACAGTTAGCCAGGTTCCATTCTCCTGGCATCCACAAAGCGAATAGTAATTTGTTGGACTGTAAGACAAAGTGTGATTCATCATTAGAGAATACACTGAACAGCCACAATATTGTGCATGACCCCTTTGTGCTGCCAAAAAAACTGATGCGTTGAGTTATCGACTCCACAAGACCTCTGAACGTGCCCTGTGGTATCTGGCACCAAGACATTATCAGCAAATCCTTCAAGTTGCAGGGTGATGCCTCCATTGAACGGGTTTGTTGTTCCAGCACATCCCACAGATGCGGATTGAGATCTGGGGAATTTGGAGGCCAAGGCTACACCTTGGAACACTCTGTCGTGTTCCTTAAACCATTCTTGGAAATGTTTTGCAGTGTGGTAGGGTACATTATTCTGCCATCAGGGAAGATTGTTGCTATGAAGGTGTATAAATGGTCTGCATCAATCTCTAGGTAAGTGGTACATGTCAAAGTAACAATCACGTGAATACCAGGACCCAAGGTTTCTCAACTGAATATTGGCCAGAGCATAACAATGCCTCCTTCTCATAGTGCATCCAGATGTTGTGGACTACATCTCCCATAATATTATTCACTTCAGCTGTCAGTGGTTTTAATGTTGTGGCAGATCAGTGTACGTTTCACTGCTCCACAGTCTAATGGCAACAAGCTTTACACAATGTTTAGTGCTCACTCAGCCATCGAAACCCATTTGACAATACTTACTGCTGACAGTTGTGCTGATGTCACTTGCTAGACAGTTTGGACTGTTGCAACAGAGATCAGGGTTTTATTTATTTTTTTACTTAATAGGCATGTAGGAATCCAGTTTTGTAAGCTTACATGGCCTAACCTGTTGGGGCCGAGCAGTCATTGCCCCTAGACAATTACAGTCAACAATAATAGCACTTACAGTTGACCAGAGAAACTCTTGCATGGTAAGCATTTGACAAATTGACTGGTTGGGTAGGATATATCTAATAATGGAAAAGGGGGGGTGGAAGCAAAAACCTCTGCTGCATCAGCAGTTGTACTGCCAATGTTGGTGTATGAGGATCACACGTCGTCATGCATGAATTTTATATTTGTCAAACATTCTGCCAGATACCAAAATCCACTCTTTAGAAAGATTGACCACATTATAATCTATGGCTATAGAAAGTATTTTGTGTATCGACTAAAGTCTCCCCCCTACCTCCTAAACACACGCTTTAAACTCTTGACAACAGGGATGCGTGCTCCAGCTCAGAGTACATTATTTTGCAAAAAAATAAAATTAAAATTACAGGATACCACCTAAATGTAACCCAATATCTTGCAAGCTATTTATATACAACTTCACAACAATGACGTCATGTCTGTATTAGCCAATAAGTCCAAGAAAAACCCACCTCTATACTCAGAATACTGTACTAAGCAGAATCCTGTACGTTCTCAGTAGAGCATGAATGCAACTTTCAGGATCCAAACACCAGTAATATAGAATACAACACGCTGTCGCTATGAGCAAGATCTTTATAGAAACAACTATGTCGGGCTACAGAAAGCAAAAACAGTATATGCATAACAACGGCTTCTGGTAGCAGACTCAAAAACTGGACCAAAGGCTATACTGTACTAACATACCTCCATACAATCAAATGCTTTCTCTACTAAGCATTTCAACATACTGTGTGCAAACACTATGTTTATTTACCTTACCCAACTCCTCCTGTGCAAAACTTCAAAGCACCTCCATAGAACGTACAACCACACCAACAAACCCATTAAAGAAAACCTACAACCCAACGCATCTATAGAACAACCTTTCTTTTCAAGTTATTTTTATAGAACAATCTTTTATAACAATTATATATAAACCAACACCAAAAAAAAAATATAAAAAAATTAAAAAAAACACACACCACTAAACAAAACACACTTTATAAAATATAACCTTAACAAAAGACAAATCTTTCTGCAAAAGAATGGCTGCAAGTTGCAAAGTCCAAACACCAAGCCCTTCTTTTAGGCTGTTTTTATTTATCTTGTTCTATCCATTTCACAGTACCGTAGATTAAGCATGCTCTTTGCAAATTAAACTATCACCTATTTATCCAAAATCGCTGCCTTATATTACGCTCCGGCTTTCAGATTGTGTAACACTTTCTTTTTCTCTGTTTTAAGTTAGCGAAGCAGGGTGTCACCTCATGGAGAAAATGGGTTAATGTGTTTCGTGTTTCCTCTGGACAGAGGATGGGGGTAGGGAAGCCTAGGGCCAAATCTGGGTTACACTGTTCAGAGGAATCCACAGTATTGTGCAACACTGAACACGCCTCCTCCACTGTACGCCCTAATAACCCCTTCACCAACTCCAGCGAGCAGATTCCTACCCATTACCAGCCAGTTTAACCACAAAATGGCAGGTAGCTGCTTAGAGATCTTCGTGTAAGCAGACCAGATTATAACTGTATTTACAGAATGGAAATTACCACACAGTGTGTGTAGGAGAGACAATCAGTGTATGTATACAAAGCATTGTCTGTGATTATTAGTGACAAGTACCTGTATAAAGTACTATGTATGCATGCAGAGCGGTAGATATGTGTACACAAGGCCAAGTCTGTGATAAGTAGTGACAGGTACGGTTTACAGAGCACTGGGTATTCATGCAGAGCAACATGCATGTACATACACAAACATGTACCTGTATACAGAGTGCTGTGGATGTATACAGAAAGGTAGGTGCCAGTTTATAGAGTACTGTACATTCCCAGTGAATGCAGAACAGCAGATACCTGTATACAGAGCAATATGTATATGCAGAGATACAATAAGAGCAAAATGTACACAGTTTGGCAAGTGCCTGGATAAATAGAGTAGGTAAAGCATGTGATACATGCAGTACTGCAGACAGAGATCTGCAGTGCTGCATATACCCACAACACGGGCCAGTGTGCCATGCAGAAAGGAAAATCTGAGTATACTGAGTGTGTGTGTATCAAGAGGCTGGTCCTTGCATACAGATCAGTTGGTACCGATATAGAGCTGAAGATAGCGGCTTTCAAGCACTGTGGATGCAGAGTAGCAAGTTCCCACATACAGTGCACAGCAGGCAGTTGCATACAGAAGAGTGTTCTACGATTCAGAGTTGAAGGAAAAATGAATATGAGAACACTAAAAGTACACAAAGCATACCTGTAGAAAGATCACCGTGTGCATGCAGAGTAAAACGTGTATGGAGAGGATGCTGTGCGTATGCGGTACAGCAGGTAGTTGTATACAGAGCTTTGTCGTAATTGCAAACATGTATTTGAATACAGAGCTGTGTGTATGCAAAGCTGCACGCATCAGTATACACAATGTGTATGCAAAACTGCAGGCCCAGTGCATACAACATTGTATGTTTATTCAGTGCTGAAGGTACTTGTATGTATTATTGAGTGTATGCAGGGCACCAGTTTCCTGTATATAGGGCAGTTTACTGATATAAAGAAGTATGTTCCTGCATATAGAGCAGCAGCTTCATGTATACCAAGCAGCAACATGCTCCTGTATATGGAGTGGTGAGTACACGCATAGAGCAGCAGGTTCGTGCATACATGTCAGTGTGTGGGCGCACAGTTCCTACATACGGGTCAGTGTGTGAATGCACACAGACGTATGTGTGTGTATATACACACACACACATATACACACACACACAACGTAGAAGGTTCCTCCATGCTGACCAGTGTGCAAGGAATAGGAGGTTCCTGTATGTGGAGCTGTGAGTGTGTACAAAGCAGCAGATACCCATATATGGAGCAGTGAGTATGTATACAGAGCAGCAGACGCCTGCATATATCAGCTGGTTAGGGCAGTGGTAATGTCAGTAAACTCAGATTTGAAACCCAATCAGACCATCTCACCAGTAAGTGTACCTGAGCCAGACACCCAATTATAAAATAACCTGCCTACTTCAAACTCTCAATGTATGAGCTCAATTGAGCTTCATTGTAAAGCACTGTGAAAAATGTTGATGATTAATAATAATGCAGATCAGCAGATAGTGTGTAGTGTTTTATAAAAAGCATTGGGTACCTGCATACAGACGTGCAGATGAAAATCAGCTGATGCATTCGGAGTATTGGACAAAAGTGCAGATTATATTTTGTGCAGAGAGGCAAATTAATGTGTTCCCTGTGCAGATGTTACCTTTTATAAAGAGCATAACACTGGGTACCTACATACAGAGAACAGGTACCTTTACATAGGGCACTGCATTTCATAACAGCATGTACCTGCATAGAGCAGTGTGCAAAAGTAATATTGCATGGGCTCACTAACCTAAAAACAACTATATAGTTTAGACACCAGGGGCTCTCTTGCCTGTACTTAATAAAGCATGATAAAACTACACTTAATAAAGCAACAGTAGAGGCTCTCTAGCTAGCCCCAAACATTGTGTGCAGATAGCTGGAGTGCACTAACCTATAATAAATACAGAATGAAGACAGCAAGTACCCGTATAAATACCAGTGAATTCAAAAGAAAATGATCGCAATCCTACATGCAGACAGGTACCTGTGTACAGAGCAGTGTACGACTATAAAATAACAGCCTGCACCAAAGTCAGTGTGGGCTCCCTAGCCAGCACTGAACTCGACAGGCCAAGAACAGAGGCATATATTCTCATACATGTAACACCACGCTTTTTATTGCCTGCACAAAAGCAATGCAGAACCTGCTGGCCAACCAACCCCCCACCAACACCTTCCTGATGCCCTCTGTCAAATATGGAACAAGCAAAACAAACGTATTTAAATTTTCCTGTTTTGATAAAATATTTGAGAATTTACATTTCAACAGTTAAGAGCCACACAGATTCCACTCCATGTTCACATTAAAAATGACTTCAAACCATTTCATATGTATCATAAAGTGACCCTGTGATGTAAAAAGTAAAAAAAAATTAAAATGGTGTCTGGTATACTGCAATCTCACTGTGCTTTAATAACGAGCACTGGCTGGCAGATATATTGTAGAACGCAGAGAATGCGAAAATGCTACCCATGTACTTTGTATCTAGGCCAGTGCAGCAATTACGCTTCTGTAATAATCAGGAGAAGCAATGATGAAAGGATGTACTGTCTCTCTAAATAAATGGTTACAGGGGTCTTAATAATGATAGAATCCCCCATTCATGTGCAGGATAAGTGGGGCTGTCTTTACAAAATGTGCACAGATTGGCTGCTAATAGATTCTCCTTCCAATGGAAATTAATTCAGAAGCATAATCAGCAGTTCCCAGGCAGAACAAGAAGAGAGTGATGTAAAAATAGGTTGCCTATTGGTTGGTGTGCACCCTGCATAGCCCTGCTTGGATGCTGGAGCTGCAGCTCTGCTATTTTTCTCAGACTTAGGGTGTGATATACGTAGCACTGCATGCTATTCCAATCAGTATCAAAGCGTTATTTTGACTGTAAATGAAATGGGGTAGCTGTAGAAAAGATGGCATTTGACCGTCAGAGAGCGGTTGGGGAAAAAAATATCTGCAATATCTGCACTAAAGGAGAGATGGGGTGAATGTCGTTATGGCAAGAAGAGGCATGTGCAGTTTTCAGAAATCCCTTTATGTCGGCAATGAAAATGCTTGGGGTAGGTAGCAAAAAGAATTGCCAAAAACAGAGTTAAACAGTGGATTTTATGACGATACTCTGTTCGGTAGCGCAAAGAGTGGGTTGGCTGTACCAGGGAGGGTGATAAACGAACCATTGCATTCCCAAAGGGGAAATAAGAATGGTAGCAGCTCAGCAAGAGAGGCACAGGGAACAGATAGCTCACGTATATTAGGTTTATCGCCTGTTTTATCACTTGTAAAATTCATATAAAAAGGCACAATATTTTGGGACCGTTACATTTGAGCATAATGAGGCAAGTAAGCCATGGCTACGTACTAACATTTATAAAGCTTTCTTTATCCCTTTCACAGCTTTGAATTTTTGCTAAAACGACCCCATCGTAGCTACCTTGAAAACGGTGTAGACATTGAGGATACCTGAAAATGTTAAGACGAATTAAGAGAAAAATACATGAATCATCCATTCAAGGCACTCCTATGAAACCGTGTATCCAATATTTTACAGAGTAAAGTTACCCAGAAATCACAAAACTGGGTTATAATATTTAGTTTTATCAAAAGAGTACCTATATCAGCAATACTGAATATTTCCATGTGACCATAAAGTTGCAGAAAACAGATCATAAACTGTTAACACCAATGATCTTTTAGGAGTATTCTTGTGCTTTGTGAGGAATATTTTCCATTTTTATGTTTGTAACAAATATTTACCAAGAACGGCTTGCTTGTTTTGCATTAATACCAGCGGATACCCTTAAGAGTGTGGGGTGCATGCCCCCGCCCCACAGTCACAGTTTATTAAACCGCTCACCTCTGCAGGAAGGACGGATGACGTATTCTCTCTACCCCCACACAATGGCTTACTATACCAGTCTAGTTCTCTTTCCGTACAAGCACAGACATGTAGTCAACGTGTTCTATACTAATGCAAGGAGCACAAATTCAAATACTGTACAAAGGGGATCTCCCTTTCTACAGACAAGTTTGCTCTAGACTAGATTATCAGCCCGAGGGGCGGGAGTTTAGCAATATTGTAAGCTCTTTAAAGTAGGTACGTCATCTGCCATTCACTAAAAGCATGCACCCTACGCAGACTTCTAAACTCATAAAATGCTGCGCATAGTGTTACACATTTCTGTTTGGACCAAGTACATAAGGTAAAGAAAGATACAACAAACATCAAGGGGAGATTAGGAGCTTGCCACGCTACCATGTATTGGAAAATGGAATCTATCGAAATTGTGGGGGAAGCAGACCTTGAAAAATCTGTTGGCAGGAAGGGGTTATATGCACACATCGCCTGCAGGACAGGCACTGGGAGTGGGGGGGGGGAGGGGAGAGGGTGAGAGGAGTCGGAAAATGCTTAGTCAGCGTCTGGTTAAATGCGCTCACAGCAATACTGCCCAATACAGCACCGTAAGCCCCCACCATGTCAGTTACTGCCTGGACAATAGCAAAAATACATATTGGTTGCAAAAGACGGGGAGCTAACATTACAGTCTGTTAGGGCGTTATGAAAAAATTCTGAGAATTTCCCCCCCAAAATAAATATATACACACACACACACACCTCACATGTTCTTCGTTCCCTCTTCTCTCTCTCCATGTTCCTCTGTTTACACCATTGTTTGCTGGGTTTTCCGCTGTTCATTGATGGCCAGGAATTTTATATATATTAAATTTAATTCCTGGCCTTCAATGAACAGAGGAAAACCCAGCAAACTATGGAGTAGACAGAAAAAATTGTGGTCAGAGGAACATGGAGAGAGAAGAGGGAACGAAGAACATGTGAGGAGCTAGATCTTTAATGCAGGAAAGAAAAGTGGAGTAGAGGAAAAGGAGACGATAAAGACCCACAGAAAGATCTGGAGATGGTCAGGTAGACAGCGGGTCCAAACCTTACAGAGAGGCTTGGATGCAGTCAGAGACAAAAGGCTAAAGTCGAACATATTTAAGGAGAGAAGAGGTCCAAAAGGCAGAGAAAGTTCAAAAGGCAGTGTGAAAGACATGAGTAACAGAGAGAGGTCGGAATACAGTTTGACAAGAGGCTCAAAAGGACAATGAGAGGCCAGAATACAGTCAGAAAGACAGGAGGCCTAAGAGGCAGAGAGAGGACAAAACACAGAAATATGGCCATTTGCTGCCAGTGGTCCAAGATTCAAAGGGAGGCTGGAACGCAGCCAAAGAGAAAAGGCTAAAGTAATAGAAGTCTGTGGCAGAGAGAGGCCTAAAGTCATTGAGACAGGAGGTCCAAGTAACAGAAAGAAGCCAGAATGTAGTCAGATTAGTCAGACATTCCAAAAGGCCATGAATCAGGAAGTAAATAATGATCATGCAGCACAAGGGTAAAATATTTAGAACTAAAACGATTTCCCTATTAGCATATGCATAATGCAAACTAAGCTCAGAACAAACGCTGGAAGCATGGTATGAATTAATTTTAATAGCATATCAGAGATGAACTTCTGTACGTGGGATTAAGGCCAAAGCATTACTGTCTCTGATGTGCTATTAGACATCATTTGTGTTTGTTGCAGTTTGATCTTGATACAAACAGAATCTAGGACACAATAACATAGTACACAAACAGTGTCAAAGAAACACCAATACAAAAAGGATACTAATATAAACTCAATGTTTTTTTCCTACACACTGCTTCTCCTCAATCAACCAAATGAGAACAGGGCTGTCGAAAGGATTTACACTATATCATAAATTTTATTTTATAGAAAAAAAAAATTATTATAATACACCCAAAGCTTCAGTCATTAAAGAGACAAAACATGTGCAAAATGGAGGATGGCAGAGATTGAGCAAAGAGTGAAGTCAGAGTGGAGATAGAGAGGTGCGATACAAAAAGGAAGTTAAAGCAGAGGTAGGAGAGGCAGCAGAGAGCAGCAAAACAGAGATAGCAAAGAAAGGACAAGAGAAATGTAAGAGCAGATGGGTTAATCACCATTTAAGCAGCAACAGCTTAGCAAGCAGACTAAAGAGCCATAAGATACAGGTGAAAAGAGATTTCCATGATTTAGGCTAGTTATTATGGGTGAGTGTTGACCAAAGGGTGCTCAACAAGATACAAGAGACTAGCGAACCAACCTAGGTGTGTGCAGAGATATGAAGAAATGGGTGACGAAAAAAAAAAAAATACAGGTGGGTGATAGAGTGGAGAGCTTAAAAAGACAGGTTAACAAACAGAATGGCAAGGGGGAGTGAGTGAGCAGATTGTGATGCTGTGAGAAAAGATGAATAGAATGTAGAGCAAGCTGTATTAGAAAGAGTAAGCAAACAAGCAAGGAATGAGCAGTGAGAAGAATCGGTGTGCAAAACACAAGAGGCAGTAGAGCAAACTTCACAAAGGTTCAATGGAGGAAAAAAAAAAAGCAGGGACAGATAAAAGTCAAGGCAGCAAAAAGCAAGGACAGAGATAGGGTAAGATTAAAATACACAGAGGCAGTGAGAGAGGGTAAGGAGTGAAATGCTCAGTCAGGAAATCAGAAGAGAACAAATCTAAAAAGGCAGCACACACCCATCTTAGTAATGACAACACACTGTAATCTGATAAAAACCAGGAACTATTCACAGAGCAGTAATATGAATCAGATTTATTACAATGTAATCAGCTCCAAGGCACATAACAGTGGTCTGTTATACTACAGAAATGTATTCTGGACAAAGAAAAGTTTATCCCACCCGAAATGTACAGACAGCAACTTGCTCTACTGCTCAAAGCGCCCGTGCAAAAAAAAAAAGGAAAAATAAAATTAAATGTGGAACCCCTTACTGGCCAAGGGACAGATCAATTACTGCCAGCATTCAACAGGTTAAACCAATTAGACCTGCAGCAACCTGCAATATGTTAATTACACTAGATTATAAACACCCACCCGCATCAGGGCAAAGCTGAAAAGGGGAAAATAGTGTGACGTGGTACAAAGACACCAGCTAAAGGGAAAAAAAATATATATAAAAAAAAAAAAAAATCCCACCCCCTCCCTTTATTCTACATACTAAACTGTATTTCTTTACGGTCTGCCCCGGGGCCTGGAGAGAAGTGCGTACATTTACAAAAAAAATTACACACCAGCAGCATCGCTAAGTGCTATAAACCTTTACCCAGTGGTCACACTGCCACAAAAGCGGTTAAAAAAAATAAAATAAATGAAAAATAGAAACAACAGATAATATCCCGCATTACCCAAATATGTCACCTGTTTCACTTTTCAAATGAAGTTTACATTACCAGTGCTTCAATGTACTGAAACACAACAAAAATGGTCTGTGCATAAGACTAAAGTTCGTGTGACCGTCCACCCAAGAGTCAATTTATACATCGACAGGAACTGCTTGCACCCCTTGTCCTGCCTTGTCCCTTGGGGGTTTATACACATTTTTAGGGCCTCCTGGTTCTGTCCCACAGGCAGGTTTTGATTTCGTGTTAATTACAAATTCCAGCAAGTTATTCCTTGAAGGGCAAACATTACAAAGTGTTATGTTTCATGGTTATGCAAATCCAATCACCCCCCCCCCACAGACTTCTCCACCACATGTTGAGGAGCACTGGGACCACATTTTAATATTTGTAAAACAGTAAGGGATTCCTCAAGTACTGGAACAAAACAGATTTGGGTTGTTGTGGAGGTGCCCAATTACATTCTCAATCTCAAAGCCATGTGTCCCCTTTACATTGGGCCCCATCCTCAGAGCTTGTCCTTGGGCTGTAGGTTATAAATGAGGAACTGTACAGATACATTAATGAGACAAGGAATCCTTTGCAAGATAATGTGTCTATGCCCACTTGGCGCCCATTTTAAGGGTCTCTTTCCTTTTTCACCTTTACATCCCCTGCCAGGATGGTGGCAATTTCCCCCTGCATAAATGCCCAGGGCACATTGGAGCCAACCAGTGGGCACTTCTCACCACTGGGGCAGTAGACCTCACCTGTTGCCCCCTGAGCTTTGATACTTTCACGGGAGCAGGGGAAGCAGAACTTGTGGCTGGGAACAGATGGGCACTGGACAAAATGTGTATCCTCCAGACGCTCATGGCAAATTGTGCAGCAGAGGGGGCCACTGTTGGCCATGGGTGAGTCAGGAATGTTCTGGGGGTGCACTTGGTCCATTCCCGGGTGAGAAGCTCCCCCAGTAGGTGCCACTTGCAGACTTAACTCTGTAGACCCAGCACCATTTCGAGAGTTCAGGCGCCTCTGTCCAGTGACAGAGGCAGGAGATACCGGGCTACTGCTGTTCCTGCGGGCAGATGAAGTGGTGGAGTGCACTGCAGGTCCCCCACCCGACTGTCCATCCTTAGGGGAGTGAGCTGTTCCCAAAGTGTCTGTCACAGACTGCAAGGCTGCCATAGGTGATGGGCCATTAGGAGCACTCTCAGGTGGAGTGGTTCGTTGTGGGTGCCCAGGGCCAAGAGGTGGAGGTGGGGGTGGCGGAGCAGGGCCACCGTAGCCTGAAGCTGAAGACGAGGAGGATGGTGTTCCCCCAGCAGCTGCTAAACTTAGTTGTTTTATACCATCTGGCTGACCAGTTATCCACATTTGTCCTTCAGCTGAATCTGGTTCTGGAGAAGCCTTGCGTTTCCGTGCACCCCCTCTGGCCTGACTGCTTCCCCCAGCTGAAGAGGCGGCAGCAGCTGCAGCAGCCAGGGCACGTGGTAGATTGACCAGAGCACTGGGCAACATGGGACAGCCAGGGTCAAGGTAGGGTTGTGGTAGCATGTCCGCTCCTACCATCTCTTTAAAGAAACGCACCGACTCTGGAAGCAAGTCTCCCAACAAGCGCCAGTCTCCAGAGCCATGCTTTTTCTCATACTCCAAATATTTAAAGCCAGAAGAAAGGCCACGGCCAAAGTCTTTCATGCAGTCTTGATACATCTGCTTAGCTACGCCAGAAGCAGAGCTGAACACGTTAAGCGAGCCACTGGGATACTCCACAAAGAGTTTGAGCTCATAATCCAGCAAGCCGGGCTTTGATGCAGCGTCAAACGCAAATACTCTCCCCAACAAAGTGTGGTCTTTCTTGAAGCGGACGTCAAACGGGGTGCAACTAGACAGCGTGAGCAAAGCGTCTCGCACAGCCTTGGGTTTCCCAGCCCACTCTTCTGTTCTGTTACGGAGACTCTCTGTCAGCTCGGAGAGAGCCTCGCTGTTCCTCTGCTTCTCCTTCAGCTCCCTTTCTTGGTCGGTGCTGGACACAGACCCCGGACGCTTGGGATCGCCAGACGACGAGGCCGTGGGTGGCGGCGGGCCGCTCAGGCCACTGGAGCCAGCGGGACCTCTTCCCAGGACGTGCGGGGCCCCCGAAGAAGATGCTGTTGGGGGTCCGTTTAACAGAGTCTGAGGGAGCAGGTTTGGGGGGACACTCAGCTGACTGGGCCCCAGCTGGGGGATCAATCCGTGGCCAGCCCGCCCTCTCGAGTTGGGGCTCTGTCGGTTGAGCTCGGGGGGTCCATCCTCCCCCGGTTTGGGGAAGCCATTGAGGCCATTGGGGAGCCTGGCAGCAGTCAGGGTGTACTCGAATCGCCCCCTCTCGCTGGACAGCCCGTATCTCTCCAGCCCCGAGGCGGCGGCAGCCTTGCTGGCCCCGTCCAGGTGGTTGAGCTGGGCTGTGTCCTTGGCGGTCAGGGCTGCCTGCACGGCCGGGTGCTGCTTGGCGGCCCCGCCGGCTCCTGGCCCCTGGGGCCCCGGGGAGCGCCCATCTTGGAAGCCGTGGCTGCGTTTGAGCTGGCGGGCCGTGTCGATGACGAACTCGATGCGGTCGGCGCCCTCGTAGTTGACGCAGCCCCGGCACACGGGCTCGGTGAAGTCCCAGATCATGGCCCACGGCATGCGCGGCAGGTCACACAGGTAGCAGGACTGGCGGCGTGACGAGGAAACCTGCGCTGCCGACATGCTGGCTGTGTGGGGAGGGGGAGGAGGAGGGGGGGGTGTCTCGGTGGGTCTCTCACAGCTCCCGGTACACAGGGCTCTCTCTCCGCTCCCAGCCGGGCGTGCTCTCTCTCTCGCTCTCTCTGCGCTTCTCTGCAAGCCGCAGCCCGCCCGGAGCGCGCACACGCGTGGACGCGCCCTCTCCTCTCCGTCACGCAGGGCTGGGATTCCGCGCGCGCACGAGGGCCCGGGGGGGAGAGAAAGAGGAGGGCGTGCGCGCGCGCCGCCAGCGTGACGCGGCTCTCCACACCAGCCGAGGAATGCCACCTGGCCGTGACGTCACGCGCGCCGTAAACACCTGAGACTCGGTCAACCAAACCAATTCCTACGCGCTTAGAGACGTCTCGACAAATACTAGGAGCGGCGAGGCTCCGGTGTTTGGAGCTCTATGTCACAAACATGTTGCGTCACTGAGCGAGTCAGGCGCATGCGCAGCCTTCCTTGGCTATTTTTTTTTTTTTTTTGCTGCCTGCAGTTGTGGAGCTCACGTGTGTGTGTGTGACTGGAGCCTGCCTCTTGTTATGTACACATGCTGACATGTATATGTGGGGAGGGAATAAATAAAATAAAATAAAAAGTCAATGATATCTCCAAGCAGAGCTGGAGCCACCTGCGCCATGTGTTCACAGACTGCACAGAATGGCCACCCGCTGTTGGGCAGTGCATGAATGGCTCAGCGTGAGGAACGAATGTTGTCATAAATTACGAAATCGTTATTTCGTAACAAAAATCGGCTTTCTATAAAAAAAAAATAAATAAAAAAAATGCACCGTGCCTCATTAAAAACAGCGGCTGGGCTGTAGCCAGCTTCCCATCTTAAAGAAACATTCCGATAAGATTGTAACGCTCTCTATAAAAACACCAAAAAAAATAGCAATAGCCGTAAACTTATAATAAACCGTGTCCTGGAACGTGTTTAGATTGTTTGCACAATCATAAAAACAGAGAAGCATTAAAGACATAGGGTACACGGGCAATTAAGCTATGAAAGCAATATGAAAAGTTATAGTCGTGTGCCGCGTCCATTGTGCCGTTCATCATATTTATAAAGAAAGTGAAGTCCTTCGAATTTCTAAGGTTTTTAATGAGGAAGCAATTCTAGTGGCTAACAGGCACTAGACGTGCCGTTTCAGACAAAAAAACAGAAACTTTTTTTTTTTTTTTTTAAACGAATGAAACTTCCCAAGAAAAGGGCAGGCTGTCCTTTGAAATAAACAGGCTAGTCACTAATATGGGATCTTCGGGGACCATTTGTGACAATGACTGTCACTTCTCAGAATTTCATTAAAGGGACACTATAGTCACCCAGACCACTTCAGCTCAATGAAGTGGTCTGGGTGCCAGGTCCCTCAGCTTTTAACCCTTCAAATGTAAACATAGCAGTTTCAGAGAACCTGCTATGTTTACATTTGGGGTTAAGCCAACCCCTACTGGCTGTCTTCCTGACAGTCGCTAGAGGCGCATCTGATTTCCTATGGACTGTTTGAATGTGCGTGCCGCACTTGCCACGCATGCGCATTCCGCTCCACTCGGGAGCTGACGTTGGCGGGGGAGGAGAGGTCACCAGGGCCGCGGGAGCCCGGCGCTGGATAAAGGTAAGCTGTTGAAGGGGTTTTAACCCCTTCAGCACAAAGGGAGGGGGGACTCTGAGGCTGAGGGTCCCCCAAGGATTATATAGTGTCTGACACTATAGTGATCCTTTAAGATATAAACTTTGTGAAATACTCATACTGACTGTGTTGGAATTCCAGTGGCATTCCAATGCAACTCAAAAATGCCATAAGACAAAGTAGGGAATTAATATTTCCACTACACTCATTGGCTCTGGTTTTCCAAAACATTTGATGTGCTTTGTTTTTGTGAGGTTTGCCAGTGACAAGTAATAATGGGGTTTGATATGAAGCCTTAATGCTACACAGAAGGGTGATATGTGCGCACACAAACACTGGAAGTGATGCCTACCCTCCAAACATTAGAAGATGTAAGGTATCTTAAGAATGGCAGAAGGATGGATGTCAACATGCAGCCTTGTCAGATAATGGCAGTACATATACAGTTCTCTGCTAAAGCTCTTTGGCATATACAGAAATATCCTGCAATGACCTTGTGCAGCAGCAAGACGGCAGAGATAAAATGTGTAATTGAGGTTCAAAATCAAGATTGTTCTGGTCTTATTCGCGAGTTCTGGAATCTACTGAACGTGAACAGTAAAAATGAAGGGTGGTATGAATATGCATATCGTTATACTGAAGTTAATACATTCAGAAGATTATTCACAAAATACCAAATTTTAGCAAATTAAATCCAAATGTAAAATAAGACAAAAAAAAATAAAATAGCTGATTTGGAGAAATTCTCCAACTCAGCATTAGTCACAACATGGCTATTTTAGACTCAGTTTTTCACTTCCATTCAGATGTCAGTGACAGAGCTAGAGCTCTGGGAACAGACAAGGGCCCAGCCTACCTAAGTGTTTATCTATACCTCTTTATGGCTCTAATGAGATCCATCTGAAAATAGCAGGAATGCATTTAGTTCAGTTCTGTTAGCATTCACTTGGTCATGAAAACAGTTCACTGCAACTGACTGCAGGAGAATTGAGCCAAATACAAGCAGTTGAATTTGCAAAAGCACTATAAATACCATAACCACTTCATCTTATTGAAGTGGTTATCTTGCAAAGAGTCCTTCCCTGAAGCTTTTTATTCTTTTTGCAGTAGCATGATCTATGCACCAAAACAGGTTCACTAAGCTTGTTTTGGTGCCTACATTAAGATGTAGTGGCTGTCTAGAGGTGTCCAGGTACCATAGGAAAACAATATTTTTAATTAACGGAAAATCCCAAAAGAAGTGCTTTGATTCAATTTCCTCTCTGCAGCATATGAATTCTACATATCAGCATTTTTTTCATGTACTACCCAGCACTTAGAAGAGAGGGCTTTAATTATTATAATAGTTTGCAGTCTTCAGTCTGGCTAAAGCAGACTCTAAATTAGGATTGTTCGATTAATCATGGTTTTCTGGCATATATCATTTTTTCATATGTCTCACAGTATGCAGAATTCCCATGGTGCTGAAGGGAAAACATTCAACTAATCATTTTTGATCCTTTCCTGATTAATGAAATTCTCTCTTTCCTGCAGCATGTGAATGCTACATACTGTAGGGCAGTATTTCTCTCTAGATTTAGGATATGCATTGAGCGACATGAGCTATAACCCAAAAAGTGGAGTGAGGTATGGTTGGCAAGCTTCACTACCCCTGATGCTCTTGCATTATGGCTCTGGCAAAGCCTCAAGGGAAATGTAGTCCACAACATCTGGAGTAAAATAAGGTATGGGTGGTAATCCCCAGTGAAAGGAGTGGGTCAAGGCATGTCCAGATTTTCACCAAGCAGGGCTTGGCTATTGTACTGGTGGCAAGAGTAGGTAAACCCCAGGGCAGGGATTAGGTAATGTATGGGCATGGTGAGGTTTGAAGATAAACCACAGGGAAAACAGTGGATGAAGTATGGTTGGTAAGCCCCCAAAAATAGGGAGCTCGGTGACGTATGGTTGACTAGCTTTGGGGCAGGATGAGGAGTCACGTGTAGGTGAAGAGCTTTGAGGCAGTGTGTGTAGTGTGGTATGAGCAGTAAGTCTCAGGACTTGGTAAAGGGCGACGTATGGTCGATAGCAGCGGTTTCCAACCCTGTCCTCATGGCCCACCAAGAGTCCAGGTTTTGTCATTAAATAAATACATAAATCCTGGATTGTTGGTGGTTCATGAGGACTGGTCTGGGAACCACTTGTCTAAATAGTTCATAGGAGGGAGTGGGGTGAAGCACAACGCCCATGAATCCTAATCACGCAAAATTACATCATGAAAGCATGGAAAAAGGAAGCTACAACTCAGCTATTTGAGCGTGCATTCTGCAACTCTGTTTGCCAGTAAATGGATATGGAATAGACCATTAGTAATCCCTAAAGAGCTGCTAATGACTGACCAATGAAACTCTTTCAATAGATACCAACCCCTATATTTCTCCCTTATATTGCACTACCGCCTTATCTCCCTGTGGTGCATAATACAAAGGTCTCTGTGTTAGCTCTAACCCCCACCTCTGGAAGGAGCAGTGTTACTATGTATTTCCATGGTTATTTAGGGTTCCTATAAAACAAACCTGCATGGTGCATTTATTGCACGCAGGGGGGCTGCTCACAGCAGGACTAGCGGCAACCACGTGCGGTATTGAGAAATGATAATAGAAGTGGACCCAATAGTTCCATATCTTAATAAAGTCCACTTCAATATAGGAGAGATCAAAGATGCTTATATCAGGTGCCGTCTGGTTCCATGGCAGACGCTTGACCTGCAATACTATCTGCTGAATCGAACATTTTTGTTTGCTTTGCTTCTACACTTAGCCTTTCACTTACAAAAGGTCATCGGATTCTCCCCCCCACCCACATTCCTTTAGGACTTCCTGGAACTTTCACAGTGAACGGAAACTGAAGGTCATGGAGAGATGCATATATAAGCTGTACTCGGCTAGCTAAAGCCGAGAAAGGCCCTAAAATCTGTACTGGAGGCAAATCAGCAATTCTTTTATATTAGCTACCCTGTTTTCAGGGAGAGAAGATATTGTTTGGAATCTTCCTATTAATTCAGACACAAGGGCGGCTATGTGCTGTATGAGTCGGACATATCAGTTTCCGCACAGTTAACATTTCTATGTATTTAAAGGCACCCTGCTGGTGTGAATGGAGAACACTGCTTAGTAAACATGGCTTTGCACTGTTTATTTACATGTCAGTTAAGACAGTGGGTGCAGCATAGGGCGTGTGCACCGCATGTCCTCAGGAGTCTCTTCCTGCTGTGACGTATACATGACTCATTTGTTAATCATGACCTGGGTCTAATATAGAGGCTGGCATGAGTGTGTGGGGATGGAAGCAGTTGTGTGTATATGGGGAGGAGTGCTATGTGTCTGCACAGTGGTTGGTGAAGAGAGCTGAGCTTGCATATGGGGATGAAAAAATGTATGTGCATGCATATGGGAAGTGTGTGCGCACAAGTGAGAAAGGAAAGAGGTGTATGAACCCATGTGGGACAGTAAGAGATGTGTGTCAATACATATAGGGGAGGGAGAGTTGTGTGTGTGCATGTAGTAGCATGTATAAACGTATTAAGTTCATGGAGCTGTGTGCACAAATAAGTCTGGGGGAGGGAGGAGACATGTTTGTGTGTGTGCACATGGAAGTCTGCAAGGAGGAAATGTTTTGGCATGTGTACCATGACGTTGGGGAGAGAGGCACGCTTGAATGTGCATTTGTTTGTCATAGATGATGAGGTGTATTTGTGTGTACACATGGTGTTTGTGAAACAGAAGTATTTTTTATTTTTAAAGAACCCGTGGATTCTGGGGAGAGAGATGTATATGAAACTTTGTGGAGAGCTGCATTGTTTGTGCACATTGAGTTCATAGAGTGAAAGCTATGTTTATGCAAATACAGACATTAGGGCTTGAGAGGTGTGTGTGTGTACATGAAAATTTATTGAGAGATGTTTACGTGTATAAACGAATATTAGAGACACAGATTTGTTTGTGTGTATAAATAGTGGTCTGAGATGAAGAAATCCGATTGTGTGTACACATTGAGGGATGTGGAGAACCATGTGATAGTGTTGTGTGTGTGAGGCACATGTCATTCAGCAGGTTTTGGCAAAACAATTAAAAAAATAAAATGTTGCCAAACCAGAATACTACTAAAAAGCATTACTGAGTTTGAATACTATTCTACAGATCTCTATGTTTTGCCTTTAACATGAACTCCTATCTGTGCAGAATTTAGCTGACGTTATACATTTAATAAGTTACACAGATCCTCGGTTAAGGATTTGCAGTTGAGTATGGTGATCTGTCTGAAGGTCATGTATGCAGTGTATGCCTATGGGGGAGGTTAGCATAACTGAATGCTTTGAGGTATTTACACAGGTGCGTGTACAAGGGGAATTCACACTGCTTGTCATTGCAATGTCACGCATGTTACAGATATTAGAAGCTTTTGCTTGTCGATAGCTATTTTCGATGGCTCTGCAGCGGAATGAACGTTAGGGTTATTTATGCAATTTATTTAGTGTGTAAGGGAGTATTTACAGAATGCCCTAGAATATTTTCATGGTTTATGGGGGCTTTGCCTAGTTACACTATTTGTGTGTAGGGGTATATGCACTATGAGGATTGCTGGCACTGTAGCCATAGGGAGTGGGGGGCACTGCGGCAGTGTGCGTGACAGAGTCTCACTGTGCAGTGGGGGTTGCAGAGTTAAATGCAGTGTCTCATGTAAGCTGTACATCTCTCAGCTTAGTGTGAATAATAAATACAAGGAATGTGTGTGTGTCTGTGACTTCACAACATGTACACTGACTCATAATTCCTGCTAGGTGCGGATCTCTTTATGCTTTGCCAGTGTTGTGTTATTGTGTCACATTGTGCTGGGCTCTCCGCCTTTGGAGTTTGGGCAGCCATCCAGCAAAGGATTCTGGGACACAGGGTCAGTTCCCAGTCTTGGCAGAGGGCCAGGCGCTCCCCTCCCCTCACGCACATACACCCCATGGATGCCTTTCTGTGTTGCCATGGAGACCTGGAGTTAAGCGCAATCTGCCTCCACCCCTGAAACACACAGGAATTTAACCCCTTCCAACCTCACGTCTGTAAAGCCAACCATGTAGATTGCTACATGTTGATTTGTAAAATATTTTTTACCAGGAGGGATACATTGAGATTTCTCTTGTTTTCAAGTATGACCTGGTGTATTAATGTCCGGGTAGCAGCAACATGTCACCCTGCCCTGAACAGTATTCTAGAAACTTCCTTAAAGATACAGTTCCCCTAATCTAACAAAACGTGTCTCTAACATAGTCTCTAACATAGGAACCTCGTGACACGTTAACCCTTTAACCTCTGACCAGCATGGCGACATGCTAAATTATTTCACAGTAGGAAGCGGTTAAATTGTGCTCTTGTCTCAGTCTGACTACACTGGCGCCATGTATAGGGTCCTGAGAGAGCAGTGAGCGGGGTGTTATAACCCATATATGTATCTCACATGACCAATTGTTATTGCATATTATTATCATAGCTGCCATCTAGCAAACAGCTTGAAAATACACCCAGAATGCTCTGAAGAGAGTAGATTGAGAGTCAGAGAGAGGAGGGGGAGAATCACACAGGGAGGGAGGTGAGCAGGGAGAGAAACAGAGATAGAAAGGAGGGAGAGAAGCTAGGAGAGCTACAGACTCAGAGCAGGGAGAGAATCATAGAGAGGAGGGAGTGAATAGGGCAATAAGCAGGGAGAGAATTAGAGAGAGGAGGGCGAGAATCAGAGAGAGGAGGGAGAGAAGCTAGGAGAGCTACAGACTAAGACAGAGGAGGGAGAGAACAGGGCAATAAGCAGGGAGAGAAGCTAGAGAGGGAGAGAATCATAGAGAGAAGGGGGAGAAGCTATAGAGGGAGAGAATCAGAGAGAGGAGGGAGAGAAGCTATAGAGGGAGAGAAGCTAGAGAGGGAGAGAATCAGAGAGAGGAGGGAGAGAAGCTAGAGAGGGAGAGAATCAGAGAGAGGAGGGAGAGAATCAGAGAGAGGAGGGAGAGAATCAGAGAGAGGAGGGAGAGAAGCTATAGAGGGAGAGAATCAGAGAGAGGAGGGAGAGAAGCTAGAGAGGGAGAGAATCAGAGAGAGGAGGGAGAGAAGCTAGAGAGGGAGAGAATCAGAGAGAGGAGGGAGAGAATCAGAGAGAGGAGGAGAATCAGAGAGAGGAGGGAGAGAAGCTAGAGAGGGAGAGAATCAGAGAGAGGAGGGAGAGAAGGAATAGAGGGAGAGAATCAGAGAGGAGGGGGAGAAGCTAAAGAGGAGACAATCAGGAGAGAGGAGGGAGAGAAGCTTAGAGAGGAGAGAATCAGAGAGAGGAGGGAGAGAAGCCAGAGAGGGAGAGAATCAGAGAGAGGAGGAGAGAATCAGAGAGGGGTGAGAATCAGAGAGAGGAGGGAGAGAAGCTAGGAGAGGGAGGTTAATCAGAGAGAGGAGGGAGAATCGAGAAAGAGGGAGGAGAAGCAGAGAGGGAGAGAATCAGAGAGAGGAGGGAGAGAATCAGAGAGAGGAGGGAGAGAAGCTAGAGAGGAGGGAGAAAAGCTAGAGAGGAGGGAGAGAAGCTAGAGAGGAGGGAGAGAAGCTAGAGAGGAGGGAGAGAAGCTAAAGAGGGAGAGAATCGGGCAATAAGCAGGGAGAGAATCAGAGAAAGGAGGGAGAGAATCAGAGAAAGGAGGGAGAGAATCAGAGAAAGGAGGGAGAGAATCAGAGAAAGGAGGGAGAGAATCAGAGAAAGGAGGGAGAGAAGCTAGAGAGGAGGGAGAAAAGCTAGAGAGGAGGGAGAGAAGCTAGAGAGGAGGGAGAGAAGCTAGAGAATAAGCAGGGAAAGAATCATAGAGAGTAGGGAGAGAAGCTAGAAGGACAGGGGCCAAGTGGGGCAATAAGCAGGGAGAGAATCATAGAGAGTAGGGAGAGAAGCTAGAAGGTCAGGGGCCAAGTGGGGCAATAAGCAGGGAGAGAATCATAGAGAGTAGGGAGAGAATCTAGAAGGACAGGGGCCAAGTGGGGCAATAAGCAGGGAGAGAATCATAGAGAGTAGGGAGAGAAGCTAGAAGGTCTGGGCCAAGTGGGGCAATAAGCAGGGAGAGAATCACAGAGAGTAGGGAGAGAAGCTAGAAGGACAGGGGCCAAGTGGGGCAATAAGAAGGGAGAGAATCAGAAAGGGACAGAGTGGGGATAAGCAGGGAGAGAATTAGATAGAGAGGAGGGAGAGAAACAGGGCGTAAATGGATCAAGAGTAGAGAAGTAAGCGGTTAGAGAAAGATAGGAGGGAGAGAAGCTAGAAGGGCAGAGTACAGTGATAAGCAGGGAGAGAATCAGAGATAGAGAGGAGGGAGAGAAGCAAGGAGGAGATGGATAGAGAGTGGAGAGGTAAACGGGAAGAGAATGAGAGGTAGGAGAGAGACATGGAATGGAGAGAATAGAAGAGAGAAGCAAAGAGAGAGAGAAGAGGAAGACTAGAACCAGGCAGATAACTAAAGAGAAGTGAGAAAGAAGTAAATATATAATCCGATAGAGAGCAGGGAGGGAAAGAATCAGATGAAGGAGAGAAAAGTAGAAGGAGCTGAGGGGGATATTCTGAGAAAGGAGGAAGAAAGTCAGGGAGGGAAACCAAGAGACAAGTGTTAAGAATATCCGAAAAAGGTGAGGGAGAGAGAGACATGTAGAGAATGAAAGATGAGGAAAACAAGGAAAGAGAGGGAAGTGAGGAGTGTATCAGAAAAAGGAGAGAATCCGAGACAAGAGCGGGGAAAGCTGTGGGAGCAGGAGAGCAAAAAATATATAAAAGAATAGAGAGAGAAGCAGCAGGATTTAAAAAGAAAACTAAAAAGGAATGATAGGAGGGAGATGATATAAGGAAATAATCAGATAAGAGCCAGAGAATCATAGAGAAGGGGGATAAAAGCAAAGGTGTAATGAAACTATCAGATTGGAGGGAGAGGATCTCAGACAGAGATCAGAAGAGAGAGAGAAGCACAGAGGTTATGGGGACATTCAGACAGGTGGTAGGGGGATCACAAAATAGAATTAGAGAGGAGCTTGAGAATTATAAGAATAAGGCGAGAGAATATAAAAATCAGAGGGAGATTAGAGAGCAAAACAGGGCGAGAATCCAAGAGAGATTAGGGATGGACAGAAACGGAGGGGATCAGATAAACGAGGGAGAAGAGGAAGGAAAAAGGTGGAGAGAGTCTGGGCACTAGGAAGGATGGAAGCAGGGATTTGGGAGTTAATCAGTGATAGGAGAGAGGCGCTGATAAAAAAAAAAAAAAAAAATTAAACAGAGAGAGATATCAACAAAGATACAAGGGAGAAAAGAGAGGAAGGAGAGAACAACAGACAGGATGGAAAGTAGTAGGGAGAGATTCAGAGAGGGAATGTAGAGAGCGACAGACGTGAAAGAGAAAATTAGAATAAATAAGGATATACCAATACATTTTTTAAAAGGTACAAAATAGAGACAGACGGGTTAAAGAAAGTGAATCATAAACTGGAAAGTGAGAAGCAGGGATATTGAAGAAAGAGAGAGAAAGAATCAGAAACAGGGTTCAAAATCAGAATCAGATGAGAAGCAGTGAAGTGGGACAGAATGGTAGACCGGAAATGGAGATAATAAGAGTCAAAGAGAGAGGAGATAGCTGAGCAAAGAGTGACAGGGCAGAAACAAAGGGGGAAATGAAAATGTCAGAGGAGAGATTAAAGCACAAAACTAATATAAAAATGGAGAGAAGTGGGGGGGGGGGGAGAATATATGTTAGAAGAAGAAGTGAAGTAGGGACAAAATCAAATACAGGGAAAGAAGTTAGGCGGGGAGAAAAATCAGAGAAGATAGAGTTGATGGAGAGAAAGAAGAGAGATTAGGCCAAGAGGGAGTGAAACGAATGCAAAGAATGGTAAATTTCAGGTTAAAATAGCCGAAATTAAAAACAAATTCCAGCCATACTTCCAGTTCCAATTCTTTCTCCTTAAATTTGAAATTCACTTTGAGTTATCACTTTACTAAATATCCCTGAACGAGGGAGTCAAGAAATTGGAGTGAGAGCATTAGACAGGGGAGGGAAAAAGTTAGAGAATGCATTAAAGTGAGAGAAAAAAAAAAAAAAACGTGATGCTGTAGTGAGTGTGAAGAGAGAATGTGTAAGAAAAAAAAATAGATTTATCAATATATATTAAATATCAGGGAAAGGCGTGAGGGAGGGAGGGAGGGAGGGAGAAAAAAAGCAGAAAAAGTGGAAGGGGCATAACAGGATTTCAGGTTAAGAATCTGAGAAGCTAGCGGGGGAAAGCAGAGTGTGCAAACAGAGAATGGAGAGAAAATCATGTGAAGACAGTTTGTGTGTAGTTCCTCCTTGCATACTGGTGGTGGTGTGAAGTTTCATGGAGGGTATAAACACGGAATGTGGAGAGAAAGAAATATACTATGTGTTTGTGTGTGAGAAACTGGGGTGTAGGGAGGAAGTATAGAATGTGGAGAGAAAAATAGACAGAATTTGTATGTGGTAGAAGGGGGGGTGCATGTAGGGAGGAAGCACTGAATGTGAGCGATATATAGAGCGGTATGTGTTTGTCAGGAGGGGGAGTGTAGGGAGGAAGCAGGCTGTGTGGAGAAAACCGACATTAAGACTGTGTGTATGAGGGCACGGGAAGTGTGGAGGGGGGAATCTGGGCAATGCGAAGAAAGAATTGCTGTGAAAGGAGCAAGAATTAAATCTGTAAATGGAATTATAAAGTGTGAAGAAAATGGTGGCTAAGGAGGGAAACTGATAATCAGAGTGGAAAGTGAAGCAGAAGTGGTTCTGGAGGGCAACAGAATCAGAGTGTGCAGTAAAGTGACCGTGGAGACATAGAATCAGAGTGTGCAGTAAAGTGGCCATGGAGACAGAGAATCAGAGTGTGCAGTAAAGTGGCCATGGAGACAGAGAATCAGAGTGTGCAGTAAAGTGGCAGTGGAGACAGAATTAGAATGTACAGTAAAGTGGCCGTGGAGACAGAGAATCGGAGTGTGCAGTAAAGTGGCCGTGGAGACAGAGAATCGGAGTGTGCAGTAAAGTGGCCGTGGAGACAGAGAATCGGAGTGTGCAGTAAAGTGGCAGTGGAGACAGAGAATCAGAATGTACAGTAAAGTGGCCGTGGAGACAGAATCAGAGTGTGCAGTAAAGGGGCCGTGGAGACAGAATCAGAGTGTGCAGTAAAGGGGCAGTGGAGACAGAACCAGAGTGTGCAGTAAAGGGGCCGTGGAGACAGAACCAGAGTGTGCAGTAAAGGGGCCGTGGAGACAGAATCAGAGTGGAGAGCAACAGAATCAGTGTGCAGTAAAGTGGCTGTGGAGAGAGAGAAATAGAGTGTGGAGTGAAGTAGCACAATCTATAGAGGAACAGAGAGAGAGAATCATGGATGGAAAATGCTGGGAATGTGTAAAGAGAACCAGAAGGAAGAAAGCAGAGAATGTGGTAGAAAGTTTGGAGAGAAAAAGGAGATTTGAGGAAATCGAGAAGCAGAGTGTACAGGTTAAAAGTTCAAATTCAGAGTGTGTGTAGGAGAAGAAATGGAATTAAGTGAATGCATCAGGAGCAGAATGAAAAATGTAGAGAATTATAATATAAATAGGAATAAGCAATGGAAATGGAGAGAATACGTTACAGTGCACACAGGAAGCAGAGCCTATGGAGAGATTATGGAAAAACGAGAAATAAAGGGACACTAAGCACCCAAACTATTACATCTTAACGTAGTGATTTCGGTGCATAGACGCTGTCCCTTTACTTAATGTAAACATGGAAAACAGACATGTATTCCTGACACTATAGTGCTGGTGTGGCTGTTTAGGTGGCAGCAATCGCTCTGATCGCCCTGAAAAGGTCAATTTACTAATTTTTCCCCATGCCATGCCAATCTCGCTGCAGCTGGTCCCACCTCCATGGTGATCAGTCTGCAGGGGCATGCTATAGGCACCAGAACCACTACATTAAACTGTAGTTGTGCTAGGATAGTCTAACACCCAACACACTTGTCTCAAAACACTTTTGAGAAAGCCATTGAATGGTGAAACGCATATTTAAACGTTTTATATAGGTATTTTATCCTATTTTTATATCAATAAAAGTACTTGAGCATTTTAGTTAGAATCATAATGTTCTAGAGCACATTCACTTTGATAGAGTGTCAATTTGAATACGAGCATCTACAATACAACAGCTCTTTACTCTAAAAACAAATGTCTCCGTCCTATGGCTATAACAAGGAGTGCTTCTGTTACAAATCCTGCATTTGTAGATGTGGATGACCGAGGGCAGTTTTGAGAATTCTGACCAAAGTTTCCGATCTTGTGTCACAAGTTACCCTAGCTGAACCAGACTGAGTACAGGATGAGCTCCACCTTCTGGTGGCCTCTACGCAGACACATTTCGAAAAAGTCAAGCCTCTAAGTGTAAACTCTGAAAAGATTGCTGTCATACTTAAAACACATTAAGAATACCACTGTGCCATTATAGTGTTGATTATAAGGACGGTAGTGCCTATGTTGGTCATTATTTTTATGTCAGTGCATATTCTTAAGTAAAATAAATAAAATTTTAAAAAGTTTATGTGAACAATCACACCGAGACATAAAACACCTGTGAGAAAAAAAATAAATCTAAAGTTCCTGGTTTGCTTCCTTATCTTGGCATACAAAGCATGTGTGGATGTTTTTAGATCTAAATAGTGATTTATAAAAAGAAAAACACACACAGCAATCCTCCTGCTTGTCTGGTGATCCCCACCTCGTACAAAGAATGTGGGAGAGTCAATATAGCTGCTTCTGACATCATCAGTGCACCACATGGCACGCAGCGTGTTAGAAAGGAATGCAAGCAGCTGAATACGGCACTTTTAAGTTTCCTAAGATGGCTGCAGACAGATCTTGCTAGACCGTGATTTTACACAGAAACTGGGTGCTCCTGTTAGCAGCCATTATACCGCTGCGTGGTGATAAAAGTGAGTTTAGGAGCAGAACTGTCGGTTATGAGATATTTGTGCAACACATTATCAAACTAAAAGTTAGCTATGAGTCGTGCTTCTTTTTGTAATTCACAGTCGACTCTATTTTATAATTTGTACTGTATGACTCTCCTGGCATGGTGACAACATACTTTGTAAATTAGTTAGAGCAACTGCAGTTCCATGTGCACATAAGACACAAAAATCAAAGGAATGCGTGATTGCACATGCGCTCATAAGCCGTTTTCTGTAAATATCTGAGTGAGCATGCATACTCTAATAACATCGGGGGGCAGGCAGTTATGTCAACCCAAAACAGAAATATTGCAGATGCAAATGAAATCTGCACTACCCATTCTAGTAAATGCTTCAATAGGAACAAGGAACAGTCACTTCACGAGAACCATTGCAAGAGAAATGACAGTTTTGCATTAAAAGCATATCTGTCAATTTCAGGGGTCTTTCCATTGTTCCATAGCAAACACCCTTGAAATGTACAGACCCCGTGTAGGTCTGGTGGTCACCCATGTGCAAGGGATGCAAGTTTTACTTACCTCCGTCTGCCCATCGCAGCTGCCGCCATGTTCGAGATATTAGGACCTCTTCGGCAATAATAGCTTTAGTTGCCAGGAGAGAGTACAACACTAAGGTCTAAGGAAGAGACGGCTGGGAGATTCAGACTTTGTCTATGTATGATCCTGCAGTCATTTGTGCTACTCTGTCTTATGGCACCTCTGGATTGCGTTGGAATTTCAATGAAATAAAATATGAACTTAAAAAAATGTAAAAAAAATACATGTTATTTTATCTCGAATAAAGATACCAGAAACCAAGGTGAAAAAGTTCCTGTTTTCAGACAGCAAAAATGTATTAAAAAAGTATGACAGAGAGAAAAAAAATAAATTGAAAAAATAAAAACACGTGGGGTATGATTTGTGTAAAAGAGCAGTAAATATAGTTTGAATACACAGTAAGCTTATGAGTGATTTGTAGGTTCTAGAGTTATTGTATATCCACAGATTGCGGCAGAATGGCGTCTCTCCCACTATTCTGGGTACCGGTATAGGCCTCAATTTAATATTTTTGTTTGAGCTTAAAATAATGTAATGTTTTGAAAAATCTGTTCATAATTGTAATATACTTTTTTTTTTTTTTAAATATACATTTTATGTAGGATATATTTGGATTTTTTGGAAAAAGTAATTTGAAAGCTTATAAAAAAAAATTAATATTTATATTATTCAGCAATAAATAATTTAATGGAGTTATATTATATATATATATATACACATACACACACACACACACACACTAAATTATTATATAAATAATACCAGTAAAAATATAGAAACGCAATGACATTTTAAAAAAATGAAAACAATTATATTAAAGAAACAAAAAGAATGTAGAAGAAATACATTTTTGCAGGATGCAAAAAGCTATGGATCCTGGAGCCAGGAGGGATCTGACTGATTCCATAGCACTGCAACATTTTCTAGAAAGAAAAAGAAAAAAAAAGACAACATTTCCCAAAAAAGGTATACAAACCTTGCTTTAGCAGCAAGATATCCAGTCTACATCAAAGAATGTGCGGGCAGTGTTTAAATGGTTACTAAAATGAACATTCTCTCTCCCCCAGGATTTAGGCAGACAGAAAACACTATGTGGTGATTAAAATCAGTGTTCTTTCCCTATACCCACCAAGCTGATAAAGAGACACTTTGCAGTGGCAATCAAAAGGTCTTCTTGTTCCAAATCAAGCTGTACATTAGCCCAAGGAAGGGGTTCATAAAATAGAAATCCTCATTTAGATCTACTTAGCTAAAAAACAAGATCCTGGTAACGGCTTAGTTTAACCAAGGGGCTTACCCATTCCAAATTAGCCAGTCATTGGTTGTTATAATCAGAGTACTCACTCTGCCTTAAATCATATTCAGTAGATCCAATGGTTATTCTATTCAAATGTCCTCTCTCATGTACCTACTAACCCAAATAAAACAATAAGTATTAGGTAATTAGTTATTACGATCAATGTACTGGGCCCGCCTCTGACAGTAGATACTGGAATAATTTCAATGACATGAACTAAGGACCAGGATTTATTTTAATTCATTTCATCTCCTTGTGTCCACTAAGATGGGCTGGGAATGCTGCCTTTTTGGAATAAGAGTCAATGTCCTCCCCACCAAAACCATTAAGCCAGACAGTGGAGAGGGGGGATAAGGGAGACACTGGTTATGCAAATCCGGAACATGCATTTTTCAGCAGTGGTGCTACTGGAAATGCCAAAACATACATAAAAAACACAAATTAAGAAGGCGGAGCAAAGCAGCCATGCTGAAAGCCACTTTGATAAGGCCAAATTTATGACACTTACCATGAATTTCAACAGCAGACATATCCCGGGGACCAGTGGGAATCCAATGCGGTTTAACCCATCGTGATTTTGACCGAGATCGGCAGCTCTCTGCGGGGATTGACCTGGGGCCTACAAGAGGCCTACTTACAGACAGCACGAGGGAGGCAGCCGATCCCTCGGCTTGTTGTTACGTGCTTACCTTGAGGTCTCACTCACCCTACCTTCTGGTAAGGGATATCCCGGTAACCTAAGCCTGTACCAGGATGGCCGTCTACCAACTGGTAACTGCAAGCCTGTCGTGGGAGTACTGACGGACATCACGTGTAGCACTGCTCTCAGAGATCCGCAACCATCATTATCTGAAGGACTGGACCGCCTGTTTGCCAACTTTTGGGCCAAGCTTTCAAATCACCTGGTCATACGCGAAGAGGCACAACTGAGACACAATCACACACCCGAAAGGCTGCCTCAGCCCAGCGGAAGGTGCACACTGCGCCAGTGAAACTCAGGCCGGGCTAGGAATAAACCAACTCTGCAGACAAAAAGGGTATTTCAAAACAGACTGCTTGGTGCCATCACTACTTGAGCCAGAACACGAGGAGAATATATCCTGCTTTGACGTAGAGTCAATGGAAGTAGCAAATTTGCACACACCAATATCACAGCCACATGACACCTGAGCCTGTACTTGGGTAACTCTACCTGTCGACCACATCGCTGGAGCAAGGCCATTATCTAGAGGGGCATAGGCTGATGAGGGATGGTGACTCCTGCTAGCATGCCCACCTCAGCCCAGACATCTTCACGGCATGTGTTACCTATCTTTATTGTTTATGCTACTAGCCACGTATCTTTGATTTTCTCATGCTTTTCTTATTAAACGGTGCAAATTGTTCTTGAAATGTCAGGCTACATCTAGGCTATTCATATGTGCCAAGCCTGATCTAGCTTTAGCAGTCTTCCTATGCATACATAACATGCTGATTTCTCAATTACTATGTCGCTAATTGTCTTGAATATGCTCGCTATTGTTGTCGTGGCATGGTGAGCCTTGTTTGTTATATGAAAAACAAACATTAAAAATTAGGGGGGGGGGGAACAAATACAAATTAAGGAACAGCACACAAAAAAAGCAAATTCACATTTTTTTTATTTTACAAGGCTACTTAAAAATCTAATCTGCTTCAAATTTAAACCTGTGTTTGTGCTGTTCCCTAAATTGTATTGTGTATTGAATTTACTTGCAAGTAATTTAAGAGAGTCAGAAGGTGACAAGTAAAGAGATAGGAAAAGGAGAGAACTGCAGAAAAAAAACATATTGCCAACAAGCAGAGTTTTACTTTAAATAATAGTAAGTGATGAAAGATCTCACCTTGAGGGCCAACAAAGACTTCAACAGGACAAGCATCCTAGTGGAACAACACTGCCACCGTGTGACTAAAAATAAAACGGTTTGGACTACTACACGACTCCAGTTCAATTCACCAATACACGTTTTCATTTATAATAAACCAACATGTTATGCAGCCCTGTACAACAGCTTAACTAAAATATTGGTATCTGGTGAGAAAGCAAGTGTAATCACTCTACCCAGGGCCAATAGACTAAATTACATACTAATAATATGACAGATGTTTTAATTTGAGTTTTAGATCAATTGAGTTTTAGTTAACTCTGGAAATAGTGCTAAACATTCCCCGCAGTCTATAGTCGCTAATTATAAGCCCAAGATCGGTTTGTCTAGACACACCAAGAATCACAAGGGTGCCACAGAAACACTGATGGCTACCGACAGATGGCCATTGCCAGGGCCGGCACGTCCATAGACCGTGCTGGAGCTATGACTCTAGGCGGCACTGACAGGGGCGGCATTTTGCTGCCCCTGTCATAAGCTAAAACATGATTTCCCAGCCCTTGGCGGTGGTGTTGGGAACATGTGTGAGAGTCCATCGGGTGGCCCATCCAATGGAAAGGTGCAATGAGGAGCCCGGTCATGCACTGCGGTGCTTTAACAGCGCGACCGGGTCCCTTCCAATCCGCATGGAGAACTGGAAGTGACAGCGTATCACGGTCCCTTCCTCCCAGCTCACACAGAGCCAGCCATGCAGGAGGAGGAGGAGGAGGGAGCTGGATCGGCAGAGCAGGCCCCCAACTCCCACCAGCCACAGCCAGTGTGTGTGTATGTGTAGTATGTGTGTGAAGTGTGTAGTTTGTGTATACTGCATGTGTGTAATGTGTATCTGTATGTCTGTGTATCTTTGTGTGTGCGCGTGCGTGTGTGTCAGTGGGGTGGGGGCAGCATTTTATACTTGGATCCAGGCAGCACAATGTCTTGGGCCGGCCCTGGCCATTGCCAATACCTGTATCGGAGGTTCACAAACGGTTTTGAACTGAGACAGTTCTTCACAGACAGTGAATGCCAATATTTAATTTAAAAAGGAAACCTGCTCACATTACATTTTGAGGTGACTTGAGTCGCACCAATTTGCCGTAGTACACTGGTTGACAACCACGGACCATAAATACAACTTTCAGTAATACATATTCTGGAGCCCTAATTTTGGCTGAATCATGAAATTCTACAAGGATCAGGAATTGAAAGGGGACGATTCAAGATCTTCCACCCTTGTTATAAATAGTATTCACTGCTAGAACTCATCAGTCTCATGATGCCCAAAGCGATTTGTGACACTGGAGCAATTTATTGTTACTTGGGCTGTTCTGATGAGTTGGGTTATTATTCATTTTACAAATTCCTCCATGTGGGAAACTTTTATGGCTTATGTTTTAAGCACAGCGTTTAGGATGGGAGACGGTGGCTGAAGTGAAATGTGGATCACAAAGAAGTGACTGGTGAAGCAGTGATTTTATTATTATATCGATGGAATAAATGGACAGTTTGAAATTTAAAACACTAGAGTAACATCCACAATGTGAGACAACGGATTTATTCTTAATCTACTTTCTTTCATAATTAATTGTATCCATTATTTTTGTGGCATATTACCGTACGCTTGTGTATTGGTGTTACTGGGTGACCCAGCAAGGATATGAAGCTGATACCCACAGAGGACCTGTAATGTGTCAGAGGTCTTGATGACTTGCATCCCTTGTCACAGAGTGTGAAGATGGGGGTCCTGAGATGCAAGGAGATCCCATACTGCCTTGTGAGCTGTAGTAGCGGTCATTCTCTGGACTCTCTGTAGACCTTGCTCCTTCAAAGATCCCACTTTGGTTGTACAGTATACTGGAGTTAGTCTTCGCTTCCCCTTCCTGGTACCAGGAGCTCAGTGATGTAACCGACAGGTGGGCAGAGCTGGCACTGCCTCCTGCTGCCACCTTAGGCGCAGGTGGAGGAGTCAAAGCCCTTACAGCATTGTGAAAGGATCTCAGCGCCCGCTGACTACGCTGTCTCTCCTGACGCTCCCTTCTCTCTTTACGTCGTAATTTCTCACGATGCTCTTTCACCATTTTCTTCCGTGAATCAACAAGGTCCCTGATGGGCAGAAAGGATCAGTCACTGGTAGAAGGAACTATGTGAAGGGTTCAAATGGCAGGCAGAGGGACAAAATAAGTTCAGGTAGGAATCATATCGGAAGATAACTAGGTGGGCTAGAAGATTGAGGAGAAAGCTCAGAAGGAATCTCACAGAAAAATAAATAAAATGACAATGAGATCCCACTCAATTTTCACTCAATACATGCAGTTTCCCGAGACATTAATTTAGAGTTTAGCAAGTACAAACCCTGATCACAGCTCCCTAGACGAAACCTTCTGGGACACCCATTATTACTTGAATTGCCAACGAGACCCTCACTAGATTTGCTCTACTATGGAGTCCATGGCCTGTTTAGGGGTTCTATATTAGAAGGTTAAAGACAAATGTGTCACATGATGTGCAATCACCATGGGAACCAAGGAGATGATCCTATTGATTGCAACACTTGCACTTCTTTGATACAGAGTTGCTCTTTACCCAGCCCATCCCCAATAGTATTTTACTATTGATAGTAGGCCTATATGAAATATATTCTTATTCCACACTACTTGGTTTGGATTCAAAGGCAGTGGTTGGTAAATTCCTCGCAATGGAACCTGGTATGGAAGACTTCAGTTTGCTGGAGTGTCATATTAGTGACAGCTTTTAAAAGTGTGGATTTCAATAGAAATTGTCATGTTTATAATTGCGCAGCAGAAACCGTGGCAAGGGGTTCTCTCCCTCCCCCAGGCCATTTGGGGTCTTCCCCCATTCCATCGACTGTTCATGTGTAGAGTTAAGTCAAGAGTAATGACGAAGAGGCTGTGACCTTCGATCCTGGACCCCCTTATGTCCCCTTGAGGAGATGAACTTGGACACTCTGCATTTTCACATCCATGGTGACATGGTAAAAGCTATGTATTCAGCTAAGGGCTTATTAATCGGTTCTCTAATGTCTCCACAGAAAACCCCACAGAATGGGCTGACTCCTTCCATAACCTGGTCATGCTGGACTTTTTTTTTTTTTTATTAAGGCCCTCACCTTGTGCTACCTTTTCATGCATTTTGCATCTTCAGCTTGGACAAAGATGCCTATAGCTTCCGTGAGGCCTCCATGTGGTCTATATTGCCTGCTATAATTTTTTCCATATGCTTTCCTATTGCAGCTAAATGCCTAGTTCTATCTAACGTTAAAAGTTGCAATGCATTAAGTAATCACCTATCAGTAGTTAGATTATTCTAAAAATATACGTACTTACTGCCTTTCTTTCACATTTTGCAGATATTCATTTTATCTGTTAAAGGACCACTCTAGGCACCCAGACCACTTCACCTTAATGAAGTGGTCTGGGTGCCAGGTCCCTCTAGAATTAACCCATTTTTTTAATAAACATAGCAGTTTCAGAAAAACTGCTATGTTTATAAATGGGTTAATCCATCCTCCAAATCCTCTAGTGGCTGTCTCATTGACAGCCGCTAGAGGCGCTTGCGTGATTCTCACTGTGAAAAATCACAGTGAGAACACGCAAGCGTCCATAGGAAAGCATTGTAAATGCTTTCCTATGAGACCGTCTGAATGCGTGCGCAGCTCCTGCCGCGCGTGCGCATTCAGCCGACGGGGAGGAGAGGAGGAGGATCGGAGGCGGAGAGCTCCCCGCCCGGCGCTGGAAAAAAGGTGAGTTTTACCCCTTTCCTCTCCCCAGAGCCGGGGGGAGTGGGACCCTGGGGTTGGGGGCACCCTCAGGGCACTATAGTGGTCCTTTAATCTTGCTATGACTTGACGTTCAGCTATGTGTCACTGCACATCCATCGATAAACAGACACAAAAACCAAAAATAAAACACAACACACCACTATGTGTGTATTTGTTCCACAAAAAAAGTTAAAAAACACAAACATACAGCACTAAACTAGTTCATTCCCCTTCACATGAAAAGTAATAGTGAATCTGCTACCTTCAGAGGGATCGTACATAATATATTGAAAAGCTTTAGAAGAGCATTCATCATTTGTTTTGGTGGCATTTTGAAAAAAGTCAGATAAAGCTTTCTTTTTATTCCCTAGAAGTATACATAATGCAACATTTATTTCTGACATTGTAGTTGTGGAATGCAGGATTAGGTCTCCTGATTCTCTCAGATTGTTTTAAAGAGGTGATTTTATTCACCTTTTCTCCCATGCCAAGCCAGTCCCGCCACAGCTGGCATTCCTCCGTGGCCGAGATGACTAGTTTTTTTAATGATCTCAGCCAATCCACTGCTTTCCCATAACAAAGCATTGGGCGGCTATTTCGCATTCATGGCAAAACACTGCGCTGCGCCAACCAGGATCTCATCATAGAGATGCACGGAATCAATGTATCTGTATGGAGAACGTTCAATGCCTCCATGCAGATACTTAACTCCAGTGTTGCACACTATGCAGCATTGACATAGGAAGCACCTTTAGTGGCCGTCTGAGTGAGGTTTTCAAAAGTAGAGATTAACAATCATTATTATTTTATTATTTATATAGCACCAGCAAGATTCTGTAGCGCTGTACAATGCGATAAATCTTACCTCAAAAGTCTCTAAACCCATGGGGAGCCCAGTGAAAAGGGAGATCTAATCTGACAAGAATCCATACTGTCAGGAGGATCTGCTCAGCTTAAAATTTTGAAGTCCTGATTCATGTATGTGCAGTGGCGCGGTTCGAACTTCAGTGGAACGCAAGGCCTCCCAGGTGTGTTTTTTTTTACCACTGTGTGCAGGTCTGAATTTTCATAGCCGCGCTGCTCGGGACCACCTCTTTATTTTTACCAGGATCAACACTCCGCATAAATGAATTTTACATCTTCGCCCCGTAACCTCAAAGCAAGGAGCTGGCCAATTTAGCTCTCAACCCAAGGAGCTATAGGGCTAAATTCTCCCTGCCTCAACCCATGTGCCTCACCAGATTCTTATCTTCCAGCAACGCTCGTCCATCCTACAATGGGACAAGGAAGAAGTGAAGAGGATTGATTGGGGAGTACCTTTATACTGTAAGGTAGGAGGGATCTTGTTTATCTGGATTATCTTTTGTAGATACTTGTGCCATGAAGGAGTACAACACTACTTGTGACAAACTCCCCTTTTCAAGTGAGTTTGCCACGAGTTCCTGGAGGAGCCTGCTTGCTAGCCTCCTGCCCACACACTATGGACCTCGTAAAATGTGATATAAAAGTCTCCATTCGTGTATTTGGACTCTATGGTTCGGGAATCGAACAGCCGCACGGACCTGAGACCAACCTGGAGCTTGTTAAGCCTAATTGCTTCTTTGTAGCAATTTCCACCTCAATGTTCTAAGTGTTCGTCTGGGTGGCCGCAATTCCTATGGAGGACAAGGAGGTGGCGGCCATCTTGTTCGCATGAACACAGGCAGCAGTGTTTGTCGTCGAGTTCATGGAACTATTTTCGGATACTGCAACTCCCGAACACCGCTGGACTTCCATGATCACCTGCGTTCGGTTCTACAACCCTTAGAAAGACACTGTTCGGTGGAAACGTTCCCACGAACAAGCTCCACAGTAAGATTATTGACTATATTAGGTAGTTAAACTATGTTAGTTTTAAACCCCTGTGTGACATGTCATGATTCCCTTTTATTCCAGAAGTTTGGTCCTTAAGGGGGTTAAACTACCGAACTAGACCATCCGCAAACCCTGCTTCTCTGGAACTGTTTTGGTCATGGGACCATGCGTGCGGTCGGTCAAATTATGACTTCCACGAAATTCCTGAACCGATCTAGGTGATTTTTGGATATGTTGGTCACCCAGATGACAGCTAACAATCGATTTGGGGTCTAATGTATTTTTAAGGTACTTTTGGGGTGTTTGGGAAATGGGTGTTTTTTTTGTGCTTGGAGATAATTGAGTTTAATACAGTGCTTGACTCAATTATCTCCCAGGCACAGGGGAGGGATTATCTTGTTTTGTATGGGAGTGTCCTGGACCTAAGAGCCAATGTAAGCATGTGTATGTTTTTAGTGTAGTCTACTCTCAGGTCAAGAGGGGAGTGCCCCTTGCATGGGAACCTGCATTTAAGGCCAGTTGTGGCTGCCAATAAAAGGTATTCCAGCTTGTTCTCCCAGAACTATGTGCCGTCTGGTTACTCGGAGGGGAAAGGGCTATTCTTTAATCACTGTTCCAGTGTGGAGGATTCAACGGGGAAAGTCCTTTTTAAGAGTCGTTCAGTGCCTGGGGGTTGCTAGAGCGAGTTCACCCGTCAGAGCCACGGCGACTGTGGGCAGAAGTGCTACAATTTGTAGATCCAGCTAGAAAGCTATTCCTTGGTGGAGGTACCCAATCAGGGGTACAGGGAGCTCCGTTACACTACTGTACTGCCAGCATAGGACAGGAAAAAAAATATCCATCCATTTTGGTTCATAATACGTTTTGCACAAATAATGCAGATCCATGACAAAAATCATAAGTTAGATTTATTTGCCCTTATATACCACCTATGCCTATGATTTCAATCGAGTTTTTCCAGTTACAGGCAACTTTTTGTCTAGCGGGGGTAAATTAATGGCTTTTTTTCCCCCACACAAAACTCACATCTCTATGTGGACAGTACTACTCAAACAATGCAAATTATACAGGAGTTGGACAGATGGAGGCTGCTGAACTGACAAACTGTGGCATCGTATATCCCTGCAACCTCCATTAGCATGTCTTGCTCAGCATTGAGCATTCACAGAACTATGTCTTTAGCTAAGTGATCAAGTGTCTCAGATGACACCATTGATACCAATGTTTCATCCCACCCCACTGCCACTAGCAAACACTGCTACATCAAACATAGGCCTCTATTTAAGGGATACTACATACACACACTTTCCCCCTCCTCCCTTTTTTTTTTTCCACAAACCTTGCATTGTTGCTATGAATACTGTAATCTTGATGTGTGTTAAAGGGGCACTCTATGCAATATAACCACTTCAACTTAGCGTAGTGTTTACTGTGTAAAGGTTTTTTTTTGCTCAATCCATTTAAATCAGTTAAATCACTTTTGTTTCGGTTTATGCAGCCCTAGCCACACCTCCCCCTGGATGTGACAAATACAGTCTGCATGAAAACAAAAATGGTTTCATTTTTAATCAAATGTTAACGTGCTTTACACGTTTTTATCTCCCGCTCTGTAAATTAAACTTTAATAACATAAAGGAGGCTCCTGTAAATACTAGCAAGCTATTAAAAGGGCAGGAGATAAGAAATTATAAATAAAACAGAATTTGCAATAAAGAAAGTATAAACATTAGAACTTCTTTACAGGAAGTGTTTAAGAATGCTGTGCAAGTCACATGTATGAAGCTGTGACTAGTGTTGTTTCAACAATGTGATTTAACCCCTAAATGGCAGAGAATTGAGCAGCAAGACTGTAAGAGCATTATCTATACACAAAAACTGCTTCTTTAAAGGGACACTGTAGTCTTCAAAACAACTTTAGTTTAATGAAGCCATTTTAATGTATAGATCAAGCCTCTGAAGTTTCACTGCTCAATTCTCTACCATTTAGGGAGTTAGATCACTTTTGTTTCAGTTTATGCTGCCCTAGCCACACGTTCTCTGACTGTGACTGACACAGCCTGCATGAAAACAAAATGGTTTTATTTTCAATCCAATGTTACTTACTTTAAAAGTTTTTATCTCCTGCTCTGTAAATTGAACTTTAAATCACACACAGGAGGCTCATGCAGGATCTAGCAAGCTATTAACAGAGCAGGAGATAGGAAAGTATACATTAAACAGAATTTGCATTAAAGGAAGTGTAAACATTAGATGACTCTTGACAGGAAGTGTTTAGCAAGGCTGTGTAAGTCACATGCAGGGGTGTGTGTCTAGGGTGCATAACCAAAGTGATTTAACTCCTAAATACCAGAGAATTGGGCAGTAAGACTGCAGGGGCATGATCTATACACCAAAACTGGTTCATTAGGATAACGTTTTGGTGACTATAATGTCCCTTTAAGCTAAAGTTGTTTTGGTGACTATAGTGTCCCTTTAAGACACATTTTTCTTTCTGCTACACCCATATACGCAATATCCATCATGAACACAGTAGCAAAGTGTTTTGGGAACTCACAGTAAGTGACACAAGATAGTAATACAAGTCAAATCAGAGACATTACTTAGTATTCACTGACTTGCAAAGCCCATGTTTGTTTGGGAAAAGTTTTCAATCCCCAAATCTGAATTATTCCGATCATGGCATACCATTTTCAAAGGTAGACACCACAGGATATTCCACAAAGGGTTGAGAATCCACCATCTTGCTATTTTTGTCAGGTTTGCGTTCCAGTAACACACTCTATACCATTAGACACAAACTCATCACTCTCAGACAAAAAGCCAGCTTATGCCTCAAAAAGTCAGAACGAAAGTTTGCATCTTGATTTTTTTTTCTATAGACTTTACAGTCTGGTAGCTTTCACACGATTAGCTGTTTAGGGTGCGTTGTGGAGGTTTCTTACATGTTCAGGCAAACATAAAAACAGGGGATATTCATTGGAATTTTTAAAGGAGATTTACCTTTGCAATCAACTTATGTGTGATAATTTAGGATTTAGCAAACAGAAGGTGTGGATTGTACTCCATCATTACCTGTAATCTACACTCCCGGTCTGTTCCTTATCCAGTGTCTGCAACAAAGCTTCCATTTGTGCCCCGTCCAAGGGAAGTCCTGCAAGCTGTACAAAAATAGTCAGGGAACAGTTTATGATCTGGTACAACTAATTCGACTCCTACATGACCATGTAAACGTACTTCCAAATTTATATATTTATATATATACATACATACATACATACACACACACACGTAAACGTACTGCAAAATCTATATACAGCACTCCTGACTCATATTTGTCTCATCTGAACTTGGGTAACTAACGCAACCCTTATATATCTTAGCTGACCTTATAGATCTAGTGTAATGTGTTTGTGCAAGTGTATTATGGATACCCCTAAATAAATTTTTCCAGAGCCGATACAGATTATTATTGCTCACCTTGCGAGCTGACGGACAATATTCTGTACATTTAAAGTTTTGAAAAAGCAATACAATTTCCACACAAATCCAGCATTAACTGAACATGCTTACAGCAATCACACTCCTATGACTTTCAGGCAGTCAGTCCAGTACATTACATAAGAATATTCACTGTTTCACCTCCCTGCCTTTAGCTGTGCTCAACATGTGGGGACTCACAGGGAGGGGTGCCATGAGGTAGCAATGTGACTGGAGTTTCCAGGTTTGCAGAAGATGGCGTGCGGTGACTGGGAGAGCTAAGTGATCAGTCATTTGTAAATGCAATACCAATTATCGTTAAAATGCTGAATATCTGCGCAACCGATAATCAATCAATAGCATGTATGTATGGTTCTGCACAATTTAATTCTCCTCACACACACACAGTACTGAAAGTAATAACTGTTCAACTGAAAAAAATACGACAAATACAAAAATGGGAGTTTAAAACAGGGTTCACATCCAATTCCCCCACGTTCACACTGAGATTTTTATTTTAAATTTTTATTTTGGTGGGGGGTTTTTGGGGTAGAGGGGGAATTACCAGAATTAACCTCCAGCAGAGTAAGTATTTTCTGTAGTTCCTTTATTTTCTTGCAGTATGGGGTTACAGGACACCACTATTTAAGTATATAAAGCAAATTCAACAACTCTGGCATGTGCACAGTAACTTTTACAAACTGGACCTTCTGTGCCTGAGGAGGTGCAACTACTACAGCACCTACTAATTAGCTACATTGCAGGACTAGGCTGACAGACTCCTGCAAAGTAACCCTTTCCTCAGGGATCAGCTTTTATACACCATTACAGAGGGCAATATTTAGATTTGTGCAATTTGCACACCCATTTCTCACCAGTGGGGATTTGGTTCACTTGTACCTTGAACATATTGGGGTTTATCCACTAAGCTCTGCCCTGAAGTAAATTTAAAAACAAATTGCAAAAGTTAGGCCTAAATAGCCAAAAACTGTGACTAAAAAGTTGAGTGGGAGAATTTTTTCCAAATCCAGTTTTTTTTTTTTTCAGTTTCACTTCAAAATTCACTATGATTGTGTTTCTAAAATTTGAATTATAGTAGCATTCAATTTAAGGAAATATCTGTGTAATGAAAAGAGCATCATTCACTCTGCTTGTATGATTTCATACACATTGTTTCAATTAAACTAATATTTAATTTCTCAACAGTTTTATAATGCATTACCTATTCAATAAAAAATACTGAGTCATAATTTCACTAGGAAATCCCCTTTTTAATATTATTATATCATAAAAATAATGCTCACCAGGAGAGGGTAACTTGTTAAAGCTGATCTGGAATTCCATGAAACTCAAGTTGCAAAATCCCCATCAGGCATGTCAAACAGCCACTTCCTTCTCCATGCCCAGCGGAATGCTGGGAATCACACACTTTGTTTTGTTTGAATCTTACATTCTGATTGGCTAACTTCACAGGTTATTTGCAATTGTTAATAACAGGATAATTCACCAAAGTGTAAATTGTAATGAATTTAAAGTGAATTCAAAATTACATTTTCAAATTTTATGGCTTAGTTGGAAAAATTTCCCCAAGTCAGCTATTTTGATATAAAAAAAAATAATTTGCTTTGAATTCCCAACAATTCACATTATAGTGAATAACCCTCCATGCCTCCCAATAGTCAAGATTTTCCTGTCCCACCGCAATACCCTTGTGTCCCGCTTTTGTAAACACTGAGGGACTGTCCCCAATAATCATAGCTTGTTGAGGACACTAGGATCCTGTACTTATACAATCAATAGGGGAATTAATAGTGTTTCTTTTTGTTTGGAAACAAAATGAGGAAAAATAAAGATTATCTACTAAATACCGCTCACAACTGGTTAAAAGAAAGCACCACCATTCAAGGCCCTACAATGACCAACACAGAAAAAGCTGAGAAACCCCAAAGAGAAAATTTAATAAATCTATTGCAGTTTGATACATAGGCAATCATTTTTATGTGTATGTATATGCACATAGAAGACCACAAAGAAAACTCCTGGGGGAGTTAAATTAGATTTTATTTCTTAAATATGCTCCCTTTTTAGCCCCCACAGTCCGTATCCTACCCAGCAAACACTCTCAGACACACACACAGCATCCCAACACACACACACACACACACTGCATCCCTACACACACTGCATCCCTACATACACACACACACACACACACTGCATCCCTACACACACTGCATCCCTACATACACACACACACACACACAATGCATCCCTACATTCACACACAATGCATTCTTACATACACACACACACTCACACAATATGCATCCCTTACACACACAGACACACACACACAATGTTTCCCTTACACACACGGAAACACACAACGTGTCCTTTACACACACACAGAAATACACAATGCATCCTGTGCACACACACAGAAACAGACACTACTTACTTTACAGTAATGGGGAGAGAATAACACACATGGAGGGGCTGGGACAGAGGGAATGACACACATGGGGGGTCTGGGATGGCGGGAATGACACACATGGAGGGGCTGGGACAGAGGGAATGACACACATGGAGGGGCTGGGACAGAGGGAAAGACACACATGAAGGGGCTGGGATGGAGGGAATGACACACATGAAGGGGCTGGGACAGAGGCAATGACACACATTTGGGGAAATGAGATGCATGGAGGGGCTGGGGGGGATGAGACGTGTGGGTGGCAAAGAGGGGGTATGAGACACATGGAGGGGTTGGGGGTAGATAAGGCGCTTGGGGGGCAGGACAATTTTCGCATCGGATCCCAATCATTTCTAGTTATGCCTCTGCCTGCGTGCAGATGGGAAGTGATCCCTTCTACTTCCTGTCTAGCCTCACAGCCAGACCCTGGAGGAGCTGGGATAGCACTGAGTTTTACACCTTCCATAACTGTTCCTGCAGGTCTGCTATTAAAGGAACACTTTATTGTTAGGAGTACAAAGATGCATTCCTAACACGAACGTGTTCCTCAGCCTAATGTTTTACATTGCAGGACTACGGGGGACAGAGACACTGCACCCAGACCACTTCAATGAGATGAAGTGGTCTGGGTGTCTATAGTGTCCCTTCATGGCTGACTGGACTACAACAGACACTGGACAAGGCTCTTGGTACACTCAAAAAGGTACATTATAAGTGCTGAAAACACTAATTGGTAATGCATAGCATGAGGACGTCCAGCATCATTTAGGCAACCACAAGTAGACAGCCACTAGAGGAGGAGATAGCCCTAGCAGGTAATTATTGCAGTTTATAAAAACTGCAATAATAACATGCTTACGATTATGGCTGATGGGACATTTACACAGACCACTTCAATGAGCTGAAGTGGTCTGGGTGTCTACAGTGTCCCTTAAAGCAGCTGTAGTATCAGGAGCTGAAGAGGAGCAGAGAGAATAGGATGGAGGCAACAGCGAGGCACAGGTAACTTAAACTTACCTTTGTCTGCCCCCCGGGCACCGGACCCCCAGTAGCGATGTCACAATCGGGGGTCTCTGCAAATTATGCAGAGACCTCGGACGGTGACAGATCCGCTTTGAAGGAATACCAATATTAACCAAAAACTGCTCTGATGATGCCCTACCAGAAGATTAATTAATTATATGGATATGTCACACTGAGTGTTCTGATGTAGATTTAGGAACACTGAAGGAAACCAGACCTCTTCATCTCAATGAACTGATATGGGTTCAGTGGCTCTTCAGTTTTAACCCAAGCTCTGCCCTTTTCTATCTTTTAAAACCAAAATAAAAGCCTTGGCGGCTGGCTGTCAGCATAGAAAAAGCATAGTGGGTGGAGGAATTATAGACACAATGGGGGTTTTGTGTGGTTCTAGGGCGAAATTGTAAATTTGAAGTATTCACCATGGAAACAATGCACTATTTCTGCTGAACTTTATCACAGTTACTCGTTATTCATAACCCCCTAATATCTCATTATGTCGTCCTCTGAAGAAATGCGTGCCCTTGCAATGTCTGGACTGAATTAGATTGTGATGTTAAATCTTCAATATACATCAAAACGAAATTAGACTTTTTTATCACATAAAAAAAGTTAAAGGAACACTATAGTCACCTAAATTACTTTAGCTAAATAAAGCAGTTTTAGTGTATAGATCATTCCCCTGCAATTTCACTGCTCAATTCACTGTCATTTAGGAGTTAAATCACTTTGTTTCTGTTTATGCAGCCCTAGCCACACCTCCCCTGGCTATGATTGACAGAGCCTGCATGAAAAAAAAAACTGGCTTCACTTTCAAACAGATGTAATTTACCTTAAATAATTGTATCTCAATCTCTAAATTGAACTTTAATCACATACAGGAGGCTCTTGCAGGGTCTAGCAAGCTATTAACATAGCAGGGGATAAGAAAATCTTAATTAAACAGAACTTGCAATAAAGAAAGCCTAAATAGGGCTCTCTTTACAGGAAGTGTTTATGGAAGGCTGTGCAAGTCACATGCAGGGAGGTGTGACTAGGGTTCATAAACAAAGGGATTTAACTCCTAAATGGCAGAGGATTGAGCAGTGAGGCTGCATGGGCATGTTTTATACACCAAAACTGCTTCATTAAGCTAAAGTTGTTCAGGTGACTATAGTGTCCCTTTAACGTAGGTTATAGGTGATTTTATTCAATGGTGTAATTTCTAGAGAAATGGCAGTTCCCTTATAATACGAAAAAAAAAAAACAATGATCAGTGCAGAAGGGGTTCTAAATAGAAATTGGTCAAAGGAATTGATAGCTAGTGCTATCCATTTGTATGTTTGTAGGTCTGGTGAGAGGGCTTTTTGCTACATATAGGCGAAGATGGGTGAGGTCCTGAACGGTTGGGCCTAACTCATTGGCAGTAGTATCCAGTAGCAGTCTCCTAAAAATGAACACCCTTCTCAATATAGCTCATCTCATTGGCCTGCAAAGCACCCTCTTCCTCCCAAAACTAGAAAACCTGATGTCTTTGCAAATAATCTGTTACTCCCAAACTAGAATACATTTTACCCTTCTCTGCCTTATTCACATCCCAACATTTAGGCAATTAGCCCCATCCAAACCCCCTATTTGCATGTTTGTTTGTTTTTTAAGTATTTCCATTCATTATACCCTACATACATACAGAGAGACACTCACAGATAGAGGCACACACTCACACATACATTGCACTCAATTACTTAGACTCAGAAATTCACAGATACATACACACACACACAGAGATATACATAGAACAGATAGATACATACATAGAACAGATACATACACGCACAGATATATACATACAAGCACACTCACAGATGCACACACTCACAGTCACACAAATGCAAAATGTTAAAGTGTTCAATAACCACTTTCAGTCTGATTTGACTTCCTGGTCTGTGTGCCTGATATCACCTCTTTATACCACATGCAACCCATTCATGTGCCTAAACTGACCTTCTGCTTTATGTATCTGACTTCAAAATAGTTACTTTTGACTTTATCAAATATCTTGCCAAAGGCATACTATCTTTCTAAAGTGAAAGTTATTATTATTATTATTTATTATTGTATGTGTTCTTGGCTTTCAGATATACCAGTTTGTGTTTCTCCTGTACTGCTGCCTGGGCCCTCACACACTAGTCCTGCTCTTACCCCTCAGTTTCGTGTGCTACCAGCTGTGTGTCCACACCTATATTAGAGATATATATATCTCTCTGAGATACAGGGCCTAATAACTGTGCCGATCCACACTCACCGAGATATGCCGGCAGAAGTCACTGATTGGTATCCTCATGCTGCCATCTTTATCCATCTTCTTGAAGAAGTCAATAAGCCGCAACTTGCGTTCATCCAGGTAGTTCTGGTGGAGATAACAGTTTCACTGAGACTCCCTTCTACAGTATAACCCACAGATCAGATATTGAAGAAAAGCCAAACCAATAATTTTTATATGAAATGAAAAATAACCTGTGCATGCTGACGTCAGATGTCAAATATGCACAGAATTCGCATCAGACAGCCCAGAACCCTTGTTCCTGGCTGGATAATCATGCTCCAAAGATGCTGCTGGAGGTGGAGTTACATCTCCAGCCACAAAGTGGGCTAAACTTAGTATGTGCAGCATTTCATAGTGAACAGACTATATACAGACTCCAGGCACCATGACAAGCTCAAATCACTGAAGTTATCATAATGCTCGGAGTAACCCTTTAAAGGGACACTCCAGGCACCCAGGCCACTCCAGGCACCCACTGGTCAGGGTACCAACTCCCATCACCCTTACCTCTGCAAGTGTAATTATTGCAGTTTTTATAAACTGCAATAATGACTATGCAGGGTTACGTCCTCCTCTAGTGGCTGTCTATCAGACTGCCACTAAAGGGACTTCTGGGTTCTTAAAACACGAAAAGTGTTTAAAATTACACTGGACATCCTCACACTAGGCATGAGGGCCTCCAGGGTCACCGGAATCACCATAGGAAAGCATTGAATAATGCTTTCCTATTGGGAGTTCTAATGTGTGCACGCTGCCATTGCCGCGCATGCGCATGAGGTCTCCCTTGCCGGCTGACGTCAGCGGTGGAGAAGCGTGGGCAGAGCCTGACCCAGCGCCAAGGGACATCAGCGCTGGATTAAAGTAAGTCACTGAAGGGGTTTTAACGGGTTGGAATCTGCCTCATTCTCCAAAAAATCATGGAACAGCTGCTGCTTTTTGATGAGAGATCATATTTATTAAACATATTTTTAACATTTGTCTTGGCGTGCAGAATGGTGTGTACAGGAATTCTGCACATACTGTATAAGTACACAAACCATATTTCTATTTACCTGGATGACTTTCATAGGGTCTGGGCGTGCCGCTAATTTTCTTGCAGTAAATCCCTGTTTCCCAGCGTATATTATATGGAGCTCAGGACGGGATCGACAGGCTGTCTCTAGGCGGCTGAGAAATTGGGCGTTTACCAACACATTCTAAACAGACAAGCAAATAAAGGGGGACATTTTTTACATATTATATCTCCTTAAATGACTCCTCAATCTTAAGGACTGTTTGGGAAACACTGACTTATCCTTTTGCTCTCTTTAACCCTCTTAAGAAGCCCTCCCATATCTCCCTAGACCAATATATTAATGACGGCTATCATCTGGTTGAATTCTCACTTACAGAAATGTCCAGTTCCTCCACCTTGTTTTCTGGATTCTTAGTGATGGACGTCAAAAGAAAGAGAGCTGCTTCTACACTGAGGGGATTTCTGGAGAGCTGAAAACACCAGCAGTGTGATTAACAGAAATACATAGAAAGCAAATAAAATGGAGCCAAACATTAGCATGTTCTTCAGAGTAAACTTCTTAAAACCATACAAACAGTTCATTAAAGAACTGAACAATAAACCTATTTTCTTCGTTTGGTCAAATAAACATAATCACCATTAAACATTCTTTGATGCCTAACATACTTATTCCATGTGGTTCTGATACAAATCTGTTTTTCATTTTCTCATTCATTGACTGGCTGATGTTGCCCATGGAGTAGTGGGTAGAATGAGCACACTTCTCCAATAAAGTCCTAACCCTTGCTGCACCACCAAGACTGCTTTCTTTCTGTCATAAATATCCCTTTACCGCTCCAACCTTAAAGGTATGTTGAGATGCCAGATCCTCTCATACGCATCTCTCCTCATCACCTTCGCTCATAGCATGACCTTTTCTGCGTCTTCTGTTTTTCCAACACTTAGACCTTCCTCAGCCTAAATGGTACAAGCCCATCTGTTCATACACCAGGGCAACTTTCCCACACTAATTTCCGCTGAATAGGGAGATTCAGACCATTGAGTTTTAAGCTGGACACATGCAAAGACAGAAAATCAGTGATTCTATTAGGACCAGTTCTTGGAATCTGATTCCTTTCTAACTTCTAGTTATATTGTGCTTGCACACTCTGAAAGACTGCACAACATAGATGTAATATTATGTTGTTGTTTCCAGTAAACATTAACTACTCTTGCCACCAACCCCACCGTCACCCTAAAACTCTCTTTCACACACCCCTCCTCTCTTTACTCTCCACTTACTCTACTGAGAAAAGTCTATGGATGCCACCCCTGGCTTTTGACAAATCGCTTTCGAGTGGTTTCACTAAAAGCTGGTCTAGAACTTGACCCCTTTGCTCGGCTAATCCAAAAGAGAACTACTGCATTAGCCTGTCCAACTTTGGTTGGCACTGACAGGCTGAAAGCTCTGGACTAACCCACCTTCAGCACAGAGTCATTGCCTCTAAAGATTGGATAGGATAATGTGGAAGTTCACCGGCAGCAGAGGATGCAGACTGCAGGTGCTAGGAAAGTTTGTCAGACAACAGTTCTTTCTTACCAAACAAAGATGCATTGGATTTCGAACTCCAAATATACCCCTTCCTAAGGTATAACTCCTAAATATTTGTTTATGTTTAGATAGCCCCCAGTCTCAGCCATGCATAGTTCAAATAGTGCCCGGAACCAAGGACATAGCTCAAGCAATATTTGTTTAACATTTTACCAGGATGAGGCTGTTCTCTGATCCAGCTCTGAGTCCACATGTGCCGTTGAATAGTCCCGGTCTAGCACGGATGGTTCCTGAGGCCTCTGGAAAGCGTTCTGGGTCATGGACCATAATCTGTAGGGAGAAGGCCGGCTTCCAAGCCCCTCCACAAGCCCAATGAATGGAAGCATATATAGCTTTAAAGATATGCATTCTTCCAGTGGATGGGAGACATTGGGCAGCATCAGGATTCTATTCTCTAAATATTCCAAGTAGTTGATACATATAATTGGCACATTACCTTCAGCACGCGGAGAGTTTCGTTGGTGTCCAATCCTTTGCAGAGGAGCCTCACTCCCTCATTATTAATTCGGTTACAGCTGATGTCCAGGTGTTGAATGGATGTGTTCACTTTTAAAGCTTCGCCCAGGGCCAGAGCTCCTTCATTACCAAAACCATTGTAGGACAAGTTTAGCACCTTAAGCGTGTCATTGACCTACACAGAGGGAGGAAAAGTGAAATACTGACATCATAGGAGAAGAAAGTCCAGCGAGTACCACGAGTGCCAGGTGAATTAAAACATATACCGGGTTATGCACTAAAATGAGAACTCAACATGAATTTCACATTTAAAGGAAAAATAGATTAAATGAACCTTTAAGTCAGCTATGAGACAGATTTGACTGCTAAGAGGGGTGATATGGTCTAGAACCCAGGGTGCGGTCCTGTGTTGGACTTTGGGCATAGAATAGGGCTGGTTTAAGAGGGGCTTAAGTCACAATATGTAAGAGGAGCTATACAATTTACTCCTGGACTGAAGCCCCTAGTCTGTTTGCCACCTATCAATGCAGGCTTCCCAACATTCCCGATTTTGGCAGGACAGTTCCGATTTCAGGGATCTCTTCCAACTTTATTCCCTGGTGTCCTGCTTTTGGGGAAACCAAGAAAGCGACCCCAAAAACCATAGCAAGTTTATCAGTAGACTTTCTCGCACTACACTCACACGTCAAGAGCACTTAAAAACAGGGCTTTCTTCATGATCCACCCTTTGGACAGACCCTTTGGGCAGTGCCTGTGTTGCAACTCGTGTCACTAGACTACCCCTTTTTACCGCACCTGCCTTTTTTGGGCGGTATGGCCACGCCCCTGTCTGCAATCTAGTCCATTGCAATAGTAATAAACACCTGCTTTAAAGGACATAGACATGAGACTAATAAAACATGTATATATTATTTCTACATCTTTACAAACTTAAAGTGCACTGTAGGAGAGAGTTGCAATACTGTTTGTTTTAATTGTTAATTTATTTCTCTTTTTTTTATTTTTTTATTTAACAATCATTTCACTTTTTTAAGGATATACAAGTCGAAATAGACACATGCAGGGTTATTTAGTAAGGTAAGAATTGTAATGAATTCAAAGTGATTTTCAAATTTAAGATCATAGTACCTGAACTGAAAGCATAGATGTATTGAATCATTTTTCCAATTCAGCTATTTTGGCCTTAAATGTAAAATTCTTTTTTATTTTTTTATTCTTTATTTATGCATTGACAGACATTTAGTGTGACATCAATGTCGGCCTACGCAGAAGCCCAGTCACCGATTTCGCTTTGATTATGTTACAGAAAGGAAGGTTAGGTTATTAGTGTACATATTATATATTGTTGGTACATTTCGTGTGGGTTGCGCAGAAGCCGCCATCGCGCAGTTTTCGTTTCGCCTGTCAAAGTTTTTCTTTTATTTTATGTATAGAACGTGAACAGGAAAATATATACAAAAGAAGAACAAAATAGAAGGAAAATATAGTTAAAATTGCACGAGTGAGTAGTCGTCTGTGGGTGGGTGCTCATTCGTTTGGTGTTGCGGACCTGTGCTGTCATCTTGTCCATTAAATAATTATCCCTGATTTTGGAGATTACTAGAGAGATTGGGGGTGTCTCAGGTTTTATCCAGTATTGTGCCAATGCTCTTCAAGCTGCTAGATTAAGCATATTCAATAGTCTTTGATCATGTTTGTCTAGTCCTTCCGTCAGGTCGTAATGGAAGACATGACCAAGGGTCCAGTGTTATTCGTCGGTGTAAGATTCTAGTGTTCATGTCTACCAAACTCTTTAGCTTTGGTGCAGTGCCACCACATGTGGATGTATGTGCTTTTTTCCACCCATAGTCGCCAACAGGTGTCTGTGGGACATAGTTGCATGTGGCATTGTTTAACGGGGATTGTATACCACCGTAGCATTGTTTTGTATGCTTGTTCCTGGAGGGTCGTGCATATAGACACTTTTGCGTTTGCCTCCCATATATCTTGCCACTCTGTCTCCTCCAACGTTTCACCCAGATCTGCTTCCCATTTGTCTGTGTATGTCTGTGTTCCCCACGTTCCTGATTCTAAGCATATGTGGTTGTATAACAGTGAGATTAATTTCACTGGTATTTTTTCTTTTAGGCAGATTTGTTCAAAGAAAGTAATGGGTTTGGCATTTGCCGTTTTGACCTCCATGGTTTGAGCAAAATCTCGCAATTGGACGTATCGGAAGAAGTCGCGGGTTTTAATGGGGCAAGGGTTTGTAAGTGTTGGTATGGTACTAGTTGGTTGTCAATATACAGGTGAGTGTAGCGTTGTAGGCCTGTAGCTTCTATGCCTTTGAAGTCTCTTGCCCTAATTCCTGGTGGGAATGTTCTGTTGCGTAGTACTGGGGTCATTGGGGACGGGAGGTTTGTAAGTTTAAATTTCTGTGCGATTTGGTCCCATAAACTGATGGAGTTTAGAATGGCAGGGCAATCGGTCCGTAAGAGTACTCTATGTTTTCTCGGTGTCCATTTGAGGAACTGTGGGAGGTCTGCGCCTGTCATGAGGGATTCTATGTCGACCCATTGGCGTTGATTTTTGGGGCAGTGCCAGTGGGCTATTTGGGCTATTTGGGCTACTTGAGCTGCGATATAATTATGGTGAAGGTGGGGCATTCCCAGGCCTCCTCTCCATTTGGGATTATATAGTATTGTTTTGGCTATTCTGGGCCGCTTCCTCTGCCAGATAAAGGCGTCTACCGCCTTTTGTATGTCAGCTAAGTCGCTCTTGTTAACTCGAGTCGGAAGTGCTTGGAATAGGAATAGTAGTCTTGGTAGAAGGTTCATTTTTATTGAGTGTAGCCATGTGATGGGTTTGAAATTCTTTTTAAATTCACTTTGAATCCCTTACAATTCTCACTTCTGTGAATAGCCTTAATAGTCATTGTGGCAAACCTAGCCACTTCTGTGTGTAAAAGATTGAGTTGGTTCGACTATTTGTACTTCACGAACAGAATACAGACTGTATTGTTCGTGAGTCGAACCAACTACCGAACGGGGAGACCACCCAGTGGAGTCGTGTGTCTCCAATTAAGGATTGCAACACTTGAAAACCGCAAAGTTCCAAATGGTCGGTTGGGTGGCCGCTGTTCGTATGAACGAACACGTGGCGGCGGCCATCTTTGCGCACGAACAACCAGCAGTGTTTGGTCGTCGAGTGCGTGGAACTAAAATCAGCCACTCAACCTCGCGAACACCGCTGGATTCCATCCTGTTCGTGCATGCGTTTCCTTTCGTCCAAACGTTCTCCTAAATGGAGTGAACTACCATTAGACACACGACTACCCAGTTTATGAATGTTTACATTCATTAGTTTGTTCATGAGAACTCCCGAAAGAAAGACCGGTGAAAACAGTCAATCGCATGGAACTGTTGTGGGGCTTCACCTCGTGGCTGACCGGTCCAAAACTTTACTCAAATGGCTCAAATGGCTTTCTTGTTCTACCGAACGGATCTGAGCGGTATTTCGACAGATTGGGTGCTCAGATCCCTGCTATTCTTTCGTGGAGCTCTGTTTAATATTATGGGAGTTATGATGTTTTGAAATATTGTTCTGTATTTGGGAGATAATCTAATTAAAGAATTGTTCTTACGCAATTATCTTCCAAGTACATAAAAGGATCATGGGAAATATGGCTTTGTTCCCAGTCCTCCACAAGGTCCATCAGCGGGAAACCCCTGGAATGTCATTACAGAAACCCCTTGCATGGGGAATCGCATAAAAGCCAGCTGTGGCTCAATAAAAATCAGTTGACTCCTAAAGCTGTGTTTCGTCCAGTTGTTGGGGAATGGGATTGGAATTACTACGCTACACTTTATTTGCATGCTGATCACGTCTACCAGCGGAGATATTACAGTTCACACTCTCACTCCGCTACAGTCATCTTGATTTTTTTCTGCGTCACTTTAAGCACTATCGCAATCCTACATGATCTGAATGGGGCGTAAAAATCTCTCAGGCAAAGCCAGCCCTCAGAGTTTTCAATCAGACAGCTGAAATGACCAGTTCTGACTGCACAATATCAGTTCTGTCCAACTTGTCAATGCTGCACACACAACTTGGACTGAGTGAAACTGCTTCTAGGAATACGCAACTTATCCCATAAAGCTGGACAGGAGTTTATCGGATAAGAACAGACCCCATAAACCATAATGGAGGCTCCTGATTGGACGCCTCTTCCAGGTTACGGAGGGATCTGTTTGTAGCCGCAGATGCACTTAATTAATCAAGGGAAATTAAAGGTTCATAACTCAACCCTACAGTGGAGCTGCTAAAAGCTTGAGCATCAATTCTATAACTTCATCCCCTTTGCTAAATCAATTTGCTTTTAAATGCTGTACTACATATTAATGGACAGAATTCTATACGGAAGGCTCAGACTCTTTTGAAAATAATGAGAGGTTCTAGATTACTGATACACTTCATGGTTTAGGTAGAAACCTGTAAACCCAGCAAAAGGGGTGAGTTGCTCTTTCATTCCTCCATGGTGTGCTCATGGAGATCATTACCTGCAGTCCAGCACTTAGAGCAATAGCACCCTTCATACGGATGTGGTTCCAGCTCAGATCCAGAACTTGCAGGCCTTCATTAGCAGCTAGAAGAAGAAACATCTGATTAATGAAATACAGCCACCAAAAAAAAAGCTAAATAGTTTTTTTTTATGTTCTTTTTGAAACCTTGATGCAACAGGCTGGATCCTTATGCACTAAGCAGTGAATTCCTGGAGAACTGTAAGGGAATTATATTTTTTTAAAATCTTTCTTTAATCATGACCAGATAAATAAACAAAATAGTCTGATAAATACCAGGAATGTAACGTGGTGCCACATGGAAATGCATAGGGAAGATGGACATCAAAGTGTTCAGGCCATAAGCGAGTATTTAATTTTACCTAGGACAATTGGCGAATAGCCCAAATAGAATGAAAAATAACCAAAGTATAATCAAGGGAATTATACATTTTAAACCACAATAGATGGATTGGGGAAAATGCCCTTTTCATCATGACTATTCTGGCCTAACAATTATAATTTCTTGTATTTTTCCATCGACTTAACACTCTACACACAAAGCTCATCTGCTTGCTGAAGTGCTTATTGTGTCATGACGTTCTCTTTTCCACTGCAGTTTATAAATCACTGCAGAAATGTCTCCCAAGCTGTCAACCAAACTGATTATACTGGGTTACACAGGGTTATTCCCTTACTTACAATTCTAGAAAATTCAAATACAAATGTCAAAATTGAGGCTAAAATATCTGACTTGGAAAAAGTCTCCAACTCAACTTCACTTAGATTTAATTTAGAATTTAGTCAAATTTATGGTAATCTTTATGAGAATAGCCAAACAAGAGATATGTTTAGTCAGAATAATCTAAGAAACAGCACAGCTTACATTTGTAATTTTCTCACCTAGTAGTGGTGTCAGATAGACAGCCACTAGGGACTTTAAACTGATATTGATTGGTGTCATCATGTAAAGTATAACAACACTGGACACTGTATCCAAAGTTTCTCTTTGAGAAGCATTGCATATGTGAATTGTGGCTTCTACTGCGCATGCACATTGTGCCTTCAGTGCATTTCTATGAGAAGCATCAAATTGAACTCACCTAACATTTGACCAAGGTTAGCTCCTCCTTCCTCGCAGAACTCATTGTGACTCAAGTTCAGCTCACTTACTCGGAAATTGGCCTGGAAGAATAAATTTAAAAAAATAATCATCAAACTAAACAGGACTATAAAAAAGAGATTGCTGTGTTACTGTATCTCTATCCCTAGATAGAGGCCCAGTTCCATTTATGCAGTGATGGATGTAGAAGGAAGATCATATATAGATATATAATTGCACTCACCGAGAAAGCCTCAGCAAAATGCTTTGCAGATTCATCTTTAAATTCATTCTCTAGAAAAGGAAATACATGTTATTTAAGCATTGTCAAAAAATTTTTTAAAAGTCAGACAACGGGAGAGAGGAATACACATTCAGAACAATGGAAAAGAAGAAGGCACACAGCCTCAGTTGGATTGGGAAGAAGGTATTGGGCCTGTGTACAAGAAAAGAGGGTAGATTTCAGGCTGTGTTTGAGATTGAGCTAATTTAGTTTTGGGGTTGAGTAGGTAACAGAACCAGATGAATGCTAGGGTTGGGTATGCAACAGAGTTAGCTTAGCGTTAATGTTGAGTAGACAATAGAATTTGGATTCAGTAAGGCAGGCTTCCCCAAACTCCGGCCCTCCAGATGATGCTGAACTGCAACTCCCATGAATCTCAGCCAATCTATTTCATTCATAGAATCATGGGAGCTGTAGTTCAGCAACATCTGGAGGGCTGGCGTTTGGGGAAGCCTGCAGTAAGGGATACAGCTAGTGCAAGATTAGTGTTGAGCAGAGGACAGAGCTGCCTTAGTGTTAGGGTTGAGTAGGGGACAGAGCCAGCACAAAGTTAGGGTTGAGTATGGGATGGAACTAATTTAATGTTTGTGTTGAAGAAGGAACAGAGCCATGATTGTGTATGAAGATCATTAGGCTAGCATAGTGTTAGTGCTGGGTAGTTGGCAAAGTTATGGTAGCATTAGCGTTCTATACGGACACAGACAAGATGTTATTTGGATTAGATTTACACCTACGTGCAAGGTTGATGCGTTGCAAGGAGACGTTTTCCAGTAACATATCGGCAATGATTTGAGAGCCTTGCACACCCAAGTGATTGTGGGAAAGATTCTGGGAGGCAGAAATCATGAAATTCACTTATGAAGAACAGTCATTCTACTTAACATAGCAGCTCAAAATGAATCACTACATTCATCAAAACATCCCAGAAGCATTCAATCAATTGTGAGATGGGAAGAGCTGGAGCCTGAATGAAATGGACACCATTCCTGTTGGCTCCATGCAATTCACTTGGATGACATTATGCATTCTCAGATACTGAACCAGGCAATATCTGCTTTAGGATCACCACAGTGGAGGAGGACATGATATGAGATGCCTCTGCTAAGCTGGCAGCCCCTGAATTGTCCAACAAACAACAGAATATGAGTACAGAATTATCTTCAAGGGTCTCAAGTCTGAAAAACTGTCTCAGAATGTGGACAATCTGAACTAGGACGATATCTGAAGATATTCCAGTTGAAAAACTCCTTCACTTTGTCCTAGGGCTATTTTCTTTGAAATTATTGGCAACAAAGATCAAGTCACTGCAGTCGGAGGGTAGTTTTCAGATGCTGGAGTCCTCCAAGGCACCTGTAAAAACCTCACAAGATGTTTTTAAAGGACTACTCTAACCACCAAACCAACTTTAGCTTATTTAAGCTGATTTGGGTGTTGCAGGCTCTAGAAGGCAAATAATAGAACAGAAGACAACTTCTAAATCAAACACACTGTGCAATATGAAAAAAAAATAGACAACGCAATAACATTTAGACAGAGCCAGATGCCAGAATACGGGACAGATTAAACAATCTTTGTTATGAAGTGTACTCTCACTTTAAATATAGGGCTACCTCCATTTGTGTTGAATTGTTTTTATTACGTTTAAATAAGTTAGGCGTACATACATCATATTCAAACTTTTACTGCATCATCGCCTACGCAGAGGCTCTGCTTGTGTAACAAAGGTAGTAGGAAATGCGCCTACGCAGAGGCTAACTTTTAGCAATGCTTTACAGTGTCGCAGTGTTCTGTGTGTTATCTGCGTATTAACTCGGTTATTTTCAACATTGGCCTATTTCAGTATGCAACTGTGGTTAACTCTTATATAGTCATGTGTGGATCGGCATGTAGTGTTTGGAAGGTCTGTGGCGTTGAGTGTATGAATCCCCGGGATCCTTATCATTAGGTGTTTGGTCCCGTGGGTTTAATCCCTTTTGAGGGCCACTATTGGGTGTAATATAGCAGTCCGAGGTGTCGTTGTCGTCAAGTCATTAATTGGCAGGGTGAGCTAGGGCGATCCGAGTACTTATTGCGCTGTGTGCCCTGGTGTTTCGTTCGTTGGGTTTGGTTGGTTTGGGGTCTGCTGGTGTCTTCCCTCATAGCATTTCAGGTCATAGCCCTGTCAATAATTATTCGTTGTATGGCTAGCCTGTTGCTTGGCCCTCTCTATGGGTTCCTGTATTGAGTGCGGTGTAGTTTTTGGTGCTTGTTCGTGTATATGTTTCCCCTGCTTCCCCATGTCTCGGTGTCTGTGAGGGATGTCGTCCGGTATGATGTCAGGCGTTACTGTGTGGGCATGGTCCTATTGTTTAAGGGTTGAGTGCCATCGGTGTGTATTGATCTGTGTCGAGTGTGTCGAGTAGTGATGTAGCAATTTGAGTGCTGGTCGTGTGACTGCTCTCGGGTCGTGCGGGGGGTCTGGGCAGTGAGGGCAGGTTACATTGTGTGCCTGCATCTCCCAGTCCGAGTGGCGGGGTGCTGTTCGTTACCCTACTGGTTCCTATTCTGACCCGGTTCTTTTGTGGTTGTGTGGGTTGTCTTGATTGAATCTTGTAATTGGTCGGTGATTGGATCATGTGTGGTGATGTGGACGACCGTGGGTCTCGGTTTTATGTGTTACGATATTAATGGCACGTTAAATGTCCGTAGATGTTGTGATTTCTCCCAGCTCAATGCCTGGGTCCCGCTGGAATGTGGTTAGGGAAGTGCATCGGTGTGTCTTGGTCGTAGTAGGCAGTCGTTGACATTGTCCTGTATTTAGTGTGTCTGTCGGGGTGGGGGAGGGAGGTCTCGTGGGTCGGTGGGTTCGCGTCCCCCGTCGCCGCTCCAGGTTCGCCGTCTCCCGGGGCCTCACTCCGAGTCCCTCTGGGTCCGTCTGCGTCTCCCTTCTCGTTCCTGCTTATGGTTCGGTAATGTGTTGTAGGAAATCGTCCGAGTTAAGGTTTCAGAGCCAGTGAAACCAGCGTTTTGTTTAGTTATCTCTTTGTTTTGGGGGTGGTTGCTTTCATGTCTTCGTATCTTCTCATGTCCTCCACTTCCTCTACCCAATGTCTCATGGGTGGCGTACATGTCTGTCTCCAAAATATGGGAATCGTTGCCTTGGCCGTGTTAAGGAGTCTCGGGATGGCGGACCTGGTGTACGTCGGCGTCGGCATGGTGGTGTGGTGGAGGAGAAAGGCGGCTGGTGTCTGTGGTAGGGCCTCGTCTGTTACATCTTGTATTATTTTTCGAGTCGTCTCCCAGAAGGGTCGTATATGGGCGCAATCCCACCAGATATGTTTAATGGTGCCTACCGCTTCTTCGCATCGCTAGCAAGTATCTGGGATCTGAGGGTCTCTGGCGTGGAGGCTTGATGGGGTAATGTACCACCTTGTAAGGATTTTGTAGGAATTTTCTTGTAGTCTCGCCGAGCCCAGCGTTTTCTGTACGTGGGTAATAATCTTGTCCCAGTCTGCGTCCGTTAGGGACTCGTTTAGGTCCTCCTCCCAGTGTCTGATGCATGGAGGTGCTCCATTTGGCCAGAGTGCATTTAATGTTTTCTCTGCTGAACTATATAGGTTTATTATTTTCTTTCTCTCTTTTCCCGCCACATGATATGAGGCATAGGCAGACTGATTATATTTGTTTTTTTCAGAAATGGCTGATTATTTTAAAATATTTTTATGCTTTACTACATATTATGAATGTATACCTATTCGCATTGTGTTGGACTACTGAAAAAAACGTAAAAGTACTCTGTTACTCTACTCATTATAAAAACTCTGACCCATAATAGTTCAAATCACTTGCAAAGTCACTATACAAACATTTACAATGAACTCATGGAGCCACTCCACTCAGCATAACATGCCCAAATCAAGGTCACTTCTACGCATTCATACTCTCCACGCAACACTGTTGTGGACGCCTGTTACCAGATCCTGTATATAGCAGTTTACTCTCATCATATCCATCAGGTGCACTAGTCCCTCTTCCATTATCCAGTTGTCCTCCAAGCTCAGGTGAGTTATGCTAGTGTTAGACTAGGAGACAGAGAGACATTTTGTTAAAGTTCCAGTACAACACTTTAATAATGCATATTACCATATAAATTAAATCATAACAGCTGTGCCAAGCTCTGTCTTTGAGATCCAGAGGACAACCATTGGACATTCTCACCTTCAATGAAATGGCAATCGCACTTGTGCTTTTGGGCCCTAATCCGTGGTGACTCAGTTCTATGTGAGTGTCATTTATATGACGGATAAAATATGAGACTGGTACAATGCCCTCCTGCTGGCACGCTTTTATGTACATCTCACTCAAATCTTTCTTCGTACTGGCCTTTGCTATGTCTGTGAGAAAGGGGAAAAAAAACACTTAGAGATATATGGGGAATTGTGAATAGTTATATTTATTTGCGTTCCCACTGGTGTCTATAATCTCTTGAACGTGAGCAAACACTCACCCTCAAACTCCAGATCTGTGTCATAATCTTCTGACTCCAGCTGTACAGGTGAAACTTTTGAGGCTTCTAGTGAGAGAGTCTCCAATTGCTCCCCCAATTCTCCCATGCTGCTCCAAAAATAACCACTCGGATGCTTTATGAAAGAATGCTACCACGACAAGGCCACAAAGCCACAAATTGGCACGTAAATAATTTGTCCTATTAATGAAAATAGATCATACGGCCCACTGAATGTTCCAAGCTTCTTGTCACAGGGAATATGTGGGCTGTCTGTGCCTCGGTGTAGTTAGGATGTACCTTTCAGTCAAAGTAACTCAACATCTCTGGTTTCATCTTAATAATTTATATTGAATTGGATCCAAGAAAGGGAGGGCTGACACAGCCCAGAGTATCCTTTGCACAGAGCAAGCATGTCTAACGAGACACACCAGCTGCGCTTTTTGAGAACTTCTCTGTGGTGTCTCCAGAAATGGGATAGTAGGACGGAATCTCCAAATCAGGACTGTCCTGGCAAATGTGGGACTTTTGGGAGGTATGGATATGGCACCATATCTCTAATTCTGCTGTAGCTCAGCAGAGCTTCCAAGAAGGAAACAGAGATTAATTTCATCATGTAGCTCATGTTTTCAAATACCTTACGGAATGGTGAGTGATATCAAGGTTTGCATTAACCCCTTAAGTGCCAATAACAATATATCTGTTGTAACAAAATAGTATTTAAGGACAAAAATGAAATGTGTCACTCATTTTAAGGGAGCAGGCCTTTGTACAGTTGATATTGCTAAATAATCATCACATCCCATACTGGGTATGTTATTAAGTATTATTATTTTTTATATTAAAAATAAGACTCCACAGGTAAATCCCATATAAATCAATTTGTTCAAGCATAGATTAACAGGCATTTGATTTGTAAGTCACAGGTAAAAATGGTTTGTGCACAAGTCTAGACTTTAGAGACCAGACTGTAATGACAGCATTACATATTATTGGTCCTTAAGTGGTGAATACCGTTGGTATAGACAATGGAACCAGCGCTTGTATACAAAAGAAAATGTAAAATACAAATGTAACTTATGATAATAAATAGCTGCCAAACATTCAAAGATTCCTATTACCTTAAACACACAAAACAAATTGAGCATGTAGCGCTTATGTGTAAAGAAATTAATCACCTTTTAAAAAACATTTTTGAAGTAAAATGTCACTGGAAAATCCGCAGAGAAAAATGTGGAGAGCTATAGACTTAGCTCTAGTTTAAATAGCTTCTGGGTCCATACAGGTGACCCAAATCCTCCTCACAGTATGTTCCTGAGGTCTGTGGATGAATAGAAATACACCCAATTGCGCAATATCGTTTGTAATATCTTTGAGAAAGTATATATAATCTTTAAGTGGGTACTCACAAGTGTGGAGTCAAAATATATTGACTCAATTTCACAGCGCTGTGCAGATTCGGGACTGCACTCCCCATTCAATATGACGATATCGGGAACCAGGATCGTTTATAATAAGTATGAAGAGATTTGAAGACTATTTCGTTTAGACAATTCACTTATAATAATTTATAACTACGTATGCAAAAAGGATCGGAAGCTCACTACGTTGAGATTATTAAACCAATAGATTGGGGTCTAAACAATAACAATCAGAATAGTTTCCACAATAATTATTTTGCAATATTATAATCTTTTTTGCAACTAGCTAATTAATTTGCTGTTTAGAAAACATTTATAAATTATTGTGGATATTTAAAAATAGAACTCAAATATGTGTTACAATCCTGCTTATCCCCAATTAAAAAGAAAGGGGATATGTAATAGCACTATAATTTAATTTGGGGTTTTTATTATTTATCTTTATTGATTGTATTAAAATCAAGATGTCAAAATGTCGATAGATAACTAAGACTGACAATGTATTTGTTATAATATCATTATGAACTAGAATGGATAAAACAAAATGTTACAGATGAAAGGGATTGAAACATTTGTAATAATAAGAAAATTGATACTGTCTCTGATTTCCTTGTTTTTATTTTATTTTCCTTTTTCTTTCTTTTGCATATGAGAACAAATACTATTCTTTGTTAGATGGACTCTTGAGGACATTAAAGGATTCAACTTTAATACCAAATGATGAGATTTTAAGGTGTATACATTAACTATTGAAAAACTTAGACGAATTGGGATGATAAGAAAGAACACAAGCATCTCTGCTCCCGGTACCGACATGAAAGGGAGGCATGGACCGCACACGTCGTACCGGTGGGTGGTACAGACGTGTGACGGTTAATGTGCTTCGGAATTTGCCCGCCGTTTTTATGTGTATTTAAACCTAAGAAGAGGAGTTCCAGGATTATTGTTGCTTTTATACAATCTGGTTTGAAGAAGCCACGTTTGCAGTGGCGAAACGCGTCCCGGTATTTTTAAGCACATTGAGGCTATTTCATTTATGTATATGAGTGTATAAATAAATAATTGTTTTTATTTTTAAACGATCCTGGTTCCCGATATCGTTATATTGAATGGGGAGTGCAGTCCCGAATCTGCACAGCGCTGTGAAATTGAGTCAATATATTTTGACTCCACACTTGTGAGTACCCACTTAAAGATTATATATACTTTCTCAAAGATATTACAAACGATATTGCGCAATTTGGTGTATTTCTATTCATCCACAGACCTCAGGAACATACTGTGAGGAGGATTTGGGTCACCTGTATGGACCCAGAAGCTATTTAAACTAGAGCTAAGTCTATAGCTCTCCACATTTTTCTCTGCGGATTTTCCAGTGACATTTTACTTCAAAATTTTTTTTTAAAAGGTGATTAATTTCTTTACACATAAGCGCTACATTCTCAATTTGTTTTGTGTGGTGAATACCGTAACGCATAGTGTGGCTGGCATTGTACCTGCACCTCTTCTCATATGTGATTCAAAGCGAGTTAATATGGCATAAATCCATACCTTTCAACATTTCTAATGGACAAAAAGGACACTTAATATTAGGAGTGTAAGTGGGTCTGTGGCCAGGGTCAGAGCCATTCTGAGAAATTTTCGATAATTTACTAATAACCAGTTATGCAACTAAAATGGAGTAAGAACAAGAACAATGTATCTTATTTATACATTTACTGCAGTTTAAAGACACATTACTGTGAATATTATTATCGTCGATCTCTTTCATAAATTCAGAGATACCAAGAATTCTGATCTAAAATAGGTGATATCACTCTTACATTTGGGCACTTGGGATGTATCCAAATGTACAAAAATGAAATAATATAAAGAATATATTATATATTGTACCTCCCAACATTTCAAACAAACTGAGGGACATTTTCATTTAAGGGGTATGAGTGAAAATGTGGCCAGGGGCGTGGATGTTCTGAGATATTTTAGATGATTCACTAATAACAATTTATGATTGATTGCTAAACACATTTATTGTAGTTTAAAGACACATTACTGTAAGTATGATTGCTCTGGAGCTCTGTTTACACTGACATACCAACAATATGGAGCTCATAGAAAAGATGGACATTGGGATAGAAAAGAGGGACAAAGTAGGGACTGTCCCTCCTAACTAGGGACACTTGTGAGGTTTGTTGCATAGCTATATTTCAGCAGGCTAATGTGATATATACAGGATATCAGTGATAATGTTTAATTTTATTTAATTGAGTTATCATGTGGTGTTTGAGGTATACTAGGCACATTATGATGGGTTAGAAGGTGCCATGGTCTAATACTGGATATTACAGCGCTTATTATGGGGTTCAACTCATATCAGGCCATTGTATCCATGATTCCATGATAGGAACATAGTGGTAAACCTGGCCTGTTACTATGGTTACCAGACACCATAAGCCTAGCCTAGAGGCTCAGTGGCACCGGAAGTACGTCGTGTGACAGCCGGAAGTGACGTGCGGGTCCGCTGATCAGCCTCACCCCCTGTGCTGCTTGCTCTCGGTGTGTATATCTGTGCTGGCAGGGATGGGGTTAATGCACACACACAGTGCCATGGAGACAGGTTCCATTCCTGCCATGTGCTCTGACTATGGCACTATCACATGTAACGTGTGGCTCTCACTGGGGACATGTTTACAGACCATATGGTTCATAACACACAGGGTATCTATCCTCTCTGCATCCGGGTAGGACTAATATCACACACTGAGGGGAGAGGGGGGCTAGCTAGGCACTGAGACACTGTGTGTAATAATATATAATAATATTTATATAACTTCACTGTGTACTACAGGAGCCTGGTATATAATCACACACTGAGGGGGGCTAGCTAGCCACTGAGACACTGTGTGTAATAATATATAATAATAATATTTATATAACTTCACTGTGTACTACAGGAGCCTGGTATATAATCACACACTGAGGGGAGAGGGGGGCTAGCTAGCCACTGAGACACTGTGTGTAATAATATATAATAATAATATTTATATAACCTCACTGTGCACTACAGGAGCCTGGTATATAATCACACACTGAGGGGAGAGGGGGGCTAGCTACTGAGACACTGTGTGTAATAATATATAATAATATTTATATAACCTCACTGTGCATTACAGGAGCCTGGTATATAATCACACACTGAGGGGGGCTAGCTAGCCACTGAGACAGTGTGTGTAATAATATGTAATAATATATAATAATATTTATATAACCTCACTGTGCACTACAGGAGCCTGGTATATAATCACACAGTGAGGGGGCTAGCTAGCCACTGAGATACTGTGTGTAATAATATATAATAATATTTATATAACCTCACTGTGCACTACAGGAGCCTGGTATATAATCACACACTGAGGGAGGCTAGCTAGCCACTGAGACACTGTGTGTAATAATATATAATATAATATCACTGTGCACTACAGGAGCCTGGTATATAATCACACACTGAGGGGGGCTAGCTAGCCACTGAGACACTGTGTGTAATAATATATAATAATATTTATATAACCTCACTGTGCACTACAGGAGCCTGGTATATAATCACACACTGAGGGGGGCTAGCTAGCCACTGAGACACTGTGTGTAATAATATATAATAATATTTATATAACCTCACTGTGCACTACAGGAGCCTGGTATATAATCACACACTGAGGGGGGCTAGCTAGCCACTGAGACACTGTGTGTAATAAATATATAATAATATTTATATAACCTCACTGTGCACTACAGGAGCCTGTATATAATCACACACTGAGGGGGGCTAGCTAGGCACTGAGACACTGTGTGTAATAATATATAATAAGAATATTTATATAACCTCACTGTGCACTACAGGAGCCTGGTATATAATCACACACTGAGGGGAGAGGGGGGCTAGCTACTGAGACACTGTGTGTAATAATATATAATAATATTTATATAACCTCACTGTGCATTACAGGAGCCTGGTATATAATCACACACTGAGGGGGGCTAGCTAGCCACTGAGACAGTGTGTGTAATAATATGTAATAATATATAATAATATTTATATAACCTCACTGTGCACTACAGGAGCCTGGTATATAATCACACAGTGAGGGGGCTAGCTAGCCACTGAGATACTGTGTGTAATAATATATAATAATATTTATATAACCTCACTGTGCACTACAGGAGCCTGGTATATAATCACACACTGAGGGAGGCTAGCTAGCCACTGAGACACTGTGTGTAATAATATATAATGATATGTATATAACCTCAGTGTGCACTGCAGGAGCCTGGTATATAATCAGACACTGAGGGGGGCTAGCTAGCCACTGAGACACTGTGTGTAATAATATATAATAATATTTATATAACCTCACTGTGCACTACAGGAGCCTGGTATATAATCACACACTGAGGGGGGCTAGCCACTGAGACACTGTGTGTAATAATATATAATAATATTTATATAACCTCACTGTGCATTACAGGAGCCTGGTATATAATCACACACTGAGGGGGGCTAGCTAGCCACTGAGACACTGTGTGTAATAATATATAATAATATTTATATAACCTCACTGTGCACTACAGGAGCCTGGTATATAATCACACACTGAGGGGGGCTAGCTAGCCACTGAGACACTGTGCTTAATAATATATAATAATATTTATATAACCTCACTGTGCACTACAGGAGCCTGTTATAGAATCACACAGTGAGGGGGGCTAGCTAGCCACTGAGATACTGTGTGTAATAATATATAATAATATTTATATAACCTCACTGTGCACTACAGGAGCCTGGTATATAATCACACACTGAGGGAGGCTAGCTAGCCACTGAGACACTGTGTGTAATAATATATAATGATATGTATATAACCTCACTGTGCACTGCAGGAGCCTGGTATATAATCAGACACTGAGGGAGGCTAGCTAGCCACTGAGACACTGTGTGTAATAATATATAATAATATTTATATAACCTCACTGTGCACTACAGGAGCCTGGTATATAATCACACACTGAGGGGGGCTAGCCACTGAGACACTGTGTGTAATAATATATAATAATATTTATATAACCTCACTGTGCATTACAGGAGCCTGGTATATAATCACACACTGAGGGGGGCTAGCTAGCCACTGAGACACTGTGTGTAACAATATATAATAATATTTATATAACCTCACTGTGCACTACAGGAGCCTGGTATATAATCACACACTGAGGGGGCTAGCTAGCCACTGAGACACTGTGCTTAATAATATATAATAATAATATTTATATAACCTCACTGTGCATTACAGGAGCCTGGTATATAATCACACACTGAGGGGGGCTAGCTAGCCACTGAGATACTGTGTGTAATAATATATAATAATATTTATATAACCTCACTGTGCACTACAGGAGCCTGGTATATAATCACACACTGAGGGGGGCTAGCTAGCCACTGAGACACTGTGTATAATAATATATATATAACATCACTGTGCACTGCAGGAGCCTGGTATATAATCACACACTGAGGGGGGCTAGCCACTGAGACACTGTGTGTAATAATATATAATAATATTTATATAACCTCACTGTGCACTACAGGAGCCTGGTATATAATCACACACTGAGGGGGGCTAGCTAGCCACGGAGACACTGTGTGTAATAATATATAATAATATTTATATAACCTCACTGTGCACTACAGGAGCCTGGTATATAATCACACACTGAGGGGGGCTAGCTACTGAGACACTGTGTGTAATAATATATAATAATATTTATATAACCTCACTTTGTCCTACAGGAGCCTGATATATAATAACACACTGAGGGGGGCTAGCTAGCCAATGAGACACTGTGTGTAATAATATATAATAATATTTATATATAACCTCACTGTGCATTACAGGAGCCTGGTGTATAATCACACACTGAGGGGGGCTAGCTAGCCACTGAGACACTGTGTGTAATAATATATAATAATATTTATATATAACCTCACTGTGCATTACAGGAGCCTGGTGTATAATCACACACTGAGGGGGGCTAGCTAGCCACTGAGACACTTTGTGTAATAATATATAATAATAATAATATTTATATATAACCTCACTGTGCACTACAGGAGCCTGGTGTATAATCACACACTGAGGGGGGCTAGCTAGCCACTGAGACACTGTGTGTAATAATATATAATAATATTTATATAACCTCACTGTGCACTACATGAGCCTGGTATATAATCACACACTGAGGGGGGCTAGCTAGCCACTGAGACACTGTGTGTAATAATATATAATAATATTTTATATAACCTCACTGTGCACTACAGGAGCCTGGTATATAATCACACACTGAGGGGGGCTACCCACTGAGACACTGTGTGTAATAATATATAATAATATTTATATAACCTCACTGTGTACTACAGGAGCCTGGTATATAATCACACACTGAGGGGGGCTAGCTAGCCACTGAGACACTGTGTGTAATAATATTTATATAACCTCACTGTGCACTACAGGAGCCTGGTATATAATCACACACTGAGGGGGGCTAGCTAGCCACTGAGACACTGTGTGTAATAATATTTATATAACCTCACTGTGCACTACAGGAGCCTGGTATATAATCACACACTGAGGGGGGCTAGCTAGCCACTGAGACACTGTGTGTAATAATATATAATAATATTTATATAACCTCACTGTGCACTACAGGAGCCTGGTATATAATCACACACTGAGGGGGGCGAGACACTGTGTGTAATAATATATAATAATATTTATATAACCTCACTGTGCACTACATGAGCCTGGTATATAATCACACACTGAGGGGGGCTAGCCACTGAGACACTGTGTGTAATATATAATAATATTTATATAACCTCACTGTGCACTACAGGAGCCTGGTATATAATCACACACTGAGGGGGGCTAGCTAGCCACTGAGACACTGTGTGTAATAATATATAATAATATTTATATAACCTCACTGTGCACTACAGGAGCCTGGTATATAATCACACACTGGGGGGGGCGAGACACTGTGTGTAATAATATATAATAATATTTATATAACCTCACTGTGCACTACATGAGCCTGGTATATAATCACACACTGAGGGGGGCTAGCCACTGAGACACTGTGTGTAATATATAATAATATTTATATAACCTCACTGTGCACTACAGGAGCCTGGTATATAATCACACACTGAGGGGGGCTAGCTAGCTACTGAGACACTGTGTGTAATAATATATAATAATATTTATATAACCTCACTGTGCACTACAGGAGCCTGGTATATAATCACACACTGAGGGGGGCTAGCTAGCCACTGAGACACTGTGTGTAATAATATATAATAATACTTATATAACCTCACTGTGCACTACAGGAGCCTGGTATATAATCACACACTGAGGGGGGCTAGCTACTATCTACTGAGAAACTGTGTGTAATAATATAATATTAATCTATATAAGATGTTCAATAATAATCTCCAGCCTGTTGTGTGGTATGTTTACACTATAGAGTAGCTTACGAGCCATCTAAGGTGAAAAGCAAGCAAACAAATCTAGTAATATTAAAACAAGGAAAATAACCTTAATTGTATTCAATCAAATGGTTAATATGGCCACCTTTGTAAAGTATTGTGTTAAAGCTATATGTGTGGCAGAATTTTCAGATGGGACCCCTATCAATAGAAGTTGACCTGTTTTTAGTTAATGGTTCATCCTTAAATAATTTGCTTTCTTGCCCACACAGGTTGTTTGATTATATTTGATCCTGAAAATACATAGAACATGGGCGCCGCATCATGATGTCAGATCAGGAGGCTACCACTTGCCTGGCGCTCCACTCCGAAGAGGAGCCACCAGCTGACATTGGCATGGAGCAAGGAGATGCTAAACCTGAAGTGGAGGGTGCAAAATCACTCACAGCGAGCACTTTGGTACCAGTGACAGAGCTTGACGCAACACCAAATACAGAGAAGCAGGAGATTGAGTTGAATGATCCTGCAGTTCTGGAATGGATGGTACAGACCGATAAAACATCAGAAAATGAAAATCACAATGGTATGCTGTTTACAAGCACAAGAATAGCATAAATGGGTATTCTCAACCATTTTAGGATTAAAGTACGCTTAAATTAGAGAAAAATCTCCAACCCACATCTACTTTTTCTTTAATTTTGTAATATTTCAGACTTGTACCTGCCCTTCATACGTTAGTATTATTTGTGTAAAAAAAAAAAAAAATGGGCTTTGGTGCAATGTCATCATCAATTATATGCTGTTGCTTGATGTTCTACCCACCCCTCCCTCCCGGTGTGTCGCCCCCTCCCCCTATTTCTATATATTTTTGTATTTTTTATTATTGGTTTCTTTTCTGTCTATCCTTCATGTTTAATTCCAAGAGAGTGTGAGAGCTTATTATATCTGGTTTAATTTCTATATTTTACTACTTTATTTGTCTATCTGCCCGGTTCAGGGTTATTTTACCCTCTTTATTTCTTTACACTTTGTCTGAGGGAGAAAAACTAAGATCTTTATGTGGGACGCCGACAGCTTAATAGGTCATCCAGTCTATTTATCCATGAATCCCAGTCTTCTATCTGTTTATATCTATTTCCCAAGTTTACTAGTATACCTCTTTCCATTCTTGCTTGCAAAGTTACTTGTTTTATTAATTCATTAATATTTGGAATTGTATCTGCTTTCCAATTTCTTGCAAGGAGTAATATAGCTGCAGTCATAATATGTAATGTCACCATTGATGTTTTCTGTGTCATTTCTGGCCAGTTCAAGTTTAATAGAACACCCACATCTACTTGTTGTTCTTAATACCTTTTTATGAGCAGTTTAAAAATCTCAGTTACTTGAAGCCTTGCTAGAAAGACTTGTATACTCGTATCCAAATTGACATATTCGCTTTAATTACTGCTCGATAAGCACTTCCGATTTTAATAATTACACTTGTTAAAAATAAATAAATAAATATATATATATATATTTTTAACAAGTGTAATTATTAAAATCGGAAGTGCTTATCGAGCAGTAATATATATATATGTATGTATGTATATATAATATATATATGTATGTGTAAAGTAATGTTAGCACTCCAAGGACTTCGAAAATATCGTGAAAAAAACGTAGCTTTTTATTCAGGCATCTGCCACAGAAGATCAACGTTTCAGTTCTCTAAGGAACTTTTGTCAGGATAACCCACAAGTCCATTAACATAATCAATAAACTGTATACAGGCTGTACTCACAATTAACCCCTGGTCTGGTTGCTGCTGCTGCTGCAAAAAAAGGGAATGGTCAGTTTAACGGTCTGCACCTCCTGATTTAGTGAGTAAACCCCACAGTATTGTAAAACCTGACTAACCTGCGCCCTCTATTAAATGTAAATATGGAGAGAAACTGTCAGTTATTGCAATATTGTTAGTTATCTGCATTTTTAAAAATGCAAACAGGTTGCAGGTTCTCAAAGCAGAAAATGTGACCATTTTTAATTATATAGCTTTTGTTAAAGGGACACTATAGTCACCAGAACAACTACAGCTTATTGTATTTGTTCTGGTGAGTAGAATCATTACCTTCAGGCTTTTTGCTGTAAACACTGCCTTTTCAGAGAAAAAGCAGTGTTTACATTACAGCCTAGTGATAACTTCACTGGCCACTCCTCAGATGGCTGTTAGAGATCCTTCCTGGGTCATGGCTGCCTAACATGCATCCAAATTCAGTATGTCCTCCCTCTGCATGCAGACACTGAACTTTCCTCATAGAGATTCATTGATTCAATTCATCTCTATGAGTAGATGCTGATTGGCCAGGACTGTGTTTGAATCATGCTGGCTCTGCCTCTTTGTCAGTCTCAGCCAATCCTATGGGGAAGCATTGTGATTGGATCAGGCCACCACTTCTGATGTCAGCAGATAGCTTGTTTTTTTTAGGCAAACAGCATGCAGATCTACAGCTTCAGGCTTTAATACAGTAAGATTTTGCTATATTTATGGAGCCATGAGGGATCCAGGGGGGCTAGATGGTGGTTTTAGGGTCAGGAATACATGTTTGTATATAGTGATCCTTTAAATCTACTGTTGCAAAATATGTACGTGAGCTTTACTGCTAATTTTTAGGAACCTTTGTCAAGTATTGTAAGGTAAGTGTTATCAAACCTCTAATGCTTTTTTTTAGTGTACCATATTTTTTTGTTCTGTAAAAGAGGAATACATTCAAAGCTGATTTCTGTTAACCTGCATAATTTTAATATTCTGGCATTCACGAGCAACGTATCCATATGTTTGTTGTTGGTTTCAAAGCTGGCTAGGGATCCGGCAGTTCAAGTAAATGTTACTTCAAAAAATAACCTGTGCTTTAGTAATGAAATGGTTAAAATGTGTAATGTGTCCTAAATGTTGTGAAGTGCACGGTGAGATAATATTGTATTGAAATACAGTTAAAGGAACACTCTAGTGTGAAAATTGGAGATAAGGGTTACAAACCTATGGGACATGGATGGAAATTGCCTTGATAAACCAATCCTACTCTTAAAGTGCCCTTGGTGTCATGATGCTGTGCACGAGGACGCTGAACATGAACACTTTAGAACATCAAATGTGCGTAGAAGCATGTTTTTGGACAACATTGCTGTTTTGCATTTTCTGAGAAAAAGGACAGAACAATTTAAGCACCTCAACCACTACAGCTTAAAGGACCACTATAGTGCCAGGAAAACATACTCGTTTTCCTGGCACTATAGTGCCCTGAGGGTGCCCCCACCCTCAGGGTCCCCCTCCCGCCTGGCTCTGGAAGGGGGAAAGGGGTTAAAACTTACCTTTTTCCAGCGCTGGGCGGGGAGCTCTCCTCCTCCCCGTCGGCTGAATGCGCACGCGCGCCAAGAGCTGCGCGCGCATTCAGCCGGTCGCATAGGAAAGCATCCTCAATGCTTTCCTATGGACACTTGCGTGCTCTCACTGTGATTTTCACAGTGAGAATCACGCAAGCGCCTCTAGCGGCTGTCAATGAGACAGCCACTAGAGGATTTGGGGGAAGGCTTAACCCATTCATAAACATAGCAGCTGGGCTGAGATCATCATCATTGATGATCTCAGCTGGGCTGAGCCCTGTGTGTTCCGGAGGGTAAATTGTATTTCCTGGACATGGCAGCACTACAGGGTTATATGTTTGTTTCTACCTGTTGAGTGGTTTTGGTTCATAAAGTGTGCTTTTTTTTTTTTATAAGCTTACATCTGGTGCATAGTAATTTACTTTAGAGTGCAGATTATGTGTTTCTGTTTTGTGCAGTTTCTGGAGGTCTGGTATAAACCTACTGATGATGTGTAGAAAATTAGAATCTGGATACGTTTGACATTATATTAACCAACCATGCCCTAAACCAATATGTTTTAAAAAAAGGTTTTTAATATTTGTAGAATTTGTTTTCATCTCACTGTGATTCAAATATGCTCTAAAGTCTCCACAGGATTGTATATAATGTTTTGCATTAACAGAATTCATATGCAATCTCTGCTTCACACGGTTAATGTACCAACTTCTACTATTGCAAGATTTGCATAGTCTCCTGCAGAGTTTCATTTACACACAGTATTTATACATGTCCTTATGCCCTATTTGGTACACTTTACCCACAATTCCAGATATGTACCGCAACCATGGCTTCAACAGAGTCTGCTGCCAGCACCAAATTTTAATAAGCCCCCTATAAGCTAATACATAAGCTAATGCTTCTCCTCCACATCGGAATTAACTGTTTTTCCTTACACCATATTTACATAGGCTGTTGCCCTTCAAAAGGATTCATATATGATCTTGTTCCTTGGCAGAATGTTTCCATGTTGTCATGCATGTAGTACATATTTATACTGTTCCTGCTGGTGTTTAAATGTCCATGTTCCAATCACCTGAATATTGTACTATGTACTATCGATTCAGAAATTGGTTCTAATTTAATTCTGTACAAAGCGGCTTTAATATTTAACAAGGATTTACCAAATGTTATTGGGGTATTTTGTACTAGAATTGTGCACCTACTCTCACCATCACACCGTGACCATATTACAAAAGCGCAATATAAGCATTCTCTGTAGCTCTTTTGATGTGTCTTTTAATAAGTGCCTTTATAACAGGAAATACGTCATGTTTGGGAAGCTGAGTCAATGTAATTTTTTTTTCTATTTTTGATGTATTTACAATTTGCACTGGAGTTCCTACTGTGGATATGTTTTAATATTTGAACGATAAAAGAAGAAGCTCTTATCTGTCGGCAATCTGTTCATATTGACTTATTTTGATGTGAGCCATTTATGTTCTGATTCTGTCTTGTGCTAGATCTTCTGTGGAGGGACTGGGAAGACCTGTATGAACTAGACAGTACTAGCAAGGAGCTGTTTGACTTCACTATCTTATCCTACAATATCCTCTCCCAGGACCTGGTGGAACAGAACCCCACTCTGTATACCCACTGCTCCCCTATTATTCTGGGCTGGGATTACCGATGGCAGAGCATCCTACAAGAGCTTCAACACTGGGATGCAGATGTGAGTAACACAGTCTAGAACACACTGCATAGGATACAGTGTAACTGTGCATACACAGGTTATAGAGTCTATATCCCTATAATATTTATAAATACCCAGAATGACTGATTTTCACATGAAAGCTCGAATTATAATGTCTGCTCTACTGTCCGTAAACCCCTGCTTTTTTTCCTCTGGCTTCCGACATGCAGTATGTCAATGCTACCTGTATGCCATTTTTGTTGCTCTGTCCCCTTTTTTTCCTCCACCTGTCTTTTTTATCTATCCATGACTAGTATGTCTGCAGTGGTGCGAGCAAGTTTATGGACCCTTCAGAATTATCTATATTCCTGTATTACTTGGATCTAAAATGTGATCTGATCCAAATCCTAATAAAGAGAATCTAGTTAAACAACATTCATAGTGTTTGTTGGAAAGATTATCTGTACCTTTTAGATTCCGTAACTAAATATTTGCGGTACCATCTGTCAGTTGATTGTGCACATTGGCTTTGCAGTGTTGCGTACTGTTCCCGTGTACAGGATGGCTTCCAAACATTGATTTTTCCACGCCTCCTTACAACAGCTGGCTTCTGATTTTGAAATAGCATTCCAGTTGGGTTAACTATGGATTCAGACCATTCCATTCGATTTTTTTTTCTACTGCCTTGGATTTGTGTGTGTTAAAGAGTGTTTTTTTTTGTTGTTTTTTTGTGTGAACTAAATTCTGTTAAGTTTCAAGAAACATTAATCAAAGCAAGAGTGTTAAATACCACCAGCTGCCTGTTGAAAAAGTTCTATACCTGAACTATTTTTGCTTTTTGCTGTTCCGTTCTCAAACAGGCTCCCGTATCCTCTGCTGTAGCATTTGAATAATTCCAAAATAATTGCTATCTAAACACTGAAAGTAAACCTTGGTGGCAAAGTACAGTACTTTCAAAAATATTACACACCTGCTGCCAGTGGGCTGCCAAGCATAACATTTCTTGTTTATTTCAAAAAGTTCTACTTTCATACACTTTCCCCTAACATAACGTTTACCAGTATTCCTCTTGATTATACAGGTAGTCCTTAGATGAGGTGAAAGGCCACCATGTCCTTTTTTTAGAGCAGTGTTGCCCACTTGGCATCATCCCATACACAGTATTCACATGTACTTTATGGTCGGTTATGGCCTTAACCAATGCAGGAAAGGGATGCCTACAAGTCCTGTTGCTTTCATGTCAGCTTTATAGCCAATCCCGACTGGGAGAACAATGATGTTGAACTTCCTCCTTTTAAATATCTGGATTGGAGAAGGCCTATATCTACAGCAGTAGTTTTGGAACAAGAACTTTTCTTGTGTTCTTGAGTTACTCCGAGATCTTTTGATCAGTTCATTATTCTCTTCTCAGGTCTGGCGTGAAGACTATACTGTGATGTTAACAACCAATGTCTGTGTTTAGTTTATAAGGAAGGACCCATAATGAACAAATGATTGAGTGAGATGTTCCAGTCAGTGAGATGACAAACTATCCCCTCAAAGAGTTAATTGTTCTGGGGGTTCTCCAAAGTCTGTTAATGTTGAATCAATGTGTTAATTAAGCACATGGTATTATTTGTCTAACATGATTCTGTTTATCTAATCTTGGAACTTGGTTAACGATCAGATCACATTTGCCTTAAAAAAAAAAAAAGAAAGATAATCTTTCCTTTCATCACTCTATATAGAACGCATTAATTAGATTATTGTGTCCTCCAGGTTCTCTGCCTGCAGGAGGTGCAGGAAGATCATTACAGGGAACAGGTGCAGCCCAGCCTGTCTGCATTGGGTAATATCTTACATTCTAACATTAAACACTGCACTGCTGTGATGGTGCTATGAATGCACTGCTTGTCTCCGTACCGTGAGAGATGGAATGTACTGAATGCCTGGTCTATCTGTTCAGGGTGTTGCAGGAAAGTGCTCTAAACTCCCTGAATCCAAGGGCTGTACTGAGAATGTGCTGAATGCTCCTTTTCTGTCTTCTCTAAGTACAGTGAGAGTCAGAATGCTTTCAGTACTCCCTGTTTGTCTTACCGGGTTCCAATGTGAGAGAGTGTTCTAAAACTGTCTATCTCCTCCGGGTACACTGAGACAGTGTTCAGATTGCTTGCTATCTTTCTCCTCTGGGTATACTGAAAGTGTTCAGAATGCTTCCTGTCTGTCTTATAGTTTTTCTTTTTGTACGAAATTAGACCAGAAAATGGTCTAAATTCTGCTTGTATATCCCATTGGGGTACACTGAGTGCCCTGAACTCTCCTTGTCTGTCTCCTTGGGGTACAGTGAAGTGGGCTTTTCTGAATGCTCCCTATCTATTTCCTCTGTGCACATTAAGAGCGATTGTGCAGAATGCTTACTGCCTGCCTTGTCAGTGTGCAGTGAGAAGAATATGCACTAAACTCCCTGTCTCCTCAGGTTACAGCTGCCACTACAAACGCCGGACAGGCAGAAAAACCGATGGTTGCTGTACATGCTTCAAGCTTTCACGGTTTACTCTTCTTCATGAGAGACATGTCGAGTATTTCCGTCCAGGGATTCAAGTGCTGAATCGGGACAATATTGGGCTTGTTCTTCTCCTGAGCCCCATACTCAAAGAAGGTTTAGAAAAGAGTCCCCACGCACTGTGTGTGGCCAATACTCACCTCCTTTTCAACCCCAGGAGAGGGGATATCAAACTGGCACAGTTGGCATTGCTACTAGCAGAAGTGGACAAAATATCCCAGACATCAGATGGCGCCCATCACCCCATTCTACTCTGTGGAGATCTGAATGCCACTCCCGGCTCTCCACTTTATCGATTTATACGCAATGGGATTCTGAATTACAAGAATCTGCCTGCCTGGAAGGTGAACCTTTTCACATTTATTTAAAAACCTGAATCCAGTTTTTGTTTTTATGTTTGAGTCTGATAACACTTATTTTCCACCCAGGTTTCCGGTCAGGAGAAGTTTTGTCCTACACTACACCCTTGGATACTTTCTGCTCCTCTTTGGCCAGATGCGTTGGGTATCTCCGATCACTGTCAATTTGCTGTAAACCTTAGAAAAACAGGTTAGACATCAATATGGATACTTGGCATCCTGAGAGAGACATTGCATAGTTCAAAAAGGGAAGCATTGCCATAGATGACAATGTGTGACGATTGGTTTCCAGAAAAAAAAAAATATCTAATTAAATATACTTAGATGAGAGGATTCTTTATTAAAGGGACACTATAGTCACCAGAACAACTACAGCTTATTGTATTTGTTCTGGTGAGTATAATCATTCCCTTCAGGCTTTTTGCGTAAACACAGTTTTTTCAGAGAAAATTAAATGTTTACATTACAGTCTAGGGTTACCTCCACTGGCCACTCCTCATATGGCTGCTAGAGGTGCTTCCTGGGGCAGTGCTGCACAGTGCACAGTGTGCAGCACTACCATACAGTGTCTCCGTTCTCTGCATGGAGACACTGAACTTTCCTTATAGAGATGCATTCATCCAATGCATCTTTACGAGGAGATGACTATTGGCCAGGGCTGTGTTTGGCTTGTGCTGGCTCTGCCCCTGATCTGCTTCCTTGATAGTCTCAGCCATTCCTATGTGAAAGCATTGTGATTGGCTCAGAATACCACTTCTGATGTCAGCCATGCAGACAGATCAGAGGTAGATCCATCAGCAGCAGACTGGAGTAAAGGTAAGATTATACTATATTTATGGAGGTCAAGGGGGAGGCCACGGGGTGCTAGATGGTGTTTAACACTACAGAGTCAGGAATACATGTTTGTCTTTAAGTCATACACACAAGCTGAATCACTTTGCAATGGTATTTTATGTGTATTTGCACTTTGTCATACACAAAGTGTACGTGCATTATAAATGTCATGCTGTATGGGGGTCTTGTAAATGGTCATTCTGGATGGTTTATGTACAGGTGTACTGTATAGGGAACTAGTAAAGTGAGTCACACTGTGAGATGTGTTATTAGTTAGGTGACACTGCAATGGGGGTGTAGAATGACTTTGGGAAAAGGTTAGGGGGAAAAAAAAAAAGTTTAAAAACGTTCCTGTTTCAGATAGACTTGTATACACCCGCGAGCAGATCTTACACCTGAGATTCTGTGAGTGTGCCCTTCAACGTCCACCTGAACTTTGCCTGATTGTTGGAGTGACTGACCGACAACCTGGTAAGGATTTTAAAAAGGGGTTTGGGGTTACCCATATGTTGGCCTCTCTCACTCTATTTTCTCTCAGATCCCGACACAGAAACTGTACACATTGCCCCACCTATGATATTTGCTAACAGCCAAACTCCAGTCTTCAGGTATGAACATAGTATTGTAGCAGCTACTTGTAACGGTGGTGTTTAGGACTACTACAGTTTTGTGTTGTTTTCAGGTCTCTGCCTATACTGCAGCACAATTTGCTCCTGACCTCTGTGTACAGTCACTTTCTTGTAGCCAAAGGTCGCCCAGAGGTGACTACTATTCCGTTGGGTATTGGCAGCACGGTGGATTACATTTTCTATTCTGCAGAACCTCTTGTTGAGGACAACACAAGCCACGGTGAGTCCACCAATCTGGCACTAGCCAGTTGATGCCATCTCTGATATTAAAGTAAAAAATACTTTAATTGGTTTTTGTGTCTCTAATTGGTAAGATTCTGCTGTGTTCCTACTGTACTCCTTTCAGGCGTGCGTTTCTATCAAGACAGCAAACTGAAACTCCTGGGACGACTGTGTCTTCTCTCCGAAAATGACTTGTGGCCTGCTCACGGCCTCCCAAACCAATTCTACTGCTCAGACCACCTGTGTTTGCTTGCTCGCTTTGCTCTGGACATTTCTGTACCCTAATGGTGAAAATGTCATAATCTTCTACTCGTCCTACCTTACAAACTTTGGGGTAGAGGGGTTTGTGCACCAACATGTACTGCACGGCTGTCACTACATGTGTGAACTCAAAGAGAGAAACTACCAACCATTCATTTTAAAGCTTTGTTTTTAAGGATGTTCTGTCTGACATGTAAGGTTGCCACATTGTCATTTTTTGTGAGGCACTTATAATTTCCTAGGGCTGTGGAAATTAAAAAAAACATTTTCAAAAAAATAATCTTATTTTCCAAAGGACTAAGGCAGTAGCCCATTCTCTGTCTGTCATGACAGTCTACTTGTCCTGACACACAGAATAATTTCAGTTTTGGGCACTTGCCTAACGTCCAGGACATTGACAGGGTTTTCCCAAATTAAACCAAATGAAAAAACTGAGACACAGCTAAACTGGAAAAATTGCAAACTTGGCTATAGTCACAAGCTTTTGTTTCTGTTTTTTCATTCAGGCTTATTTGTTAGAATTCAGAGTTTAGTGAATAACCTTAAGTGTCTCGCCCTGGTTCTCACTCTGCCCCCCCCCCTTCCACCCTCTTATGGTGTGTTCCAGTTGTGTGAACTTTCTGCGAGAATGGTCCTTGTTGGCCAATGTGGGGTTAATGTTTGAGTTGTGGACAATGTGTTCTGCACTTCTGGTGGGTGCAGACCTTAGTGATCACTTCCTTGCATGCTCGGCACTCAGTGAGTCACAGTGCAACTGCCTGCTCATTAGTGAGCACTAGCTAAAGGCAGAAAAACATTGCTTGTCTGGAACTATATTTCCCATGCATTACATAATACTAATTCCTGCACTCTGTCGGGCAAGATTTGCGTGACAGCACGAAATCCATTGGCTAGTGAAGTTTCCCAGGTATCTCCGCTGTGGTTGGTTTTATTTTTTTTAAGAAACATTTTGTCAGAAGCTCATGGATTCTAAACATACCAACACATAGTTCTTCCTAGCTCTGCCCATCAGAAAGCAGGACTCACAGGGGTCTTTAAAAAACTCAAAACATGACGATCTTGCAACCCTCCCGGTGGCCAACTCCTGGAGGATACAAAGCCTAGTTGCTGTCTTGTTTTCATAGATTCACTTCAATGTCTCTACCAGAAGACCGCCTAACCCCTCACAGAGTTGTTCACATGTTGTAAATGTGTACAGGGGGTTGTATATAAAAGCATTGTATATGTTTGATAAATGATTGATCATATTATGCATTATATTTTTTAAATGAGTGTTGCGATTGGATTTCAGAATGCTATTGCAATATAGGTAAGGGAGTTTTAGATTGCTACTGCAATCTACTAAATGTCTGAATTCTAATTGATTGTTACAATTGTTACAGTTCTGATAAAATAAATTAAAAAGTCTGTCTCCACAAACATCATTTGAAATCTGCTGCTGGAAGGTGAACTTTGCGTTTGTACAGGTCGGAGTGGTCAATGGTCAGTACAGTGTCTTGGAAACGAATTAAGGTTTCTTTCTGTACTATATGTAAGTTGGGCAAAGACTGTGAGAACTCATTTTTTGGACTGTACTGTACTGGTTCTTACGCTGTATCTGGGGGAGTTGGCTGTATACATGAGCGTTAAGATTCAGGTATTTGGAATCCGTTGCATAGGAACTCCAAAAGAAATCAACGGATTAGATACCGACACTGTACAGAATAATTCTGTTTTTATTAGGATTTCAGTGTAAAAGTAGGATAAATAAGGATAAAACGGCAGAGAGCAAAGACTCCCTTTCGAAGAGCGCAGTGACATCACCTATTGGAAGGGGACTGTGATTAGTGGTTTCTGATTGGCTGGCACATGTGGCTTGGTGATAAGGCAATCTACAGTGTGTGCAAATAGCGGGCAACAGGTTATTATTGACCCATGGCCCCCTCCACCCCCATAGCAGTAATTGTCTGGTATGCCAATTCACTACACACAACTGGCCTCAACCCAAGGGGTAACATTTAGGATATTACAAGCTGATCTCATATTCCTGAATTTCGACGTTTCCATCCTGGGATACTCGGTCACAGTCAGACCTTTTATGTAGAGACATATAGGGGATGTTTCAAGGTAAGTATCTGCTGGTACAATGTGGACATCCTTGAAGAGCCAGCCAGAAATTAAATCCGTCAACAGAGCCTGTGTTCCTTGGGTATAGTTATAGGTGAATTATAGGGCTTTACGTCTACTCCATACCAAAGTGATGGGGGAGGTACTTTAATTTACTATTGGTAGTCTTCATCCACAAGATAATCCAGAATGAGTGGGGAGGGGGTTGCTTTCTTGGGTCCAGACTAACAGAGGTCTGTCATACCCGGATCTGGTAACTGTTGAGGTCAGAGAGAGAATTGGAGTCTGAAGGCTTCTCCCCCGATGAACTAGGAAAAAAAAGGAGCATACACAAATTAAAAGAGAACTCGTTAGTGGTAACATAGAGTTATGAGTTCTTTATCACAGGCACCTTCCAAAATTACACCTTGCAGTAATTCACAATAGTGTTGAAACAGAAAATTAGAAAAAAAAAGGAAATGATTGATTCCATCAAAGATCACAAAAAGACAATCTTTTTATGCTAATACAATTTAAGCCATGTGTTGCCTTTATTTGCTTGTTGGTGGAATAAAGAACTTGCCTTTTCACCACATCTGAGTCTAGCGTTTCTATTTCTACTTAAGTATATGTTGTTAAGTTGTGGATAATATTTGTGCATTACCGTCTTTCAGAACGTTCCCTGCGGTGGGGGCTGGATTGTCCTCTTTGTGGAGAGGAGGTGATATCCCTCTTTCGTTCTTTAGGCGGCGATGGGGGTCCCTTTGTTATCTAATTGAAAAATAATTACACAATATTACTATGATAGGTTAAGAACTTAAACCAAATCAACAGTATTCCTCCTTTTGTTCACACATTCAGAATTTCATGAGCTATCACATTTGCAAATTCATCCTGTTTCTTACCTAGTCTTTCCATGCACCTTGTGCGCCCAAGTCTTTTTTTTTTTTTTCTCTAAATCCCCTCCATGTGCACATTCTCAATCATGCAGCCCATATTTCTTTCACTCTTTACATGTAAAGCCACCATCTTTATGCATAGCCATTGTGAAGAGCTGCCCTTACATACCCTGAGTCGCATCTCCCTGCTATGACGTTCCAGCTCTCTGCGCAGTCCCTCCACCCCCAGCTCCTGCACATCAAGCACAGAATGTTTCCAATCGATCTGTTCCACGCTGTGTGGGTCATGGGACACGTAGCGACCTATCTTCACTTTGCGGAGAGTATGCCAGCAGCGGCTGTATGCTTCCTGAAAATCTGTTAGTAGATCATTAAGTGTACGGTGCCGCAAAGGCTTGTACATCAGACCCTCACGCCGGCTCATCCCCATTGCTCCAAAATGGCCACTCCAGTGGAGACCCAGTACAATGTGCCTGAAACATCCTCCTGAAAACTGGGTCTTGAAGCTAATCGGAAAGCGCTCTAGACCAGAGATGTTGTTTGTTAGGTATCTGTGAATAGATGCTTAGGAAACCAAATGACCCTGATTCGTTTCACCTATTATCTCTACATTACACACCGTGCCCTTGATAAGTTAAAAACTAACCTCGTCGTCCTACTTGATTTACCACTCATTTTACATATCCTTTAGATCAGGCTTAAAAGTTCCACTCTCTACTAGCAATTGGCAAGTGAACATTTTGCCATGGCGAGCAGAAATTCACCCCCGATGAGTGTGCATTGGACTTTCCATGCCTGCCGTGGTGAGTCAATTTTAAAGACTGGCTAGAAGTGTAAGACTTGACAATTTTGAAAAAGCACAATATTAATTACTTTTTGTTGCATTCCCAATTATTTCATCCATCTCTCCTCTGATTTAGAAACAGGTGGCTAAGAACCTGACAGTGAGTCAGTTCCTAATCCCTAAGGCTGTTTTATGGGGATGTAGTGCGCATACGTGGCATCCCAAAACGAGCATGGATAATCCTTGTACTATGCTACAATCGCTCTCCAGCATTTCTATTTCTGAAAAGAAATGAATGGGGTATATTCAGTAAATCCGTGATTGTTGGAGACTGACCCAAATTTCAGGGCCAATAGGCAAGCAGAAAATAATAGCTATATTGGCATCAAATTCCCTAGACAATTCTCCACAATTGCAGCTTGATTTGTCTTTAGGAAAATACTTTTAAATTGGTAAAAGAGGATTCCCCCCCACCCTTTTTTTAAAAGTTTCACAGAAAATATCAATACATGTCCTTGCCAGGAGCAATACCTGCCACAGAATCTTCATGCTACATACAATTGTTTAGGGGTCTTGCTATTGGCCATTGGTTGACATTGTCTTAAGTGTATATAAATATGATATTTTGCCCTTCAGGGAAGGATACATAGCCAGAATGACTGCCTCCAAGCATTTGATTGGCAGGGCCTCTTTGGTCATCTCTTTGGCCAGGTCCATTAGTCTGTAAAAAGAGAGAAGAAAAGATCAATATTTCCACCATTTAAAGGAAATTTAACCTCCCCTGTTCCATGGCACTGTTATATAAAGCCAAACTCACCCTGTCAGGGGTCGGGTCTTTTTAATTTCAAAGAACTGAGTGCCTGTGTGATTGTATCTGCAGCCAGACGTAAAAGAAATGCACAGAGAATAATGTATTCCATAACTTCAATATAATCTTCATTATAGCACCTCCTATTACTCCATATGATCCTCTGTATAACACTGCTATTACTCCATATCATCCTATGTATAACACTGCTATTACTCCATATCATCCTATGTATAGCATCTATTACTCCATATCATCCTATGTATAACACTGCTATTACTCCATATCATCCTATGTATAACACTGCTATTACTCCATATCATCCTATGTATAGCATCTATTACTCCATATCATCCTATGTATAGCATCTATTACTCCATATCATCCTATGTATAGCATCTATTACTCCATATCATCCTATATGTAGCACCTACCATTACTCCATATCATCCTATGTATAACACTGCTATTACTCCATATGATCCTCTGTATAACACTATTACTCCATATCATCCTATGTATAACACTGCTATTACTCCATATCATCCTATGTATAACACTGCTATTACTCCATATTATCCTATGTATAACACTGCTATTACTCCATATTATCCTATGTATAACACTGCTATTACTCCATATCATCCTATGTATAGTATCTATTACTCCATATTATCCTATATGTAGCACCTACCATTACTCCATATCGTCCTATGTATAGTATCTATTACTCCATATCATCCTATGTATAGCATCTATTACTCCATATCGTCCTATGTTTAGCACCTACCATTGCTCCATATCATCCTATGTATAACACGTACCATTACTCCATATCATCCTATGTATAGCACCTACCATTACTCCATATCATCCTATGTATAGCACCTACCATTACTCCATATCATCCCATGTATAGCATCTACAGTTGCAAGAAAAAGTATGTGAACCCTTTGGAATGATATGGATTTCTGCACAAATTGGTCATAAAATGTGATCTGATCATCATCTAAATCACAGCAATAGACAATCACAGTCTGCTTAAACTAATAACACACAAAGAATGAAATGTTGCCATGTTTTTATTGAACACACCATGTAAACATTCACAGTGCAGGTGGAAAAAGAATGTGAACCCTTGAATTTAATAACTGGTTGAACCTCCTTTGGCAGCAATAACTTCAACCAAACATTTCCTGTAGTTGCAGATCAGACGTGCACAACGGTCAGGAGTAATTCTTGACCATTCCTCTTTATAGAACTGTTTCAGTTCAACAATATTGTTGGGATGTCTGGTGTGAATCGCTTTCTTGAGGTCATGCCACAGCATCTCAATCGGGTTGAGGTCAGGACTCTGACTGGGCCACTTCAGAAGGCGTATTTTCTTCTGTTTAAGCCATTCTGTTGTTGATTTACTTCTATGCTTTGGGTCATTGTCCTGTTGCAACACCCATTTTCTGTTGAGCTTCAGCTGGAAGACAGATGGCCTTAAGTTCTCCTGCAAAATGTCTTGATAAACTTGGGAATTCATTTTTCCTTCGATGATAGCAATCCGTCCAGGCCCTGTCGCAGCAAAGCAGCCCCAAACCATGATGCCCCCACCACCATACTTCACAGTTGGGATGAGGTTTTGATGTTGGTGTGTTGTGCCTTTTTTTCACCACACATAGTGTTGTGTGTTTCTTCCAAACAACTCAACTTTGGTTTCATCTGTCCACAGAATATGTTGCCAGTACTGCTGTGAAACATCCAGGTGCTCTTGTGCAAACTGTAAACATGCAGCAATGTTTTGTTTGGACAGCAGTGGCTTCCTCTGTGGTATCCTCCCATGAAATCCATTCTTGTTTAGTGTTTTACGTATTGTAGATTTGCTAACAGGGATGTTAGCATTTGCCAGTGACTTTTGTAAGCCTTTAGCTGACACTCTAGGATTCTTCTTCACTTCTTTGAGCAGTCTGCGCTGTGCTCTTGCAGTCATCTTTACAGAACGGCCACTCCTAGGGAGAGTAGCAGCAGTGCTGAACTTTCTCCATTTATAGACTATTTGTCTTACTGTGGACTGATGAACAGCAAGGCTTTTGGAGATACTTTTATAACCCTTGCCAGCTTTATGCAAGTCAACAATTCTTAATTGTAGGTCTTCTGAGAGCTCTTTTGTGCGAGGCATCATTCACATCAGGCAATGCTTCTTGTGAAAAGCAAAGCCAGAACTGGTGTGTGTTTTTTATAGGGCAGGGCAGCTGTAACCAACACCTCCAACCTCATCTCATTGATTTGACTCCAGTTGGCTGACATCTCACTCCAATTAGCTCTTGGAGATGTCATTAGTCCAGGGGTTCACATACTTTTCCCACCTGCACTGTGACTGTTTAAATGGTGTGTTCAATAAAAACATGGCAACATTTCATTCTTTGTGCAACTGTATTACTCCATATCATCCTATGTTTAGCACCTACTATTACTCCACATCGTTCTATGTATAGCACCTACTATTACTCCACATCATTCTATGTATAGCACCTACTATTACTCCACATCATCCTATGTATAGCACCTACTATTACTCCACATCATCCTATGTATAGCACCTACTATTACTCCACATCATCCTATGTATAGCACCTACTATTACTCCACATCATCCTATGTATAGCACCTACTATTACTCCACATCATCCTATGTATAGCACCTACTATTACTCCACATCATCCTATGTATAGCACCTACTATTACTCCATATCATCCTATGTATAGCACCTACTATTACTCCACATCATCCTATGTATAGCACCTACTATTACTCCACATCATCCTATGTATAGCACCTACTATTACTCCATATCATCCTATGTATAGCACCTACTATTACTCCATATCATCCTATGTATAGCACCTACTATTACTCCACATCATCCTATGTATAGCACCTACTATTACTCCATATCATCCTATGTATAGCACCTACTATTACTCCACATCATCCTATGTATAGCACCTACTATTACTCCACATCATCCTATGTATAGCACCTACTATTACTCCACATCATCCTATGTATAGCACCTACTATTACTCTACTATTACTCCATCATCCTATGTATAGCACCTACTATTACTCCACATCATCCTATGTATAGCACCTACTATTACTCCACATCATCCTATGTATAGCACCTACTATTACTCCACATCATCCTATGTATAGCACCTACTATTACTCCATATCATCCTATGTATAGCACCTACTATTACTCCATATCATCCTATGTATAGCACCTACTATTACTCCACATCATCCTATGTATAGCACCTACTATTACTCCACATCATCCTATGTATAGCACCTACTATTACTCCACATCATCCTATGTATAGCACCTACTATTACTCCATATCATCCTATGTATAGCACCTACTATTACTCCATATCATCCTATGTATAGCACCTACTATTACTCCATATCATCCTATGTATAGCACCTACTATTACTCCACATCATCCTATGTATAGCACCTACTATTACTCCATATCATCCTATGTATAGCACCTACTATTACTCCACATCATCCTATGTATAGCACCTACTATTACTCCATATCATCCTATGTATAGCACCTTCTATTACTAGCCTTTTATCACATGTATAACCCTCCAATGGAAGTAGTTTTACTCCTGTATCTCATTTTAAACCCTTTACTTCCACCTTTATAATGTTTGGTGCTCTTCACGTTATATTGCTCCATTCATCCCTCACTAAAACCCATATTGCACACAGATTAAGGATACTGTAACTCTCGAATGTATCTCTGGATAGCCTCCACGCGCTCTGGAACGGAGGCACCTGCAGGAAGCACTGGAACGCAGGGTATGGGCACCTAGGAGCAGAAACATGAGAATAAGAGCTCTAAATAGTGTTATTCCTTTAAATGTCAGCTATGCATCTATATATAATATGGTTTCATTACAGAACCAAGGCATGTGCTATATGCCACTGTGGGCTTACAGATATAAGTCCTGTGTGAAGCACATTATATGGAGCAAGCAGGAGAGAGTTCTACGTTGGCTGGTTGTGGGAGCAGACAGGAGGAAGTATTGGCTGGCTGTGGGAGCTCACAGGAAGAAACATTGGCTGGCTGTGGGAGCAGACAGGTGGAAACGGCTGGATGTGGTAGTGTCGAAGAGGAAGCATTGGCTGCCTGTGGGAGCGTGCAGGATGAAGCATTGGCTGCCTGTGGGAGCGTGCAGGATGAAGCATTGGCTGCCTATGGGAATGTGCAGAAGGAAACGGCTGGTTGTGGGAGCGTGCAGGAGGAAACGTTGGCTGGTCGTGGGAGCAGACAGGAGGAAATGGCTGGCTGTTAGACCAGACAGGAGGAAACGTAGGTTGGCTGTGGGAGCAGACAGGAGGAAACGGCTGGCTCTGAGAGCAGACAGGATGAAGCGTTGGCTGGCTGTGGGAGCGTGTAGGGGGAAACGTTGGCTCACTGTGGGAGCAGAGAAAAGGAAATGGCTGGTTGTGGGAGTGTGTGGGATGAAGCGTTGACTGGTTGTGGGAGCAGACAGGAGGAAGCCTAGGCTAGTTGTGGTAGCATGCGGGAGGAAGCCTTGGCTGGCTGTGGTAGCGTGCATGTGGAAACGGTAAGCTGTGCGGTGTGAAGAAAAGCTTGATGGTTGTGGTAGCGTGCAGGAGAAAGTGTTGGCTGGCTGTAGTAGCATGCAGGAGAAAGTGTTGACTGACTGCGGTAGCGTGCAGGAGAAAGTGTTTGCTGGCTATGGGATCATGCGGGGGAAATGGTTGGCTGTGGTAGCGTACGGGAGGAAACATCTGGTTGTGGTAGTGTGCAGGAGAAAGTGTTGGCTGGCTACGGTAACGGATGAGGGAAACGTCTGGCTGCGGCAGCGTGCAGGAGAAAGTGTTGGCTGGCTGTGGGAGGGTACAGGAGGGAACGGCTGGTTGTAGTAGCGTGCGGGTGGAAACGGTAAGCTGTGCGGTGTGTAGAAAAGCTGGATGGCTGTGGTAGCGTGCAGGAGAAAGTGTTGACTGACTGCGGTAGCGTGCAGGAGAAAGTGTTGGCTGGCTGCGGGAGGGAACGGCTGGTTGTAGTAGCGTGCAGGAGAAAGTGTTGGCTGGCTGTGGGATCATACGGGGGGAAATGGTTGGCTGTGATAGCATATGGGAGGAAACATTGGTTGTGGTAGTGTGCAGGAGAAAGTGTTGGCTGGCTGTGGTAGCATGCGGGAGGAAATGGCTGGCCGTGATAGCGTGCGGGAGGAAACGACTGGCTGTGGTAGCGTGCGGGAGGAAACAGCTGGCTGTGGTAGCGTGAGGGAGGAAACGACTGGCTGTGGTAGCGTGCGGGAGGAAACGGCTGGATGTGATAGCATGCGGGAGGAAACGGCTGGCTGTGATAGCGTGCGGGAGGAAACGGCTGGTTGTGATAGCGTGCGGGAGGAAACGGCTGGATGTGGTAGCGTGAGGGAGGAAACGGCTGGCTGTGGTAGCGTGCGGGAGGGAAAGGCTGGTTGTGGTAGCGTGCAGGCGAAAGTGTTAGCTGGTTGCAGTAGCACGCGGGGAGAAATGGCTGGCTGTGGAAGCGTGCGGGAGGAAACGTTGACTGGTTGTGGTAGCGTGCAGGACAAAGTGTTGGTTGGCTGCGGTAGCAACGGCTGGCTATGGTAGCATGCGGGAGGAAACAGCTGGCTGTGGGGGAGAGTAAAGGTGTTTTTGCAAGCTGTGGGAACATAAAGGGGATGTGGGTGCTGCACAACTATGAGAACATGCATACCAGTACTCTACGGTTGTTGGAACATATAGGAATGAGAGGTGCATAGCACAGTGAGCATAAAGGAAGAAGAGTTTCTGAGCAGTGAGATCATACAGGAAACTGTGCTGGGGAGCACACATTCTGTGTGAGTGTGAATGGAAGCAGGGTGGGCTGCGTTTATGCAAAATATCATAAATTGAGAGCAGGGCCCTCAACCCTTCTGTTGCTGTGTCTCCAACTTGTCTGGTTATAAATACATGTCTGTTAGTCTACCCATTGTACTGCGCTATGGAATTTGTTGGCGCTATATAAATAATAATAAGACAGTTCTGACGGGTAGTGGGAGCATGCGGATGGAATCCTTATGAAACAGTGGGATTCCGTAGTAGATAAATCTGAGGGGCATAATCGGGATAGTGTGAGCAACAGTGTGATGTGTAGGGTGAGAGAGAGCTGGGCAGGATGCTCCTTAGTGATGGCAGTATACAGAAGGGGAATTTCTGTGAGTTGGATGTGATACAGCACAAAGGTCATGCCCACGGCTTCTGTAAAGCAATGACATGCAGAGAGTGTGATCGTACCGGCCAAACGTGACATCTGCCAGAGAGAGCGCGCTGGGAGAAACGCTTGCTCTCACATCTGGTCACCACTCCCTTCTACACAGAGATGCAGGCGCTCAGTAATAAAGTCTATTAAGGCAGTTACAGCGTGCAGGAGAGGGATTTCACATTGCCAATACAATACAGCATTAGTGTGATTTATTCACTGCAAACTGAGATGAACAGCTACAGCCCTCCAGATATTGTACCAGTAAACCATATTTGGACAACTCTGCTTCAATTATTATCCTCTATAGTGCCAACATATTCTGCAGTGTGCTATAAATTAAGTCGTCTTATAAACAGCAAATGTCAAATTGAGGAGCCCTGCTCAAACATGCATACAATACAGTACTAGTTATTGTACATGGCACAGTGATCTCACCATGATAAAGGATGCATGTAGAGGCATGACGGGGGTTTATTCACTAAACTTCAAATTGTAGTGCGTTGAAAACTGAATTGCAATGGCCAATTTAAAATAGCCAACCTGTGCGCTATAGCGGAGTTGGCAAATTTTTCCAAATTAGCACTTTTTTTTTCCCCATTCAAATTTTTTGTCTCCGTATCCAAACTGGAACCCGCCTCCAAGTGAGCTTTGTTTTCAGTGTAGTTGTTTTGACCTACAATTTGAAATTCATGACAATTCACACTTTAGTGAACAACCCTAAGTTCTTTATTTTATAGTTATCATAATGCCCTCCCAAGTACCCTTGGTTTAATGCATGCCGGCTTTTGCCAACTTACCCGGGGAAGCTCTGGAGCTCCACGAATCGATTGTGCCAGGTTTTCTCCATCAGGGTGAATCCGGGCCACGTATGTCCACATTCGCTCCCACGTGGGTTCGTCCACAGGGAGACCTCCTCTGTTCACAAAAAATGGGACCCCTCCATCCTCATCAGCACCTCCGTTCTGAAGCCCTTCACCCTCAGACATCCCAGCTCACCCCGCCTGTCACCGATTTGCAAAATACCAACACATGCCCCCCTGGCACTAACCCTGTTACCTACTTTCACATGCAGCTCACAGGCCCCCATGTACAAATTAATGGCATCCCATGACTGCATAATATCCCTCAATGTCTGCCATGCTCCTCATCCAGCAGCGAGAGAGTGCTTCCATAGAAATCAGCTCCCTATAATAATCCCCGTTATGTGCAGGCCTAAAAGCCCAGCCCCTCTCCCAGGACACAATGAGTGGGCAGAGACTAGCTCTGGCTGCCCCTCTGACATCACCATGTCACGTGACAAGTCTGCTCACATGAGACAACACTAATGAGGAAGCATGCAGAGAGCATGTCTGCTCATTGTGTTCCTCTCACTGAACTCTGTATCTGTAGAGGGATCCCTGACTGCTTAGCATTTTATGGGCGTAGATTGCTTTTACAACAAAGCTTTATTGCCTTACGTAACATTGTCTCAATTTTGCTTAAATATCCTGACTCATATTCTTAAAATTAATATTTTATTGTCGAGTTTAATGATAATGGCTTTGTTTTCATGCCTGTTCACAAAAGTAGATGAGTTCAGGCTTTATTTTGATTGAAAATGAGACACATTGTCCGCCGTAAGTGACACTTTAGAAATGGACAGGGTCAATATTTGTAGGTTTGATATTGCTCAACACTCTTTGTTGCTTAGTGGTATGGTACATTAACGGACCACTGTCATTAAAATGTTTTACTATCGTAGTAGAATCTTTGTTATAAAATTCCATCTCATGTTTAATTTATTTATATTGTTCTTTTGAAGAAAGCACTATTTTGCAACTGTTTGCTGTCTGTATTATTATTATTATATTTTATATAGTGCCAACAAATTCCGTAGCGCTTTACAATGGGTGGACTAACAAACATATAATTGTAACCAGACAGGTTTGACGCACAGAAACAAAGGGGTTGAGGGCCCTGCCCAATAAGCTTACATGTTAGAGGGAGTGGGGTAAAGTGACACAAAAGGTAAGGGGGGAAGTAGATTGGCAGAATAGTATTCAATGAAGACTTAGTAAGGTTTTTTTTTTTTTTTTTGAAGCCATTAACATAAGTGATATGCTTTTGTGAAAAAGTGAGTTTTTAATGATTTTTTTTTTTTTTAAAGGAGTGGAGACTGGGTGAGCATCGAACGGAGGAGGGAAGTGGGTTCCACAGGAACTGTGCAGCCCTCGAGAAATCTTGAAGGCGAGCATCAGAGGTGTGAGTACAGAGAGAGGATAGACGCAGGTCTTCGACAGAGTGTAGGGGTCTAAAAGGGTCATACGTGTGTATTAGGGAGGATAAATAAGTGGGAGCAGCATTATGTAGAGATTTGAAAGCAAGAACCCAAATTTTATATTGAGCTCTATATGTTACGGGAAGCCAGTGCAGGGACTGACAGAGGGGTGGGAGGTGCAGGCGGACAGGAAGAAGAGCCTCGTCGTCGCATTCATTATAGACTGCAATGGGGCAAGTTGGGAACACGTAACATCGCTGAGAAGCAGATTGCAGTAGTCAGGGCGAGAGAGGACAGTGGCATGGACCAGCACCTTAGCCACATATAGCGTTAAGTAGGGGCAGACGCGTGCAATGTTTTTGAGATGGAAGTGGCAGAATTTGCAGATCAACTGGACATGAGGAGTGAAGGAGAGGTCGGAGTCAAATCGAAAACCTAGGCAGAGAGCCTGCATGGTGGAGCTGATGGTAGCACCATTAACGTGGAGGGAGACCGAAATAGGGAGGGAGGAAAGACCAGAAGTTCTGATTTGGACAAGTTGAGCTTACACCTGTAATATAATCAAAACTGATAGAGACTAAATGTTTTTTTGCTTTAATATTGACCTTTTTATCCTAATATTAATAATGAAATCAGTGGAGGCTTGGTTTTAATAACATTTTGGTGGCATAACTGGGAGAAAAAAAAAGGGTTGATGAGATTAGAATTGTGATTTCTTTGTTAACTGTCGTACTTTAGTAGCAGAAAGTCCTAAACCATTATTGATTGATTGGTTATCGATGCTAGATTATAAAGTAGTATTTGATACCCAACAGACATTATAAGATGAAGAAAAGAAATGGCGATTGCCAGTGGTCCAAGGGCTGCTGCTCCGAAAACACTACCTACCAACATCAGAACCTAAGAGACTCGAAATATATATAGTTATTAAAATCTGTAGACACAAGTCACAAAAAAAAAAAACAGAGGGGAAAAAACCAAAACAATATAATATAATAAATACCCAGGCATGAAAGTCTTTGACTGACCCCTAGTGGCCTCTATTAGGTATAGAAACCAAGTGATGATAGTCTTATTATGCCCTGTTTCCACTGGGTGGTAGGGTCCGGGTTGGTACAGTCTGGTATGCTAGTATGCTGCAGAATAACATTTATATATAGATAAAGACCATACAGCCCATCAATTAATCTCTTTAGAATAAAAAGACCCATGAAATAGTACAGAAGTGAAAGTGTTGAGGGGTGATATGTACTGAATGCCAGAAGAGGGGTGGGGGAGATTGTGTTGTACAATCACAAATTCAATATTTTTCACTTTTTTAAAATATACCTATGGTTTTCGTTTGTTTGTTTTTCCGACTGAATTTGTTGATTTGTGATTAAAGATATTAGTTAAAGGATCACTATAGTGTCAGGAAAACAAACTCATTTTACTGACACTATATACTCCTCAGGACCCACCTCCCTTGGCGCTGAAGGGGTTAAAACCCCTTCAGTTACTTCCCTTAATCCAGCACCGGGCTCCTTCGGCGCTGGTGACGTCTCCTCCCCTGCCGACGTCAGCTCCCGAGTGGAGCGGAATGCGCATACGCGGCAAGTGCCGCACGCGCATTTAAACAGTCCATAGGAAAGCATTTCTCAATGCTTTCCTATGGACGTTCTGCACGCTGGATGTGAATTTCGCATCCAGCATCGCAGATGCGCCTCTAGCAGCTGTCAGAAAGACAGCCACTAGAGGTTGAATTAACCATGCTATGTAAACATAGCAGTTTCTCTGAAACTGCTATGTTTACATGTGAAGGGTTAAAACCTGGGGGACCTGGCACCCAGAACACTTCATTGAGCTGAAGTGGTCTGGGTGACTATAGTGTCCCTTTAATGGTGAAATACATCAAAGTATGGTTCTGTTCTGTTCAGACATTTATTCATATACCCATGGTTAGAAGGAAGGGGATTGATAATTTGCATTTGCAACCCTCTCAAAAAGGAAAGACATCCAGGTGAATCTCAATTGCTTGTTTATTGAGACGTTTTTTTGTAGGAAAGCAAATATCCGTGATTTCAAATCAAGCTGTAACCTAATACTGTCCATCTTCCAGCTTAAGGGTAGTTCATAATGCTTATATTCATAAAGTATATACTGTTTTAAGTGGTAATTGGAGGAAAAGTGATTTGTGCTTAGTTTGCGGTTTCTTGGGTTGTGAAAATGTGAATAAATTAGATGGAGATTATGTCTACGCAGTCAGATTAGAAAAATATAGCCGAGTCGGTTATTATTTTATTATTATTGAATTTGGCTATGTTGGCATTACATTTGCAATTCTTGCAACTCCATCATTTCTTGTAAAGTGAATAACCTTATGTGCTACCAGGCTCATTTTCAAATTGTGAAACATCTCTAAAGTGCAATATATAAATTCTAAAAGTGCTCCGGCACACTGTGACGTATGACAAGGCTGTCCACAGTCACCAGATGTCTCAACCACATACATAATGAAACAAAACAGAATATTGCTGGACATTAATTACCAATTTTTTTAAAATATTTTTTTTACAGTTCCAGACTTTTCTCTATATTTGAAGTTGTTGCGTGCAAAGTTCTTTGCTTGTGAGACGTCATATAGTAAAAATCTAACTACAGTTAAGACTAGTTGTATCATTCTGAGCACTGGGTGACGTTGATTCAGTGCAGAAATTTAGTTCCAAATGTCAGACAGTGATGGACGTTGTGTGCAGTGTTTAACATCCAGTAATGGGTCAGTCTTGCACAGTGTGCATTTTGCTGCATAGATCCTGAAGTGTGTGAAGTTGAGGACTCTGTGAGTGTTTCTGCAGATCTAAACATGGATTATTTTTGGATATATGTGCAGAACTCAAGACATGGGTCAGCCATTTGTTCTTTGTGTGCAATCCTGCAGATCCATTCAAAGATCAGTCCTAGGCTCCATGGGCCAAGCTGCAGGTGAGCTGCACATAATGTCATAAGCTGCTGACCTTCATAAGCTGCTGAGCACTTCAACGTGATCAGTGGGTACCCCTGTCAGGTCATACTTTAGCATCTAACATTTCCAGGAAAAGTTTGTGCATTGGCACTCTGCCCTGAGCCCGCACTGCATGGAAGTGCTGCACAGCTCGCATGGCAGTTTGACGCAGAAGGGGAAGCGTGAGCAGGAGCTGCCCAGCTCTGTGAGATTCGTTTGCATGTTGAATGTTCTCATAATCTTGCAAAGCTTCCTGGAGACAGTCCTGCAGATTCTGTACTCGATGTACATCTTCAATGTGGGCAGAGTCTGAAACAAGAGCTGAGTGAGAGCTTGTGTGCTAATAACAGGGTCAGGGCTGGTGAGTGGGAGCTTGTGTTCTAATAACAGGGTCAGGGCTGGTGAGCGAGAGCTTGTGTTCTAATGACAGGGTCAGGGCTGATGAGGGAGAGCTTGTGTGCAAATAACAGGGTCAGGGCTGGTGAGTGGGAGCTTGTGTGCAAATAACAGGGCCAGGGCTGGTGAGTGAGAGCTTGTGTGCTAATAACAGGGTCAGGGCTGGTGAGGGAGAGCTTGTGTGCAAATAACAGGTTCAGGGCTGGTGAGCGAGAGCTTGTGTGCTAATGACAGGGTCAGGGCTGGTGAGTGCGAGCTTGTGTGCTAATACCAGGGTCATGGCTGGTGAGTGAGAGCTTGTGTGCTAATAACAGGGTAAGGCTGGTGAGTGAGAGCTTGTGTGCTAATAACAGGGTCAGGGCTGGTGAGTGAAAGCTTGTGTGCTAATAACAGGGTCATGGCTGGTGAGTGAGAGCTTGTGTGCTAATAACAGGGTAAGGCTGGTGAGTGAGAGCTTGTGTGCTAATAACAGGGTCAGGGCTGGTGAGTGAAAGCTTGTGTGCTAATAACAGGGTCAGGGCTGGTGAGTGAGAGCTTGTGTGCTAATAACAGGGTCAGGGCTGGTGAGGGAGAGCTTGTGTGCAAATAACAGGTTCAGGGCTGGTGAGCGAGAGCTTGTGTGCTAATGACAGGGTCAGGGATGGTGAGCGAGAGCTTGTGTGCTAATAACAGGGTAAGGCTGGTGAGTGAGAGCTTGTGTGCTAATAATAGGGTCAGGGCTGGTGAGTGAAAGCTTGTGTGCAAATAACAGGGCCAGGGCTGGTGAGTGAGAGCTTGTGTGCTAATAACAGGGTCAGGGCTGGTGAGGGAGAGCTTGTGTGCAAATAACAGGTTCAGGGCTGGTGAGCGAGAGCTTGTGTGCTAATGACAGGGTCAGGGCTGGTGAGTGCGAGCTTGTGTGCTAATACCAGGGTCATGGCTGGTGAGTGAGAGCTTGTGTGCTAATAACAGGGTAAGGCTGGTGAGTGAGAGCTTGTGTGCTAATAACAGGGTCAGGGCTGGTGAGTGAAAGCTTGTGTGCTAATAACAGGGTCATGGCTGGTGAGTGAGAGCTTGTGTGCTAATAACAGGGTAAGGCTGGTGAGTGAGAGCTTGTGTGCTAATAACAGGGTCAGGGCTGGTGAGTGAAAGCTTGTGTGCTAATAACAGGGTCAGGGCTGGTGAGTGAGAGCTTGTGTGCTAATAACAGGGTCAGGGCTGGTGAGTGAAAGCTTGTGTGCTAATAACAGGGTCAGGGCTGGTGAGTGAGAGCTTGTGTGCTAATAACAGCATTTTTATATTTTAAATTTTTTTAAAAACCTATTTAATTTTTCTTTACATTTCGTTTTATTCCTCCTCCCTGCTTCTTACCTGGCTAGGGAGGGGAGGAAGATGGCATTCCCTGGTGGTCCGGTGTCATGGACTGTGCAGAGGGGGCCCAGCAACACTCTTACTTCCCTTCCCAGCAGCTCCCCTGTTCTCGCGAGTTAGACAGGGGAGCTGAAGGGAGCTGCTGGGAAGGTAAGTAAGAGTGTGCTGTGGGCCCCCCAGGACCGCCATCTTGGCTGTCATGCCCTGATGAAGGCGGCCCTGGTCTGCAATATCGATATCTTTATAGGCCTATACCGATACTGCCGAAAATTCAGAATATTGGGCGATAATATCGGCCAGACCGAAAATCGGTCAATCCCTAGGAGCAGTGTGTGGAGTACTAGTAATGTGTGGTGGGTATGAGTAGTGTGTGGCTCAGTTGAAGAGGTTAGTGAGTAGTGAGTAGTGCGTGGTGGTGTAGGAGCTGTGTGTACACGGTAAGAGAGGGAGTTATATACAGTGCATATGTGTTTCTCAAAAGGAGAGGGTTACATGGAATGTGGGCAGTTTGGTAGGAGCAGTAAATGAATCCGTTATAGAGGGGTAGGGTCTGTTTGTCTTACCTCTCTATATTCTACAGAAAAACAACCCTTATGGTTTACTTTCTAAACAGTTAATTGTAGTGAAGTGAAAGCTGAATTGCAAAACCCATGCTAAAATAGTCAAGCTGTAACTATAGTCGAATTGGATATTTTTAATCAACTTTGCTATTTTGTCCTATAATTTGCAATTCTGTTTTCAATTCGCTACAATTCACCATGATATGAATAAAGGCCACTTTGAACATCTATACCTGAGTTAGTGAGCACTATGGCTTTCAGTGTCACATACTCCTCTTTGTCCACACGTAGTTTGCGGTATTTCTGTACCAGCTGGAGCGTGCACGGGTAAAGATCCCGTAAGCCACTCACGCGTGACCTGGTTTCATCCACGATATAATCCTCGGCATACACCAGTTGGTTCTGATAGGGCAGAGAGCGGAATACAACTCCCAGCAGCAAGATCTCCATCCAAGCTGACTGCAGTAAACTCATCTGATCCCCAAGGGACAATGAGGAGAAACCTACACCATGCACAATGGGAAGGCACAATTACATAGAAGCATAGAATGTGACTACAGATAAGAACTGTTCGGCCCATCTAGTCTTCCCAATTTCTAAAATACCGTATTTACTCAAATCATAAGCGCAACTTTTTTGGAAAATAACGTTTACAAAATTTAAATGTGCATTAGATTTGATGGCACATTACGTTGGGGTCGAAATTCGAATTGCATTCTGGCAAATTCACACAGGTGAATCCACACGGGCAAATTTAGTTCCTGAAAGAGGGATTAAGAAAGAATAGGCTGAACATGTACCACTAAAATTGAAATGCCATCAATGTTACTATGGTATATGGCAATAAACATTTTTATTGTAGCACAATGCTGTATAGTAGTATCTTCTTATATAAATGCGCATTACATTTGCCAGCAAAAACATTTTTCAGCTTCCAGGTTTCAAAAATTGAGCTGCACATTAGATTCAAGTAATTAAGGTACTTTCATTAATCCCTGGTCTTATTTTATAGTTAGGATAACCTTATGCCTATCCCACGCATGCTTAAACACCCTCACTGTGTTAACCTCTACCACTTCAGCTGGAAGGCTATTCCATGCATCCACTTCCCTCTCTGTAAAGTAATAATTTCTGATTATTTTTATTTATAGCCCCTCTAATTTAAGACTATGTCCTCTTTTTTTTCTATTTTAAATATAGTCTCCTCCTTACTGTATTGATTCCCTTTATGTATTTAAATGTTTCTATAATATTCCCCCGTCTCATCTTTCCTCCGAACTATACATGTTAAGATCCTTTAACCTTTCCTGGTACGTTTTACCCTGCGGTGTGCTTGCTTTACAGTTCGTAACTACCTCTCCATCATATGCGCATAATTTCTAATATGCCCTTCCCATATGAACATAGTTTATAATGTACTCTGCCTCTCTATACACATGGTTTATACTATGTACTCTGTCTGTAGTCTCTGAACTCCACACATTCATCCCTGCCATATGTCTAATGTTTTATAAGATATGTGCCATATGCACACAAGATATACTCTTTGCACTAAAATAAACCAGAGCGCCTAGCAGAACTCTGTTTCCAAAACAAACAAAATACATTCACCCACAAAGATGCTTCTCCTCACATTCTCAAACATTTGTATGTGTATAAAAGTATAAAAAATGTCTAACTATATAGTACAGATTGTAAATGGTTGCACACATAGGCGCGCTGTCAAGCCTTATATGAGAGTGCCTGTTCAACAAATACAGTCATACAAGGATATAGGCAGCTTAATTCATGAACAAAACATTGTTATTCATCGTGCACATAGAAGCCACATTCCTGTTCGTTTAATGCATCAGGGTTATACATTAAACCTGGAATTGCCAAAAATAGCCTAAGTGGAAAAAATACTACATCCCGGCTATTTTCCCATGTCCACTGCAATAGCCTAAAATTTCCTGTTCAGTACCTGACAGATCCCACTATTGTGATAAGCTGTTCATTTTTTTTCTTTGTATGAATGAGAGTACTTGCATAACTAAACGACTTCCTTCTCATTGTTTATCAGGCCCATTGGGGGTCATGCTCAATGGTCCTCCTACCCTGTCACCCATGTTTGTCAGTTTATAATTAGAAAATTAGAATAAATGTTTATTTTGGATAACTAAAATATATTTTACTGCCTGGAAAGTGTATGGAAGATACCCCACATCTGCCTTTGATGTCCTGCCATTAACAAATGGGCTACCTTCTGCAAGGACCTGTGCATTTTAATGGATTTAGAATAACGAACACATTTCAAAGAATTCATTAAACATCGATTAGAATATCTCAGGGCTCAATACAGGGTTATAATGGGATATTTTGAAGGTTCCTCACCTGGAATGTGTTTAGCCCAGCCAATAGTGACCACAAGTTCACGGTCTGCAAGGTCACAAAGGATAGTAAGAGCCGCAATATCACTGTCTGGCATGGCTGGGTCCGGCCTGGCATAGATCTTCTCCGGCTCTGCCATCAACAGGTATGACACAATCCTTTTAACTAAAAACATGTAAGGGTTGAAATCAAGTGTTGTTATCGCCATAACGTTATATAAACAGAGGGTCATATCTAGCCTGGAATGTACCTTTTAAAGCCAATACAGCTTTTGACAGTGAAAACGTAGCAGAAGAGGATGCATATTGCTAGGTAAAAGACTGTGAACTTTAAAATTTTACTAATTTTAGTAGAGAAATATTTATTTCAATAGGTGGCCAGTGATAGGCAGTCAGCTCCCCCCCAGAAAAACCTTTCTGATACTGTGGTAGACAGAAGAAAGTCATGGCGTAGCAGTGTTGGGTGTGGGGGACCAAATTTGGGGTTAAACCATTGGAAAAAAACTTTAACTCCTGAAGATAAGAGGGGGCCTGAACACTCTTGCTCCCATAACAAATTCAATAAGCTGAGTGTGTGTTCCTTGAAGATTGTATATCTACTTACTTGTTTTTCCTGGGGGAATCTGTATTCCATGGAAAACATTATTTTCAGATTCCTGACGTCTCTTGTATTTTTGTCTCCCACCTCGAACTCTGTCCAAACGCACCCCTGTGGGATAGACCGTGTTACCATGTGTCAGGGAAAAGCCACTGTCAGCAGAGTCCCAGTCCATGGCCCGCAGGCTGACATCTCACCTTCCTTCAACATCCCAACATTCAAACATTTGTTAAAGCGACAAAACTGGCAAGACTTTCTCCTCCGCTTCGTTATTTCACACTGTCTCGAGGCAGGGCAGCTGTACTCAATGTTACCTAACAATTGGGGAGTATTAACGTGTTACTTAAGGTGTCATGACCGCTTTGTATTTATGTGTGTTGTTGCATGTGGGATGTTTTAGAATAGGGAGGAAATGGCTTAAAGACCTTCTGAAACCCACAGGCAAGACACATTGAAATTTCATAGACATGAAAACCTTTACACTTGTATCAGTAAATCTTTAATGTAGGGCACGAGTTAGACAGCAATTTTCCTCTCTTTCTATACGTCAATGGACTCTTAGGTTAGGGCTCACTTAGACTTGCAGCTTTTACCTAATCCTCTTTACAATTCAGGAAATTTACATTACAATAAAACCAACTCTCTTGAGATCTTCGAGGAAGACATGATACCTCATCCCTATAATCTTGACATTTGCTATTTACAGAAGATGGCAACATTATCAAAATTTTGCTCTTATTTTGTCTCCAGAGTTTTAAAGCCAACGCAGTCCACCCTGAACATCATGTAAAATTATCTCTGACTCTGAGCTAGACTCTGATGGGTTTATATCACTCAGCCAGAAACTGTAGAGGACTGACAATGGAATTCATAATTTTAGGTCACAATTTTGGTACTGGAGATATGTCCTAATAAGGCTCATTTTGCTCTACAATTGTGCAATTCCCTTGTCAAATCTCTACAAGTTTGTGAAGAAACCATATTGTGTTTCCACTGCAGCCATGGATTGATCAGAAATGTTAATAGAAAGAAGACTGATCAACTTAGTGCTATAGGATATTCTATTTCTGAGAATAAGGATTGCTAGACACTCATGCCAGACTCTACCTTGGATGGTACGTTTGAAGAAAGCTTTGCATGCTTCACAGGATGCCACACCATAATGGTACCCAGACGCCACATCTCCGCAGACCAAACACAACTTCCTGGGTGCAGCACCCAGGGTGTACTCACACATGGCAGGGGACTGAGACTGCTCGAAGAGGTCAAAATGTTTGTGGCTGCTGCACAAGAAAGAGTCCAGTCCACACAGAGTGCCACCCAAGCTAAATGAACCACTTGTATCAGACGATCCACTGGGACTGTAATGAGTAGGAGATCCCAGCAGGGAAGAAGGCTCTTGTTTGATGAAACAACCAGAGGACAGTGAGCGGTCGTCTGAGGTGACTCTGAACAGGACCCTGTGGGGAAAATGTAACCAATGGAGGGAACACTCTGCACAGTTCATAGCAATGATATTAGAAAAAGAATACAGAAAAGGTCCTCATTAAAAAAAATTAAATTAAAAAACTTTTATAGAATAAGTGTTTAAACATGTGTGTTAAAACATGATACATTGCTTTTAAGTTAACTCTCTCCCTGCATCCTGCACCTCTGTGCATTTATTGGACTGTCTAAAGGACAAAAAGTCACCCATTTAGACTTGAAGAAAGGAGATTTCACCTATGGCAGAGGAAATGGTCTGTTGGATTGTTTTTAATAGCGGAGTTACAACTTCTGAAGGCTTTATTATTGGATTTTGTTGACAAGTCTTCTCCCATTGGCTTTTTCTAGCTAGTTTTAGTACTAGCCGATACCAATTGATCGCTGTTTAGTAGACATGCTCCAACCTGCGGTATGATGGATGATGGTATAATTTAGGTCGTAAAACTCCCTATGTTTAGGTGGGAGTCATATTGACTACAATAGGCTCTATTTTTATGTTTTAACTTGGCGGCAGTCTAGCAAATGCTGACCACCTGCCACAGAACGTAAGGAGGGGAAGAAGGGGTAAGAGGGGCCATTATATATATATTTATACTTTAAGGTTGCAGGGGGAGAAGTGCTTTTGAGTTGCACATATTTCTGAATTGGAAATAGAGAAAAATAAAAACCCAGAAAGGTAAGAAAAATGGGGGTATGGGAGATTTGAGATGTGTGGCTTGGAAAGACAAGGATTCTGTATTTGGTGAAGTGATTTTTGTAAGTCCTGTAGCAAGCGTTCTGCTAGAGACCTCCATGCAAGGACCGATCCAACATGTGCACTGAAAAACTAAGGACATGGGTCCAGAAGGAAAATGCTTTCTGGAAAAATCTAGACCTAAGAGTGCAGACAGATTTCCAGAATGATTTTTGTACCTCCTCTCCATCAATGTATAAATGTACCTTTCTGCTTACGCAATTTCCACGGCAGGTCTGTGTCCTTTTTATGCATTTTAAAAAGTCTCATGGGTGTGAGGTGCCACAATATAAAGGTTTATACACCCTGTCCTAATACACAGATACTAGTACACATACCTCTCAATTCTTCCTAATACACAGAATGAGGACATGTATGTACCTCTCATCTTCTTGTGCGCAAACATGATCTGTTCCTCTTCCTCCTCCTAATACTGACATCACACTATGTCCTTCTCTTTAATACAGGATGTGTGCTTCTTCCTAATAAACAGACATCAGGGGACACACTTCTCACTTCCTCTCTAATAATCTGAATATGGACATCTATCTCTCATCGCCTCCTAGTACAAGACATCAGGATGAGTTCCTCTGACTTTATCGTAATACAGATATCAGGACATGCACTGCTCACCAGCTCATCTTCTAGACATTCGGAGACATACCTTTGACCTTCAAATAGACATACATGATATACAACTCTCATCTTCTCCTTATTTACCGATATCCGTATATACACCTCTCACCTTCTCCTAATATACAGATATCAGTATATACACCTCTCACCTTCTCCTAATATACAGATATCAGCATATATACCTCTCACCTTCTCCTAATATACAGATATCAGTATACTCACCTTCTCCTAATACATATACATCAATATACACACCTCTCACCTTCTAATACATATACATCAATATACACACCTCTTACCATCTCTGAATACATATACATCAATATACACACCTCTTACCATCTCTGAATACATATACATCAATATACACACCTCTCACCTTCTCCGAATACATATACATCAATATACACACCTCTCACCTTCTCTGATACATATACATCAATATACACACCTCTCACCTTCTCCGAATACATATACATCAATATACACACCTCTCACCTTCTCTGATACATATACATCAATATACACACCTCTCACCTTCTCCGAATACATATACATCAATATACACACCTCTCACCTACTCTGATACATATACATCAATATACACACCTCTTATCATCTCTGAATACATATACATCAATATACACACTTCTTACCATCTCTGAATACATATATATCAATACACACACCTCTCACCTTCTCTAAATACATATACAACAATATACACACCTCTCACCTTCTCCAAATACATATACAACAATATACACACCTCTCACCTTCTCCAAATACATATACAATATACACACCTCTCACCTTCTCCAAATACATATACAACAATATACACACCTCTCACCTTCTCCAAATACATATACAACAATATACACACCTCTCACCTTCTAATACATATACATCAATATACACACCTCTTACCATCTATGAATACATATACATCAGTATACATACCTCTCACCTTCTCCGAATACATATACATCAACATACACACCTCTCGCCTTCTCCTAATACATATACATCAATATACACACCTCTTACCTTCTCTGAATACATATACATCAATATACACACTTCTTACCATCTCTGAATACATATACATCAATATGCACACTTCTTACCATCTCTGAATACATATATATCAATACACACACCTCTCACCTTCTCTAAATACATATACACACTGCACACACCTCTTACCATCTCTGAATACATATACATCAATATACACACCTCTTACCATCTATGAATACATATACATTTGTATACATACCTCTCACCTTCTCCGAATACATATACATCAACATACACACCTCTCGCCTTCTCCTAATACATATACATCAATATATACACCTCTTACCTTCTCTGAATACATATACATCAATATACACACTTCTTACCATCTCTGAATACATATACATCAGTATACACACCTCTCACCTTCTCTGAATACATATACACACCTCTCACCTTCTCCCACTACGTATACACCAGTATATATACCTCTCACCTTCGAATATACCTCTCATCTCCGAATACATATGCATCAATATACACACCCCTCATCTTCTCTGAATACATATGCATCAATATACACACCTCTTACCTTCTCCTAATATATAGACATAAATATACATATCTCTCACTGTCTTCTAATACATGTACATCAATGTATTCACCATTTCCTTATATACAGATATCAATATACTCCTCTCACCTTGTTCTAATACACAGCCATCAGTATGCACACCTCTCACCTTCTTCTAATACACAAATATCAGTATGCACACCTCTTAGCTTCTCCTACTATAGACATCAGTATACACACCCCTCTCACTTTATTCCAATATACAGACCTCAGTATGCACACCTCTCACCTTCTTCTATATTTGCATATTTGAGAATCTTAATACAAGGGACATTGCTTGTAGATATTAATGTATATTTTTCTCCCGATTTGTACGTCTTATTTTTGTCTGATGAATACACCTGACTACGCTACATCATAAAATCCCAAATACTTAGGGTCCCAACAAATGGATTCTTTAAATGACCAACCACTGTGTACGATACCATGAATGTCACAAGACACTTACTGTTTGTGATAACTCAGAGAGTCAGTGACACAGTTTTCAGCGAAATCCATATCTGTTGCATTCCTGGAGACAGGGCAAGGGAAAAGTCACAAAACCAGGGAAAGTGAATCGGGGTTAGTAAATTAAAAGTTACATGGAAAATCTCATTAGAGATCAAGTAATTTGGAAAATCTAACCGGCACAGCGACAGGAAAACAAGCCCAGGCAACTGTGAAAGGAGCAGGTGCAGAAACCTTAAATAGGCTGAAATATACAAGGAAGCAGAGACAAGGGGGGCATGGGAGGTGGTACCAAGAGATGCAGCACACAAGGATGAGAGGGGCAGGATAAAAAAGATGTTATATAGGCAGCACAGTGAAAGGGACCAGAGGAAATATGACAAGATTTTAGGGAGAAGGTAGGAAAAGTTAATGAAAGGTGTAGATGTGTGTGAGATGGGCAAAGGATAAGGATTCGATGATACAGAAAAAGTTAGATGTGCAAGAGAAGTTTGTTAGAGGGGCAGGTGTAGAAATTGGCGATACGGTCAGGACACAATAGTGAGATGAGCAGGGGAAAATGATGGTAACGGGAAGGGGAAAGACAATGATATAGTCAGAAGAATGCGTTGGTGAGAAGGGAAGGTGATGTTGGCAAGAGAGGAAGAATAAGATATGAACACTGAGATTCTATAGTGGTGATAGGAGCATGGGAGGTAGTTAGTGAGAGAGGTAGGAATAATAAAATAACATGCTCCGACCCAGGGCTTCCCAGATAATATAATGCACCTTGACTGGAGTGATGGGGTCGCCTGCCTGATAAATAGAGAGTATAAAGCTATTGGCTCCCACTGTAGGGGAGGGAGGGAGTGATGATGGATTTACACAGACAGGAGAGGAAGGAGGGGGGATAATTTTCCTGGAACTACGTTTGAGCAGAAACTCTGCAACAAAAGATTTGTTAACCCTACTTTAAGTCACTGGGGAAGCAATAGAGGGTAAAAGGTGGTATTAGTGTGTGTTGAATGAAGCAGCTCACACTCATTGCTCAACACTGCCCCCTAGGGAACGTTTAGCAGGTCACCTTGATGTCCACTGAATTAAAATAATTAGGATTTTAAGGTGTGTGAATGAGAGGGAATATAAGGATTGGGGGGGCCATAGAGTATGCTATAATGCCTATCAGTTTATGATGTTCAATGAAAGCAGAGTATTAAGATGATTATTTATTTTACCTCTCGTCCTTCGATATCAAAAGTCTCACTTTCTCCTTTGATAAATATTTCTCTTTTGTCAGTTGTGACATCCAAATGGGCCAAATGAACACCGGAACAATTCTGGAATGTTGTTAAAAGTCTCTACGATTCCAAATGACTCTCAGCACGCCACTGTAAAAGCAGACAATGAAAAATACTCCTTAGATGTGTCAAATATATAGAAAATTAGCGTGTTGGAGATACATAGGTATTTTTTTAAAAGGAGCCCTGAAAGATTTTTTTTGTGTGCACAGACATATTGCTTTATTATGTACAGACTTTGGTAGCAGCACCGTAGCTAAATAATGCAAGTTTTGGGTGTTTCCCCAATAATGGCTTCAATGGGTTAGTAGCATGTAACATAGAGGGTAAATATAGCTACAGCAATTTAATATTCACTAGTTCTCGGTTATACTTCCTTCTTATATCTATACTCACTATACTTCTTATGCTAACTTTTATTTCATGTCTTCTTCAGCACATTTCATCCTCTGCCACCATCCAATGTCATTACTTACCTGCCGTCAGTAGCATGTACCCTGCCACCCATCTGATCCACAACAAGGTAACTTTTCCAGCCATTTAGTCCATGCATCACCGCCAACCATTGCATACTTTACACCAGGGGTGCCCAAAATGTAGATCCCTAGATGTTGTGCAACTACAACTACCATGATGCTTTGCATGCCTTTAGAAGGACAACGCATCATGGAAGCTGTAGTTTTAAAACATCTGGGGACCTAACTTTTCGGTGCCCATGCTTTTTACCATCGCATACCTCTGCCACCCCTTTTTGTGTCCATTGCCACCCATCGAAAGCCCCTTTCCCTCCATACACATGGATCATTTATACTGCATTCATTTGTCACACATCTCATTACCACTGCTATCCATGCTATTCGTCCCTGTCACCTTATGCTAATCATCTCAAGACCATCATCCTCAGCCAGCCAGTGTACCCATTTATCACTCTTTCTTCCACATACCATATATACGTCTGCAAGATTCTGATTAAATGGAGTCTGGAAGGGACTAGAATACAGAATTTATTTTCTCGCCCCACACGTGTATAGGTAGGTATGCAGAGTACTCTTTGTAAGTTCCAGGAAAGTAATGGTTCCAGAGTTTGTAGGTGTAGGGACACTAGTTAATGTTCTCTGTGGGATCCAATGTGATAATTGATACATTTGGATATATGGAGGATGTAAAATGCACTGTTTTTGGGAGAGCATAGAGTAATGAGTGCATGGATGACTATTGTACCGACTCGCTGAGATGCAGCAAGGCCAGCTGGAGTGCAGTGTAGATGGGTCTTGTCAGATGTCCATCATTACCTTAATGGTCAAGTTGTGTTTTCCAGTGAGGACTCCCAGGGGACCACAAGCTAGAGGAGATAGTTGTGCTTGATGGACTCCTATGGGAGTAAAATGCATTTCATTGGGGGGAGGAGGGGGTCCTTAGACAAGAGTTCTTATTTAACAACACAAGGGATTCTGGGAGCTATGGGACCAGCAGCACATTATGATCCAGATTAATGGACTTTCTTAGACGAGATGCAGTCGGCCATGTAACATGTTCCACTAGGTTTTCTAATACACATAGACTTTGGTTTTGTAACCCCTTCACAGCAGACAACTGTCTATAAGTAAGCTACCGAACCTCACACAGTGATATACATAAATGTGATTTTTTGGCACTTTAAAACACTTTTGGGATCTGGTACACACATAATTGTGATCAGTGATTTACTGGAAAATAATGCAACTGACGGGATCTGGAGACATCATAGTAAATCAAGAGAGTAAATGATTAGTAATAGTTTGTGAATGTCTTTATCACCCCAAGATGGTTTAATTTTCTCTTATTCCATTCCCTGAGCATTATGCGTTCCTTATAATACGTGACTACGTGATTATTGAAATATTGATATTTGTAAAATAACAGTTTGGGTTAGAATTAGGGTTCCTTTAATCTTACTGCACCTCCTGACCTTACATACCCCATCCTGCCTGAGACTAGTGGGAGTTACATTCCCAGGCAATAGATGATATTAGGCCGCTGTCCTTAATTTGGCACCCCTCCCTTTAGTGACATGCCAGGCTCACACATTAATTCCATTCGTATTAAGTCCCAGCTACCCCAGACTGTCACCCCTCATTTGGCATGTATAGCAGCCCACATACCTCAACCTCCTTCACAATACCCTTGCTCTGCCTAACGGTTCATTCAGACAATCAGCCCTCCTACTTTCTCGGACCCTCACCATGACAAATGGCATACATACAGAAATCATCACCCACAGAGACCATGACCTTTCCTAGCCAAGACCCTTACAATGACTAGAAACCCATACACACCATAACCCTTATTCCTGAGACCATTAACATAACTAACATCATACCAAGTACTTTATTCACTGACCTTAACATGATTAAAGGCCCACAAAGACCATACAGACCTCATTGCTGAGGCTCTTACCATGATAAACCATCGCCCTCCTTCCAAGAAACCCTTATTGGACACACATTCTAGGAGACCACAAGAAGCACATGCAGGACTTTGGTAGAGGCCTACGGGGAGCCCTGAGAATCCTTTACTTTCTGTGACCTATTTTAGTGTCTTCCTCTATCTATGGGAAAATGTGTGCCAGTTTTTTTGCTAGTGTATTTATATATATATATATATATATATATATATATATATATATATATAAAAAAAGATACACTATGTTTATAAAATAACTCCCCTACTTAAGAACGTTAAGCGTACAGAGTGCAGAAACTGTTACTTTAATACCAGCATTTTAAATAACCAAAATAAGAAATGAATAGGACAGCATAAAAACTTATTAACACAGTTTCCATTCCTAACAATTATTGTTAGCACAGTGGCTCAATTAAGCTTGTGTTAATTTATTCACTATACATATAAACAAACAAACAAAAATAATTATCGTCTAAAATACATAAACGGATATTAATCCTTGAATATAAAAAAAAAAAGGGGGGGCGGAGCCTGACTGCCGAGCAGGATAGACGTGCTGCAAACCAGCTCCTGCAAAAAACGACAACAATGGGGAAAAATACCCCAAACACAAAATCACCCACAAGTCAGAGGGCATGGGACGAGCTGGGGAAACCCGGGGGCATCAAAGGAACCCACAAACGAGACTCTCACTGCCTGGGATCCCACGCAAAGCACATGGGGCCTACATGCGGCCGAGCCAGGGAGAGATGGCCGCTCTTCTGGATGGTAAAACCGCACACACACCCCTCAGTGCACCAGCCTTCCTCCCCCCCCTCCCCCCTGGGCCGGCGGGGGTCATCCCGGCCCGCACTCGACATCCACAATTACCAGCAGAGACAGCAGTACAAGCCTGACCCTGACAAGCAAGGCTACAACCTCCTACAAGGCGCACCTAAAATGGCGGCCGGCAGCGGGATATGCAGGAAGGCCATGATACCGACACAACCGCGCTGGAGAGACCCACTGCAGAGCTTAGAGGTGATACCGACCCACTTCTGGGATATCCACTCACAGCAGCAACAACCAACGGGGGAAGGGACCTCGCAGCGCTCTGGACCCACATGCCAATCCCTCAGAGCCGGCATCGGCTGACCAAGACGGCATGACCTAGAGACAGTCTGTGCCCCTGCAGCAGAGACTCTGCACGATCCCACCGCACAGTATGTCTCACACTGAGCTCAGAACTGGCCCTAACATCTCACAGCAGGGACTGTAAGATACATATAGCAGCAGTGGAGCAAGCAACACAATATAATAACCACAGGCAATTAGCTTGTTAACCAAAGATCATTTAGCCGCTGTTTATTCTTTGCACCTGTGTTCTAATGCATGTCAGTATCTACCTTTAAAAATGTGCAGATTCCACTAACTGCTTTTGAATGTTACCATTGTTTTTATGCAGGGCACCTTTATGCTCAGAGTGAATAGAAACAGGGTTACAAAATGAAGGCTAACTCTAGCAATGTTAACTGCTGTATGTTGTGTCTAAGCTTAAATACACACAGTTTAACTTTTTAATGTAGTTTTACATCAAGTTACTGCTAACTGCAACCGTGCTTATACAATATGACTACGAATTTAACCTGAATCCACTCTCTAAGCACTTGACTACTCCAATCTCTAGAACCACTGTATGTTTACTGTCTCAAGCTTGAAACCCCATCGTGACCCACTGCAACAGTCATACAAAGCTAGCCTCTATATAGCATGTTTAAAACCTTTAAAGTGTCCCCAGTCTGTTATTTTTCTCATTACAAAAGACGACGCAACTGTTTAACCAAACTTGTTAAAAAATTTAAAAATGTGCAGTCTCTCATGCCACTGTTATACCAATGCATATTTTCCAATATGCTGTTGTGGCGTCTGTTGATTCCTTGTACCTACCTGCACAGCAAAAAAAAAAAAAAAAAAAAAGTAAAGTACAAAAAGGCTAATCAAATTCTAGGCTGACAGGCTACACATAGCTTGGCACACACAGACCCCCCACTCCCACCCCTTCGTTCGTACACCTGCAAGATGGGGGGTGCAGACAGGTGCTAATCACACCTTGTAACAGAAGACGCAGGTTCCTGTGAAACACATCCTGCGGTGACAGAACAGTGACCAGGAATTGTCAGCATTGGCTGGAGGAGGATGGGGGAGCATGCATGGGTCAGGGGGCGGAGGTAAGAACACCTAAAGCAGGGCTGCTCGAAAGGTAGATCCCCAGATGCTGTAGAACTACAACTCCCATGATGCTATGCCTGCCTTAAGACTGTTTTTAGAATGGCAAAGCATCATGAAAGCTGTAGTTTAAAAATATAAAATAAATCTACCTTTTGGGCAGCTCTGATCTACTATGTTCTAGGGGATAAGTAGTAGACAGGTATACAGGTCCGGGGGACGTGACATACAGGAGCAGCAAACCAGCTTTCATTTATTTTTCAATTTTATACTGTATTGCATGTGTTAACATGTGCCCATTCCAGAAATGAAACTCACACTCACTGAATGTTCCCGTGCATGCAGATCATTCACTGCCCTATATATGCTCAACCAGGAGCTCACACAGGTTGCACTTGTAGGTACTTACCTAGGAGCTCACACACTACATGTACTCACACAAGGCAGGGCTGGCAAGTGGGCAATTTGCCCCTTTCAGGCCACGAGCATACAGGATTTGTGGTCTGCTGCCTCAGAGCACTATTTGTTGCTGATAAAAAGCAGAGGGAGGTATTTTAAGATAGTACTGGAGGAGGCAGGCAGAGCTTTTCCTTAGGTCTGTGTGTAATTATAATGTTCTCAAGGCCTGGACTGGCCCAGTTGGCTATTTATCTGGAGGGCAGGCTGCCAGATTATGAGTATGATGTTGAAAGTGTTTGGAAATGGCTGCGAGGAGGTTAGACAACGGTTTGAGTAAAGTAATAGGAAACAGATTTGATCAGTTAAGATTTCTGTGAATGCTCCTCATGTTGTGCATGTCATATTGATAGGGGTTGAAGAGATAAAAGATGCCACATTTAGCAACACAATTAGCCTCCTAGCAACACCATCCGTTAAAACCATATAAACAACAGTTAAACTATGCTTTCCATGGCCATCGTACAAGTTTACAGACTGCACATGCCCTAAAAAACTTTATTATGGCTTTCTACCAAGGATCCTGTACAGCAGCCACACAACCACGACCACTCATAGAATAATCAGAGCTGTCTGTCAGGGCCTGGACTGACTAATCAAATTCAGCCGCTTCCTGGCCTTTGCAATACCGGAGTTCTTTGTTTATTTGCTTTTTAAACACCTTATATCTTTACTGCATAATTTGCATTAAAAGGGGATTTGAGGGGTGGTAGGGCTGTACCTCCATGCTGGCTAGTCGCATGGAAGACAAGCTCCCACAACTTTCACACTTTTTGACCTACTAAAACAGAATAATCTCACACTTGATGCTACAAAGCGATAGTACCTTGCACTGGGCTGCGTTGGTCCTGAAGTTCAGCCCAAAACTTGTTTCTTGGCCTTTGAGGGGAGATTTACAACCTCCGTGAAAGAGGCCTACTCAGGTGGTGAGTGGGGTGGACGGCCACCACCCCACTAACCCTTCGTTCCAAGTGGCACCGGCCCGGTTCCCCCCCCAATTTGGACCGGTGGGGGTCATACCGGTCTACCCTTTGGAGGCTCCCTTATCCTGTTGAGGGTGCGCGGCATACCGGCTGAACATACCACTCGATCCAGCAGGCATAAGATGCGGTTGCTGCGTGCTCCCCCACCTTCTTTGAAGAGACGGGCAATGTTTCACATCTCCGGAGGGACCACATCGGGTTCTTCTGGGCACAGCTGTGGAGGAGCCTGAGACTTGCCACATCGAAACACTATAGGCATTCCAGACAGGTGGCCATATATCTAGAACACAGCACCTATCTAGCATGGACCCGACCGATGCACGAACAGCTACTGGAATCTGCCGTGGGCCCAATGACAAACCTGCTTGTATACTATTGTCTAATAAATTGCTTGTATTTTTACCTTATATCTCTCTCCTTCTCTGTTTCTCATTCTATGGTCTTGAGCCCCATCCCACATTCTTTAAACCAGGATGGGTAAATATGATTTCATTGTTCTGGATATTTAGTGCCCTCTGATGTGTGGTTTCACAAGTGTTTTAACACTTGTCGAGGGCAAAGGTGGGCGAAGGTTAGTTCATTATAAAATCCTGAGAACGTTGCACCCGCTGGGGACCGGGCAGCTGCCCGCCGCGGCCAAGGTAAGTTAGAAACCTTTCTGTCGGCGTGGCTGCCTAGTTTATGTGCAGCCACGCTGACAGAAGAGTCAAGAGCCATGACAGTCAACTCCTGTATCACTTGTGCCCGTGCTAAAGCCAACACCTCCAAAACTGCTGGGTTATTACAACCATTACCTATCCCACCAGACCATGGAGTCATCTGACTGTTGACTTCATCGTAGTCCTCCCTATTTCCCAAGGATATGATACCATTATGGTTGTTGTAGATCGTCCAACAAAAATGGCACATTTTGTTCCACCTAAAGGACTTCTTATGGCCAAACGAACAGCCATCCTTTTTCTCAATAACATTTTTAAACTTCATGGAATCCCCGAATTTATCCGCTCAGACAGAGGGACACAATTTACTTCCCTCTTCTGGAAAGTCTTATGTCAATCACTCAAAATATCCGTAGACCTTTTCACTGCCTTCCATCCCCAAACCAACGGACACACTGAGAGAACAAACCAAACCCTGGAAACATACCTCTGTTGTTACTGTACCCATCTATAATCTGACTGGAGAGGTATTACCTACAGCTGAATTTGCCTATAACTCAAAGCAACATGATCACCATTCAGGTTGCACCAGCAGATATCTGGAGTCCCACTGGGACTTCTGTTAGGCCAGAGCCTGTTTGGTTCTAGCTGCCTTGTGTGCCTTGGAAAGGCACCTCGAGTACCATGGGTTGCTGACCCTTGTACTAGACTGTTGTAGCTTACTATTGACCTACTGGTAAAAACATCTGTTTGCACATTTAAAACACTTCCAGGACTCACTAGCACTGTGCCTATATAATAACCACCACAATCTTGTATAAGCACTCCCAGGGACTTAGTATTACTGGTGTGTTTTTTTTCACTAAACACAAATTATTGTGATTTACAAAATTGTTTTTAAAATAGCTTGGCTATATAAGACGAAATTTGTCCTTTGGTTCACAATTCACTACATTTCAGTGACGAGGGCTCACAACTGCTGTTACGTGAGATGGGGTAGAAAGAAGATGTGCAGTCCTGGGGATCCTAGACTGACAGCCACATTCATACGGAAAGAGTCTAGACTATACAGACAGTGAACATTACCCTGCAGAGCTAGCAGTTTAAGAGCAGTGGAACATCCCTAACGCATGCCTTTCTAACCATCGGTAAAGGGAGAAGGTAGAGCTAACAGTTTGAAGAACATGCTGCCTGCATTCCTGAGCATCATTAACTACACTTAATGTTTTCAACACAAGCTAATTATCATTTGCTAATAACACCACTCTACCCTAGATAAAATCACAGTAATCTCATCGGAAAATCTCCCATTAAAACTTAATACCATGAGTCCACTCCCAGATGCCAAGGAGAGGGGTCTGCATCTTTGCGTTACTGAGAGGGCCTATCCGAGCAATACACATGTATTCACAAAGGGAGTTACTCCTATCAGACAAGTGTGAAAGATCAAATTTGGGTTCATGGCATGGGCACAAGGCCGTACTTGGAATGCTGAAAATGGGAGGGCGGGGAGTGAGGAAGAAATGAAGATACAGATTGAAGGAATTTTATTCTAGATTATTCAAAGGACCAGGGTAAGGGTGACAGAAGAAAGGAGTAAAATGGATACCAAGGCTAGAGTTGTAGTGCTACGTGTATAGTGCATTCAGAAAAAAAAAATATATATATTTTTTAATTTTGAAAAAAACAAAGAAAAAACACACCAAAAAACCCCCACAAACAAAACAGATTTTTGACAGCATTGTAAATGTATACAAATATATTAACCTGAAAATAATAAAATATCACATTGACATAAGACTCACACCCTGCACACTCAATACTGAGTTGAGGCACCTTTGGCAGCGATTACAGCTTCACGTCTTTTGTGGTATGATATAACAAACTTTGCACAACTAGATAAGAGTAGTTTCCTACATTCATCTCTGCAGATCATCTCAAGCATTGTCAGGTTGGTGAACAGCCACTTTCAGGTCTCTCTATTGAAGTTCGATTGGATTTAAGTTCAGGCTTTAGCTGGGCCACCCAAGGATATTCACAGAGTTGTCCCTAAGCCACTCTTGTGGCTTGGAGTGTGCTGAGGGTTATTGTCCTGTTTCAAGGTGAACGGTCAGCCCAATCCGTGGTCCTGAGCTCCCTGGAGCAGGTTTTTTTTTTTTTTTCCATTGTTGTCATTTATTTTTGTATTTTTTAAATTTTTATTTTTTTTACGTTTTAAAATATTTTATTGTGTATTTTCTTGCAAAAATAAAAATTGAAACATCAAAATATGGTTAACGTTTTATCATGAGACAAGTACTGTTTTCACGTTACTTAGCAATAGTAATAAAAATAAAGGTAAGAGTAAAGACAATCTTCATAACAGTGTGGATTCACAAGTTGTAACAATTACAGGATTCTATTCCATCTTTCGGCCTTGGTGTGGAAAGGGCCTATATTTTGAAGGTATCCACCAGTGGTTCCACGTGGAGCTGTAAATGTGGTAGCTGTTGGATAGGGAGTAGCAAATTTCCTCTTAACTCCTGATTGCCCCTACCTTCTGTACCCAGTCCCAAATGGATGGAGGAATGGGTTGTTTCCAGAATACTGGGATAAGTTGATTCGCGGCTGTTATGAGATGTAAAAATAGTGGAACCTTTGTTTTAGGTATGTTGTGTGGGGGTAGTAGGAAGATAAAGGCGTCCGGAGTGAGAGGAAGAGTTTCCTCGAAGATGGATTGAATCAATCCGGTGATTTGTACCGGAGCAGGTTTTTATGTATTTTGCTTTAATTTTTCTTGCACTGTTAAGAGATTTCCGTCTGGCCAGCCTAACATAAAGGCCAGATTGGTTGAGTATTGCATGATGGTTGTCATCCCGCAAATTTTCCCATCAACGCACCTGATTTTCCCATCAACACACCTGAGTGAGCATTCGTTTTTTTGGTCACTTCTCTTACCAATGCCTTGCTCTCCTGGTTGCTCTGCTTGAGCGGGTGGCCAGTTCTGGAAAGACTCCTGATCATTCCAAACTTATTCCATTTAAGAATTATGGAGGCTGCTGTGCTCTTGGTTACCTTCAATGCAGAGAATAAAAATGTTTTGTGTTTTTCAGTAGATGTGTACCTCAGCTCAACCCCATCTCTAAGCTCTGCAGGTAGTCCCTAAGATCTCATGGATGCATTTACAGCTGTAAGGTCTTATACAAACAGGTGTTTACCTTTCCAAATCATGTCCAATCAAGTGAATTTGCCACAGGTGGACTCCAATCAAAGTGTAAAAACATCTCAAAGAAATGGGATGTATCTAAGCTACGGTAACTTCCAAGCAGAGGGTCTGAATACTTATGTGGTATTTTTTTTTCTTCTTAATACATTTGCTAAGCTTTCAGATATGTATTTTGCTTTGTCATTATAGACTATTGAGTGTAGATTGATGTAAAAAAAAAAATAATATTTAAACAATTGAAGCATAAGATTGCAACAAAAAAATAAAGGGGTCTGAATACTTTCTGAATGCACTTTATATACGAGAGTGAATTAATGTCCTACTGTGTTTTACACCCCACCTCCTATAGACTGTAAGCTCATTTGAGCAGGGTCCTCTTCAACCTATTGTTCCTGTAAATTTTCTTGTAATTGTCCTATTTATAGTTAAATCCCCCCTTTCATAATATTGTAAAGCGCTGCAGAATCTGTTGGCGCTATATAAATGGCAATAATAATAAAATATCTGGGGTAAATTTATATTTGTCTCGGCTCTCTGTATCTGCTCCTCATGTGCTGACTACAGTTGTCCATACAGACCTAACACTGTGATTAGAGGAAATGCAAACTCTGCCGGATTACACAAAGGGTACCCACTAACACCAGGATTAGAGGAATAGCAGTCCTCTCATTTGTTAGATAAAAAGGTACGGATATTCGAGAATAAGTGCACATTTGACATTGGGATTAGAAGAAATGGGAGTGCCTTGCCCTGCTGGACATTCCAGATTTGTAGTATTACAGCCGGTTTAGTTATTTGGAAATAAATTACTTTAAAACAGGGGTGTTCAAAATGTACATTCCCAGATGTTTTAAAACTACATCTTCCATGATGCTTTGCCATTCTAAAGCATTCACAAGGCATCAGCTTCATCTCCCCAACAATACATCTTCATTTCAACTCTCCTCTGTCTCCTCCTCTTTCCTCCAGCCTTACATCTTCTCCAAGCCTTTTCTACATCTCATTTTGTTGCTTAACATTTCAATTTAATATTACAATGTTTACATTTTATTTATAAGGAATGAACACATCTTTGTCTACTTAAGAATTTTCAAAGATACTGTTTACAGAGGTACAAGTTTTGGGTGACCATTGTAGCCATTCCTGGCATTCCTTGCAGATGGGTATTATTATGCACATTTTACATTAGCTTTGGGTACCAGGCTGTGTAAGCATTGTATATTTTGTTCCAGTGAATAAACACCTGGAAGCAGCTGTGTTTGTGCCTACAGTGCCACATGCTACCTGTCAATGCAACTGAAATCGACTCAGGATGGCCTTAGGCTGCCCTGATAATGTACTACCAGGCAATATAATGAAGGAGCTCACATAGTCCTGAATAGCCAGAAAGGCAGGCAAGCACCAACAGGAAGCGTAACAGATGCCAAAGTATGAAAAAACTGTTTATTTGATCTGTACATATTGATATATTCACAAAGGTCAGAGATCAAGGTCCATGTTAGGTGGCCAATGGGCTGTTCCTTGTGGTGTCTTCTTTTTCAGCTTTTCCTACGTCCCACTCAGTGACCAGCTCTGATGACACCTCAGTGTAGAGTAAATCCCGGTCCCAGAGTGCATCATCCTACAATTATAGCAGATAGGTCATGTGACTTAAAGTAGGTCATGTGACCCACTCCACTTACGTATTCCTGGTACATATACTACTTACCTCTCTCACTTCTGGTTCTGGAGATAGTACTTTTGTCAGCAGTTTTAGATCAATATCTCCATCCTAGATAAGACAAAAGTAGGTTAGAGGAAATACATTAAGATTTGAGGTATACACTAAAGTGTGAATTGTCAACCATTTAAAAAGATACTTTTTTTTTTAATTCTTTTTTTTTGCAACGGCAGATCGCAAGATAAAGTAACATTGTTAGGCTTGTGCAAAAGCCATATTATAGTACATATGTCGACTATGTATTACAGAAAGAAAAAGAAAGTCGAGAGTTATTTTGTTAAGGCTTTTCTTAATGTTGTGGTAATCGACTTGGTTGCAATCCGATACTTTACATTTCAGACCAAAATAACTTAATTGGGGAAAAAAAGATCTCCAATTCAAACAGTTTATTTTAGAATCTATTGTCTAAAATTCCAAATTCACTTTCAATTTCCTATTGAGAGTTTACTGAGCCTACAGTGATGGAAGAGTACTAAATATTATACCATGAGGGATCTAAATTGTTTGTCATTTTTATTGCTCTCCTTGCCAACAAAATTTGGGAAGAAGACAATTAGATTACCATCTATGTTATGTATAATTTATACTGTTAAACTTACGTATTTGAACCCCTTCTGGAGAACTGTAAAATTAATTCATTACCGTTATGGGATGTCCTCTGTTTTGATGCAGTTAATATGATATTCTTGTTTGTTTGATAATAACTATGTTCTATATTTGGAAGCAGTTCATTATTTGAGTAAAAACCTGATGGAGATACTGGATAGTTCAGGGTTCTAAGAGACAGTGTAATAGGTAATGAGGAGGCTTCAGGGCTCACCAGCGTCTGAAAGGCTGCATGTCTCATGAGATCCTTGTCCAAGTCGATATAGGTCATCACTCTATTGACCTGCACACTAACAGACAAAGATTACTGGATAGAAAGACCACAGTTTCAGTGTACTAGACAGAAAAGGAACTGATTTGGTCACGATGAGATTAAACCGTGCAGTTGGAGGGAATGAACTACATTATGCAAGAAGCTATATAAACAGTGTGGCCTTTATGCAAATGGTGAGGTTAGAGGAAGAGTAAAAAGAAAGGAGGGAAGAGTGAAAGACAGAGTTAGAAAGTGGGGCAAGGAGGCAGACAAACAGTGCAGGCAGATATAAAAAAAAGAGAGGTCAGAAAAAAAGAGTATTTTTGATCGGAAAGTAACTGGCAAAATGCCAGGAAGAAAAAGGTTTATAGGATGTAGAAAGAGAGAGGCAGAAGGAAACAAAGTAACAGGAAGAGAAAAGACAAACTGACATAAAAAGAGGGGAAGAGAACATGGAGCAAAGCTGTACAGTGGTAAAAGTAAAAGCAGCACTAATGGGTATTTCATAGAGACAGAATCTTTATGAAATACTTACATTCGTTGTGTTGGAATTTCACTGAAATACTCACCAAGTCAAAAGATATACTAAGACAGAGTAGGGACTACTTGGTCTCAGTATTTTTCCTAAGCTTGAAAAGGAGAATTTACCTTTTGTCAAGCTTGTCATTCCAACCCAGATGTCAAAACCAGTGATGGTTCTAGGGAAAAATAGCTTTTTCTATGGATAGATCGCATGGTCTCGCAGGATTCTCCATAGACCTCAATGCTGTACTCTCACACATGCGCGAGAGAACAGCTCTGACGTCGGCTCCTGGCAGCTGAAGCACCAGGAGCTGAAGAGCACCAAACTGAAGAGAATGAGGGTGCCCTTGAGTGGAGGTTCAGGTAAGTCTCAATGAGACAGCCACTAGAGGCTTTAGAGGCTGGATTAACCTCTTTCTCTGAAACTGCTATGTTTATAAAACAAAAAAAAGGTTTAATCCTAGAGGGACCTGGCACCCAGACCACTTCATTAAGCTGAAGTGGTCTGGGTGCCTAGAGTGGTCCTTTAAGAGCAATGTGTGGGTTTGCGGTTTGTGAGTGATGGGTGTGAAAGAAGAGTGCAATTGAAAGCTGGGTCTGGAGGATGAGCTTTCTCCGCAGAAATAGAGATCAGTTTTTGTACCTGGGAGGTGCAGCAACTTGTAGAGCTAAATCCTCTTCCTGCATCTCCTCCAGGTCTGGAATTACTGGGATATCTGAGAAGAAGAGAAAATACATGCATTGCACGTCTACTGTCTGCTTTAACTCTACAGAGACCAGAGAATTATGCACTTAGCTCAGACATCACTGCGGTCTAATTATAAGTCTATCACAGTCTAGTTCTGACATCACTGCGGTCTAATTACAAGGCTATTACAGTCTAGTTCTGACATCACTGCGGTCTAATTACAAGGCTATTACAGTCTAGTTCTGACATCACTGCGGTCTAATTACAAGGCTATTACAGTCTAGTTCTGACATCACTACTGTCTAATTACAAGGCTATTACAGTCTAGTTCAGACATCACTGCGGTCTAATTACAAGGCTATTACAGTCTAATTCTGACATCACTACTTTCTAATTATAAGGCTATTACTATCTAGTTCTGACATCACTGCTATCCAGTTATAAAGCCATGACCATCTTTTTCTGCCATCGGTACTGGTGAATTATCAAGCCATTAACCTGTGTGTACTTGAACACGGATGTATGTGTGTAAAATATAAGTGTGTGCGAATACAAGGATGTAAATATAAGGCTTTATTTCTGTGGAGTATTAAGGTGTCAATACAGGGATGTATTAGTGTGGAGTATCAATCCCTTTTTGTAAACACAGGGTTGAGTTTGCACGTTGTATTAATGTATGTGAATACAAGGATGAATTAATGTGGAGTAGCAGTGTGTGACCACAGAATGTGGAGCATTAATGTATGTGTGTGGCGTTTTGTAGTAGAAGTATGTATGCTTTACATACACACAGCACTCTGTTCCAGGTACTCCATCCGATTTATGAGTAGAAAGTAATGTTTACTAGTGGTCTAAATTGTGAGACATGTTATCATAGGCGTGCGCACGGGGTGTGCCGGGTGTGCCTGGGCACACCCTAATCCCGCGGCCCGCCTATGTATATTGAGACCGGCAGGGGAGATCTCAGGATCTCCCCTGCCGGCTCATGCAGAGCCGGCGCTATCCAAGCGCCGGCTCTGCTCTCAGCCTCCCTCCCCACCGGCCCACATGCAGGGAGGGAGGCAGGAGAGGACCCGGCGGAGCTATTGCCGGCAGCTCCGCCGGGTTCCTCTCGCGAGATATGAGCGTTGCCAGGCAACGCTCAAATCTCGCGAGAGTGAACTCTAGCCCCACAGGGGGCTAGAGTTCACTCTCCACTGGACCACCAGGGATCACAGCAGCAAGGATCCCCTCCTCCACTGGACCACCAGGGATCACAGCAGCAAGGATCCCCTCCTCCACTGGACCACCAGGGATCACAGCAGCAAGGATCCCCTCCTCCACTGGACCACCAGGGAAGGAAGCAGCAGCACGATCCCCCCTCCCTACAAAAGGTAAGAAGGGAGGGGGGAGAGCAATTAATGTACCCCAACCTCCACCCCCCACAATCACCCACCCACACACATACAACACACATTCAGCACCCACAGACATACAGCACCCACAGACATTCAGCACCCACAGACATACACAGCACCCACAGACATTCAGCACCCACACACATTCAGCACTCACAGACATACAGCACCCACAGACATACAGCACCCACAGACACACAGCACCCACAGACATACACAGAACCCACAGACATCCAGCACCCACAGACATCCAGCACCCACAGACATACACAGCACCCACAGACATACACAGCACCCACACACATTCAGCACCCACATACATTCAGCACCCACATACATTCAGCACCCACAAACATACACAGCACCCACAGACATACACAGCACGCACCCATACACAGCACCCACAGACATACACAGCCCCCACACACATACAGCACCCACAGACACACACAGCACTCACAGACATACACAGCACCCACACACATACAGCACCCACAGACATACACAGCACCAACACACATACAGCACCCACACACACATACAGCACCCTCACAAACACACACAGCACCCTCACACACAGCACACAAACAGCACCCTCACACACACACAGCACACTAACAGTACCCTCACAAACAGAAACAGGACCCTAACAAACACACACACAGCACACTAGCAGTACCCTCACACACCAACAGCACCCTCACACACAGTACATCAACAGCACCCTCACAAGCGCACACACACACACACAAACTGCACCCTCACACACAGTAGATTAACAGCATCCTCCCAAGCACGCACACACAAACACCCTCACCCACATAGCACACTACCAGCATCGTCACACACACATCACACAGCACACACACACACAGCAGTGTGTGTATGTGTGAATATATGTGTATGTATGTATGTATATATATATATATATATATATATACATATATACATACATATATATATGCGGCGTGTGCTTGTGCTTTAGGGTGCACACCCTAATGCAATAGGCTGCGCACGCCTATGCATGTTATAGTTCTTAGAGTATGGCAAAAACGCCATAAACAAGCTGATACAATTCCTAAATGTTCTACAGAACAGAAAACCTGTTGGCACAGTACCTTACCAGTGCAGTTACATCCTGCCCTTTAGCTCCCTCTACTGTTCAATTCTGATATTGCTTTTTAGACTTGTATCTTACGCAGCAGGTTTTTAGACATTTATTTAGAAACACTACAAATCCTACACATCCTGAGTCTATTATTCTTGCAGCCCACTGCTTTAATTTTCATGTAGTAATATATATAATCATGTGCTGGCACTAAACCTCAATCTTGTATAGCAGCCTTTTCTGATTAACCTATACAGACCCATCATGTCACTACTGCAGTTCTGCTATTATGTGTGGTCCTCACACACTGCATTCTATACAGTTACTGCTCCTTGTTAAGAGGATCCTCACCTCCTCCTTCATCAGATTCATCATCCAGAGATTTCTGCTTCAGTCGGCTACTGTGGAGAGAATAGGAATCTCATTGCCATGTATATAGCGGTGTAATGTACACAAAGCCAACCTCTGGAACTTATTATCAGTTATACAGTTTTTTTACAAACAGGATCTCCCATCTGTAGTACCGTGGTTAATTATGGGTGGAACTTTGACAGACTTAATCATTAGCCCTTTGTTGACACTTACTCTTCTACATCATCAGCTCCTCGTTTCCCAGACCTGCAAGAGGACACATAACATGTGTTAGTACAGCAATATAACACGCAGGTAATGCGTCTGCAGGATTGGTTCAGCGGTGGTTACAGCCTGTGCAATATCTGGCTATATCACAATATGCAATAATGATGCTTAGTGTCCGGGTTGGACTGAGATACATAAATGATGTAGAGCTACAATCAGGCAGTTTCCACGGGGAAAGTGTGCGGTGTGCTGGCTTTTTTCTCTAGTTTGACATACAGAAATTACTTTGCAAAACCAGTTTACGTCTGACCATTTATGCCAAAATCATACGAAATGTAAATTACAACGTTTTAACCACTATGGATCATTGTCAAGCTTGACTTACATGGGAATCCTGGATCATCAGTAAGCTGTAGTGCTTATGCTGCTTAGAGTGTCCCTTTAAGATGACCTCACAGCAGATTAGTTGTGGATCAGGGGATTAAGTTACAGCGAAGTACTGATTAAGAACGTCACTCTGTTTCTAACTCTTACCCACAATAATCATTTTTTTCTGTAACTCATATTTAACACTTTGTACTAATTAACAAATTATCTTATTCCTTACCTATTTGTATTAGTATTGTGTGTGTGTGTGTGTGTGTGTATTTATTGTAAATTGTGTTAAATCGGTTGACAAAAACATACACTCGATGAAAAGACTGTCACCTTTGCTTCTGATTGAATAAAGGATCACTATTTGCGATTAATGGTATCATTGACGATACATATTACTTTCCTTACAGATCTTAGTCTGGTTACTTCTCAAACCCAATTTTCCATAACACCCCTCACCAACATTGTATCCACTGAATTGCTAAAGACATTATAGATAACATCATTAGTTATGACCAGACCACAAAAACACTTTTACATGTGCCAGACAACCAATCGTCATTCTTCCATACTGGCTGACCTCCGAACACTGTAGGTGCTTCAAATTCCTTACCTTGACTCAAAGAACAAACTGCTACAGTAGACCACTGTAAATATATGTACTAGTGGTCCTTCGTAACAACATGAGAATTAAGTCATAAAACCAGCACGAATATTACAATCCTCACGGAGGCAGGGAGAGTGGTTATGGGGCTTTCAGTTCGTGGACATCAAAACAACTTTGGAACTTTCTCATTTTGGAAGAAAACTAAACACGTTGCTCTTCCATAGTGGAGAAGAAGGGAATGAGGTTTAGGGATCCTTCTTTATAGAATTATGGTGGGAAATATGTGAACATATCAGAAACTACTTGTCTTACAAGTGGAACAAGGAACGCATTGTTTAAACAACTGGGAATCTACATGGAGAAGTAAGATGTAAAACTATTTTGCAGGTACAAATTCTTAACATTTTATTACTGACACCACTTTAGTTTCACATGACAGCTGCTATTTAGGTGAGAAAACAGAAAAAAAAGGAATCTCAGGGTTATTTACTAAAACAGGAATTCAAAGTGAGTTTCAAATTAAAAGCCCTAGCAGCTGAACTGGTATAGCTGACTGATTTAAATCTAGAGTCTTGATGCAGCTGTGACTGATTTATTTGCCTCAACTTGAAAGCTCCCCTCGTACATAGGAAAATGAAGAAAAGAAAATACATCTATAAATATAAAAAAAGTAACTGTACCTTGCACTCAAACTCAAACTGTATTATCCTGATGAAAGTCCTCAAGCAGGACTGAAACGTTGATTGATTTTTAACAAGACTGATTAAAAGTTAAATTTTATGGAATCCGTGAGTGCAGCCTTCTATTACCACTATTTATATGTATATACTATTTATTTTTCTTGGTGATATAATTTGAATATAACAGTGGTTAGTGTTACGATACACATGCGGATACCAATTATTTTGACAACTTAGTTAGTCTTCTTAAAGCAAACAAATCCATTAGCAGAACCCAAGGTTTGAAATAGTGGGCTCTCCCCGAGTTAAATATGGAGTGAGAAAGTGAAATATTATGGACATTCCGGTTATCCGATTTCTCTAGGTGAAATCACACTGTTACTCACTTTAAAGGCCCAGAAGAGACATCAGCCCATCCTCCCTGCCGTAGAGGTTTAGGGGGCCCCTGGAACAAAAAGTAATGTAAATGACGTAGGAAATTAAACAGAAAGGGAACGGTTCAAATATTTTCCAGGCTTTTGTGGTTTGTTACATCACACCTGCCCACCATGCAAACTTGAAATGCTCTTGCTGCTTTCTTATCGCTAGGCAAGCCTGCTCACCATGCTTGCCATCTCTGTTACCCCTGCTTGCTCTCCCTGCAGCAAGCATGCTCCCTTTTTCTACTCTCTACCTGAAGCATGCCTTCTACTCTGTATCCCTGCATGCCTGCTCACTGTGCTTGTTCTCCCTATGGCACACTTGCTTTAGAGTACATCTGCTCTCTATGCATGCGCACTTCACAAAACGCACCTGCTCACCAGGGATAGTACCTGGACCACACTAGCTCTCGATGATTGTTAACTCTGCAGCATAATTTCAATGTGACATTAGGAACCCTGCAGCATAATCTCAACCTTTGATTCCACATGATACCTGCTTCCTAAGCTAAAAAAAAAAAAAAAAATCTAGAAAATCTATTTACATTGTTTTGAGGAGTCATACATGCGTCTTGAATCTTTGTACATTTCACCACTCATTCTCTTCAATCATAGTACTCATTGTACCTCTTTTCCAGACTGAGAACGAGAAGTATTTTCTTCATCTTGCTGGGTGTCTTGAGAATTTCGTGCTCGACGTCCCATCCTTATCCCCTAAGGGGCAAAAAATAAATAAAAAAATAAGCAAATAGTACAGAAACTGACAAAACATATTCATCACAACAATCTAAGCTCCAATGTAATTCTCTAACACACTTTGTTTCTTATGTTATAACAGGCTGGCAATAAAATATATTATAATAAAATATTACAAAATAGTACAATAGACCAGTAATGTTATACACTGATCAGTCACAACATTAAAACCACTGACAGCTGAAGTGAATAACAGTGAATTATATTGTTACAATGGCACTTGTCAAGGGGTGGGATATATCAGGCGGCAAGTTAACAGTCAGTTCATGAATTTCATGTGTTGAAAACAGGAAAAATGGGCAAGGGAAAAGGTCTGAGTGACTTTGACAAAGGCAATATAGTGATGGCCAAAGAACTGGGTCAGAGCATCTCCAAAATGGCAAGTCTTGTGGGATGTTCCTGGTATGCAGTGGTGTGTACCTCCGAAAATTGATGCATGGAAGGAGTAGGTGCCCAAGGCACATTGATTCACATGGGGAGCAAAGGCTAGCCGTGGAGTTTGATCACACAGAAGAGCTACTGTAGCTCAAATTGGTAAAAAAAAAAACAACTTATTGTTGGCCATGATAAAAAAGGTGTCAGATCACACAGTGCATCGCAGATTGCCGAGTATGGTCTGCGTAGCCACATATTGAAGTCAGTGTTGCAGGTAGTACTTTGCTAAAGGTATATTAAGAAAGTTTACCCTGGCAGTGTAATATATATATATATATATATATATGTATAAATATTGTAGAAGAACACTCTGATAGCTCAATATAAAATAGTAAGAAACAATGTGTAGCAGTCTGGTAGTAGGATAATAATAATGTATAGCATACTGATAGTTTATTATACAGTATTACAGTATATTAGCCTGCTCTATATAATAATAATAATAATGTATAACATACTGATAGTTTATTATACAGTATTACAGTGTATTAGCCTGCTCTATATAATAATAATGTATAACATACTGATAGTTTATTATACAGTATTACAGTGTATTAGCCTGCTCTATATAATAATAATAATGTATAGCATACTGATAGTTTATTATACAGTATTACAGTATATTAGCCTTCTCTATATAATAATAATAATAATAATAATGTATAACATACTGATAGTTTATTATACAGTATTACAGTGTATTAGCCTGCTCTATATAATAATAATAATGTATAGCATACTGATAGTTTATTATACAGTATTACAGTATATTAGCCTGCTCTATATAATAATAATAATAATAATAATAATGTATAACATACTGATAGTTTATTATACAGTATTACAGTGTATTAGCCTGCTCTATATAATAATAATAATGTATAACATACTGATAGTTTATTATACAGTATTACAGTGTATTAGCCTGCTCTATATAATAATAATAATGTATAGCATACTGATAGTTTATTATACAGTATTACAGTATATTAGCCTGCTCTATATAATAATAATAATAATAATAATGTATAACATACTGATAGTTTATTATACAGTATTACAGTGTATTAGCCTGCTCTATATAATAATAATAATGTATAACATACTGATAGTTTATTATACAGTATTACAGTGTATTAGCCTGCTCTATATAATAATAATAATGTATAGCATACTGATAGTTTATTATACAGTATTACAGTGTATTAGCCTGCTCTATATAATAATAATGTATAGCATACTGATAGTTTATTATACAGTATTACAGTATATTAGCCTGCTCTATATAATAATAATGTATAGCATACTGATAGTTTATTATACAGTATTACAGTATATCAGCCTGCTCTATATAATAATAATATATAGCATACTGATCGTTTATTATACAGTATTACAGTATATTAGCCTGCTCTATATAATAATGTATAGCATACTGATAGTTTATTATACAGTATTACAGTATATTAGCCTGCTCTATATAATAATAATAATAATAATAATAATGTATAGCATACTGATAGTTTATTATACAGTATTACAGTATATTAGCCTGCTCTATATAATAATAATAATAATAATAATAATGTATAGCATACTGATAGTTTATTATACAGTATTACAGTGTATTAGCCTGCTCTATATAATAATAATAATGTATAGCATACTGATAGTTTATTATACAGTATTACAGTATATTAGCCTGCTCTATATAATAATAATAATGTATAGCATACTGATAGTTTATTATACAGTATTACAGTATATTAGCCTGCTCTATATAATAATAATAATAATAATAATAATAATAATAATAATGTATAGCATACTGATAGTTTATTATACAGTATTACAGTATATTAGCCTGCTCTATATAATAATAATAATAATGTATAACATACTGATAGTTTATTATACAGTATTACAGTGTATTAGCCTGCTCTATATAATAATAATAAATAATGTATAACATACTGATAGTTTATTATACAGTATTACAGTGTATTAGCCTGCTCTATATAATAATAATAATAATGTATAACATACTGATAGTTTATTATACAGTATTACAGTATATTAGCCTGCTCTATATAATAATAATAATGTATAGCATACTGATAGTTTATTATACAGTATTACAGTATATTAGCCTGCTCAGCCTGCTCTATATAATAATAATGTATAACATACTGATAGTTTATTATACAGTATTACAGTATATCAGCCTGCTCTATATAATAATAATGTATAACATACTGATAGTTTATTATACAGTATTACAGTATATTAGCCTGCTCTATATAATAATAATAATAATGTATAGCATACTGATAGTTTATTATACAGTATTACAGTATATCAGCCTGCTCTATATAATAATAATGTATAGCCTACTGATAGTTTATTATACAGTATTACAGTATATCAGCCTGCTCTATATAATAATAATGTATAACATACTGATAGTTTATTATACAGTATTACGGTATATTAGTCTGCTCTATATATAATAATAATAATAATAATGTATAGCATACTGATAGTTTATTATACAGTATTACAGTATATTAGCCTGCTCTATATAATAATAATAATGTATAGCATACTGATAGTTTATTATACAGTATTACAGTGTATTAGCCTGCTCTATATAATAATAATAACAATAATAATAATAATGTATAACATACTGATAGTTTATTATACAGTATTACAGTATATTAGCCTGCTCTATATAATAATAATAATAATGTATAACATACTGATAGTTTATTATACAGTATTACAGTATATTAGCCTGCTCTATATAATAATAATGTATAACATACTGATAGTTTATTATACAGTATTACAGTATATTAGCCTGCTCTATATAATAATAATAAGGTATAGCATACTGATAGTTTATTATACAGTATTATAGTATATTAGTCTGCTCTATATAATAATAATAATGTATAGCTCTCTGTTAGTGACACACAGTGCACCATGCTGGGTGTTATAGATATAATACATTATAATAATAATAATAATAATAATAATTCCCATAGGGGACTTGGTAGAAGGTTTGGAGTTTAGTCTCACCGATCTCCGGCTCTGATTCTCCCCCAGATCCAGGACATCCTCCATCTTGGTGCTTCACTACACTTACTGCTGCCATAGCAACAGGCACCGCCCTCACCGGAAATAGGGCGATGCAGCAAGCCCCGCCCACACAGGGAGGCACTCAGAGAATGTGAACAGTTCCAGCATAGAATGTTAGAGTTATCATTCAGTGTATACACCCAGTGCCATGTGTGAGCCTGTGTACACCCTGATTAATACAGCATTATATGCCATTTACTGGATACTGAGCTCAAAGTTTCCCCTTCTGTTTGTAGCATTTATTTTAGGAAATTAATTAGGAACAACCCAGGCACAAGGTGTCAGTAAGATTGGTGTTTGCTATGAGTTTTTTTTTTCCTTTATAGTTCTGCACCTGTTTGTCTTGATAATTTTGCTCCTGAAGCCCACCATTTATGCCCCTCATTGTTACTCTAGAATGTCTGCTGTACATCATATCATGACTTTTATGGGAGTTATTTTGTACACACAAAGCTGCAATTGAATTGAACACCCTGATTACCATAATCACTATAGCTCATTGTAGTGGGTATGGTGTCACGAGTGCCCCGGTGCCCTCTTAGGGTAAGTAGTCAAACTTAGAAGGGGTTTACACAGAGCTACAAACCAGATATATTATCCACACTACAATGTCTAATAATGTATAATAATCCAGCTCTCCCTGTCCAACTCTATGTCAGGATTACTAGTTAATCCAGCACGCAGAAATAGTATCACACCTATGACTTAGGATAACGTCTAACCAGTTCTTAGAATGGCCGGACTTAACGTATCTGAGAATGGTCAAAATACTTGCCGAGGTCAGGGACATAGAATCAGGCACAACGATTAGGAAAAGCCAAAAGTCAAGGATACCAGAAATCAGGGAAGTCAAAATGGAGCCAAAGTCAAAAAACAAAAAAAACACGATCAGGAACACACTCTCAAATAACCAGCAAAGGGAAACCACGACAGGGCACTGATCAAAAGGCAATTTGGGTTTAAATAACCCTCCAAAAGCTATAATTGGCTGTATGTGGCCTCTGACCCCAAAACATGCGTGCACCTCTATGACGTGACATTGCACGCACGTAAGCGCTATCTTTAATGTGGGCAAAGGCTATATACCCATTAAAACCGGAACCGCAGCGGACAGCGTGGGGAACAGGACAGAAGAAGGTCGGGTAGCTTTTTGACACGAGCAAGGTTAAAGGACCACTCTAGGCACCCAGACCACTTCAGCTTAATGAAGTGGTCTGGGTGCCAGGTCCTTCTAGGGTTAACCCATTTTTTCATAATTATAGCAGTTTCAGAGAAACTGCTATAATTATAAATGGGTTAAGCCTTCCCCCTAATCCTCTAGTGGCTGTCCGATGCCACTAGCTAGTGCGTTTCCTCACCGTGAAAATCACAGTGAGAAGACGCCAGTGCCCATAGGAAAGCATTGTAAATGCTTTGAGATCGCTGAACGCGCCGCCAAGAAGCCTGCAGTCAGCTGCGCATTCAGCCGACGGGGCGTAACGGAGGAGGAGAGAAGGAGGAGAGCTCCCCGCCCAGCGCTGGAAAAAGGTACGTTTTTACCCCTTTTCCCCTTCCAGAGCCGGGCGGGAGGGGGTCCCTGAGGGTGGGGGCACCCTCAGGGCACTATAGTGCCAGGAAAACGAGTATGTTTTCCTGGCACTATAGTGGTCCTTTAATATGTATTATTTCTGTTGGCGTTTCCACTGTGTTTCTGTGTGGCCACGCCAACAGTATCCCGCGGAACCGTGACACTCTAGCCCACTCTGAGTCTCTAGCTCTCCCTTTACTGATGTGATCTTCAGTTGTGATCCTGCCAGGACAATTTGAGCTTTGTAGTAAATACAGGTTTCCCAATCATTCTGATTTCAGTGGGACAGTCCTGATTGTAGGGTCCTGTCCTCCATCTGGTTTGTTCCCTGCTTTCTCACTTTTAGTACATTTCCCCCAGAAACATACTGCGAGCGCATTATTTTAAGTGTTGACACTACACTCAGAGCAGTAGCACAATGCAGAGAGCACTAATACCGTGCTCAACGCATGATATGTCCACAGTGGACCGGCCTGCTTAATTGGCAGGCAGCCTGGTGTACATTAAATGCTAGATTGACCTGTCAGGACCTTTGGGTGGAGCTAGCGACATGATTTGTGGCACTGGCCTGCCCTTATTAACCCTCTTACCCAATTCATGGGACCCTGATGCTTTGACCTATGTAAATGTTGCTGCTGCTATCAGGGCCGGACTGGGAAAAAAATTAGGCCCGGGCATTTTTCAATTAGAGCGGCCCCCCAAGAAGGGGGCGGGGCCAGAGAGGGTGTGTTTTGTCATCACTAATGACAAGCACGCCCCCTCTCAATGTGAGCATGTTGGTTCAATGTGCAGAGCCCCGCTGAAGAGCTCTGGCTTTAGAAAAAGGCCCTGTATTTGTTCTGCGCAGCGCAAGCAAATGTAATAACATGCTTGCACTGTGTTTGCTTTTAAGTTGTCTCTGGTGTCTCCACAAATGGGATACCAGAGGACAAAAGGGCCAGGAAAGTGTATGGTGCATGTGTTTGGCGCCTGCTTGTGGGATTGCCTGTGTGTAGAGTGTGGTGTGGTATTGTGTAAATAGATGTAATATGTGTGGTGTAATATGTGTGGCTATGGGCTGTAGAGAATGCGTGTATAGGGGGCATAGTGTTATAGGGGATGTAGCGAGTGTGTGCATACGGGCAGTAGTGTGTGTGTATAGGTGATGTAGTGTGTGTAGGGGTTGTAGAGAGGGTGTGTTTAGAGAATGTTGTATGTGTTTCCTTACAAGGAATGTAGTGTGTGTGTAGGTGGTGCACTGTGTGTGGTGTGTGTAAGAGATCTAGTGTGTAAAGGACCCAGAGTGTGTATAGAAGATTGTGTGTGCAGAGGATTAAGAGTGCATATAGGGTAAGGGATCTAGCGTGTATCTGGAGCTATGTGTGTCTCTCGGTGTGCTGAGTGTGTCTGGGGGTGCTGTGTGTGTCTCTGGGGTGCTGTGTGTGTATCTGGGGTGCTGTGTGTGTCTGGGGGTGCTGTGTGTGTATCTGGGGTGCTGTGTGTGTATCTGGGGGTGCTGTGTGTGTGTCTGGGGGTGCTGTGTGTGTATCTGGAGGTGCTGTGTGTATCTAAAGTGCTGTGTGTGTCTGGGGTGCTGTGTGTGTATCTAGGGTGCTGTGTGTGTGTGTGTCTGGGGGTGCTGTGTGTGAGTGTGTCTGGGGGTGCTGTGTGTGAGTGTGTCTGGGAGTGCTGTGTGTGTTTCTGGGGTGCTGTGTGTGTTTCTGGGGGTGCTGTGTGTGAGTTGGCTGTGTGTGTCTGGGGGTGCTGTGTGTGTCTGGGTTGTGCTGTGTGTGTCTGTGGGGTGCGCTGTGTGTGTCTGTGGGGTGCGCTGTGTGTGTCTGTGGGGTGCGCTGTGTGTGTCTGTGGGGTGCTGTGTGTGTCTGGGTGCTGTGTGTGTCCTGGGGTGCTGTGTGTGTGTCCTGGGGTGCTGTGTGTGTGTCTGGGGTGCTGTGTGTGTGTCTGGGTGCTGTGTGTGTGTCTGGGTGCTGTGTGTTTCTGGGGGTGCAGTGTGTGTCTGGGGTGCTGTGTGTGAGTTGGCTGTGTGTGTCTGGGGTGTCTGTGGGTGTGTCTGGGGGTGTGAGTGTCTGGGGGTGCTGTGTGTGTTTCTGGGGGTGCTGTGTGTGTTTCTGGGGGTGCTGTGTGTGAGTTGGCTGTGTGTGCTGTGTGTGTGTCTGGGGTGCTGTGTGTTTCTGGGGGTGCAGTGTGTGTCTGGGGTGCTGTGTGTGTGTGTGTGGTGGGTGCTGTGTGTGAGTTGGCTGTGTGTGTCTGGGGTATGTGTGTGTGTCTGGGGGTGCTGTGTGTGTGTGTCTGGGGGTGCTGTTTGGGAATTAATTTTAAGTATATATTTTTTTTTATTAATAATTTTTTTTAAAGTTATGTCCCCCCCCCCCTCCCTTCTTACCTTTAGCCTGGGAGGGGGAGGGAGCCGTTCTGCCTGGCAGGGGGAGCCTTGAGGGGAGCCATGCTGCCTTCCCTGGTGGTCCAGTGGTGAGAGTGAACTCTAACCTGCAGGTTAGAGTTCACTCTCGCGAGATCTGAGCGTTGCCGCGGCAACGCTCAGAATCTCGCGAGAGGACCCGGCGGAGCTGCTTGTTAGAGCTCCGCCGGCGTCCCTCCCTCACCCAGCCGGCGGCCGCATCTCCCTGTCTGTGGGCCGGTGAGGGAGATCTTTGATCTCCCCACCGGCCCATGGAGGCACTATGCAGGGCCGGCGCTCGGATAGCGCTGGCCCTGCAGGGGCCGGCCGGGGAGATCCTGTGATCTCCCTGCCGGCCTCGGCCCCACGGCCATCGCGGCCCACCGGGCATTTGCCCGGTATGCCCGATGGCCAGTCCGGGCCTGGCTGCTATTAAACATGTCAGTCGACTCACTATTAAAGCAGCAGGATATTAATGAAATTCCAGCTGATAATATGATCAATCTGCAGTGGTAATATGGAGCTAAGACGCAGCAACAATAATTGCAGGAATCAGTCCTCAGAGTCACAGCTCCAGTCTGTAGTGTGAAGCTTCACGACTAGTTCAACTAGCTGCACCATGAGTGTCTCCAATCTCAGCTGCAGGACCACAGATCACGTTGAAGAAGGTAGTGGGCATGGGCACTTGGCACCGCAGCCTACATTATGTGTTGTGCAGCAAAAATGCTGTCTTTTAGAAAAGTCTTCCATTTTCCCTCCTATATAATATATGATATATTTTTAATACATTCCCTTGCTTAATTGGACCTCAGACACTGAGGCTATTGGGGAAAAGAAAAAGATAATGTTTTACATATATATATTTGGAAGGGGCCAGGAGCAGCAGCTGCTGCTGTACACTGTGCTACTACCATATTTCCAAGATGGCTTCTTCCTTCCCTATCTACACTATATTTTCCCACCCCTGGTGCGGTGAGCCAATAATGGACGGCTAGAAGAGAGACCAATAGTATGCCTCCACAAAAGGACAGCTAGCTCTCCTGTCCCAATGGAAACTCATATGGAGGCACCTGAAATTCCTTCTTAAAGCCATGTGCAAAGCCTGCTGAAACAGTGCAGATTTCACTTGCACAGTTGCTCCCAAGAATATTCTCAAGACAACCACCAATCAGGGCAGGGACCATGTATTACAGAACCAAAGAGACACAGATAATTTTTTGACACACACATAGGTATCGGATGGAGCATGTTAATGTACTTTTTTGCCATATGGTTTAGTTTACACCCGCCACTAGAAAAAAAAAAATTAGTGGTCCTAAACTTTTGCAGATAATTTTTTTTTACATATAAACTTGTGGGATGCTTACCCAGTTGCCCCTATGTACAAGCCTCCACTGGGTATAGACAAGCTATAGAAAGATAAGACAGCATCGTGTGTGCATGCCTTCCAACAGTGGGACATATAGAAAAGACAAAGGCAGGTGGGCCAGAAATGGCGTCAACAGTGGGTCCATTCAAGAAAATGGACATTGCCGTCTGTAACGTGGACATTACAGCCAATAAGGGGGCATGCCACAAACCTGTGTGGGCGCATCTAAAAAAAAAGGGCACGTCAGCCTGTTGTGAATGTACACCAGTCTGAATGTCCATCGTGTCAGCCAGCCCTATTCAAGGCTGCACATGCACAGATCTCATTTAAAGACCTCTGTCTATGGGCTCAATGTTTTGAGTGTACCAAGTACGGGATAAGGGCATCTTGTGATAAACACCAAAGACAATAGTTGCTGTGCACTATCCCGAATTCCTATACACGTTTACTTAACTGGATTTTTTTTTTAGTATCCCTCCAATGGCCAGTTAAGTGTAAGCTCATATGCAACGTCAAGACAAATCCTCTTGGGTGAGTCCAGAGCTAACAATTCACCTTGCTTCTTTCAGACAAAAGGTAACATTTTAAATGAGACAGAGAAGGGTATTTTCCTCCACCCCAGCACACTTATTAACCCTTAATAGGAAACACGTGGGGTGCTTGCATTTACTAAAGTCATCGTTGCCGCCCAGGAGTTGTGGGAGTTTGAGCGCAGGACTTAATTGTGTATGTTTGCATCTTGTGATAAGCTTATATCGCACTTGCTACAGTTACCCGATGTCTCCGCCTGGGATATTTGGGACTCACACACGCATCTCCCATTGCCATAGGTTTAATGTTTTACCAGGAAGAACCCTTTGCATTAAGAAATTTAAATAAATAAATCGACTTAATTGGGCTTATCAGAGTAAGTTAATATAGACCAGGGCCACGTATGTCATAACATGCCTTCAGATGTATAAGCTTCTGTGAATGACCAGAGGGACCTGCGAGTCCACGTTTCTCTTTTACATGTTGCAAAACCAACAAAAACGAAAGGTTTAATAAAAAGATATTTACAAAAAAAAATATAGACCAGGGCTATGATGGGATAATAGTAATATGGTATAGATTGCAGACAAAAAAAAAGCATCAATGGGAAGCAATATTTAAAAAATATATATATATAAATTTTTTATTTATTTATAAATATAAATAAATGCTTTTTAAGATATGAGACCTTAATACATTGTACAAAGTACACAGAGCAGGGGAGCACTCTTCATGTGCTGCCCATCAGCATTGAGCTTTGGTATGTGTCCAACCACAGCCTGTGCTGCTGCATGTGAAGGAATCCCTTGTGGCCCCGCCCCCATCCCACAGCTCCAGCCAATGAACGGCTTGCTGCTTCAAGTGTTGCCATGGAAACCGCTCAGCGCGCCCAGTAGTCCCTGACAGTGCGCACACACACACACACACACACACACACACAAGCGAGGTGACGTCAGACGCACGGCCCCATTCGTGACGTGTTGTGTGGGCAAGTCCGCCATTAGTTTGGAGACTTGGTAGAAGTTGCGGAGAGTTGGCGGAGTGCGAGCTTCCAGTTGTCGCCGAGTTCCCCGAGCGGTCCTGAGGCCTCAGGGTGAGTGTCCCCTCCAGCTGGGGGCGGGGTGGTGATGGGGAGCCAGGCTGTCACTGCCAGCAGGCTCTCTGGGTGTATCCGGATGTCTGTTACAAAGTAACAAAGTTTGTTGCAAGTTCCTTCTGATATGGTGAAGTAGTGATGGTCAGTCAGGGGTTGCACAGCTGGTGGGACTACAACTCCCAGCATGCTTTTACAGCTTAAAGTCTGACAAAGCATTCTGGGAGTTGTAGTTCTACCCAGATGTACACAGCCCATTTTCCTGTATAAGTAAGGTTAGCATGGTTTATTTATTTTTTGTTTGTTTATTGTTGACACTGTCACAGTTATGGTGCCAGGTACTGTCCAGAGGTAAGGTGTATGTGTTGTGTGTTTGTTTTTCTTTTACATTTAAAAAATGTAATTTTTGTTTTATTTTTTTAATTTTTTTAAAAGCATTTGAGACTTGCTGTTATGTCTGACATTGCCAGTTGTTGTCTATGGGGGATTATGCAGTCGTGTGGGATATTTTGTAGAGCTCTTGAGGTGTTGTCTTGTTACATAAGATACTTGCGTCCATCAAGTTCAGCCTCTCTCACATCTGTTTTTGCTATTGATCCAAAAGAAGGGGAAATAAAAACACCAGTTTAATATGCTCTCCAAATTTTTAACAATCCTAGGGGGGAGGGGGGGGAAATTCCTCCTTGATCCCAGAATGGCAGTCGGTTCTCTCCTTGGATGAAGGAGCTATTACCCCACTAATTAAAAGACCACTATAGTGCCAGGAAAACACTAGTTTTCCTGGCTCTATAGGATCCTTGGGTCCCACTCACCCTCGGGGGCCCCTCTCCTCCTGGGCTCTAGGATAAGGAAGGGGTTAATCCCTTACCTTTTTTCCAGCGCCGTGCTCCCTCGGCGTTGGGGACTCCCCTCCCTCTTCCGACGTCATTGGCTGAATGCCCATGCGCGGCAAGAGAGGCGCGCGCATTCAGCCAGTGCATAGGAAAGCATTCTCAATGCTTTCCTATGCTCGCTGGCGTCTTCTCACTGTGAAAATCACAGAAGCGTGGAAGCGCCTCTAGCTGCTGTCAATGAGGCGGCCACTAGAGCCTGGATTAACCCATATTTAAACATAGCAGTTTCTCTGAAACTGCTATGTTTACAGCAGAAAGGGTTAATCCTAGATCGACCTGGCACCCAGACCACTTCATTGAGCTGAAATCGTCTGGGTGCCTATAGTGGTCCTTTAAGTGTTTTTGCATGGCAATACCACTTACTATTATCTCACATGTTCAAAATTAGAGGGGGAGCTGAAAAATCAGGACATGATTTCTAAACTGCCACCACTCCCTCATTTTCAAGCCCATCTACACAAATCTTGTATCAAATGTTCAGCTATCCCTGCTGTAACTAAAAATGTCCACGGCTAAGCCATAGTCCTGATAGTTTTCACAATATGACCATTTGTTTGCAACTCACGCCGTCCACTGACATTCATTGAAACTCCACTCCAGCCAGCTTGAGTTTGAAGGGCAATTTCTAAACTGTGACTGTGCCTTCATTTTTAATATTTCAGAGACTATGCATCAAAATGTAGGTCTGGGTCTTGTGATTCTCACAATATAAAGCTCTTCGCTGTAGGATTTATAGTTTTTAAAATACGACCGTTTGAAGATGGCAACCGCCAGTGAAGTGAGCAATTTGGAGCAGTTTGTTTTTAATGGCTCTTCTCTGCCCTATTTGAAATCTATTAGTTCCTGTTGGCAGTTGGTGGAATGTTCGAGGGATTTGAAAGCTCTTTTCTGCCCTATTTGAAATCTATTAGTTCCTGTTGGCAGTTGGTGGAATGTTCGAGGGATTTGAAAGCTCTTCTCTGCCCTATTTGAAATCTATTAGTTCCTGTTGGCAGTTGGTGGAATGTTCGAGGGATTTGAAAGCTCTTCTCTGCCCTATTTGAAATCTATTAGTTCCTGTTGGCAGTTGGTGGAATGTTCGAGGGATTTGAAAGCTCTTCTCTGCCCTATTTGAAATCTATTAGTTCCTGTTGGCAGTTGGTGGAATGTTCGAGGGAGAAAGATTTGAAAGCTCTTCTCTGCCCTATTTGAAATCTATTAGTTCCTGTTGGCAGTTGGTGGAATGTTCGAGGGATTTGAAAGCTCTTCTCTGCCCTATTTGAAATCTATTAGTTCCTGTTGGCAGTTGGTGGAATGTTCGAGGGATTTGAAAGCTCTTCTCTGCCCTATTTGAAATCTATTAGTTCCTGTTGGCAGTTGGTGGAATGTTCGAGAGATTTGAAAGCTCTTCTCTGCCCTATTTGAAATCTATTAGTTCCTGTTGGCAGTTGGTGGAATGTCGAGGGATTTGAAAGATTTGAAAGCTCTTCTCTGCCCTTGCTGTAGAGTGAGTGAACCACACTCCAACTTTTCCACCATTACTCCAGCCACTCCAACCACACAAGTTACTCAAGCCACTCCACCCAGTTACTCCGCCCACTCCAGTTGTAGACTACTGGTGGAGGCAAGAACACTTCACACAATTTCCCCAGAAATTGTAGTTTTTCTAATTAAATATTATATCCCTAATTATTATGTGACTGCATCAAGAGTATGTTTGTGCTGTTCCTGGTGGATGGATTACAAGGGGCTGGAGATGTTCATTGTAACAAAGAACATCTCCCCTCCCCCCTGCAACTACAACACTTCAGTGGTCTTTGCAAAATATGCAAACACTTGTGAAGGTGATAGAGCCACGTTAATTAATAACTTAGTTGACAATCACTCATTTTATCTTGCAAACCATCCAGTTTTAAAAACATTAACCATAGACGTAGGGTTAATTTACCCTTTCCGTTATACACAAGTCTGTGGGTAGACAAGCTGTGGCTCCTAAATAAATCTGTCAATTTGCGTAGATCAGTATGTCTGTTCCTTTAAGTGAACCTGTTGTGAAAAATTTCACTCGTCTGAAATCGCACCCATAGAGCGAATATACCAAATATCACGAAGATACGTGATGTATTCAATGTAAAATATATTGATTTATTGACTTTTATTTATTTTTTTTTCCATTCAAGTGCCGCACCGTGGGCATTTCTCTTCGTGTAACGCCCAACTCAGGGCGATTCTCTCCGCCTGTAGTTTTCTTCGATTTGCCCTGCTTGGGGATGTTCCCTAGTGATGCCAGCACGCTGGCGTCGGAACAGAGTGACGTCATGTCCGCTGTTCCTCACGTCATATACTCACTAGCCAGTGCTAGCCGCTCCATGTAAGTGGAGAGTAGAGGGACCTCCTGTGGGAGTTATTTTTTCTGCTCTCCCAATAATTTGTTTGGGGCATGACATGTCCCTTTAGGGTGTTCGCATATCTGTCATTGCTGTGTTAATATTATCTGTTCTGTCTTAAGGATATTGTGTATCTTCCTCTGTTCTGCCGTGCAGACATATGTGGTTTTACAGGTCCATATTCCTGAGGAAAAGGGGGGGGGGGGGGGTTTAAACTCACTCTCTAGTACTGGCAACTGTCTGTTAAATGCTATTAGACATCACAGGAAATTGCAGGAGCCTCTTTTCTCTCCTATGTGAGTGCCAGGAAATGTGTCTTTCTCTTCTCTCCATTAACATTATGCACTTTTTGTATTTGAGACTAGTTATCGGCATGTGCGATTTGTACAATCAAGTTACTGAAATCCTGCAGCTGCTTAATACAATATAATGCCTCTATTTTATGTTTCTCCTCTCCATCAGCAATGACTTGGTCATTTGATTTTCCCAGCAAAGATTTACTTATGCAATACTTAATCTTATTTTTCATTCTTTATACTTAATCTTAAAGGGCAGTAGTGGCTGTAGAATTATAGATCCCTTTCAAGTCTGGCAATTTAATGTGGATTAAAAGTTTGCACACAGGGAACTCTTTAATATATTGTCTGTTTCTGCAAGGTTTTGTTATGCTATTAAAGGGACACTCGGCAACAAATCCTAACGTAGTGGTTTTGGTGCATAGGTGCCACCCCTTATGTCTGACAAAGTAAATCATTACTATCTCTGAATATTGGCACGGTTTACATTTTACCTAAAGCATGCCTTTAGTGTCTCTCACCAGTGGCCACTAGAGAGATTACCTACTTCGTGTTTAGTTTAAACACTGCTTGAGCACATCTAATACATTTTAATCTTATTTTATTTCAAGGGCATGTGAAATAATAAATTAGGAACACTAACGTAAAAAGGAAGTCGATATTTGTGTGTTTCTTTAGCTCCCTTAAAGAACCACTAAAGTTAATCATGCCATTTCGTTTCAGCTAAGTTGTCTGGGTGCATTTGTCCTGTCACACGGCCGCTTTGCAGATACATTATGTTTTTTTTTTTTGAAGGGTTAAACACGAACATTTTCTACCATCAAACCCAGATATAATTGGGGATGCTCTCATGGGGTTTACAGGGTGGGTGACTGGCAGCCTGGGAAATATGTTAATTGTATCTGTATGTTTCTGTCGGTATTCTGCAGAGTGAAATCAGATTAATGGGAAAAAAAAAAGAAATGAGCCAATGGCCACGGGCAGGGACTGTTATGAGAAATTTTAGGTGATTTACCATCACCAACATCAAGTTTTGCAACTAAAATCTTATTTAGAACAAAAACAATGTATCTTATTTACACAGAATGATTTCTAAACCCATTTATGTGGAGGAGGGATTTTAGGAATGAAAAGAGGGCAGAGGGATTTGTGCTAAAAAATGAGTTACTGTGAAACAAAATGAGTATGAGATGTCAAAATCTGCAGACTAGACAAACAAACCGTTTCTATATAAATGTGTAACAATTTAGGATCTCATATGATGCTGTTTCACATTAAAAAGTATACATGGGTAAATCCCATTTGGCATTGCTATATTGGCACAGGAAACATTTGTGTGTCCCTTTAAAATCCATGGGTTAAATGGATTCCTTTATATCATGACATACCAGATGTGTTTTCTTTTAAAGGGTTAATATTTCTTACAGTCTTGTGACAGAAAGATAAAGACAGTCTTGGGTAAAGAGACAGATCCTTACACATACATGACATCCATACACACAGACATTATTGTACAGTCTAAAAAGTCCCGTTCACTGCCGGTCTTTCATTGGCATCACTGAATGCCTTTCCCTTATTGACAGTAATTGTGTCTCCCTAAAACACATTTGTTAGCCTACCGCATTTGTGTCTGTTTATACAGTCCAGCCCTCCATATCATTCTTCCTTCCTTCTTTTTACTTGTAATTTCCCTAACCATCTATTCCATTGTTTATCTAAAACCTTTTGACCTTTTCCCTTCCCTCTATATCTAATTTAAATTCTCTTAGTCATTCTGTAACATTGCCTCTAAAACACAATGGGATCACTTTATTTTGAGCAACTTTTTTGCATTAGAAAGTTATGTATGTGTTTAACCAATTGTTTTTATTTAGTTATTTATCCGTAATCTATCAGAAAATGATCTTTGTTTGAAATACTGAAAGCCACTAGAGGTGATTTGAACCCTGCATTGTACACGTTGCAATTTCTGAAATACTGCAATTTCTTTACATTTGCAAACTTCGACGAATAGGACCACTGCACCCAGACCACTTTTTTTTTTTTTTTTGAGATGATGTGGTCTGGGTGACTATAGTATCTCTTTAACCATGCCCCAATAGCAGGAAAACCTATGTATTTTTTTTTTAAATGTATGCAATGTTTTGCCATCAGTTTGAGCTCCAGACTACGCATGTACAGTCCATGACTGCGCTATGTCCATGTTTTGTGAGCAACAGGGAAATTGATATAAAGTGTTCTGGAACATAGTAGTGTGAGCTGCTTGATTGACAGTCCTAGTTGGAGTAAGAGTGGACTTAGGGTGCTCAAAGCTCATGGAGCTTAGACTGACCCTTTTAATGTATGTTGGTAGACATGAACACAAATACGAGTGTTAATGTTTATTCCTGCAGCAAAATTTGTATCAATGGCAGGAGGGGATGAAAAAAAAATAAAACATTTTATATCAAAATAACAAACGCATTACAGAGCTTCAGAGCATGCCAGTTAGATGCTTCTCGTAAAGAAGCGCTGAATCTAATACCTCTCTGGTAGAAGCATTTGTGGGTTTTCACAGTTATCATGCTGTACATGATGAATCTGAATGTGAATACCTTAAAGGAGGAAGTGGCTCTAGTGACTGTCAGACAGCCGCCACGCTTTCTGACAAAAGGGGCAGGGTCTGTGCAGCAAAAGCACTACATTAGGATATAATGGTTGTGGTATTTTTTAGTCCTCTTTTAGTGCTCGTGTGTAGAATTTTTAAAATATGTGAATGATGGATACCTCTCTGTAACAAATAACATACAGCACATTGTAAAACACAAATCTGGGAGGAGAGGGGGGGAGGGTTTAATTGGTGAAGGAGGAAAGGGACATCTACACTTCCCCCTTCCAGGCTCTGCCTGCAAGTGTGAAGCTCAAAATGTCCATTGGCAGCGTGCAGTGTGCACAGACATTGGGTGTATTTCAGGCACACAATTGACATTTGTCAGCCTGGAACAAAGTCGTACATACAGACTCCTACTACCATGACCACTTCAAATTAATGAAATGGTCATGATTGCTGGAGTAACCCTTTAAACATCAAATACAATTAATCACAAACATACCGTATATACTAGTCTATAAGTAGAGTGCAGTTTTTTTGACCAACAATTGTGAAATATGCTATGACTCGTGGATAAGTCGAGGGTACTGCATTTGAATGGAATTGTTCCCCTTTGGTTCGGTTACCGAACAGACTCTGTGTGTTCCCCCTTGTTAGCACCTCGTAATCACTGCCCACCCCTGGCTGTTAGCCACAAACAAGCATTCCCTGGGTGGCCGTCATTTGTGTATACGAATGCACGTGTTGAAACAATCTTGTCTCCCGAACGCAGACAATGGTACATGGTCGTTGACGGAATGGATCTGAGTCCGCCACGCAAGCCCGCAAAACCCGCTGAAACTTGTACTCCTGCCTGTTCGACTTCCCGAACAGCTAGGAAAACGGCGTTCGGGAGTCTAAATTCTATCGAAACTTGCACTGACCCGTGGATAAGTCGACTCTGTGTTTTTAAAATTTCTCGACTTAAACACGAGTATATACGGTAGCTGTTATTGTTATTTATTTTTTATTTTTCCTCTCTCTGTATACAGAACTGAAAAAGACCTAATTGAAATCTATAGGGGAGATATTAAGTTATGTGTTCCCAATTCCAGAGATGGGCCCCTTGCTCTCTCTGCTTAGAGGGATATCTACTATGTCTCTCTGGCAATGCCCAAAGAAAGACAAAATGGTTGTCTGTGGTTTCTGTACCTCTTGAACAGAGGCAACCTAATGGCCTTTCAGTTCTGGACTATCCTTGTCGGCTGGGTTAATAGCACATGAAAATAGTGTAATTTCCCCATTCGGTTCTGATTCACTTTTATAGTACAGAGGATGTTCATGAGAAAATATTCTGTGAATGCTTCTGCAAAATAGTTCTGTACTTCTCTCGCAGGTGTGAAAGAGCTGTTGGTGTTACTGTGAAAATATTGAATATGGAACCTTACTGACGAAGTTGTGTGTTGTATTATCCAGCCCTACTTTGCAGTGCTGTAGGCAATATTAAAAGTAATTAATTTCTTATTTTTTTTAACCTTCGTATTTGACAGGATGACGTGTTCTAAACAAATGCTTTATTTCCGTGATGATTTTGTAAAAGAAAATATTTGTACTGAAATCTTCTGACTTGTTTCCATTGCATGAAAACATTACAATCCTCTGAAGTATCTGATTTCTGGTGACCTATATAAAGCAAGCCAGAAGAGTCCATGGCATCTTCAACAGGATTACATTTTTACTCCCAACAGTGGAATTCTACCTGAGTGCGATGGACTTTTTATATGTATCGATGGACTTCAGGAACTCAACACCAGTACCTGGGATTTGACTAAGCGCGGGAGTCTTCAGAGTGAGTGGATACTTTGATATAAATAGATTACTTAGAAAGTTTAATCTTCCTGATACATTAAGACTGCGGCAACAGCATAGATCATCTTTGGTTAGTGGAAATTTTGAGCCCTGCTTATATTTTTTTTTTTTTTTAAAGCGGCTTGTGGAAATTTCAATGCAGTCAAAAGATATACCAAGACAAGTAAGCACTACTTTATCTCCGTGTTTGTCTGATGCTTGAGAAAAAAGTGGAGCTACCGCTGCCAGGTTTTATAATTTCCGACGTATATGTCGCTAGTGCTGGCTTAGAGCAAATAAAGCATAGTTTTTGTACGATCCCGCGGTCTCACTCCATAGACCTTGTTCTACTCTATTACATTCACAAGAATACAGCACTGATAGGGACACGAGATCTATGCAGTTAACTGGCAGGAAGATCATGGCTGTGGCCACAATAGACCGTTTCAGGTAAATAAAATTCACATTCTCTCCACAGCCACCAGATACCCAGCACAGCAGTCACCCAGGCGGTGACACAACCGTTTTAAGAAATTGTCTAATATGTTCAGTCAACTGAACGTTAAAGGACCACAAAAGTGCCCGGAAAACATACTCGTTTTCCTGGCACTATAGTGCCCTGAGGGGGCCCCCACCCTCAGGGTCCCCCTCCCGCCGGGCTGGATGGAGAGGAAGGGGTTAAATCTTACCTTTTTTCCAGCGCGGGGAACTCTCCTCCTCCTTTCCCCGTCATCGTCTGAATGCGCATGTGCGGCAAGAGCCGTGCGCACATTCAGTCCATAGGAATGCATTCTCAATGCTTTCCTATGGACGCTGGCGTCTTCTCACTGTGAAAATCACAGTGAGAAGCCCGGAAGCACCTCTAGCGGCTGTCAATGAGACAGCCACTAGAGGCTGGATTAACCCTAAAGTAAACATAACCCTAATGTTTACAGTAAACATACGGTATGTTTACAGCAGAAAGGGTTAATCCTAGGTGGACCTGACACCCAGACCACTTCATTAAGCTGAAGTGGTCTGGGTGCCTATAGTGGTCCTTTAATGGAATCTCCCAAAAAGAGAGAGCCAACCTAAACTGAAAGAAGGGAAACCTTTCCAAGGATTGAATACTGGGAATTGAAAGCTGTGAACGAAATACTACCCTGTTAAAATATCACGTGTTGCGATAAGGTTACATATGCAAATAGTGGAGAAAGCAGTGACTGTGAGCAGAATGAAAACCCTGGGTGACATGTTGTACGGTACATAGATCATGTTTTTCACTTTTTGGTGATTGTGGAATGAGTACAGAGGACGGATCTTCCTTGGGAGCATCACCAGTGACCCAACTTGCGATGCCCATAATTGCCAGGCCCGTCTGGAAATCAAACATGTCCTGTGTGTTCAGTGCATCTAATGATGCAATCATGCTGTGCTACATGAAGACATTTTCATGGTTTCACTGGACGCAGGACACCAAGGAACAAATTCAGGACAGGATCACAAAATTGGAACTGTCCTGCATTATGCAGGACAATTGGGAGGCTTGATAGATATTTGTGCACACAAAAAGTAAGGTGGACAACACATGAAAACTGATGCCAAAATATGAACATATAAATGATGCAATGCATTTTTATGTTGCACATAAAAGGATTCTATATATTGAACACAAAACAGGATCAAAAAGACAAGAAGTCATACTAATGCAGATCTGCTAATGATGGATCGTAGATGTTTATTTATAGCCAGTGTGTTTCAAGACGTAGAAAGAAACTCTGCAATTAATTTAAAGTCCATCGTTTTAAAAACTCAGAGGACCACATTCATCACATCATTGTGCTTCATTTATAATGTGAATTCCGAAGCTGTTTATTGAGCATGTGAAATGCAGAAAAGTGCAATATTTAGAGTGGACACGCAGGTCCAAACAGTGAGAGCGAAACGGTTATAGCTTACAAAATATTCAATTGTAGTAGGTTCCATAAAGCAGAGGTAATATCAGCGGTAAACGTATTAAGTAAATTCCAGTGAAGTGAACAGTTTAAGCATCTTATGACTTTGGGTATATGGAGGATCTGTCAATCAGCTTCATATATAATGTGAATTTAACAAATAACACTGAAAAAGGAAATCACCCAACCCATAGCTGTTGTGCAAAAGGCTGTTCCTCTTCTATGAAACATTTTGACACATTCATTAGAAGATGTTTATTCGTAAGCATATAATAGAACAGGGGTAGGCAACCTTTTAGCAGCACTGTGACGATATAGGATTGTGATGACCCCTGGCGTGCATGTCGTATTTTTTTAAATTGAGGTGTGTATGCTGCCGTATTCTGCTTGTGTTATTTATACTGCAGTTGCTTTGTATTGTTGTATTTGTGCGTATATGAGCTATTATATTGTATATGTTCATTAGTAGTTTATGGTATCGTGTATGATACACATGAATGTGGGCTGTGTATGAGGGCTGCTTGTGGAATTGTGTGTGTGGATGGATATGTCACATTGTGTGTTTGGTAGTGTGTGGGGTATTGCATGTGAGAGGCTGCATGTGGGATTGTGTGCATGTATGTGGATTGTTAGTGGTGTTGCGTTTGTGGGGATTGTGTGTATGTTTATGTGTGGGCTGTTCGTATTATTTGTATGAGGGGTGGCTTATTCAGCAGGTCTGTGTATATCTAGCAGTGTGGGTGGGTTCTCTGGGTTCCAGTGGGGACCAGGCTGGCCAGGTACAGGTCAAGGACAGGAGCTGCAACAGCAGCTGCAGGCTGCTCTACTACAGTGTGGACTCCCATTCACAAGTGCTGGGAGTAAGTGATCTGAAATCACTTACTCTATGTGCTGCAATGCATAAATTGAGGATTTTCCTTGACCACCTTTTTGTGTTAGCAGATATCTGAAGTTTCACTGAGACTCCTGATAGGCCAGAGCCTGTTTGGCTCTAGCAGCCGTGAGTGCCGTGGAAAGACACCTCGAGTGCCGTGCATGGCACTAGTGCCATAGGTTGCCTACCCCTGTAATAGAATATGAAAATTGCATTTTTATATAAAAATGATATATAGCAATACAGTCTATTGTTCAAAGTATTGAGCAAGCCCCCTAGAGGAGGCGATTGGAGAGGCCAAATTTATTCTTGCAAAGTGGATTTTCTGAGTTCAGAGTTAAACGTTTCACTTTATTTATTTGATCTAATTTGGATTGATCTTTCAGTCTTATATTACAGAAATGTTGCTGTTTCAGTCTAGGATGGTGCCGGTATCTGCAAAGGGTTGATTTTTGTTTTTTTTTAAATTTAATTATTTTTGTGATTTCATATTCACTATATTTGTAATGTATTAAAAATATATTTTTTAATTTGTCTATTTTATTTTTTGTCGGGGGTGTGTTTGTTTTTTGTATTTTCTGGATTGTGTATATCACTATTGTCCATGGTTATTGGAAAGACTGGTGTCTCGCCCGCTATTTACTTTTCCTATTCTGTAAACTCTGTACATCATGTTTCACATTCAGTAATAGTTTCCATGTTTACCAAAGGATTTCTATAGCTAATAGGTTTTACTATACTGCCGGAACGGTGAAGTTGTTTGTGTGTGACCTATCAGAACGTTTACAGGGCAAAGTTAGTTTGATAACCCAGCTGTGCCTGTGTGTTTGTATCAAATGTAGAAAAAGTTAATCCCAAACGATGCTTCTGTATTTGGTATAAATTCCTTTGGTTTGAGATTTCTGCAGTAAGCTCCGCGCAGACCAGGAAGTGATTCATCCAGTCTTGATCCCATGATTTTCTATTACTGAACCTATCCTATAAATGCATAGATTATGAATGGAGGATTGTATGAGCCTGTATTAAAGGAAGCATACGCATAAACTACAATTCCCAGAAACATACTATCCTGAGTGACTGCCCAACAGGCGAGTACTTCTTTGGGCAGAGGGAAACGTAGCTGCCATCAAGGCATATTTGAGTGCGTTTGGATTTTTAAAATCTTTTTTTCTACAAACTCTTGTAGTAATTATGTATGTTGTGCAGGGAGAAAGACTATCTGAAAACAAATAGTACTTATGGTGCTTGGAGTGTTCATTTAGGCCAGTATGCACCATAGCGCGGCACTGATGTGACCCAGACCTGTTGGGTTCTATAGTGGTAATAGAACACATTTTGGGTGTATGTGTTTATTATTATTCACACGGCCATTCTGACACCCATCTCTACTTTACTGAATACAACAGTTTTCCATATCTAAGGCAAGACAAGGGTGAATGTACTAATGGCACAAAAAATCCTGTGTTTAGAATCAAATCCTACCAGAATATTACCACAGTAGTGCAGCTAATAGTATACAAACCTTCAAATATTCTACTTCTGAAGCCAAAAAAAAGTAGGGGAACCCAAGCAAAACGTGATGCAGTTGGTTCTATTTCTGTTCGTAGCACAAAGAGTTAACTGGTGAACTCTTTTTATCTGTAAGTGTATCACTTTCAATCTTCATCTTTGCATGCCATTGTGAACTGTATTTTATTCCAAAGTCAGCTGCTCATTGGTAAGAGACCACATGAAATCTTGGGGCAATCAGTGGTCAATGCATGAATAGTCAGGACAGAAGGATTCAGTCGGTTGTAGGACACTCAAGTCCTCCAAGAAAACCCCATTTAGATAATGAATGACTTTGTATTGCATCAGTTTCACAGTCATTTTGCGTAATCACTACGTGGTGCTAACACCCCTCCTCAAGGTGAGGATTCAATGATTGTTGTTGAGATGAAAGTACATACAGGTTGCCAGATTACCAATGGTCCAAGGGTGGATTCCTGTGAGGCAAAGATTAAGTAATATTCTATTTATTTATTTTTAACAGATGTCCCCTACCTGACTTTGGGGAGGGCTAAAACCTTTACTTGTTCCACTATATCTCCTTCATGGTATTATGAAAATTGCCATTGCAAAATGAAACCCCATACAAATTCTGGCTTAATATAACGACTCTAAAACAAACGTTTCTGGCACGTGAAAGGCACCAAAATTAGACTTACTTGTGTTCTTAATCTAAACTGCAACCTTATCATTGACTATCGCACAGTCACTTCCTTATCTGTATTCATAGTTTGTTTGAATCCTTATGGCTGATGCATTTTTAGGTCCTTTCTGTAGCTTGTTATAAACTTACTCTCTAAACCCATATTCTCAGATTTACTTTTGCTTAAAATATCACTTGGCAATTCTCCAAAACTTCTGCTTTCATTAAGTTTTCATTAATCATCGAATACAAAAATCGTAATCAACCATCACATACATCCTAAGTGTTGCCCATCACTGGTTAGTTTACATACCATCGCACAGCAACATATTGCTACATATGAATACAGTGCTGGGGCTCAAAAAAGTGTTTATTATTTTATTTTGTGTATGGTTTATTCCTTAATACCCAGTGTTAATTATTCCCTGTACATTTTATTTATTTATTTTCCTTTAGATGTTACCTATATACAGAAAAGGATAAACATAGCATAATACTGTTGGACTAAAAGATTGTCAATAAGTAAATATTGGTTTCACTCACACTTTGCAGAGCCACATATAGTAGGCTCTGACTTTTGTCGCTCTTTTCAAATCCCTGATGTATTTGACTCCACCACACCTCCAGGTCTCTCCACTTTTGCCAGGATACAGGAGATATAAATGATTCCAAAGGAGATAGGGGATATAGGTCAATATATCCCCTATCTCCTTTGGAATCATTTATATCTCCTGTATCCTGGCAAAAGTGGAGAGACCTGGAGGTGTGGTGGAGTCAAATACATCAGGGATTTGAAAAGAGCGACAAAAGTCAGAGCCTACTATATGTGGCTCTGCAAAGTGTGAGTGGAACCAATATTTACTTATTGACAATCTTTTAGTCCAACAGTATTATGCTATGTTTATCCTTTTCTGTATATAGGTAACATCTAAAGGACAATCAAGTATTTATAAGTATATTATATACATATTTTTACCTGCACTCCTCTATCTTTATCTTTTAACAATATTTGTATTTGTGTGTTTTTTAAGTGGTTTTTTAAACACTGTGGAGTTGCACTTATATTCCAGCTACCACCCCCACACTTGTGTGTGTTTTTTTGCACTTTATTGTGTAGACTTGTTTGTATTATTTATTTATTTATTTATTTATTGCTTTTTATTTTTTTTAAATCAATTTGTGTTTGATATATTTAAGTTTTTAGTACAGTAGACTAATAACTTGTTTCTTTTTTTCCCTAAAGAAAAATATACAAATAAAGTATAAAAAAAAAAACCCACATAAAACCATAAGTAACCATGGCTGACATGACGGTAGAAGATATTCAGCTTCGGGCCAATCAGGTCACAGATGAGGTAAGTGGTATCCTATAGCAATTAATATGTATTGAGAATTGCTTAATGTTTACTGTGTAAATGGTAAGTACCTAAAATGTAGTATCACCTCCTCCCAGCTATTGCAGAAATACAACTCCCAGCAGGAGAGTCTACCTTATAGCAACTTCTGCAGTATAATGACTGTATTTATAAATATTCAGGTGCACAGAAAATAAAGCTAGCATTGCATTTCTTTATTTATTAGTTCTAGGTAAATTTCTCAGTATGCCAAACTCCAGTTTATTAAGTAGATGTTTGCTACGTTGTGTATTAACATTGTGTTGAGCAAAGTGCGATCTGCATGTGTCACACAATGATTAACTTTCACAGGGAGCTTGTCTGATAGTTTATTTAAATAAACGCAACGGAATTCATGTAGTGCAAATATATACAATGAGATTTTGTGCGAATGACTCTTTGGCCACCCCAAATGCTTATGACCAAGATGCTCTGCTGGTCAGTGGGATGCACACTTTTCGCAGTACTCACCTCTTGGTTTTACGATTCAGTGCATCTGGCCCCATTGATGATTGTCCATACCACTGCTCAGCCCAGGAGCAAATCTAGGATCAGAATGCCTTCAGTAAAGTGGCCTGCCAATCATAAAGGAGTGCCAGTGATTAGCTGTCACTGGAGTGACCCGTCTGTAAAACAAAAGATTAATTTAACTCCAGTTTCAGCTGTGCACCGTAAAGCGGCCAATAGATCAGCAACCAATACTGCGCTTTGTAAAATGTTCTGCTTTACTCCCTTTATCCATTACTAGCACAGCTCCCTGGAAGCAGATTAACTGCTCTCAATGGTTCTTGGTTAGCTGCCATCAGACTGGTATTTGTTTTCCCAACAAATCTCTCTGCGTGGCAGCTTCCCATTTCCTCAAGGAATTCGAATGTATGGCTGGTAAGTTGACGTAAGTTATTAAATAAACTGCATGCATATTATACATTCTCATCTAGTATATAGATACGCTAGAAGCACTCCGCCAAGAGCTGCAGGTTCTATGTCTTGTATCACATGTTCCAGTGGGAGTTGTTTCCATTAAGAACCAGTGACTGTCTTGATGATCAGAGCTTTAGGCCAGCTGAATGGAAAGGATTCTAAACCAAAATGACATTTTCTCTTCTTAAGGAACAGATTGTAATAATATGGATTGTCATTAAGGGGAAAAAAGCTATTTACGTTTCACATTATTTACTTGCACCAAATATTATTCTTCATGTTTGTTTAAAGACCTGATTCACACCAGAAAGTTCAAGTAGAATGAGAAAACCTTGTGTTCGATTATGTGGAAACATTTGGTTAAGAGGGTACTCATATTAAAAAAAACCAAACTGTTTTAATAGATTACTGTATTTGGTTAGACTAAACTTTACAGGCAAGCCACAAGAAAATAAATAAAACTGTATACTAAAAAAAACCCCATTACCTTCTTTTCCCACCTGCACCAGTCACACACTCATATTGATCTGTTTCTTTTTTTTATATTTCTTTATTTTTATTATATGAAAGTTTTAACATTTGCATGTGAGGTACCCCAAAGGCAATCCTCCAGCGCATTAAGACATCCAGATACAGAGATAAATGTTAAAAACACAACAGAAATTAAACAAGCAAAAAAAAAATTGATAGTATTGATCTGTTTCTAATATCTCCCTCCCTGATACCCATGGTTAAGTTTACCTCCATAGGATCCATCACATGGTCAGACCATGCTGACATCACGTTGCCAAACACAATACGATCGTGATCTTGGCGCCTAAAACCCGGTTCTACTACATAACCCACAGATACGGGACTCTATCTCCCAAGCTATCACTGACTTTTTTTTTTTCCTTAAACCAAGACTCACTCTCCTCCCTGGGCACACTTTGGGTGGCTCACAAATTGGTTCTCTGGGGTACCATGATCAGGCTCACCTCACACAACAAAAAACAAAAGTTAGAGACTCTCCAACATGCACTGACTAAATTACGCTCTTTAGTATCCAAGCTCAAACAAAACTCCACCCCAGAACTAAATACGCAGATTTCACAATGTCAATAAACTATAAAAGAATTAATGGCATCAGATTCTGCTAAGGCACTTCAATGGACCAGACAACACTACTACGAAAAATCTAATCAAGCAGATACTTTTTTGGCTCTGAAGCTCAAGCATAGAGCGGCTCACAAACGCATGGACAAAATAAAATCCCCAGACAAACACAAGAAACACCACAACGTATAGCAGAAGTATTCCAAGAATACTTCTCCTCACTGTGCAACCACAGCTCAGAGACCCGCCAAAACCCCAATCTGATCACGACGCAGATTAAACGATGCATTAACCCGCATTAACCTCCCAAGGAGCTAATAAATTGATCACACTGCTTACAGCCGAAGAATTGTCCATCACGCTTAAAACCCTTAAACACAACAAGTGTCTGGGACCAGATTGGTGGTCCAGACTTTATTACAAAACATATGCCCACATTTTTACCCCTCATCTCTGCAAACTTTTTTTAACTGCATACTAGAAGAAGCGTTCCAAACTGACATGTTACAGGCAAACATGCCTCTTACCCAAATCTGACAAATCTCACTTAGAACCTGGCCACTTCCGCACCATCTCTTTGCTCAACGTGAATATTAAACTATTCATGAAACTTATGGCGGAACGACCCAATCCCCCAAACTTATACACCCAGATCAGGTACGGTTTATACCCTCTATACAAGCCGGCGACCACATCAGACGGACACACCGACTACAGACTGATCTCCACCTTGGTTCTATCCCTTGACACTGAGAGCGCGTTCGACAGGTTACTTTGGCCCTTTCTCTTTGCCCCACATCCCCGGAGATTCTCACATCTAAGAATATGGGTTAAAATAGCGTTAAAATGCAAACTAACTTCCAATTCCTCACCACTCACACCAACCCTTCGGAACACACAATTTGCCCCGGGCATGCACCCCAAAGACTTTGTGCACTTTGAAGACCATGATCTAACCAACAACCAATTCCCTTCGCAGATCTCACAAGGCCCAGACCGCTTACAACTTTCGACTTTTTCGCTACATTCAGATTAAGAGCTTCTTCAGCTCCCCCACAAATAAAATAGCAAGTACAACCCCCTTAACGCCATTTGAAAGAGCTTGTATGCACCACCCCATCCAATAGGGTTAAATCCCAACACTATACAATCAGCACTCTAACCTACATGTCTGCTTGGGAGATGGATCTGGGACCTATTGGGACCCCAAGGCCTGGCTAGCCATTTGGAAAGCCACTACTACGGTTACTGTTTGCGTGAATCACAAGGAACAGGCGTCCAAAACGCTAATAAAGTGGTATATTACACCCCTACGGTTAAAACAACTGGGGAGGACAGATTCAGACCGCTGTTGGAAGGGGTGCCGGAACAAGGTTATTTATATCCACCTCTGGTGGGAATGTGAACACATCGCACAAATCTGGCATCAAGTATCACAAATGTCTTCCCAAGTCTTGCACTCCGATATCCCACTCGACCCATAGACCTGGCTATTGTCCAGGCCTCTCCAGAATACCCCACAGGCCCAAAATAAACTCATTGCCAATATTGCGCTAGCCACAAGACAAGCGATAGCTGAAAGGTGACTCTGGACAGGAACTGGCTCTGGAGAGGCTCACACCCGACTTCTTGTCGTTCCCCTCCCCAATTAAACTCTGACTCCCCTGTGTTCATGCACCCATTATGTCTTTCTGTTCTGGCTATTTCATTATCCAACCCCCATCAAACAAAACGAGTGGGACAGGTATCCTCTGGTTACCTCACTAACACTTATGGGCTCGCTTCACTGTACCACCTACTACACCACATCAATGACGCTCTCAAACCTTACCATGCCTGCAACCAGACAGCTTAAACTTGCCTAACATCGCGACTACCACACCCCCTGGGCTTGCAATGAAAACAAAAAGTTGACATCCCATACAATGACTCCTTCTGCTCACTCAAATGCCTTGCCTTGCTTTTTGCAGGTTACGACCTACAGCACCTCTTTTAGAGCAGAACATGATATGAATCTCCCCCCAAAACAAGTCAGTTTAGTCGATATACCCCCAATGAAAGCAAATGCTTATTTATGCATTTTTACTTAGCTGTGTATATTTAAAAAAAAAAAAAAACCTTGTCAAAACTGCAGATTTCTTGTCTGAAGCCTTTGCAAGACCGCCCCTCTTTAACTCTGCACACATCTTCAATTGTTGTCCAATTGTAGACTTCCCAATGCAGCTCAATGAGAAGTCTTTGCAAGGCAGGTGCTCTGGGCAATTATTTGTCTCTCAAATCTAATGCCACTGAGCCAAACTACCAGGAAGTAACAGGACAGAATGTCTGGGCAGCTGGGTGTGTAACACGGTTCATTTATTGAAATCTGCGCATTTTGTAAAATGGACACAATTATCACACAGAAAGCACTTCAGCTAGCAAACACAAACAAAAAATAAACTGCAGTGTTATGTCAATCTGCTTAGTGTTTCCTTTTGCTGACTGGTATGCAAGCCATACATTGATTCAATGTTACCATCTTTTCTTTCAGTCACTCGAGAGTACACGCCGGATGAAGAATCTGGCAGTTGAGGTAAGAGATACTTTTTGATTGGGTGATGCTCGCCTACATACCTATTTGCAGCTAATTACTGTATTTACTTAAATCTAAAGGGCACTTTAAAAAATAAATAAAAAAATAAAGTTTCCAAAATTTTAATGCGCATTACATTTGGGGCACAATTCTAAACTTCCTGGTGAATTAAGACTGGCGAATTGCGTTCCGGAAAGAGGGCGGTCCTCGACTTTACGACCGTCCTAGGAATGGAATAAGCAGATTCAGGAGCAATTTAATGAGCAATGTGAGGTATAAAAAGGAATTACTATCATTATTATAAAAAAAAAAAAATCAAAATAAGAGCAAATTTACCCCAAAATGGCAGAGAAACAGCGAAGGACCTCATGTGAAGCAAAATTCAAACGGAAATTTATGTTGCGTAAAAAAAATTTAAAAAAAAGGAAACAGACTAGCAAAAGAAGTCACCCTTACATAGACCAAGAGATTTTGGAATTTGTACGGGAAAGAAGAAAGAATGGGCTACCTGTGACTAGTGAACAAATTAGAAATAAAGCTAAAAATTTGGCTATATATTTCAGTATTTCAAAGGAAAATTTTAAAGCCAGTCAAGGATGGGTAGGTCTCTACAGCGCCGTACAACACAAGCCAAAAGCTTCCAGCAGATTTTGAAGAAAAGCTGCAATCATTTCAAAAGTATGTAATCGAGCTTCGTAAGAGAAACAAATTCTTGATGGGACAAACTGGCAACGCGAATGAGATGAGGTTCGATATGCCACGCAACTACACCATTACAGGTAAAGGGGCAAAATACGTTGACATAAAAACTTCAGGATGTGAAAAAACGGCAGCTAACTGTTATGCTGGTAATCTCTGCAGATGGTTGCAAACGTCCTCCATTTTTATATTTCCTGTAAAAAAACATCAGCCAAGACCAGTGCAAACAAAAACTTCTTCCCTAATTATGTCATTATTCAAAATCAAGAGAAAGGATGGATGACTGAATATTTAATGCTAGACTGGCTTAAAAATGTTTGGGCACAATGTCCAGGTGCACTTTTGAACCCCAAATCAATGCTTTGTCTGGACTTATTTTTGCATTCATCTGACAGATGAAGTTGAAAAAAAAAAAAAAATGTAATAAAAAAAATGAAGCCTGAACAACGGACTTGTAATTCCTGGAGGGATTACATCTGTTTTACAGCCCTTGGATGTTAGGGTTAGCAAACCCTTCAAACCGTTCAGAGGGAGTACGAGAAATGGCTCTGTGAGCCGAACCGGGAACTGACACCAGGAGGAAAATTAAAGCGTGCTGCTCCTCATGATGTTTCTCACTGGGTTTCTACTGCTAGATGTATCACAGCGCCTCTAATTGGAAATTAATTTAAGAAATGTGTATATCTAATGCATTGGATGGTAGTGAAGATGACGTATTTTGGAGCAAGTCAGAGGATGACTGGGAAAGCATGAATGAATCGGACACTGACATGTCGGATTTATTCTCAGAGGATTCTGACGGTGGTGAGAGTAATTAAGAAGATAACCGTAAATACATAAATGTTGAAAGTTTGTTAATTACCAGTATGTTTCTGAAGAACTATTGTAAGTGTTGAAAGTTTTTTTTTTTTCTTTTTTTTTTCTTCTTTTTCTTTATGCTTGCTTAAGAAAGAATTGTCTTAACATGTAACACTAAAATTGAAATGCCATCAATGTTACTATGGAAATGGCAATAAACACTTTCATTGTTGTACAATGTTGTATAATAGTATCTTATTACAAATGCGCCAGCAAAAATATTTTTCAGCTTCCAGGTTTCAAAAATTGAGGTGTGCAGGGGGGCGGAGCCTGGCGCTGAACCGGACCGGACGCCATCTCTTCTAGCTCCGTCGATCTCACACACACAATCTAGGCGATATCCTGGAGACTAGCCGCCATCCGACTGTGTAAGCATCAGCTACAGCCTGGGGACACCACACCGAATCCCCAGATGCCCTTCCAGTACTCCCCGAAGCATCTAAAGGCAAGACGCAGGACCGGGGCCTACCACACACCCGCCAACCGCGACCTCGAGCTTCTCTGGGGCGGGGACCCTGCGGGAAACACAGCAGAGTGGTGGCTGACCCTTACATCACCTGGTAACACAGCAATGGGGCATAGAAATCAGAAGAGTACCCCCAGTAACGCTCCAGAACAGAGGGATATAGGAGCTATGCTCCAGCGGCACACCTCTGCCAAGATGGCGGCCGCGGAAGGCCCAACCTCACCAGAGGCTCCCCACACGGACGTACCTGCAACACTTCAGCTGCAGAACAAAACGGAGGGCTCACAGCAACAGCCCACAGCATCAGCAGGTAACTCTGAACTTGCAACCAAACAGGACCTCCAAGCCCTGTACACTATGCTGCAAGACATTCAAAACCTCCTCACTGCGGATCTGCCTATCCTAAAATCATCCCTGCATCAACTAAAAGGCAGAATGGAGGCAAATGAAGCAAATATTAAGGAGCTAAGCCAAGACACCTCCACCATGCAGGCATCTATACTCCAACTACAAGCAGCCCAACAGGCCCTTACACTACAGGTGGCAGCGCAGGAGGACAGGTACCGCCGCAACCACGTAAAAATAAGGGGCATCCCGGCCACAGTCCCCCAAGAGGAACTGCCACACTACGTCAGAAGGCTGCTGGCTTCAGTACTGCCACCTGCTACCACTAAAAAAATAACCACCGCTGGGCTATATCGAATACCAACGTCTACCTTAACCACCGCCAAAACGCCCGGCGACGTCATACTCCACTGCGCACTACCTCAAGACAAGGGGCAAATAATGGCAGCGGTAAGAAACAAGACCCCACTGCCCTTTGAAGATTCACAACTGTCCTTTTACCAGGACTTATCCAAGGCCACACTACAATGGCGAAAATCCCTGAACCCTGTCACCACCCGACTGCGGGCAGCAGGAGTGCCCTACAGGTGGGGAACACCACGATCCCTCCTTGTCTTGTACAAGGGGTCCACGCAACGGCTAACTACGGGACTGATATCCCAGCATTCCTTGCAGCTCTAGACATGCAAGAGGCAATGGTAGCACCAACGGACTCAAATCGTGCTCACGGATGGGACCCATCCAGAGTGGTACCATTTGTGCCAAGAACTGTAGCCGACTGCCCACCTGATTCCTGACTGGCAGGGACATCTCCAGCCCAGTCCAAACCTAACGGAGGGACTCACTGATCCGGCCGCCCTAGGCTGCAAAGTTGTAGAGATGTAAAGTTCTGCTTGTTCTTGCGGCAGAATCACCCATTAGAGGACACAATTTTCAGCCTGGGCCCACTGGGCATAGAGACACCAGGCTCACGATACTACACCCAAACACTCACGAAGCTGCGCCATCTATGGCCCTAGTCCAGTTACATCTAGCCACACATGACCAATCATTGAAGCGCACACCCACACTCCCCCCTCCCGCTACCCCCTTGGTTAGGGGCAAAGCCTCTCTTGAGAGGTCAACCATGCACAAAGGCAATCATCCCCCCCACCCTGGGGAGGAGGGCAAAGCTTACACCACCGACACTCGAGTGCAGATATCGCTTGCTCTAACTAAGATAGACATGTTATTAAACCTCTTGTGATCATAACCCATGCTAATGTAACATGTTTTTGCTAACATCCTGTTCTGAGCGACATTATTTTAACATTATAAAATGTGCTGATAAGTTCATTGTTCCAATTGTTAAGTCTGAAAAATATGCTCGGGGAATGCTATTGGGGCACCACGAGCTTGCTTGTTATCTACTCAAAGCACGATAAAAATAAAGAATTTAAAAAAAAAATTTAAAAAAAATTGAGGTGTGCATTATATTCGATGGCGCATTAGATTTGAGTAAATACGGTAATCACTTAATTTTTATCTTATTTATTTTTATATTGGGGAATAGGACGATAATGTCCCCTATGTTCTTTATCTATCTGTACTGACCAACTGGTGGCAAACTATTCTGTTTTGAGGCTGCAAATTGTAACTAAACAATGAAAATCGCTTTCCTCTGGTAAACAGTGATGCAAAATATGTGATGTCAAAAATTCATCATTTCTGCTTGCTTTCATGTGGCTTTAGGTTTTTATTTGTTTGTCTTGCCTTCTTTGTAGTCGATACCAAGATAGATCCCCAGACTAAACTTGATGCAATATGCAGGCATGCCTTGCTCACTGGAGACAACCGCCATAAATCAAATAAAGCATTTTTCATTTGCTAGTGCATATAATACCCATACCATGTTAACAGTATTGTACATTATATGTACAACGTGGACGCAATAGTGCAAAACCAAGAAAGATGTTTTTCAAATAAAAAATACTACCCCCTTATGTATCGCTAACCTAAAAGTAGTTGAGATTTATAATCTGAAAATGATTGAAAAGCGCTGTATTAGTAAAGCACTGTAAACCACCAGATAATTAATTTCTGTAATTTTATTTCCTATTCAATATCAAATTATGGATTTCCGTTTTTTTTTTATTTTATTTTATTTATTTTTGTTTCCTCATCTAGTGTCAAGACACTGGAATCAAAACAATCAATATGCTGGACGAGCAAGGCGGTGAGTTTGAATTAAATAGACATTTTATTAGAATGACTGACTGCAGTAGAAAAAACGGAATGTTTCTGAAAATTATGGTTAAAAACTTGTTGCATTTTAAGTAATACAAACAAGTTTGCGTTGCATAAAAAGGGCACGTCTCCAAACCATCTGGTTGTGCCAGGAATATTCTTGACCTGTGGCACAGCGCTTAGTCCAAAAACAAGTTGTTTAATGCCCGTGCCTATCTTTTTTTCCACCTACTTTCTATTTCTTTTCATAAATCCTTAAAACACCATTCCAATCGTCCAGAAACCTATCCTACTTCCTGAGCCTGTAAGATGATTTAAAGAGGCACTTAAGTGCAATATTTAGGTTGGGTACACTTCAGTATGCTTGGTGAGTTTAATTTGTAATGAATTTTTTATTTTTATTTTTTCTGTTAATGTTCTTGTGTTTCTGCTTCACCTTAACCTGTAGAGTTTCTCTTCTTGCTCCAATAGTCTAGCTGTTCGTGATTAAAGTAAGCATTGTTTTTGTTTTTTTTTCACCTCATCTCTATATAGAACAACTAAATCGGGTCGAGGAAGGGTTGGACCAGATCAACGAGGACATGCGAGAAGCAGAGAAAAACCTAACTGAACTCAATAAGTGTTGTGGTCTCTGTGTCTGCCCGGGAAAGAGGTGAGACACAATACCCTTTATAGTGCAGTTTTATCTGCCTGTCATCTACACAGTCACCGACAAATAAGATCTTCATTATATGGTGTGTGTGTTTTTTATTTATTTTTTATTTTTCCCTTCAGATTAGAGGCAGTGCTTTACAACTGGGATTTCATCACCTGGAGGGAAAAAACAGGCAGGCAATCTCCCAAACTTTTCAAGAACCTCCCCCAATTAACTTTTGGCCTTATAAATTGCTTCCTACCCAAGACATCCCCAGTTCTTTGCCTGCCTCCGGCAGAGGAGGGTGTCAGGTTCAGGTTTTCTCCCTAGAAGTATGGTGAGAGGGCTCTGGAGGCTCTACTTCTTTTAAATAAATTTTTCAGAGATCAGCCAGGGATAACACACCAGACGGCTGTTTCTCCCCGGGTTGTGTTATGTCCGTCTATACCGAGCCAGGTGCCGGGCAGACGATGGTGCGCATTTGGGCACTAGCTGGGAAGTCCTGGCGGTGGAACACTCATACAGGTTACGTTTATTTCCACCGTGGAATCGCAAAATTCAGGACATGCGTAATGCGATTTTAAAATTCAGGCGCCAATATATTATTTTTTTTCTCTCCGGGGTCCAGATATTGGTTTCCAGGACTTAGAGAGGTTGTTTACCCAGCAGCAACTAACTTGCAAGGTGCACTCAGAATCTGTTGCAAGTGTGTTCTCACCAACCTCCAACACACTCTGAGGAAATTTTAAGGTAAGTCTTTTTGCTTTCTTAAATGACTCTGGCCTGAATAAGTTAATTATCTGTGCTGCAAGATGGATAAGCTAAAAAAGCGCAAATGTTTTTAGCTTCTCATCACTTAAAGATTACTAAAATCTTAAAACAAATAGTGCTTTGAAAGGGTAAGCACTTAGATTGGGCCCAAAATAAATTATTCTTTGAGTAAAGGGTATTAGCATATACTTTTACATAATTCTATTGTGAAAATGTAAGTTTCCTTTCTGGCTCAAAATAGCTGTGATAACAGTGATTAGTTAATATGGGTTTCAATAATCACTAATTGCTGCAACAGGGTCAGCAATTAAAGTGACGTATTTGGTGGAAAATATTCACAACAGCAAGACGCGTATCACTATTGGAGGATTATCCTCTGTATGTTATCCTTAGGAGGCTGATATTTAAAATCTGGTTTTGGTTAAGTTAATATACTGTTGTAGCAGATGGATTCTTTAAATGCCAGGATCCTAGCCGCAGTGTTTATTTTCTTAAAACATGCAGTAGGCTTTTAGCAATTACTGTAGACAAAGCTCTGTTGCAATTAGCATTCTCGCCACCTCAACTAGTTTCACCTAATATCCGTTTCCAAAAAGGCAGTCTGTTTTTCAGCGGGGGCAGAACTTTTCCTGTGCTTCACTCCATGTTGGCACATTTTATGTTTTATCTTAAAATTCCAAGTCCTATGTTGTCAGATAGGTTTGAGCTAACTGTTGGAATGGAAATTTATTTTTTTCAAATTCTTTATTTTATCGTGCATGGATTATACAGGTTACATTTACGCCAGCAATGCTACAACAGCGTATGCCAGAGTTTCCATAAACATATGAAGATAGTTGGCATGAATGAACAATGCACATTTTTAATTTTTGAGTAGACAGTGGTGTGATACAAGCCCTAGCTACGATTATGTGAGAGGCTATGTGGGCCTATCTATTGCTTATGTCAGTAGATGTATAGCAGTCGTCTGGTGGATGAATGGTGAGTAAATAGTTAACTGACTAGGCATGTTATGCAGTCTGAGTGAGCTATACAAATCAACCTACGCTTCCTTTATGGCTTAACCCCTAGGACAGGGTTGTAGTTAGATAAGTATAAGGTGTAGTTTACATGCTTACTGTGAGTAGTTAATGCCCCTAGGTGCAGTATGGTGAAATATTGTGTACCTGTTAGTGAAACAGATGCTTCAAAGATAATCGTGAACTCCCTAACTCAAGCTTTTTTCAGAGGAGTAGAGTGTAATTCAGGTCTAGAATAAGAAAGGGGTGCGTACTGATATTTTGCTAATGAAGCCCAACAGGATCCCCTGCAGCCACCACCCCACAATCCCCATTCACCCGATGCCTCGTTTCGTCAGAGCAAAGTCCCCGTTTGTGTTGGAGCATGCTGCGTTTTGAGTTCCAGTTAAGAGGCAATGCTTTTCGGTGGCCAGGAGCAAGATTCTCCTTGACTTGTTGAGTGTGATGCAGGGCTGAGGTTTGCCCTTTGGCGGGTTTCGCTTCCGTGCTGCTGCTGGTTTCGCTGGGCTCTGCGGTTTGCGCGTCGTCCACGTTAAAGCCTTCACCGTGGGTGCATGTTGCCGTGCTTTGAGCTTGTGGGAGGCAACTTGTTTGTTGTGCCGCCGGGATGAAGCCTCTCCCTCTGGTGCTGTTGCTGATCGCGGTGGGTGACTCCGAGGTAAGCTTTTACCCTTTGGCAAACTGCCAGGGTGGGTAGTTGGGCCCCTCGACGGGGCACGTTTCCCGCCCTGCCGCCATGTTGGGGCTCGCTGGGTAGTTGCCGCTGCGATCTTCTGTTTCATGACTGGGGTCGGCTTGTGCAGTGTGCAGTCACCGGGCTGGCTCCAGACAGGTTGGTATATCTTATTCTCCAGCTTGCGCCAGAAATTGTCAAATATCCTGTCCAGCCTGGCCAAGATGTCAGGGTTGTCCTCCGTGTTATTGGGGGTCCGCTCTGCACCCGCCATTTTGGCTGTGTCGTTGCAGGTTGTGGTAGCCGCTGTGGCCCTGTCTCTATCTCCCGCCATGTCTGAGCAGCCTCTCAGGGGTGGACCGGGGTAACCCCCACCGGTCCAAGGGGGGAGGTAACGGGGTTCTCGTGCCATGTTGTGTGCCTTTGAGCTGCTCCGGGCCGGTGGATCGGCCGCTTCCCCCGTCCAGTGCGTCTCAGGCCGCATGATTTGGGCAGTGTAGCAGATGAGCTCCTTGCAGATTATCACCACCCACAGTGGGTCTCACTAGGGTCGGGAGTTATATACTTCGCTTAGATTGTTCCCACTTAGGCAGAATATGGGTGATTTCTTCGGTTCAAGCTTGCCTAGGAGAGGAGCTCCTGCAAAACACGTCTCTCCTCCATGGCAGTCAGGCCCCGCCCCCGGAATGGAAATTTTAAAGAAAATGCTTCCTAATGGATTCCTGCAGAGTCTGCATCAAACAGGTTTTGAAATGCAGTTGCAGCTATTCTGTCTGCTCTAGCCTCTGCTTCCCAAATCCAGCTAAGGAAAGCCTCTATCAGGGAGGGCTGTTGGTTGGAATTGCAATTTTAAAGAATTACCTCTACTATTGATGCCTGCAGAGTCTGCATCAAACAGGTTTTGAAATGCAGTTTGCAGATATTCTTTCTGCTCTAGCCTCTGCTTCCCAATTAAGGCTAAGGAATGCCTGGATCATGGGTATTGTCTTATGCAGACTGTATATCTATGTAATCAGTCTCGCTTCCGCCAATAAAGATGGTAACCTGTATGAACTAGTCTCGATGGAAAATTATTTCTTCCTCATGTTACTGGGCTTGAAGCAAGTTCTAGTACAGCTGCAAGCCTATTGATCAAGGTGTAGTTCCACCAGGTTCAATTTGTTCCATGCACTGCAATAGATATAGTATGACAGGGATGGTTTACTGCCTAGGTTTGTCTGCAGTCTTCTTTTAAGAAAAAGCTTAGGGCAATTGCCACTTCAGATTCTCTCACTAGGCAAAATGTTGCCATCCATAAATTTGTTGAATCTCTACAATACTGCTTTCTCAGGGGCACCTAATTCATTTTTGTTTTGAATATTTTTATTTTAAGCACATTAGGAATTTAGGCATCCAAACTGATTTATAATAAGGCAAATGATTGCCCACGCAGGGGCTGCAACATTGATCTAACACAGTATTCCTTTGGTTGCCTGCGCAGAGGCGGATTTGTTTTAAATGTTTCATTTGTATTTGTTGTTGCAAGTACAAGCAGGTAGTCTTTCTTGTTTCATGGAAAGCTTATGGTTGCCTGCGCAGAGGCGTTTCAGATAAAACGTGCAGGTACATTAGGAACTAGGATTTGCAACAGATACTTGCTCTACTAATCCACATGACTTCGTTCAGGTTGTGGATTTAGACTATTTTTCCATTTGTTTTGTTGTTTGTCATCTAGCTGTGTGTTGCTAAGGGTAGACAGGTAAACGGAGTCGTTACCAGAGAGGCATGGTGGTGATGGCGTGAAGGTCTAAGGCTAGTCTTGGGGCGTGATTTCCCATTTCCCTTGGGGGCTTTGGGTATTCAGCTTGTGTGTCTGTGGATGGCGCGTTGTTTGTGTTTTGTCTATGTGCTTGGGGCGTGAACCGTGCCCCAGGTGGTGATTGTCGTCATTGTTTTAGGTTGCCCGGGCGGTCGTTACGATGCCTGAGGCCTTTTGTGGCTGCGTTTTTTATGTTCTGTGTTGGTGGTCTAGGGAGGCAGTTGTTGTCCAACCTATGTCTCTGATGGCTGCGGAACCCGTGTATGTATGTGTATGTGTGGCTATGCTCCTTGTGGGCCGTGCCTTGGATTGCTGCCCTCTGGTGCTTATTGTCGCCTGCAATTGCGTTTGGGTTGCGTGTGGGGGTATATGGCTTGAGTGGGCTGGTCGTAGGGTGCAGTGGTGTCCCCTCCTCTGTGGTAGTGTGTGGTCATGGAGTCAGGTCTTCATGCGGTGGTGGGGCGTGGGTCTGAGTCTCGGATTAGGCTGGTCCGTGGGTATTTGCCTTTTGCATTGGGGGCTGTGGCTCTACGTGGTCCAGTCCGCAGTGTGTTTCTAGTTGCCTCCCGTCAGTGAGTGAGTGGTGTGAGGTCGGCACCCGCTAGGGGGGGTGAGGGGGGAGGTGTGTGGTTGAGGGTAACCCGCCTTCAGGTCGCCCCAGGTGCAGGCCCCTGGGTGTCCCGTGGTTGCGTATCCTAGGTTTCAAGGTGGGTTCAGGTATTGTAGGAATTCATCTGTAGCGATGTGTCTTATCCAGTGGAACCATCTAGTAATGTGCTTTTCTTTCGCCGCTGCCGTAGTAGCCTTCAGGTCCTCAAATTTTCTTATGTCCTCCACCTCCTCCACCCAGTGTCTGAGTGGGGGGCACGTGATTGTTTCCAGTATATAGGGATAGTCGTTTTCGCCGCATTGAGCAGGCGTGGCACCACTGATTTTTTTTTTATTTATTTTTTTTATATGTCGGAGTGGGCATTGTCGTGTGGTGTAGTAGGAAGAAGGCTGGTGACATGGGTGGGGTGTCATCTGTCACTGTATGGATGACTTGACGTATCGCTTCCCAGAACGGATGGATGAGGGTGCAACCCCACCAGATGTGGAGGAATGTTCCGTCCTCCTCTCCGCATCGCCAGCACGTGGCCGGTATGGAGTTGTGGTGGGGGTGATATACCACCTGGTGAGGATTTTGTATGAGTTTTCCTGATGTCTAGCTGAGCTCGGGGTCTTTTGAACATGCAAGATGATTTTGTCCCAGTCCGCGTCGTTGCGTTCTTCTTCTAGATCCTCTTCCCATCTTCTGATGCATGGGGGGGGGCCAATAGATATCTGTTCGTTACTAGGAATTTGTATATCAAGGAGATTGCTCTCAGTGGGGCTTTGTCCTGTCTGCACAGGATCTCAAACTCTGTGCAATCTCTTGTCCGGTAGGGGCGTTGGGGGATGGAGTGTGCGTAGTGGGACATTTGTTCCCTCGCCAGCTTGTGAGCAAATGTGTGTCTCTGGTCCGGGAAGATGGCCTCTATCGGCCTGATTGTGAATGGGGGTGAAATGATTTCCACCATTCTGAGAGTCGTGTTGCCGGTTACTGGGCGCGTGTTAGGGCCCATGCCGCCCGCCGGGAAGTCCGCGTTGCCTTTTAAGGGAAGTAGCGGGCCGGGGTTGGTCGTAAGATAATGTTTGGGGCCGGTCTGGTACCAGATGCGTAGGGTGGCTTTCACGAATGGGTTGGTGTGCGATAGTTGTTTGGTGGCTTCTTTCATGATCCATGGGAGGGTCGTGAGGTCGCATTTGGTGGCGTCTGCCTCCAGGTGTACCCAGGGTTTGTCCCTGGTCTTTACTGACCAGTTGATTATTCTAGTGAGGTGTGTTGCTAGGTGGTATTTCCGCAGGTCTGGGAGAGCCAGGCCCCCTTTAAGTTTGGGGAGGGTTAGCTGAGTGTGGGCGATTCGGGGGGGCTTCCCTTTCCAAATGAAATTACGGATGATGGCTTGGGCGGTGGTGAAGAATGACTTTGGCGCCTCTATGGGCACCGTTTGGAAGATAAAGAGGAACCTGGGTAGCAGGGTCATTTTTACCGCGTTTATACGTCCCAGCCAAGAGATGTATGTTGTACTCCATGCTTTGAGTTCGGCCTGTGCTGTTCGCAGAAGCGGTAGGTAATTGTGAGTGTAGAGGTCCGTCGTGTCTTGCGTGAGCCATATCCCCAGGTATCTCATCTTGGTCGTGCACCATCGGTATGGGAAGCGTTGCCGAAGTTCGAGTTGTTGCGGGTATCGGATTGTTAGGCCTAGAATTTCCGATTTGGTGTCGTTGATGTGCATGTTGGATATCCGGCCATAGGTCTCAAATTCCTTTTTGATCGCCAGTAGTGATCTGGTGGGTTCTTGCCTAATTCATTTTTGTACACCAGCCGTAAAGGTTAGGGTGTTTCTACAGTATACATGTGGATGCTAATCAATCTTCGGATAAAGAATTCCCTTTTCAAAAAGTGTGCAGTTCTGGTGTATGTCAAGGAACAGTTCAGGTGTAACTATTTTGACAAGGGTTTTTGACTCTCAGAGAATGGTAATTCCCTGAAGAAAAAATTTGTGGTTATCTCTATCCTTATCACCTGAAATCTCTCTTCTACTTCAGTAGACAAGATACTAGGGAAATAATATTGGTTCCCGTCTTGTAAGAACCTGCTTGGTCTCTTCAGCTTCTTTAGACATAGCACTGTTTACAGGTCCTTCAGTGGCCAGATACAGTTGCTAATAAGATTTTGCAGTAAAATCATATTCTTCGGTCATTCCTTTCTGAACCAGGCAGAAATGAAGGTTGCCAGACGGTTCTTAATTTTTGTTCTAGTTCTCAAATCGATCGTTCAGAATTTTACGACTGATGCTTCAGGTCTCAGCTAGGTTCTCATAGGGTTGAAGGGAAATTAGCTGAGGCCCGAAGGCTATCTGGCTAGCTCTCTTTGCCTTTCAAATAAAGACCAGGTATTATCTTATCCAGATCAGGTCAGATAGTTCTACATCGGTAGCAATTATGTACAAACAAGGTCATCTTGTTTGAAAAATCTTGTTCCAGGAAATACTTGGGTTAGTTTTTCTTAGGTCTGTTCACTTATGCATAGAACTTTTAATATTCCTCTGTCTAGCTGTAGCATTGAGTAGTCAACATTTAATACAAAGCAGATTGGTTCATACTCCCTGATCTTCACCCAAACGATAGGAAGAATTTGATTATCCGGTTATGGAACTGGGACTTCTAGATCAAACAGATAGCATGAAGTATTTCATTGGACAAGCTTGGACAGACCAGTAAGCTTTGGTTTCCTTTTCTTTCTTGGGAATTCCAGTCTAACCTATAGTTTCCTCCTGGTTCCCTATTCCCCAAGATCCTTTAGGATGGAAAAGGTGAGAATGATAGTCTTCCTCCCTTGGTGGCAAGTAGCTGTTTCACCGTTCATCAAAAATTTTCCTGAGGAATCTTTGGGGATCTTACCTGTAAATAGGCATCCTGGAATTCCCAAGGGTACCGCTTCTCAAATTTGTTGTAATTCAAGCTGACGACCTGGTTTATTTATACCAGATACTGAAGGATAATGTTTTGTCTCGGGAAATTATTGATAATTTCTTTTACTATAAATGGATCTTGTTCCAAGATTTATTCCAAGTATGGAAGGTGTTTTTTTTTTTAATTTTTTTTTTAAAGATATTGCTTAATAGAAAAGCAGGCATCCGCTTCCAAGTTTTAACTTTTTTTTTTTTCTTCGGATGGCTTTGCAGACAGGGGCGGACTGAGAGCCTTTGGGGCCCCCGGGCAAAATTAGATCCCAGGCCCTTTGAAGGCCAAATATATGTGCATTAAATAAATGTTAAATATAATTCATAATACGGCATTCCTTTGGATGTGTGTATTGTGAAGACCTGTGTATCAATGCATGTTTGTATTTGAGTCTGTGTGAATGCACTTGTGCATGTCTGGATGACTACATGTGCTTTTTTGTATACAGTGTCTGTGTGAATGCATATGTGACAGGTGACAGAGTGTGTGAGGGAGAAGGTGACAGGTGGAAGAGTGTGGGAGGTTGTGACAGGTGGCAGAGTGAGGGGGTACCTGGTGGCAGAGTGAGGGAGGGAGGGGTTGAGTGGTGGCAGAGTGAGGGGGAGACACAGTGAGTGGGGGTGACTGGTGACAGAGTGAGGGAGTGGGTGACTAGTGAGGGAGTGGGTGACTAGTGACAGAGTGAGGGAATGGGTGACTAGTGGCAGAGTGAGGGAGGGAAGAGATGACTAGTGGCAAAGTGAGGGAGGGAAGGTGACTAGTGACAGAGTGAGGGGATGACTGGTGACAGAGTGAGGGGGGTGACTGTCACTAGTCACCCCATCCCTCTCTCTGTCACTAGTCACTCCCTCCCTAACTCTGTCACTGTGTCACCCGCTCCCTCACTCTGTCACTGTGTCACCCCATCCCTCTCTCTGTCACTAGTCACCCCATCCCTCTCTCTGTCACTAGTCACCCATCCCTCTAACTCTGTCACTGTGAAGGAAGGAAGGGGTGACTGGTGACAGAGTGAGGGAAGGGATGACTAGTGGCAGAGTGAGGGAAGGAAGGGATGACTGGTGACAGAGTGAGAGAGGGGGTGACTAGTGACAGAGTGAGAGAGGGGGTGACTAGTGACAGAGTGAGAGGAGAGGGGGTGACTAGTGACAGAGTGAGAGGAGAGGGGGTGACTAGTGACAGAGTGAGAGGAGAGGGGGTGACTGTCACTAGTCACCCCATCCCTCTCTCTGTCACTAGTCACTCCCTCCCTAACTCTGTCACTAGTCACTCCCTCCCTAACTCTGTCACTAAGGACAGAGGGGGTGATTAGTGACAGAGTGAGGGAGCGGGTGACACGGTGACAGTTAGGAGGGAGTGACTAGTGACCGAGAGAGGGATGGGGTGACTAGTGACAGTCACTCCCTCCCTCCCTCACTCTGTCACTAGTCACTCCCTCTCTCACTCTGTCACTAGAGTGAGGGGGTGACTAGTGACAGAGTGAGGGAAGGAAGGGGTGACAGAGTGAGGGAGGTGGTGACTGTCACTAGTCACCACCTCCCTCACTCGTCACCACCTCCCTCTGTCACTACTCCCTCCCTCCCTCCCTCTGTCACTACTCCCTCCCTCCCTCTGTCACTACTCCCTCCCTCCCTCTGTCACTACTCCCTCCCTCCCTCTGTCACTACTCCCTCCCTCCCTCTGTCACTACTCCCTCCCTCCTTCTGTCACTACTCCCTCCCTCACTGTCACCAGTCACCCCCTCCCTCACTCTGTCACCAGTCACCCCCTCCCTCACTCTGTCACCAGTCACCCCCTCCCTCACTCTGTCACCAGTCATCCCCTCCCTCACTCTGTCACCAGTCATCCCCTCCCTCACTCTGTCACCAGTCATCCCCTCCCTCACTCTGTCACCTGTCACACCCTCACTCTAGTGACAGAGTGAGGGAGGGGGTGACTAGTGACATAGTGAGAGAGAGGGTGACTAGTGACACAGTGAGAGAGAGGGTGACTAGTGACACAGTGACAGAGTGAAGGAGGTGGTGACTGTCACTAGTCACCCCCTTCCCTCCCTCACTCTGTCACTAGTCACCCCTCCCTCACTCTGTCACTAGTCACACCTTTCCTCACTAGTCACACCCTCCCTCTCTCTGTCACTAGTCACCCCCTCCCTCACTCTGTCACTAGAGTGAGGGGGTGACTAGTGACAGAGTGAGGGGGTGACAGAGGGAAGGAAGGGGTGACTGGTGACAGAGTGAGGGAGGGAGTGGGTGACCAGTGACAGAATGAGGGAGGTGGTGACTGTCACTAGTCACCACCTCCCTCACTCTGTCCCTAGTCACCCCTCCCTCTGCCACTAGTCACCCTCTCCCTCACTCTGTCACTAGAGTGAGTGGGTGACTAGTGACAGAGGGAGGGGATGACCAGTGACAAAGGGAGGGGGTGACTAGTGACAGAGTGAGGGAGGGGGTGACTAGTGACAAAGTGAGGGAGGGAAGGGGTGACAGAGTGAGTGAGGGAAGGGGTGAAAGTGAGTGAGGTAAGGGGCAACTAGTGACACAGTGGGGGGGTGACTATTGACAGTGAGGGGAGTGACTATTGACAGTGGGGAGGTGACTAGTGACACAGTGAGGAGGGGTGACTAGTGACACAGTGAGGAGGGGTGACTAGTGACAGTGGGGGGGTGACTAGTGACCATGAGGTGAGACTATGAGGGGAGGGTAGAGACTAGTGACAATGAGGGGGTGAGACTAGTGACAGTGAGGTGAGACTAGTGACAGTGAGGTAAGAGACTAAGTGACAGTGAGGGGGGTGAGACTAGTGACAGTGAGGAGGCGACTGGTGACAGTGAGGGGGTGACTGGTGACAGTGAGGGTGACTGGTGACAGTGAGGGGTGACTGGGCGAGTGAGGGAGGTGACTGGTGACAGTGAGGGTGACTGGTGACAGTGGTGGCTGGTGACAGTGAGGGGGGAGGTGACTGTAGTGACAGTGAGGGGGGTGACTGAGGTGACAGTGAGGGGGTGACGCTGGTGACAGTGAGGGGTGACTGGTGACAGTGAGGGGTGACTGTGGTGACACAGTGAGGGGGTGACATTTGACACAGTGAGGTGACTGGTGACACAGTGGGGGTGGGTGACTGGTGACACAGGGGGTGACTGGTGACACAGGGGGGGGTGACTGGTGACAGTGAGGGGGGGGAGGGGGTGATTGGTGCCTACCTGCATCTCTGCTTCCTCTCCCAGGCTGCAGCTCCTTCCCCTCCTGGCTCTGTGTGAAAGGAGTAAACAGGAAGTGAGGTCACTTCCTGGCCCGCCTCTCCCATCACACAGAGCCGCATGGGAGAAGAAGCCGGAGACCTGGCAGAGAGGAGGTGAAGCTGCCAGGTCTCATGGGGGGGGAGGTGTGACTAGCAGAGCGGTAGGTTGTGGGGGCCCCGCGCTGCATCAGGGGCCCCACAACCTATCGATTAAATAGTTTTATTATTTTTTGCCGTTCCAGTTGGAGAGATCTCTGATCTCTCCAGCTGGAACAAGGCTGTGCTGCCGGGCCCCTGATTGCCTCGGGCCCTCGGTCCATGACTGATATGCCTGAGTGGTCAGTCCGCCCCTGTTTGCAGATGGTTTAAAACCAGAGATCCTCAAGGTCAAATTTCGGTTATCAGTTGATTTTCAGAGGTTTGTCTCCAAATCACCAGTATCTGCTAGGCTCTCTCGTGGTTAGTTCCTATCTGCAGTGGATCTTCTTTTGGGGTTTTTTACTGTGCTGATTTGAGTCTTCACTCTAGGTCTTTGGGGGTAATCGCCCAAACTTTTTTGGGGAAGAACTTCAAGTTCTTCAAGTTTCCTTTTTCAGCAGGAGAAAGTGGAGTTAAGTTGGATTCTTTAATTCTTCTCAATCTTTCATCTAACATTATTTTTCTAACTTTTCCCAACAACGTTCTAGGGTCTTGGAATTCTAATTCCACTGCCTGGGCATTTAGTTCTCGTCTACGTTACCTTAAAGGTCTGCATTCGTTTGGGTTTTTTCTTATCTAACACCTATCTCCATTAAAGCTCCTTCGATCACAGTAAAGTTCAGATCGGTTGCCTGAGGGCTTCTGCTATATATTCTCTCTTCACTCAATTTGGTCTGTTGATCTTGGAAGAAACAACTTTGGTCGCAGGTCGCAGTGAGAATTGAGTCTCGCCCTAAGGGATTGCTTTTGGATATCCCAGTTGTAAAGCACGGTCTCTAATCTCAAGGGAAAAGCAAAAATTTTTACTTACCGTAAATTTTTTCCCAGAAGATTAGAGGCAGTGCTCACTTCCCCCTTACCCCCCCAAATTTGTTCATAGTCTGAGTGGTACGGTTATTCGGCTTTTGTAATTTCTGGGGATGTCTTGGGTAGGAAGCAATTTATAAGGCCAACGGTTAATTGGGGGAGGTTCTTGAAAAGTTTGGGAGATTGCCTGCCTGTTTTTTCCCTCCAGGTGATGAAATCCCCGTTGTAAAACACTGTGTCTAATCTTCTGGAAAAATAAATTTACGGTAAGTAAAAAAATTTTAGTTTTTTTCCTCTCTCCAAATACTAAAATGGGCTGTAAAAGCCCTTACCGGTAGACTAATAGAATAAAGTAACACTATATATTCTGCTTCTTTCGCTGAACTGATCTATGTCAGTAGTTCAAATGGCAAGGTAACAATTCAGACATGTCCTTGCTGTTCCTGAAATTATGGCGTGTCTATTTGTAAGCTTAATTCAAAATTGAGAGTTCACCCATATTTTGTTTCGTTTCTTCTCTCTGCTGGCTTGCATGGAGACCTCCCTGGAAGCAGAGATATGGCTGGCACAGGTTGGTATTCGGATGGTCTAGCATGGGCGCAGGCTGCCCTGTAAAGTTTGTGTTTTTTGCTGTAGCTCCCATTCCAAGCATGGATATACCACCTTCTTATTAGTGCTTTGAGTGTGTCTCTGTAACCACATTGCATTTTTTAATCTTAATGTGCACCTGGACATTTTTATTTTTGGGCATTTGACCGCTATTTATATCTTCTTACATTTGCATTTTATTTATATTTTTACTTTTTAAACAGTTATCGCCAGATGCACATTTTGAGGTCTAAAGATGCACACTACTTTCCTTTAATTTGTCTAATTTACTGATGGGTAAAAGATAGACCCTTCACTATTCGATATCTAAACCTTCTCTAAGGTAAATGACCAACCTAAAACTGAAAATAAACAAAAATATTTTATGAAGGGGTTGTGGTTGATACCACAAAAAGAAAGCACATATAGAAGGATGTGGACATTGTCTGGGTGGTCTAGGACCTGCCATAAATGTATAGGAATGTCTGCTACCGTTGGTTCAGAGAGCTTTTCAGCCTCACTAACTACAGATCTCACATCGTGCTGAATTACTTACTAGCAATATTAATAATGGATTACTACAGAACACTAATTGTGTTTTGAAAACGACTGGACTGTTGTTCAATTTCTGCTGCATAATGCAATCAAAACATTAGACCAGTGCGGTTATTAAATTCAGAGCTAAAGTCTACACTTCAAGAATTCGGTATTCAAATATATTTCCATGAGATGTGGGCTTCTATCTTCCTATTTACAGTAATGTTTTAACTTCTACGTGACTTTTGCAGGCCAAAGAATTTTGAGACTGGCGAAGTCTACAAAAAGACTTGGGGTGGCAAAGATGGAGCCTCCGACGAGGTTATTTCAAAGCAACCATATCAAACGAATTTACAGCAAACCCGCCCAGGACAGAACGGTGGCTACATTAAGAAGTATGTCTCCTTTTATTGGGTTTTAACTGATACTGTAACATTAATCTTCTTCAGATTTGGTAATACAAAGTACCATCATGGAACAGACCTGGTGCTGTGTATTTTGGTTAGATCCTTATTTTTAAAAGGATCTAAAAATCTTAGGGGGAATATAAATAAGTTTACCTTCGAACCGTTGTGTCTTTGTTAATGGACCGTATTTAATTTAGAAAGACCTATAGATTACAGGAAGACCTATGGATTGTATAAAATGGGAAAAGGGAAGAACGTTTAAATGTCTCTTATTTATGAATTGCCTACAAAGTGACTCGTCTTGCATTTTAAAGGAATTGTTTTTTGTGTCGGCAACAGGAAACCAGTAGTTAGAATTGGCACATCACATTTATCTCTTTACTTGGTCTGCCAGGATCACAAATGATGCTCGTGAAGATGAAATGGAAGAAAATTTGCATGAGGTGGGCGGCATACTGGGACAGCTTAAGAACATGGCTCTAGACATGGGCAATGAGCTTGACTCGCAGAACAAACAAATTGGTAGAATCAATGACAAGGTAAGTACTGACAATAGCAAGATATGTGTCTGGAGAAATGATGGTTGACCTACTCTTCCCAAGTTTAAAGGGACACTGTAGGCACTATGACTATATCATATCACTGAAGTGGTTATAGTGCCTTAAGTCCCTGGCCCTTACTTGGGTTATTACTAAGGCAGAGATTTCAGACTTTGTTCTAGCCATGCTGATTCATACCAGCAGTGGGTGCTGTGATAGGCTAAAAAAGCAGTCACTGACACTCTGCCAATCACAGCCACCCGTTGCCACTCAGGCTAATGCTTTCTCACTAGCTTAAGCAACATAAAGGGGATGGGTTGCTGGGAGTCTCATGGAGGATTGCAAACCTTTTAATGCTGAATGGAAAGATGGTGCCAGGGATCTCCAGACACTAGAACAACTTCAATGAAATAATGCAGTGACAGCGCCCATTTAATCATTCTTGTATAAAGGTTCAATTCCAGTAATCAAGCAAAGCATGAAGAATAATCCTCTAAAAAACAACTTTAGTGTTCTCTAACTGCAAATATTAGAATTGTTTCAGTGTAAAATAATGCTATACCATGCTTGCCCATATTCAAAACACTAAACTTGTACAAAATTAGCCTGTGATCTTTATCTCAGTATTTTTAAAGCCACCGCAAGTTGTGCTGCACTGTACAGTGGGAGGATTATGGGGAATCCGCTGACAGTAGCCCAGTCCTAGAGTCGTAATGAAAGAGGTGTCGTAGAATGTCACAACAAAAAATACATATAAGCTGTATGTCCAACTGATAATAAACAAAGATTGGCACAATCTGATTGCTTACTGTCGGATTATGCCACTCCTCACACCAAATCTGCAGCGGCCTCTAGTGGATATGGTACCAAAACGGACCCTTTAGTATGGTTTATAGAAGGGTGGGATACAACAAACACTGTTCACAAGCGGGGTGCAATAGTATCCTAAAAGTCCATGACGGTCTCTGAGTTGAGCAGGGTTCACATTCCAAGTGACCTCTACCACTGACTTTGACTTCACCTGTAATGTTGTTTCCACACTTGTTTGTGGCTTTCTTAGTTAAATATTGGCATACATTTTCATGCCCTGTGTTCTTTTTAGGCGGAGGTAAACAAAGCTCGCATCGATCAAGCAAACACCACAGCGAAGAAGCTCATTGAGTGAAGACTTCAGCTCCTTTTAGCCTTTTTAAACTGTATGGCAAAAATGCTTTTCTGTAATTGTCTGGGGTCTTTAGGGAGGTAAATTCTCCTTCCCATCTTAACCGTGGAAGGTGTGTCTCCATTTTCCTAAATACATGAATACAAAGCATTATTGGTCTGAGGTATGTCTACACGTAGCATGCTGTACGTGCTCTGCTGCAACTCGTTTACCCAGGGGAGTGTAATTGTACAAGGTCAACTCTTCCAACATCCACTGTATTTATTTTAATTTCTCTGTTCTTTAAAGCAAATCTACAACATATAAAGGTGAACTTGACATGGAGAATTTTAGCACACATCGGGAGTTTTTTTCCTATAGTAGGTGCTTTGATATGCAGGTTGTATCTTTGCGTTAAATATACATTTGTGATCACTTTATTTTATGTATCCTCTGAAATCTGTGAACTTGTCGTCTTTGAGAAGTGCCTTTTACCAAAGAATGTCAGACTTAATCATGCTGTGTTTTACAGTGTGTATACTCTTGAGAGAGCCTTTATTCCAGATTTTACTTTCCATTGCTTGCAGTTTAACATTGTTAAGCGTTTTGACGTCTTATAATGCCATAACTAAATGTTAGAAATTGGTTTCGGATCATCATAACTTTTTATTGCCTGTCTGAGCCTTTGAAATCTCTGCCCTTTTGCCTAATGATTTGTAAGTTCTAAAAAAGGTTTTAAAGGCCAGCGTTGCTTCTCGCATTGTGACAGTCCATCCCTGAACACGTCTGGGCTGGGTTTAAAAGGGATTCTCCACTAAAACCAAAACTCTTTGAAACTGGAAGGAACGTCATAGGCAGCTTGTAGCTACAAGACTAAGAACGTGAGTTGAGACATAAACAATGTCCCTGTCTCTAGTAACTTTATCAGGGTTTATTTGCTAAATTGAGAATTCAAAGTTAATTTTACACGTAAGGTCAAAGTAGCGGAACCGGAAAAACTCTCCAAGTCCAGTATGCTTTCTGTTGGGCTACTCCAGCTTTATACTTGAAATCCACTTTGAATTCTTACTTTAGTAAATAATCCTGTATATTAAACATGCATTGTCACAGTTATTTTTTTTTACTAATTATGCATATGCACATATAGTCATTCTGCTTGGCACCAATTTAAAATAACTTGTATAAAATATTTTATTTTAACTCTGAACACCACCTTCAATTTGCAATATATTGTCTACTAGTGGTATTACTTTTTATACATCACTGTAACGTCTGAATAAAGTTCACCATGTGACTATATTGGCAGTTGTTCTGTCCCAAACGTCACAATTCAACATAGTTGAGACTCGGAATGAATTGTGACCTGAGTTCTGAATGTTTGATCTCATGTACAACCTTGTACCAATGAGCCCCAAGCAGAATCAGCACGGGGGTAGGAGTTTCACAGTAAAGTGTAAAAAAAATCAAACAATCTCGCATTTTAGGCTGAAAATCCAGCTGATTTTGTACAATTCTATCCAAAATTTGAAATTCTTGACCGTTCACAACAGGAACACTACCCAGAAAGCAGAATTATGTTTGTTTTTTATCTTAATGATATGATGTAAATGTACCAAGTAATACGGTTTATTTTACTTTTTGCTAAAACTTCAACTTACCTGAGCACACTAGGAGAGGAGACTGATTATAAAACCTATTTGGCAATATGCATTATTGAAGTTGCAGTAAAAGATAGTCATTACCCAGTATTCAAGACTAGGCCCCATCTCGGGATGTTCAAACATTAACAGGGTTATTCGCTAAAGCTAGAATTCAAAGTGAATTTCACATTTACAGGGACACTAGAGTCACTAAAACATAAACTTAATGAAGCAGTTGTGGTGTATAGATCATGCCGTGCAGCCTCATTGCCCAATTCTGACATTTAGGAGTTAAATCACTTTGTTTATACAGCCCTAGCCACACCCTCCTATAAGTGCCTTCCTAAACACTTCCTGTAAAGAGTCATCTAATGTTTACACTTCCATAATTGCAAAATATTTCATGTAGATAGAATGTCTTATCTCTTGCTTAGTTAATAGCTTGCTAGACCCTGCAAGTGCCTACTTTTATGTGATGAAAGTTCAGTTTTTAAGAGCAGGAGATACAAACTTTCTAAGTTACATCTGATTGACATCTGAACCATTTTGTTTTCATGTAGGCTGTCAGTCACAGCCGGGGAGGGGTGGCTAGGGCTGCATGAACAGAAACACAGTGATTTAACTCCTAAACAGCTGATAATTGAGCAGTGAAACTTAAGAGGCATGAGCTATACACTCCATGTAGACAGCTCATTAACCCCTTAAGGACCAAACTTCTGGAATAAAAGGGAATCATGACATGTCACACATGTCATGTGTCCTTAAGGGGTTAAAGGACCACTTTAGTGCCAGGAAAACACTTGTTTTCCTGGCACTATAGTGCCCTGAGTGTGCCCCCACCCTCAGGGTCCCCCTCCCGCCAGGCACCGGGATGAGGAAGGGGTTAAACTTACCTCTTTCTCCAGCGCCGGTCGGGGAGCTCTCCTCCTCTTCGGCTGAATGCATATAGGTTAACAGATTTAAAGTTCTTACCAACACATACATCCATTATTTATCTTTTTTTTTTACAAGGATAGACAGAATTCCTTCCAAGACGCAGCGATGCTTACTACCTCCATCCAGCGTTTCATTTTCTCATTTGTTGCTGGATTTAAGAGAGATTTATTGCTATTTCACACATGGTGGTTACAAAAAACATTTAATTTCTTTAGTAATTCTTTGCAAAGTCTTCTCAGTTCCTCAAAAAAAGAAAGGAAAATTAAAATAAAGAGGGTTAGTTTGGTGTGATGATTTGCATGTGTGGACATTGTCAAAGCAGTTTAGAAACCGACTGAAAATCTTCGTGTCCAGCACAAAATGTTTCATTGTAGTCCGCTTTGTTACAATTGCTGCTGACGTGACCCAGTCTGAATGATAGTTTAGTGACAATGTGAATGCCGATTTGTACAATAGGATATCTTTGAACTATGATTGTAACCTCACTTTAATTATATATCCTATGACTTAAATATGCTCAAACTGTATTTTCTATGAAACATTATCTCCTATATTGGCTGCTCTCTCTTCTCTTGCATCAAAGGATCAAGGGAGTTTAGTTATACAACATCTGGGGATCTAACTTTTTTGCCACCCCTGCTGTAAAAAAAAAAAATGTTCTGGAGAAAACCGACGATGTACTCTAATGCACAGCCTGGGAGCTGCTGGCTGTGTACGAATGTTCTAACAGCTCTGTATGTAGCATGGATGGTGAGTAGGTTGTACTGTCCTCTGGGTACTGCAATAAAAAAAATACACTTTTTTTTTTCTTAATCAAAACTTTACTAGCAGTAGTTTGCCTTGAGCTTTCACTATTAGTTTACTTAGGATTTCCTTTTTACACACTATCACCTTACTAGCTTTTCAGACTTCAAGAAGTTTTTAACATAACATGAAGGAGTGCAGGGATTACCTCTGCCAATGCAATTCTTACTGTGCAGATGTTGAGCAATAAAGAGATCTATTGCCACCCATCCAGTTTTATTCCAGGAGACTGTTTTGTTAGCAGTGAACCTTTTATAGGAGGAGATGTGATGGATTACTATAAAAGACTGGCCTTTCTAGAAGCACACTGATGCCATTGTGTCTTTATACTTGCCATGCACAGTGGTGTTAAGTGTTTCTTAAACAACTAAAACTGCCATTTGCATTTAATGCATTCTACGTCCATAAGGTGTAGCCAGTGTATTGGAAAGTGTTTTATTATTTTTGTTTTTTGGCTGCAGATGTTATATATACTTAATTTTTTTTTTTTAAACTGATGTCACTCGTATTGTGTAAAAGCTGAAGGGTTGCAGTTAACACGTCCACATCAAGGATTTATCCTACGGGGAGGAATGGCACAGGGTAATAAGAGTAAAGCGAGAACTGCTTGTCTCCTTTACTGTCGTACAACCTAGAACAGAAGTTGTATGTTATGGAATTGCTTAGTGCAAGTAAGTGATTTATAGGCACCTGGACATTGGGGCGAGATCTATATTCCTTCTGTATAGGGAGTCTATTTGGATTTATCCAGCTGAACACAATTTGTAAGACTCCTTGAGAGACTAAGTGCATAAAAGTCCATTATAGATATTACTTTAATTTGCACTAAGCAATTGTCTGATGGGTTATTATTTGTCTCTTTTCAATGTGTTTTAATAAAATGGCTAAAAGTCCAAATGTGTACTTGCTTTTATTTATATTTTTCAAGTGCAGGGAATAAAGGTAAAATATTAGGGCAGACAAATAGCTTTTTTGTTTTTTTTTATTTCAAATATGTAAACTTCTGGTTCAAAGCTTGTCTCCAGGCCTGGCCATAATAATCACTTATTTAACCAGGAAAGGGACATTCAGATTACTCTGGTTTTCTAGTACGTCCTGGGGATGGATGGAGATAGATATATATTTTACACACACACCTCTCAATAATTTGTGTGAATATTTTAGAAAGTTATAGGTGGAAACAGGTGAAGTGGCTGTACAAGTGTGAATACCTCATTAATCTAAATTGAAGTCTTGTTCTTTTAATACGCACACTACTACTACTCTAAGACTTTATAATGTGTGTATTTGTTGTTAATGTCACAAATTACTTTAGCTTTAGAGGGACATTATACCAGAATTACTAAAACATAATACAATGGTTCTGGTGTCTATAGCATGTCCATTGGCACTCTAACCACTGCCTGTTCAGAGAAAATGCAGTGTTTACATTTCTAAAGAAGGATGAGGTTTGGTTAACTCAATTTTATCACCCCCCAATTTATTACTTATGGCTGCAAACAGAGCAAAAAAAAACTGATTTTATATTTGGATTAAATTAAAAATCTTTTATTAAAGATGGCACTTGTACACCGTCCTGAACAAAAAAGCCTCACACTAAAAACAGAGTAGGCCAAGTAGAATTGGGAGGAGAGGGAAAGATAATTTTAAACATTTAATCTCTATGAAGAGGGGCCAGAAACAAACGTGTTTCTGTAATTAAACCTGTAAACCTGTGTTGGTATATAGATCAAGCCACTGACGTTTTACTGCTTAATTCTCTGCCATTTAGGACTCAAATGACAATTTGTGCTGCCATAGTGACACCTCCCCCAGCTTTTAGTTACATACACTCCTTGAACAGAAAGCTTTATTTTGACTCTTCGGATCAGTACCAGTGTTTAATTTTAAGACTTGTGGAATTCCTCTTTATCTCTGAGCAGCATTAGAGAGTTCCAAGGTTACGGTGATGTATAACTGCCATATATGGTTTTTATAGCTTCCAGATGTGTTTGGGAAATTGTCATTAAACAGTTTGAGTGTTTTGTGTAATGCTCACTCTGTCCACAGTGCTATTTAAAATGCCTTTTGTAGCCGCTCCCTTTAAGGATATTGTTTATTAATGATCAGACGGTCGGCACCAAAAGTATTCTGAAAGCAAAGAAAAGGGCCAAAGGGCATACTGTTGGGGACAAGTCTTCCTGTTTGTTCTTTTGGCCCTACTGCAATGAACGACATGGGGACAACAGACCTGGCATACTGTACCTTAATGGGCACTGTGAGTTGACTGCAAATTACTTTGAAATCACACACGGTCACAGAACACTCTCCAACATTAAGCACGTTTGGTGTCGGTAAGATACTGTGCAGTTTATTCACTAAACATCAAGTTTTAGTAAACAAACTGCAAAACATAAAATAGCTAAGCTGTACACATTGCAAGTTTGCTCTTTAACCAGTCATTTCTGGGTGAAGCCCTCTAACCGCTACGGTCGAGTTTTTCTGAATAAGCAGAACGGTTCCCCATATTAACATATGAGTTTATTTTCATTCCCATAATAAATTAACATGATGTGCTGAAATGGATGGATATAAACTTGTATCCAAGCAAATAATTAACTTTAATTCAATTTGCGGTCATCGGCTGCATTAAAAACCAGTAAGCCATTGCTTTATATTAACCTTTAGAAAATGTTTATATTACATTAATACATATACAATATTCCTGCTCGATGTAAGGTCCCCTTAAACAGATTCGGCAATTGCTTCACTATATAGCTGGAAGGATACTACCGGTTTGTTAAATGTTCAGCTAGCGGTCTTTAAATGTGTCCCATAAGAGTGTAGATACTTTAGTGTTTTTGGCTCTTGGTAAGCTGGGGCTTTGCAAGCTGTAAACTGTACATCCAGGGCTTGGCTGGCTTTAGGCATGGTGTCGCCATAAAAGTCTCTATCTGGTGTACGTGGTAGTCATACAAACTTCTTCCTGGTCGCTGTAAACCGTTCCATGTACTGAAAGAAAAGTCATTCCATTATTTATGCTGTTTAACATATTTAAAAATAGTTTGTAACTTGGAAGAAAGTCAATAGTGGATTATGTCAAAATGGAGCAATCAAACAGCTCATTGGAGTGGTTATGGTGACGTAGGTTTAGTGACATTTTCCGAAGTTTGTCAGTTTGAGAGACCTTACAAAAAACGTAGCTCACTGGCAGCTACACTGATAATATGGAATCAACACTTCCAAGTGAAATTCTGTCCTTGCTGGACAGCAATCCTAGGTTAGGAATTTCTGGGGGTGATTTAGTACATAGCTCTCAGTATATCATTGCTACACAGCCTGGATGGAATTATGCTTGGCAATGTGAAAGTGACGTAAACCACATACAAATGTATTAACACAAAGTGGAGAGATATTTTTAAAGGAAAAGCTGTTTGCTGCCCCCCATCCACTTACAGAAATACATGCCCTATGCACAAGCAGGGATCTCCATGCCAATTCTGTAAATATATGTATGCTATCAAACTTGGTAACCACAACCACAGGCGCTCTGCAAATCCGTCCGGGTAATTCACTATACACCCTCAGGTGCCTCAGGGCACTATAGTGCCAGGAAAACAAGTGTTTTCCTGGCACTATAGTGGTCCTTTAACTACAATTCAACCTGCATTAGGCGAGGACACCAAGGGAAATTTATAGTAAGGATGTCACAAACTCTTTAAAGCGTCTGTCTGCAGTCAGGTTGTGAATTGAAAACAGGTCACTCAATCCTCTTGGGTCTGGGACTTTGTGCATACATTTGACAAGGAAGTATTCTCCCGGCATGGTGGGCGTGGCTAAGGAGGCAGGCTTATGGTGCAGCATTGAGCAAAAAATAAACTCAACTGTGTGTGCAAAATATATAACGATTTGACCATGCAAACAAATACAGCATATTATTGTGGCCAAAATCTATAAAAAAAAAAAAGCAGTTAAGTTCTATTGGAGTCTGGAGTGGTCCTTTAAATCAGGCTTCCCTAAACTCCGGCCCTCCAGATGTTGCTGAACTACAAGTCCCATGATTCTCAGCCTATTTCATTCATAAAATCATGGGAGTTGTAGTTCAGTAACATCTGGAGGGCCGGAGTTTGGGGAAGCCTGCTTTAAATTAAGTTTTGTTGGTTTTCTCATGCCATACTAAGGTGATCTGGCAACATTCCAATCATGTATACATATATTTAATTTAGAAAATTCCTGTATAATATATATATTTTGGACATGTATTAAGGAACTTCCATTTTGACTGCTTTCTTATTAGATTCATTTATATTGAATCCAGAGCAATTCTCTCTGACACATAAAAGTACATTAATATATTCGGTAATTTCCAGAGCAAACGGTTTTAACACAGACATGAGCTGGGCATGCTACGGTCCTAGAGCACTGACCTTTTCATAGCCTTCCAGGTCTCTGAGCTTTTTTATTTCAAAAAGGTTTCCCTCCACTGCAAGTAGGGATATCTGTGAGTCACTAAGAATACTCTGGGGTAACATACTGAGCTCCAGGCAGTTCTCCTCCAGACGTAGAACCTTGAGACGTGGACAGTGTGAAATCTGCACAGAGATTTGAGATATCTGCAGGAAAGAAAGTACATGGTTACATTATCGAATGCAAAACGAAGAAAAATGGGAGAAATGTCTTAAAGTCTGTGAGGCAGTTGGAAAATGTTAAATATATTCCATAATTTGAATCTGCAGATATAACTTGAGAATAAGTAACAACTGAAATTATATTCTTAAAGCTGAAAAAGCTAAACAAAGAAAGTTCATACTTTTCTACGCACCACAATCCCTACACAGAACTGTAATGGGTACAGTGCTAGGAGTCCCCTGGCCCGTCAGAGGGAGTCGCCCTGAAGCCGCAACTCCCACTGGCACCACGGGCGTCAACGTAGGAGATCTGCATGTTTTCCCCGTGGGTCCACTAGGGTTCCCGATGCTCCGTTCCCTCAATAGCTTGGTGACTGGCATGAACTGAAGTCTATCAGGAGAGAGAATTCTAGCTCATCAAAGACCTTTATAGAACCATTTTCTGCAGTGATCTAGGGATATTTTCTACAGAGAGTCACAATGCCTGTTCTGACAGATGTCCTGAATGGCAGCAATTATATCCTTGGGCACATCCACAGGTATGGTAGGAGCCTTCCTAATCCATAATGCTGACACTATTGGTGAAGATCCACCATCCCCAACACATCCAATGCCGTGTCACCCTTTTTGCAAAGTCCAGCAAGGACTCTGCGGTGCTGCTTCTCAAGTAAAGCCACAATATGGGAGGTCACTGGACCCATTGGGTAAGTGATTACACCTGTGTTTGGGTATTCTCGTTTTCTCTCTCTCGAGGCTCCGTGATACAAGCTATGTTTCAGCTCTCACAATGCCTTATTAGGCATCACCCAGACCTCTATGCTGTTGCCAGTACTTTCACCTAGTGTATGTTAGTTCCCATCATCTGTGTTTCCCTATATAAGGCACTACGGGGGGAGACCAGAGAGACTTACTGACTCCTTATCTGAATGCAACCCAGCAATTCACAATCTAGCAAATAATTCTGCAGACTACTGTTCCAAAAACCCTCTAGCAGACAACTTAAAGGTTCCCTGGAATGTTGGACTTAAAGGACCACTATAGGCACCCAGACCACTTCAGCTTAATGAAGTGGTCTGGGTGCCAGGTCCAGCTAGGTTTAACCCTTTTTTCTATAAACATAGCAGTTTCAGAGAAACTGCTATGTTTACATATGGGTTAATCCAGCCTCTAGTGGCGGTCTCATTGACAGCCGCTAGAGGGCTTCCGCGCTTCTCACTGTGAAAATCACAGTGAGAAGATGCCAGCGTCCGTAGGAAAGCATTGTGAATGCTTTCCTATGAGACTGGCTGAATGCGTGCGCCGCTCTTGCCGCGGATGTGCATTCAGCTGAGGAGGAGGGGAGGAGGCGGACAGTCCCCCTCCCGGCGCTGGAGAAAGAGGTCATTTTAATCCCTTCCACCCCCTAGAGCCCGGCGGGAGGGGGACCCTGAGGGTGGGGGTACCCTCAGGGACTATAGTGCCAGGAAAACAAGTATGTTTTCCTGGCACTATAGTGGTCCTTTAACCCTGCGATGTAAACTGTTTGCATCTGCAGGGTTAAAACATGAGGGACCTTGAGCTGAAGTGGTCTGGGTGACTATAGTGTCCCATTAATCCAGGTTTTTCCCCTGAATTGCAGAATTTATAAAGTGAAAATCTGTCCATCCTTGGACTAAGAGTGCTGTGCTAACCCACCCGCCTACATTTACCTTCAAGATTGGATGAAATTACAGTTAACAGTGCAAGCGTGTAATTTCTGCATTATCAGTATAGCTAAAGAGGGTGGACTATGAAATTCGGGGCTGACACTAACCATAATCCACACAATGAGTTGTAGTGGTTATGGTGTTTAATTTACCTCTTTAATAACGCAAAGATTTCTTTATTACCTTCCTGTGTGTAAATTGTATTTTTTGACATTCAACTATTTCACTTACCTGATTCTGATTTAAGTTTATTTCGATGGCTTGCACTCCCAAAACCTCGTCTGGTATAGCCTGAATCTTGTTTTTGGAAAGGTCCACTACATCTAGGTGTCGCAGGGTGCAGAGCTGGGATGGTATAGCTCGCAGTTGGTTTCCTGAGAGGTTTAGGGTCTTTAATGCAGAAAGCTGGCCAAAATCAGCCGGCAGCTGGCTGATTTGGTTTCCGGAAAGATGCAAAGTTTCCAACTTTTTCAGCTTGCATAGTTCTTCTGGGAGTCTGGCTGGCAAAATATTTAGAAAAAAAAAATTATAGATATGCATCAAAAGCAATCCAAACTTATATTCTATAGTTTTACCAACAATTATACAACACATTATTTCCAAGCGAAGGGCTAGCTAATATTTTCTAAATGTTTCCGTCTAAAGAGAAAAAAATTAAATGTAAACGGCCAATTTTAAATGACCACAATTCACAGCAATTTGGGACAAATATACATTTTGCTATTCACAGCAGGACTTGACAAACTTGGTTTGAATCTAAGCACCAACTAAACTAGTTAGGATCCAGGTTTTTTTAAACAAATAAAGCTTTATTTTTAAAGAAAAATATACAATTCTTAAAGAGACACTATAGTCACTAGATAAACTGCAGCCTAATGTAGTTGTTCTAGTGTCTATAACCTGTCACTGCAGGATTTCAATGTAAACACTGCCATATCAGAGCTACTGACATCACTAAATGGCGCGCGAGGGAGCAGAGCAAGAAGATTACAGTTCCCTCGTCTCCACACTCTCTCAGCCTGCCACCTCGGAGTGAACGCGGTGCTAAGGACAAAATTCCTAGTAGCCGTGGTGACCTGGGATTTGTCTAGCCCTGAGTTACATAATATAATTTGGATTATATTCAGTGAACTGAAAATAGTGGTTTATTGAGAAATACCTTACACTTTTTTTTTAGGCAATCCAGCGTTTGACATACAGAGTTGAAGAAATAGCGGAGTTCCTGATACATAAAAGTTTGAAATTCCCAGGCCATGCGTTCCAAAAGTTCTGGTTTAGTGGATAACCCAATTACAAATGGAAAAAAATCTCTAGCTCAGGCATCAGAAACGTTTTTGCTCACTGGTGCTACAGCAAGAATCTTTACTATCTGCATAGACTGATCCCCCCATAAGGGCAATCCCAGCTCGGCTATTCCTGCAGTATAAACATATGAATAAAAATCATCTAAACATAAAGTGTAATCTAAACCTATGTCTAGACAACAGTTGAAACATACCCTGGTTCACTGCGTAGTAAACTAAGCTGTGTGCTGCGATTGGAAGAGAGTGCTAAGGAAGTATCAGCCAATCAATGTCTTTCAAACGCAGAAGCATAAATTCAGACTTTCCCACAATGCAGCGGAAGGGGTGGTCCCGGTCTAACCACTCCTAAACAGTTTGAGAAAAAGCCATGGGACAGTGCCCAGCAACAAAACCGCTACACTGATCGGTAGCTGTTATGTTGTTTAGAGTGCGCCCCTTTAACTCACACTTTTATCCTTCTGCGTGAGAACCGTTTATTAACATTCGGGCAAATGCTACAAGTTTTAGAATGAAATGTTGTATTTCTTAAACTGTGTACTTTGTCTTTAAGAGATATTGCAAACTGACAAGGTGTTAGAAATGGAACATATTGTTTTTCATAGATGTTTCTTTAAGTAATAACCTCAGTGCATATGTTTGCGCCATTTTGTCCCAGACGAATTACAATAACAATAATGCATAAACAAGCTTCAAGGCTATGCTACGACACTTGCAGTACACAATATACTGTGGTAACCCCAAGTTAATGGAACTTCCCCAAATCCTGGAATCTCCCACGACTGTACACTTACGACTTAGTATAAACAACAGATAACCTATTCAGACTTTAAGATGCCATCTTGAACTAAGTCAGGAAAATTTCCATGATGTTTGAACCCTTTAGTTATGGCCTTGTATGTTTGCCAAATTAAGGGAGGTCCTAAAATGAATAAAGTAAATGAACTACGGTAACCCTAAAATGGAGACACCTAAGTTATAAATAGGTGTACTTTTAAATGTTAAGAAACAGAGGAGAGACTTGGAGACAGACGCTGCTCCATCTTAAAATGAAAGAGAAGCTGACATGATGACATGTTCAGAAGGGTATGTTAACCTATTAATGATATTTGCAAGCATGTAATTTAATCTTATAAACTCTGCTATAATGGATTTTATATTGATATTTTTATATAATAAATATCCAAAAAAGACAAAACTATTGCTTCCAAGACAATCCTTATTTTATATTGTATTCTCAATTATTTATATATGTTAAATAAAGGATCTCTTACTGACTATATAAAATTATGGCTAAGATATCTGTATGGTTAGCCCTACTAAGTTCTATGCTTTAAGACATTATAGTGGTAAATAAGGGAACCACATGTGGTTACAGAAGGATGTATGTGGAAGCCAGAGGCAGGATACATTTGCCATTTCTGATTAAATATTTCATTATTATATGCTAATGATGCTTAATAAAAAGACAAAGAAACAAAAGAGGTGGCATTCACCAACTACATGGGGTCAGACTGATTGTTACAGAAAGCCCGGGGCTGCAAATTTCAAATTGAAGAGACAGCAACTGCAAAAAGGATCCAGCACTCAAAATGTCTTAAAATAACTAGTGTGTGCAAAATAAACCGGTTACTGTAAAACTTTGTGAGTATTGGATCCTTTTTGGAAATAAAGCGACATGCATCACTTTAAGACTACTGTCTCAGCCAGCAGCTTTAGCTTTGAATTATATAGTTGTCTCACTCTGCAACCTTTTACCTGATTCTGATTTCATATGTTTTCCACACCCACTCCAAGGGGCACACTGATCTAACCAGTGCCCAAAACCTAGGAATGCTGAAAAAGTGCATTTGGCTTGACGAACAGATTTACACATGTGCAGACAGAAGGTCTCTTCACCTTGCAATACACTGCCCGGGGGAGAAGAGAGGGAGTCTGAACAGTGTGATCATGCAGAGTAGGCTTGGGTGTCTGTATCTATATCCTAATGCTGCACAATGATGACCTGTTTCTGTCATTAACGGACTGGTCTGAAACGAAGATGGGTGGGTAAGAGAAAACGAGGGAAGGCTGAAGAAACTCCCCTATCTGAGAGGAGTGCCCAACAATGCAATCTGACTGCATTGTTCATAGGAAATTTAGACATATTTATTACATTATTTTCCATTTTTTTTATTGCTTTTTATTTTTGTATGTATATTGGTTTAAAAAAAGTGTTTGCTTGCTGGTTTAAAAAAAATAATAGCCAAGTGATGCAGGTCCCTTAAATAAAAATACTGTATTTTCTGGCGTATAAGATGACTTTTTAACCCTGGAAAATCTTCTCCAAAGTCGGGGGTCGTCTTATACGCCGGGTATAGGGTCTATATGGCTGCCGGGGGCGCCTTGCGCCCCCATCGCCGGCCCTTCTAATGCTGCAGCCGCCTGACCGCTCTATAGAGAGCGCTCAGACGGCTGCCGCACTGCCTCTCTTCTCACCTCCCCTTCCCTGTGCAGAGTGGGTGGCCGAGCTCCTCTTCGTCCTCAGTCAGTGCACTTCCTTTCAGCCGGGAACAGGTAACTGAATCTCCTGTATGCGCGGTACCCGGCCGGACTGACAGGACGAAGAGGAGCTCGGCCACCCACTCTGCACAGGGAAGGGGAGGTGAGAAGAATGTAGGGAGGATTGGGGGGGGTGGAGTAAAAAGAATGGGGAGGGAATAAAAAGAATGGAGGGGGAGTAAAAAAAATGGAGGGGGGGTAAAAAGAATGGAGGGGTGGGAGTAAAAAGAATATATCGCAATTAGCCTCCTGTGTGCTAGACCAGCAGGCATGGATTATATGCCCAAACAGCCTGGCACATACCTGGGCTTTAAATGCTATTTCAGATTATCATTATTTAATGTCTTGCTGTGTAGCTCTGTCTGCTCACTGTACTTTATCGCTAATTTTTATTTGGTGTGCATTGGAAGAGGGGTAGTCTTATACGGCGAGTATATCCCAAACTCTATATTTTAACTGGAAAAGTTGGGGGTCGTCTTATACGCCGGACAATACGTTACATTAACATCATAAAGTATGAGACCAATTTTTAAAATCTCTTTTTGCCTTCAGCTGGCAATTCTGTGTTTGTACATTCTATATTTGCAGTGTAAACAGATGATGATATTTAACAAAGTATACTCCATCATGAATGAATTGCAACATGTTTTATCTGTTTTAGTGACAATATTCCTACAAGGTCTTGACAAAGTCTCACTAGGATCTGCTAGCAGCTATACTGATTCTCTTACTCAATCTGTTATGGTTCAGTGACAAGCTTTTGAGAACGTTGAATTTCCCCATCCACGGTGGTAACACTTCTATCTTGTTATTGGACAGATTAATTGTCCGTAGGTTTCCTACCAGTCTCTGCAGATCCTCTGGGAACTGTGTTAAAACAAAAAATAGACATACATTGGAGGCTCAGGCTGTAGCACTGATAAAGCATCAAGTTTTTGCATGGATAGCATGGTGCCATCTCTCACAAGGTAGGAAAAAAACATATCTAACTGATTGCCCCAGTGTAAAAGGGACACTATAGTCACCAAAACAAATACAGCTTAATGTAGTTGTTCTGGTGTCTACTCCCTGTCCCTGTAGGTTTTTTGCTGTAAACACTGCTTTTTCAGAGCAAAGGCAGTGCTTACAGTACAGCCTAGGGACCCCTCTAGTGGACACTCCTCAGACAGCTACTAGATGTGGTCCTGGCTTAGCTCAGAGTCTCCACGCTCTGTATGGAGACACTGAACTTTCCCCATAGAGATGCAATGATTCAATGGATTGGATGAGAAGCCAAAGATGAGTTACGCTTTCTAATATATATATATATTTATTTATTTGATATAGGAGCAGAAATCAAAAAAAGTTCTAGAACACTGTAGCGTTAGGAACATGTTTGTATTTCTAAATGCCATAGTGTTTCTTTGAGCTGTTTAACCCCAAAGTCTGCAAGCCAGCACCCAATCACTGACTATTCTTCCTCTGCAGGTCTGAGGTGTCAATCAGGAAGTCTCAGACTGAGAAATGCTGAAAGGGTGAGAGCGTCAACTGACATTCTCAGCCCATCACTAGCTCCACATTCAGAAAACTGTAGCCAGTAAGTGAAGAAGAAAGTTTTTTGCTCCGTCTGCTCTCCTAAGTAGCATCATGCCCCACCGTTCTCGTGGCTGTTACTCAGGATGCTGTAAAACTGCAAAATGAGAAGAAAAGCAGTGCATCTGGAGGCCATGAGACCAGTCAGGTAAGATTAAAAGATGTTCTCATCTCGTTTGTCAGGAACAAAAGTTGTATTTCAGCCCTGATATAAAGTATCACATACACAATCAAGCCATAGGCTATCTCCTTTAAACGTATCTTCTCTTACCTCTGGTAAACCCTTTTCTGTTAACTGGAACACACCGGTCTTCTGTGCTGTCTCTATGTGGGCTTTCAAGGCACTGTTTCCCATGGTGTCCAAGAGGAGAAGAGAGGGATTCTCAGAGCAAAAACTACCAGCAGGACTTTCGATAGTAGCTGCTCACCTCATCAAAGTCTCTTTTGGAATGAAAAAAAGTCATTGTTACAATAATGAGCTACTCAAAACACATAAACCCTTCTATTGTTTTCTACCTTAATTACTGAAGTGACATAGATTTGTTGGTATCACGGCACATCGGGAATTCCACACATATTTTTCTGGCAAAGATATACAGTACAAATGAAAGTATGTATGTTGCTACATATTAGGATCAGGTATGACCCAAGAGCCAGGTAGCAAAGCTAAGACAATAAATAAGGCTTTGCCTAAGGAGCTTTAGATCACTCTGTGTATTAACCTGTTCTGTGCCATGGCAGAAAGATAAAAAGTAGTTTAATGTGCTTCAAATAAACAATTACATTTATTAAAATCTATACTCTGCTTAAGATCTATTATATCCATAGAATCACCTGCCATTCTCTTATTTTGTACATTTTTATTTTCGTAGTACAATGGTGATATCACAAACGATTGTGTACAATTTGAAATCAGATAATATAGGAAATTAGTAGAATAACTTGCTTAATGAGTAGTAGACAACACTAACCATGTTATATGCTAGCCATATCGCATGAAGAATAAGCATGTTGCATAGAAATAGACAAAATATAATCAATGTCAACAAAACAATACACCTAGGAGTTCTAGGTGCGAGATAGTTAGGTGAAGAGCCGATGAAAAAAAAAAAAAACTCACACTGAAATAATAGAGAAATAATTTGCTCAATGGTCTCCACTGCTGACCAGGATAAATGGATGGCTATTGTAGCGGAATGAACCTTGGACTGTTACCCCTATTCCTGCTATGGGCTGTCCGTATCTTGTCCCTCCTGTTATTTCCTTTGCTTCGTGATCATAGTCCCTGGATCATCGTGTTCTTGTCCCTGTTCGTCTGGCCATTCGGTAAAATAACAGTCATCTCACATATTAACATCTTGCTCGACAACCAAACAAATTACCGAATGCCAGACCACCCATGTGGAGTGTGCCACTCCTTAACCCCAGTAACCTCTGTTCAAACCTCCACCAACCGCAATAACCTGAACATTCAAAGTGGTCGGCTGGGTGGCCGCCGTTCGTATGTGTGAACATGTGACGGTGGCCATCTTTAGCCATGAACAGAGACAGCGCTGTTCGGTCGTCAAGTGTATGGAACAAAAATCTGACAGCGCGAACACGGCTGGGACTTCCCCCTTCCTTTATGGTCGCGGGGCTTCAGACGAACAAAGTGGCGTTCGGGGGGAGCAAACTCCCGAACAAGATACACAGAAAGAATATCTGCACGAACAGTTCGTGACGTGTTTTTTGCATATTTAATACTTCCGAAAAAGACCGACCACACAGCCTGATTTCATGGAACCTTTTTGGGCAGGCACCTCGTGTGCGGTCGGTCTAAACTATACCCCAGTAGCGTTTCGGCTGCGTTCGTAGGATCTAAGCACTTTTCGGATATGTTGGGCACTCAGACCCAGACTATCCGCGGATATAGGACTTAAGGGGTTATCTTGTGGGGAACTGTATGTTTTGGGGTGATTATTATACATGTACTGGACCTGAGTGTTAATGTAATTATGTTGTATATTTTTGTCTCAGTCTACTCTCAGGTCCAGTGGGGAATGCCCCTGGAATGTGTATTTGGAAACCCCTTGCATGGTTACTCACAATAAAGGCGCTGTGGCTCCATTAAAATCAGTTATACCCCCAGAGCTGAGTGTCGTCCAGTTGCTGGGGAGGAAGTGGGAGATTCCTGGAGTATCTTACGGTGTTTGGCTGTTCCCTTGGCGTGTTCTCCTTGTTCCTGAGTGTATGTTGGAGAAACCAGCGGAGAGTCCCTGCTAGAACAAGGGTTCCGCTACAACTATGAATCAAGATAAAAGTCCAAGATAGCCAATATCCTCCAAGGGTAGAGCAGAGTGCCATATTTGAGGAGACAGCCAAATGCCCAGTAGCCTAGGCGTATGCATAAGCTTCAAACAGTGATGCAGAGATTGGATCCAATAAATGTATAGGAAGCAAAGCCCCCTGTAAAACCTTTGTCCTCTGGTAGAACTAACTGTTTGGCCTCCAAAAGCGTGTGTCCGATCAGAAGGTTCTTTACACTTCCAGCAGGCCAGCATTTTGACCTCCCAGGCCATATTCTAGCCTGATTAGTAGTAGGAATTACGAAGGAATGCTTGACATGATGTATCGGAGGCCGATGTAAGCTGCGCAGGCCGATTTAGCATCCGCCATGTACTGGGGTTCAGATATCGGGCTAGCCTGTCTAGCTGGGATATGGTTGCAAAGCTTTGGTTTTCAGAAGAGTACATGGCATCTGCCATGTTGAGTGGGCATTATGTGCAGCTAGTCTGCCGCTTGCCAGCACAGTAGAGCCCATGTTAAGGGGAGGATGTCTCTGTAGTGTAGACGAGGATAACCCCCACAAGTCCGAAGGGGGGGTGGAGAAATGAGGCACTAACTAGCTAACTTAGAGACATGGTTTGCTCTGGATCGAAAGAGAGGCCACCTCTCCTCCCTCAAGGTCCACCCGGCCTATCTAGTGACTAGATAGCATCCGAATGGGTCACCAAGTGTTAGCCTGACTGATGCTAGAGTATAATATCTTAGCATTAAGTCAAGTTGGCTGGAGATTGGGGCGGTCTCTGGGTGCTAAACTGAACAACAATGACAGGTATAGCGTTTTGGGGGTTAGCCCAATAAACTCAGCCAGTCAATGACATGCATGTTGGACAGAACTGAAATGGATCATGTGAAAGTGCAAATTCCACATTATCAGTGTAACCAAGCAGGAGGTCGTCTATGGCAGGTCCCCATAGTCTAGCTTTCTGCTCCAAAAGAGTTTGAGAAAAGCCAGAGGACGGTCCCTTTGAGTTAAAAACAAAGAACAAGTAATCACAGATATAGTCACAACTTTGCTCTTTTACCCTGACGTTTGCATTTTATATTAGTGCATTTATTAGTGTTATTCCCCAAACATCACATTTTTCCAGATAAGGCTATTTTCAGACAGTCAGATTATGTTCCCTGGTATTGCGCCAGAGCACTTCTCACACCATAACCACTACAGCTGTAGCGGTTATGATGCTTGGTTCGTTGCTTTAATTTTGCCTTTTTGATTTAATTTATGCTGTGTTTAGTGAATAACCCTTTTACACAAATTGTATTCCCTTTCAGAAAGAATTATCACCAGTTTAAATCACAATAGCAAATTAAAAACACAATATAATCCTCCTCTACTTTTCCCAGAGGCAAAATTTCCTAAAATAGGGAGTTGCCCATAAAGTAGATCCCTACCTTATGGCCACTCTTGCTATTGTTATTATTATTATTAGTTATTATCGTTACAGTCCCAGTGCTGCTCCCTGCTCTCTAACCACCTGTACAGTAAATAATGTTAAACAATTATAAAGTGATACAGATTACCCCAAACCTCATTACAAAGTGATGGCAAACACTCACAGGGTGTATGTAATCCAGCCAAAACAAATCCCAGCGATCCCAGAGGGGGTTAGCAAAACATAAACAATCCCAGGCAGCCAGTGTACCAGCTACACCCAGTGACTGGCTCAACCCTTCCGGAAACAGCCCCCACCTCCCTCATCCAGCCTCTCTTCACTACATTGCCACAACCAAGATGGCGCCGACCTTCTGACACAGGAGTTCTATCAAATTTCCCTACCCCGTTAGAAAACGGTAGCGGCTAGTTCCTATCCAGTAGAAGGACCCCGGTGACATCACCAGACCATGTGACTGCTTGGTCACATGGTACAGAGAGCTACAGGAAGCAGCAAAGCGGGAAATCCAAATGAATGGGATGGACTGAGCTGTGCTGATCTCCTCCTGCTGCTGGTGGGAGAGATCTGATGGAAACATTACAAAGTATCTTATTATACAGGACAGCCTGGGAGCTGGAGGCTTGCACTGTATGTAAAGCAGAACACTGCAGCCATTACACAGACTGAACATGGAGAATGAAGGGAAAAGGGATCTTTCAGAGAAGTCACTTTTATTTTATATTTATATAGTTTTATATTTATTTATTGTTTTTGCCAGTTAATTATGCAGTTATGTTAAAACCTGTATTTTAAATCTCTCTTTTTGTCTTTAATTGTAGATATTAATCACTGTCCAACTGTTTTACAGAATACATTGATTATAATGGGACTCTTATATTTTTGTATTTCTTTCTCTCTCCCAACTCTCTCTGACAGCATGATATATTAACCCTTTTATCCCCACTGACAGTCAGTGAGTGTCTCTCTCCCATCCCCTCATTGTGAGTCTCTCTCTCCCATCCCCTCATTGTGAGTCTCTCTCTCCCATCCCCTCATTGTGAGTCTCTCTCTCCCATCCCCTCATTGTGAGTGTCTCTCTCCCATCCCCTCATTGTGAGTCTCTCTCTCCCATCCCTTCATTGTGAGTCTCTCTCTCCCATCCCTTCATTGTGAGTGTCTCTCTCCCATCCCTTCATTGTGAGTGTCTCTCTCCCATCCCTTCATTGTGAGTGTCTCTCTCCCATCCCCTCATTGTGAGTGTCTCTCTCCCATCCCCTCATTGTGAGTGTCTCACTCCCATCCCCTCATTGTGAGTCTCTCTCTCCCATCCCCTCATTGTGAGTCTCTCACTCCCATCCACTCATTGTGAGTCTCTCACTCCCATCCACTCATTGTGAGTGTCTCTCTCCCATCCCTTCATTGTGAGTGTCTCTCTCTCTCCCATGCCCCTCATTGTGAGTGTCTCTCTCTCTCCCATGCCCCTCATTGTGAGTGTCTCTCTCTCTCCCATGCCCCTCATTGTGAGTGTCTCTCTCTCTCCCATGCCCCTCGGTGCACCTCCCTCTCTCCCGTCCCCTCGGTGCGAGTGTGTGTCGTGCTCTCTCTCCCGTCCCCTCGGTGCGAGTGTGTGTCGTGCTCTCTCTCCCGTCCCCTCGGTGCGAGTGTGTAAGTGTTGCCATGGCAACATTCCCGACTTGCATTACATGTTATGTGTAGCGTTGCCATGGCAACATGCAGCAACGCTCACACAGTTCGCGAGAAGAGAGGATCTGATGCTACAGGATGTGCAATATTACACTCCTGGGTCCCTTCTTCACAGGACACCGTATGCTGTGCCACCGGACCACCAGGGAATCCTGTGTGCCACCCACCCTGAAACAGGTAAGAGGCAGGGAGGGAAAAAAAAAACCCCTAAATTTAATAAAAATATTTTAAAAACTACTGTCCCCTCACAGCCCTTATCCAATCTCGCTGCACTACATTCACTACACGTAAAGACATTGCATCCACTACCCACATAGACACTGCATCCACTATACACAATGCATTCACTACACACACTGTATAATATAATGGATGTGCGCAAAGCTTTTTTTGGGGGGGCGGGCTTGGCTTCTTGGGCCAGCCCTGCTCTCTCCTACCCACGCACAGCCAGCGTGCCTCTCTCCCACCCACGCACAGCCAGCGTGTGTGCGTCTCTCCCACCCACAGCCAGCGTGTGCGTCTCTCACAGCCAGCGTGTGCGTGTTTGCGTCTCTCCCACCCACGCACAGCCAGCGTGTGCGTGTGTGTCTCTCTCTCTCCCACCCACGGACAGCCTGTGTGTGTGTGTGTGTGTGTGTGTGTGTCGCTCTCTCTCCCAGCCACGCACAGCCTGTGTGTGTGTGTTGCTCTCTCTCCCACCCACGCACAGCCAGCGTGTCTCTCCTTAGCCACGCACAGCCAGCGTGCCTCTCTCCCACCCACGCACAGCCAGCGTGTGCGTGTGTGCGTCTCTCCCACCCACCCACAGCCAGCGTGTGCGTGTCTCTCACTCTCTCCCACGCACAGCCAGCGTGTGCGTGTCTCTCTCTCTCTCTCCCACCCACGCACAGCCTGTGTGTGTGTGTGTGTGTGTCGCTCTCTCTCCAAGCCACGCACAGCCTGTGTGTGTGTGTGTGTCGCTCTCTCTCCCAGCCACGCACAGCCAGCGTGTCTCTGTCCCACGCATTCCCCTCCTGCCAATCATTTCATGTAGTGTGGCCAAGGCACCGCAGTAGAGAATCTTCTGTATCCTCTACCCAGTCTAACAGGAAGTGCTCCCAGACAGAATAGTTCACTCGACCACGCTACAAGTAGGTAAGATGGCACTGCAGAAGGAGGAAGACAGCAAAAAGAGGGGACGGACAAAGAGACACACAGGGTCTGAGGGTGGACAAAAAGACACAGAGTGGTGCGGGGTGGCAAAGAGATACACAGGGGGCAAAGAGGTTTTGGGGGCAAAGACACAAACAGGGTTTGGCGGGGAAAAAGAGACAAGGAGGAGCACACTTAGAGGGGCTTAGCTAAACAAAGAGGCACACAGAAGAGTTGGGGGGGATATAAAGACACACAGGGCTGGAGGAACAAACAGATACACGGAGGGGCAAAGAGACACATGGAAGGACAAAGACATACAAAGGGGGCTGCGGGGGGGCAAAGAGACAGTGGGGCTTTGGGGGGACAAAGACACGCAGGGGCAAAGAGACAAACTTGGGGGAACAGACACAAAGGGGGGCAAAGAGGCACACAGAAGGGGTGGGGTGTCAGACACAGAAGGGCTTAGAGAGAAAAAGACACACATAAAGGAGCTTAGAGGATAAAAAGAAACACAGAGAGGCAAAGAGACACAGGGCTGAGAGGGACAGAGAGACACACAAAGCTGGCGATTTTAGTTTTTTGGGGGTGATGCAAGTATCTGGTCTTGTCTAGGGTGCAAAAGACCACATCACTGTTTTATTCAGGGGCACTTATTCCCCGAGTAAGGGACCTAGCAACTTGGTCTAAGCTTGCTCTCAAACTCTGTTAACAAATAAATTGTATAATTTTAACTCTATATTTATGAAAAATAGCCCTTATTTAAAAAATAAATGTTTACTAATCTAATGTCCACTCATCATTGAGTGTTGTATCTCATGTATTTGTGTATATGTCTTTACCACCCACCTATCGTATGTGTGAGCGCCCATTCCTTGTGGACTGCCTGGGAGTGTGCGTTGCTACTCCCATCTGCAGGTCAGTCCACTTTGTGCAAAGTGCATGTGCTCAATTGTAAGAAATTGATATTCCAAACTGCAATATTGTATATAACTTTCTGTGTATGTGACTGGTTTCACAAGTTGGGGTCATTTACTTGATAACAGTGTGATAAGGATCAAA